GATTTTGACAACTTTAACTGCTTGAACAATAGCAAATAATGGGGTGTACAGGGTGGGAATTCCTACCTTTTGCAGAGCCTGTAGGCCCTGGAGCGGCAGAGAAAGTGGGCGAAAGGGTCGTTCAAGTGACCCTCCGCGTTGTACACCCGCCTCCGAATGTCGGAGACGAGGACGGCTTCGGAAAATTCCAACTCGCTCTCGTCGTCATTTCCAAACATTCGCTTCTTGCGCCCCTTGGTCATTTTCACACAATTTGCAGCTGCGAAACCTAATCTTCTCAGTTTAAACTCGGCAAGATCTGGTTTGCAAGGTCCATGTTTATTGCTTGTTATTTATTTGCGTGTCCGTTGGGCGGCCCATTTTGGAAGTTCTCATCAACACATTTCCGCATTTCATCCCCAGACTTATAAAATGTGTCTCAATATGGAAGTTCAACTAGTGGTCGTTTGTGTAGGTTTTTCAGCTAAAGAGTCAATGCCATAGTTTGGTTTCACAAAATAAATGACACGCCGTTCATTTTTTGGGGCAGGCAGGAAAAACACAATGATTAACTGATTATGCCCTTTAGTTCAACATTCCATTTAAGGGAATTTTTAGACTATTGCCCTTCAAAATTCTTCATTTTCTGTCAGATAGGTCACAATAAGCAGGTAACGGATCATAGGAAATTAGCAACCAATAAGTTGATTAGTTATTGATCAGTCTTCAATGAAATAAGAAACAAACACGGTACACAAACTGGCTGACAAACTAAACTAAATCCGTTATGAGAAATTGATTGCGTTGGGAGTGAATAATTCTTGGATACCACACAAATATGTTGATTGAAATTCCCAACTTGGACAGCTTCGTCGCTTCGAGTAATGAACCGGCACGTATAGAAAATCCACAATCAAGGTTGATTATCAAACAAGTAAGTTCAGCCACAAATGTGGAGACACAATCAATCATAATTCACGGCACACAAGTAAAGATGATAAAAGTTTTTGTTTCAGCTCTGAATATCACACCATCAGAGAAGCACGACCTCTAAAAAATTTTTGCTAGCACCAACTGTGCAGTTATTAGAAGAAATACAATAAAGTTTCCTCGTAAACAACAAATTATCCAGCCAGCGTGATCATCATCCTACTCGATGGAGGACACCTGGACACGGAGTGATCTCACAATTTTGGGACATTAGCACACCTCACGACTGTGATATTACTATATGTATAATAGCCTTTTATGAGGTCTTCTGCACTATTGCTACTGCCACTACCAACAATTTTCTACTAATTCTTTCCACATTCTCCAGCTCATAGGTAATTTAGAACAAGAAAAACGCCACTTGTAACTTGCGTCTGTTTGAGCATGCAAATTCTGTAGAATCTCAACTCAAAGCAAACACTTGTCAACTCATTTCCTTCGCCTTTCGTCTGAGCACTTGGAAATAAGTACTTGATCACCAACCAAAGATTTACATCGATTAATTGGAATGCAAACACTTTTTCCTTTCGCTCTGGGGTTGCTTGTTTGCTGGGATGAGTGTGTGAGATTGGTTTGATTCAGGTGAATTTGTCTCACGAGCTGGTACATGCTGCTATGCAGACAAATAAGTTCGACAGACCAGCCCAAGCAGGACGACCTTCACACCTTAATTGTTTACTTTCTTGGAAAAAGAGGTGCATTTTTCTTCTTTTATTTGGACAATTTAAAAGAATCGGATATTTTTTAGCCGCTCTTAGTACTTTTAGCACGGTTTCTCATTTGTTCTCATTAATTTAACTGTACTTTAGGAAAACAATTGGCAGGATGATCTTCGACCATGAAAAACTCGTTGGCGATGAATATGCAAATCCGAGCAATGTTATTCATGGCGTCATAAACCTTGAAGTGTTTTTAATGCAGGCTAATTAAAGTGGCGTAAATAGCATCGAGAGCTCCTTGGATTGGTGAGTAGAGAATAAATGAATAAGTACACATGCGAAAACCGCAAAGTCACACACTGACACAATCCGAGAATTAGTGATGATAAAAACCGGCTTTATTTGTATCACTAATTCACTCCTACTCCTGTGACAATCAGCGTGTTCTTGCTGAACAATGAGCCGTATCGTGCGTGCACAATGAGGAGGACAAGAAGAGCGGATATTGAACAAGAAGACCAACAATGGAGCAAGTAAAGCTACTCGAGTCCTCTGTACGTGCACAATAACTTGCCGTCAAGGAATCGAATTGAATGTTGTTGTTGTGTTGATTCGCCAACAATCAAATGTACACTGATGACTGACTGACTGACTGCTTTGGCTAAACTGCTTATGGTCTTGGTTGGCAGAGTTAACTACTAACTGAAGTCAAGTCAAGTGCTGCTTTACTGTTATCATCCCATCCTCCGAAGCTGCATATGTATCTGCTCAAACAGCTACTTACTAAATAGATTTTTAGCTCTACTACTGCTGCTGATGCGATGTGCTGCTGTGGGGCTAAAAGTTAAATGGTCATACAGCGTCATTAAGTGAGAAGTTCACTATGCAAGCATGCACTACTTACCACTTTACTCAATGCTTATTATGCACTTATTATTATGCTTCTCCCTCATTTGCAACGATTATGTTGAACGTCAACATTACTTTTCGGTGTGAGCATGGCCAAAGTGTAGCAGTGCCCTCAAGAAAAGATCGTCATCGTTTTATGCCAAAGTCTGTCTTTTATCTTGGACGCCGTCGTATTTTTTCCAATCTTTCACCTCCTCCTTTTCAAACCGAGAAGGCGACAACAGAACAGAAGTCAAGAATAGTTTGTATGTATTTTGTTTTACGTGCTAATGGGTCGCGGCCGTCGCATTTTGTAATTGTAATTGCCCACTTTGCAACCAAATGTGACAATACTTTATGTCTCATTTTTTACCACTTCAAGTTAAAAGTGCACAAAATCAATTTTTACTTAAAAGCGTGAAAGAAATACCAGTGCCAAGACTAATTTTGAAGTCTTGTCATTTCCACGCATGCAAAAATACAGGGATGAAATTAATGCTTTGTGTATGTGATGATGACGGCAGTTTTAATTGTCAGTATTCCATAAATAAAACTATAAAGTGCACTGCACACCGCTTTGCCGACGTTAAATCAGTATAGAAAATCAGTCTCTGTAATGATGGGATGCCACCGGATGTCCGTTTCCTTGAATGAATTTGTCACTTTGAGAAATTAAATGCATCGCTGCACCCACACCACCTCCAACCTCACGCAGATAATGCTCAATTAATACCACCGTTGCAGTAAATATCAAATATTTTAACTTAATATCAGCAAGTTTATTAGTGCAGTTACTTTTAGCTGTCAATCTGTGATCATTTTCCTGCGATTTTGCGACGACGGTACGAAAAAACAAGAACAATAATGCTCGTTTACTATTTACGAGGATGTTGTTTGGTTAAAAAAACCTTATAAAATTTCTAGGAATAAAAATGCTGACTATAATCCAATCTCATAAATAAATCCCATTTTGGTTACGCGTAGATTTTCGGGAAAGTAGAATAAGATCCGATTACGTTTCAACTCACGAATTATTTACAAAAAATGGATAAGCTGGCATTTGTGATCAACTCCCAGATTGTTGGCATTTTATTTGTCCTACTGAACAATCCCATCTTGTAAATAAGCAAGTATTTGATATGTCGGACAAGAAATCTCTCTGGATCAAATGCAACTTGTACATTATTTTATTTTGGGTGTGTGTGCTGAATGAACTTCATGGGAAATTATGCGAGCTTTTATATAATAATAATTTCCCTTTGAACTCAAGTGTGACACATTTATCCCTCCACCACCAGCAGCACGGATCCTCAGAGCAGCAAGAAGATCAAAGTTACTTCACGGCAGGAGACGAGGGCACAAAAGGGTCCTAACAAACCTTGACACTTCCTTCAACTTCTCAATCTCGTAACTCAGCCAAATTCGAGGGGACAACAACAAAGGCGGCACGGCGGTTTTATTTTATTTATGAACAAACTTCCCTTCATTGACCCAGGGAGTAAAGAAGTACGGTGTCTCACAAGCGTCGAAGCAGTAATAGATGCATACCTTTGTGATTCCGAGAATTCATGGTGAGATTGACACACTTGGCCAATAATTTGACATTGTCGGGCTCATAAACTTTTCCTCCTCTTTAGTAAAAACCACATAAACTAGTCAAACTGCGTCCAATTAATTTTAAAATGTTTCCATATTTATTTTGTTTCCGTGTTCCGTTTTATCCAAGACTTTTTGAGCTCCTTCAAAATGTATGCTGAGTTTAGTGGAGTAGACGAATCTCAACTTTTTTGGGGAGAAAAGTAAGCCTGCATACGAACAGAAAGTCCAGCATAGCAGTCAGTCAACGGGTCCATTTTCCAGAGGGCATAAAAAAAAGATTATGGAGTTGACAAAGATTAGGATCAACAGGTAGCCGGAATAAATGCATAGTAATAATTTGTGTCTGTGTGAATCAACTATCACGTCTTTGGCTGCTGCTGCTGCTGGACAAAACGTGTAATGTTTGGAGAAATGGTGTGGATTAGCATTTTTATGGCCACCACCCCGTCAATAAAGAAAGGTGTGCTCGTAAATTAGTCTCATTTACATTTCTAATCGTCAGACCATCGCCTGTGTTCCTATCTCATAAACAAGTCAGACTTTTAAAGGGACTGCATATTATCGATTATTCCACATTCAGGCACAAAATACGTCAATAAATAACCTCATCGTCCCTATTCATGAGGAGGAACATACAAAATAGTGGAGAGAGGCATCCTATTTATTATTCCATTATTTATAATAATGGCAGTGGGACATAAAATATGCGAGGGGTCCATTTCTTAGACAGAGGAAAAGATAACATCGATAATCGATTATCAACAAGTTTCGGGTGATTGTGATGGTAGGATTGAAATACAAGGCAATAAATTAATGGTCGTGGAAATATTTCTGGGGAATGGGGAATGACGCAAAAAAATGAATTTACAAAGTTTTGGCACTAACCTTATCGGAGCCATTTGAACGTTATCATCTACTTTTTGCGGGATGAGATGAGCACTTATCATCTCCACTTCATCCTCGTCATCATCATCTTCATCCACCCCCCTCTCGTCGTCGTCTGATCTTTCCGTTTCCTTCTCAGCTTTCTCCTTGTCGGCAACCATGTCATCAATCTCACTCGTTAGCTCCAATAATTTCTGTGTGTCGACCGTCCTGTCCCCCAAATCACTGTGACACACTGCTTGGACACCACTCCCACGACTCTCCGTAACTGTTTGCACTGCAGTCTCGCCCTGCTCGATGGAAGGACACCCTTTCTGCTGCTGAAGCTGCACTTGGTCATCATCCTGATCATCCTCCTCAGGCCCAGAGTTTGACCTTCCCCTTCCATTCACTCCGTCGATGCAAAGTCCACCCACTCCTCGGAGTTTGGCAGAAACAGTTTGTGCTTGACTCTGACTCTGACCCATGATAATTGCACTACTGTCCAGCCTGCCCAGCTCACCGGCAAGAATTTCCATTCGCAATTGCTCCACTTGAATTGCAAGACTGTCTCGTTCGCAACACACGCGTGCCAATTCTGCTCTCAAAAGATCAACTTCACTTCTTCGGTCACTGCCAGTTTTGTCCTGATTCAAGTGATCCTCGTTATGACAGCTACAATTGCAGGCAGGTTTCTTCCTTGGTGATAAGTCTGCTGCCTCTTGTTGAAGGTGCAGAATATTATTTCGCCTCCGGATGGTGTCGAAGGGGCGTGAAGTGAGTGGGGTTGTGACCAAGTCCCCAGGGACGTTTCGGTGGTGGCGATTTTGCTCAGACCAGTGGCGTTGGAGAGAGGAGAGGTAGGCGTAAGAGTTGTAGAAATGAGAGACTGGACTCTCATCGTCCTCATTATCATCTGGGACGTCCTCACAACCTCCATTGCTTGTAGATCCACCCATGTCCACCACTTTGTTCTCATGCAGATTCATGTCTACGAGGAGTTGGGTCTACTAAACACTAATCAGTTCAGTTAAGTAAATGGTGGTGATAACACGACTGCACTCTTGTCACCGTCTTTAGTTCTTGTATATATTTTATCTTGCTTAGTTCCAGGGTCAGTTGGCCTGAAATTACACGATACACACAGAAATTATTATTTCACTCATAGAATTATGTAATTTAATGATTATTGAATCGTGGCATGATGGAGTTCTTGGCTTGACTGGTACATGGAATGCAAAGGAGAACCTTGAGGAAAGGATGAGACTTGTAATGAACGAACTGAACCAACTACTTCTTCACTCAGCCTGCGTTCCGAGAGAGATAAGATTAAGGGCTGCGAGGCGGAGGGAGGGAGCAGATTGAGACGACGAGTCAAGTCCTCTCTCTCTCTCTGCCTTCAGACTTTCCGAGTGAAAGGAGCCTTTGTTGCACCACAACGACGACGAGAAAGAAGGGAACACACTGACACATTATTTCATGCGGCAGACGACCTTTATTCAGGCCCACTCTTAGTTTACACGACCCATCCGAACCAGACGTTGCAGACCACCACCGACCAGTTCAACCAATACAACTCGTACATGTTTGGAGATGCAGAAGAAGTACTTCCTTACAACAACAATCAACTAAACGCACAAATTAAGAAGGAATTGAGAAGTTCCTTATCCTTTCTCTCCAGCAGCAGGAGCAAGCTGGAGAACATCACTCATATTTCCACTCTCTGATTTGCTACTGAGCTGCTTCTTCATAATTCTTATGGGTTTTCTTTCCCCTCTCCAAGAGTCACATTTTTAATTGTTGTTTTACTACTTCTCCAAGACTGCGACTTTTAACCTTGGAGGTCTCGGTTGAGATTCTCCCTACTCAAAAAATTATAATTTCTTCTCCGTCCCTCTCAAGTGCGATGAACAGTACTTTTACACATTCGCTCTCGTTCCCAAATATTGAGCTTGAGTCACGAGCAGGAGGAAGGAAGGAAAGCAAATATTGGCTGATTATATAAGAAGTTCATGGTGTGTAATCATCGTGGTGAGAGAGACTTAAGAGGCAAGGGCCCCAAAGATAGATAAATACACAATGTACACTTTATGCATGCTTATACGAAGATAAGTGACCATCCTATAATGCCAGACCCGGTGTCCGTGAGGGAGGATTGGCTGGCAAATGAGATGCTTGAAGAGCGTGATAAATAAGCAAGTTCTTTAAATCTTGTGCAGCTCTTTTTCAAACGGATAAATGATAAAGTCGTGAGGTTGTAAATTCAAAAGGATTATTCGTCAAGAAGGAAAAAGTTGTGCGTACCAGGTTGTCCACTCACTCATCCTCAGACTGGTATGCTTGCGTATAAAGAGTCGACCAAAAATGAGACGAAACCCTCACGATCGCTACAACTCGAGAGAACAAGATTTACCCTACTACATAACTGACCAGGCGTTTGCACAATATGCAGCAAATAACAAGACTTCTTTTATTATTTGCTTTCTGGGACAACAATGAGTTTGAACAAACCAATGTGACAATATGCAGGACAAAGTGTTGACTGTGACATTTGTTCCCGACTTATTTATTATTTGTCTCCAAGAGTGGACGCCCAATTGTCGTTGCAATAAAGCACACCAGGATTTTACAGCTTTTCGTTTCGTTACAGACTGAAAATGGGAAATTCTAACTAAATATTTGGTCAGACTCGGAAGTTTGGTCAGAGACTCGTCGTCGTCGTAGTCTGAGTTTTAAGGAATGCCACGATTGAAATATTTTAGAATCAGTCCACACACCACTTTTGAAGGCTTTTTCCTTAAAGACAGCACGACTGGTAGTGTACGATTTGTTGATCCTACTACTTACTAATCATGCAACTAACTGGCCTTTTTGTTTGCTGAGAAGGGGGATCCTATAGCACAAGAGATGTTGCGACTTTTGCACTTAATAATTTGCATATTACACTCACAAACGCACACATTTTGATAGTGATGCCACACTATGCTACACTATAACTACATATGAAGCCCAACTAGACAAATATGGTCAACAATACGACCATTTCTTCACTTACTAACTTGTAATAATGAGCTATTATAAATTATTTATAGAAGAGCAGCAGCAGCAGCAGCAGCGAGTCTCCTCCCTTCCTTTTCAATCAATCACCAAATAACGCTGGCCACCCTCCCAATTAATTCTAATGATTTCATTCACCTCTCCTCCTCCTCGTGCACTTTGTGATTTGCAGGGTTTGTTTCGATTGAGGGCACGCAGGTGACAGTAACAAACTAACAAACGGCTCAATAATAAATTGCAACCACTTGCCTTCGTTTGTTGATGGTAAGTGTGTGCCTCTGCAAAATTGTGCAATGTACACACGACCACAGCTCTCCAAATACTCTGTGTAACTGCAAAGTATCCCCTTCCACTTCCTCCTTCAATGTATGCCTGAGCGGATCACAATTCTGGAGTGACTAAGCCTAGCAGAAAACGCAACTGACCTCCGAACGAGAAATTACATGCCGCTGCCCTTGGAAGTTTAAATCCTCACAACTACTAAACAGCAGCAACAATACAGCGTTTAGGATATCGATCCATCATCATGAGGCGGAACAATTTAGATCATAAGTAGATGGACTGAAACAACGGCCAAAAACTTGCGTTTTTCGCCCCAAGTGAAAAAGTGACGTGAGATAATAATCCTCTGAAATGCTTGCACTCGCCTGCGGAGAGAGAGACTTGTGAAGGAATTATAAGGACCATCTGCCACCACAACGAGTTAAGGGCACCTTAGTGACAACAGTTGGCCACACTGCATAATACAGACGGCCGTTTGGGGTGGATGGCTGTTTGGCTCGTGTCTCTCATTATCGGATAATCCAATTGTGCATCTCTGAGGAACATCCTTCCTTCCTTCCTGTCTTCTTCATCCCCTTGTTCGAGTGACCTCAAATAGATCCACGCGACTCCCACCACCCACCCTCCCGCTTCACTAATCGGCCATCTCCAAGTTTAAAAGGCACCACATGTCGATGAACGAAAGGAAATGGAAAGTCTCATGACTTACCTCACTCCGAAACTTGCTTAGTTTCAGGCACGTTATTTACGAGCGAGCAGGACATGCAAACAATTCTCCAGTCTCAACTTTTGTTAACGACTCTTTTGTCTAATACTCATACCAATTCGCACATCACTTTGGAGTAACTAGATCTAATTGAGACATCTTCACGCACCCACCACGACGAAACTACTTAGTAATCACCATGCAATATTATAACACGCTTCTCGCCGTCTCCAAATTTGCAATCGTACTAATAATACTTGCTGACAGAATAATCAGTGACCCAGCAGCTCTGGCTTTTTTAACTCTGAGGATGTTGGACTCGTCGCAGACTTGACAAGAAGATTCAATGAGCTACACTGGCCATTCAATTGCAAAATTGCTTAACTTATAAAAGTTGGCAGTATCTTAGTGTCAATATTGCTGCCTAACTACTGTGCTGGCTTGTGTTTTTAATAATCCTTTGCTAATTTATGAGACAAACTTTCAACCCGTAGCAGAGATTAGGGACTCGCATGATTTGGACTTGGCATGCAGCGTGATCATTAATAATAAAAAACGAGCTATCTATCTGTGTATGTATGTATCCTACTTGTTTCTACTCGTAGATGGTTATATTGCTTATTACTTACGACTCCTATTAGTCCACTCTGTGACTAAACGCCGAAGAAGAACTGACTGTGTCAAGACAAGAAGAATTTTGCAGTTACTGCTAAATATCTACACATATGATGGTGGCAAATAAGTAATGGGACATACGTACGTACATTGACCACAGCTCTTTTAGCTCGACCTCCAAAATGACGAGATATGGAGGAATGTTAAAAAACAGAAAACTTGAGTGGAGATTTTGCATGATTGCATCCAACTCTATCATGATAACTTCACAAACGTTCGTTGAGCGTATTCATCATCACGATAGAATTATGTTATCTTATGGTTAATTATTTATGGGTGACAAACGCTAGAATTCCAACTTTACATAGATGGATGGAGGATGAATGCGCGAGGATGATGACACTATCGATGATTATATAGCCTTCACCCTTTTCTGCTATTATGTGTATGCATGTGAGACGATCGAGAGTCTCGATTCGAGACTCTACCTGACTCGCCAAATTCATGGAATGTGCTAAATATGGTCTTTCTTGCTGAAATAATTTAAAAATCATAATAGTGCGTTTTACCCAAGAAGTCTCACAGGTAGTCAGTTCCTAGAAGAGAAGGATAGTGATTATCTAATCTCTCAGCAATTTAGGGCTACACAGGTACACACATGTGTATCATGTATCTCGAGTTTTGGCTTTAGATCAGCACTGCGGTAAATAAGGAACTGCGTATAATTAATTTATCAGCACCGTAATAAGTTACGTAATAACAGAATATTTTCAGGAGATTTGGAGTTGGAGACGTTAGAGTAACGAGGCCTGTTTTGACAAGCGATTTATTATCCAATCACTTTTGGTAACTTGTCAATCACTCATGCAACACGATAGATCAAATCCATTTCGCAAAATTGGAAAAGTTGGTGTTTTTTGGGTTGAATAGACTCGCATGAATACGGAATATAGATGCAGGAGGGTTGGGTTGAGAATTGCGAAAATGAGACTGACTGCATAAAAGAGTCAGGATTTGCAAAGTTACTCTCTGGTTGTTTGGAGTGCAAAAAGTCGTAAAACTTTACCCAATCCAGAAACAACACACATTATGTACTTAGTATACATTTGCGTCTGACAACGAGACAAAGGGTATAGAAAAATGTACCGTGAAACTGGAGAAGTGTGTTTACATATCCAATCCACAACCAACCAAGACAAAGGCAAACACAATAAAATCCTGCAAGTCGTGGACAAACATTATTGTGAACATGACATGACGTCAACCTTAATAAATGCTTAATGTACAAGTAGATGCCTTTAACAAATAGAAATTCAGTGAAATATACTATTCCAAAAGAAATATGCAATACTTTAAAAAAGTCCGACTTACAATGATTTGTCCAATATTAGGAGTATGCTAGTTGGCGAAATGTTTGCCATGCAATATTTCTTCACCCACCCATCGCTACCACGACCATGGACGAACTGACCTGATTTATGCAGGACCAAAATCTTATTATGACATGAATTGCTTTCACTTTTCTCCGTGCTTCCGCTACTACCTCCGGGAAGGAGTCTGTTTATTCATGTAATAGCATTTCGGCCCAAATTTTCCATCTCATCCGCCCTTTTTTGGCTCGACCTGAATATCTCCTTCTGCTGAGATTGAGATTAATGAAGAATGAACGCTATAATAATATATGTAACTCAGAGGTAGCGAGATGTGGTCACGGATATATTTACATATGTAAATGTACCAAAGTGAAATATGTTCATCACGTAGATCATCTTGTTTCACCTTATCTTCACATGGACCGAGGAGCAGCAGCTACTTATGCAACATTACTTTCGTCAAATCTCCAATTTCCAACAACTCATAGAAATAGCGATGCAAAGACGGAGTTCAGTTGATCGGAAGGACTGTGGGCCTGACCCAAGTCTATTTCTCCCTAGTACTACCCAGCACCACCGCCATAATTTATATAAGCATGGCCTAACCATGTTCATCGGAACTACCAAGAAAGCAACTAAAATTAAGTCATTTATTTTATTATTTGACGAATGCATAGATTCTTAGCCCGTAACATTTATTGTGAATGCGACACTAGTTTTCGGAATACATATTTATTCCTTCATCAGGTTTTTATTTTATTATTTTTGTTAGCGTAGTTGTTGTGACCAATGCATAAGAAATAAGTAGTCACATTTACATCAAACGAAAAATATTGTGATAAAAGATGGGCTAGTCACTGTTTAAATGTGGAAATTCACTCAAAAAGATTTGATATCCAAAAGGAGATGAATCTAGCAAATATAATTTTTATAAGTTTTCTATTGATATATATAGTATTACATATGCAAAGGCAACAATGAAATTGCTAAATAAGAAGCTCAAAATGTACATAGAGTCATCTTGATCAATTAAGCATTTCTCACCCCGTACGTACACATTGAGTGAACTGAGAATGTAGTCATTGAAAAGCTAATTATTGTTCGTTGCAATCATGTAATAAAATTTTATGAATGAGAATATAAATAAATAGTCGCCTTTCTAAACGAAACCGGAAACTCATGCACTTCTTCAGCATGTGGCGTCCTTTACATGACTGACTTGCTCATCCTACTAACACGGTAGCGTAAATAAGGCTGCTTTTTTTGAGTGAGATGAGAAGTGTTCGCACAGTTTCACTCGATGGTGGTGGTGGTTAGTTTGAGGATGATGCATCGGCCCCAGTACATATTTTATTTATAACACCACGCAATAAACAAACCCCTGCTGAGCTTCGTTTGCAGTGAGTTATCTGGTTCTAAATTCTTTTGTTTGAATTTCTAATTAGCCTTAACCTTTGACCTCAGATAAGAGCGGGGAGTTTGGTAAAGTTCCGTGTGTGGTCAGTGCATGTGTGTGACTCTGCTGCGCCAGTTTTTTCGAGGATGAGTCACACATAAAACAAACTGAAATATTTTATTCAAGCATTGTCTAAAGAAAAGAACATTTGTTTATTTACTGCCTTATTTGCATGTCAATCCCACACATTCGTCACGACGCAGCAGCAGCAGTAGGGAGTGACTAATAATAATGATAGTAATTCGCCAAATTAACATTCACACCAAGCAATAGAGACAACTAGGAGGCTGGAGTTCTGTAATTGCTGCTGCTGTTGTTTCTGGATTCGTCATCATATCATCTCCAGAAATAAGAGAGAACAAATACAATGACGAGGAGAAGAACGGCCAGTTGTGTTGTAGGGTTTAATTATGGTGAAGCATTTGGCGGAACTGTTGTTATATACGTCAAGTGCCAATTAAAATTGACCTGAAACAACTGGCGAGCGGACAAGTGACAAGGGAGGCGGATTTAGTTGGAGAATTAGTTACAAAATTTATTTTGTATTGGATGCTACTACTTGCTTTTGACTGGGTGAACAGTCTTTTCTTAAATTGGTTTCAAATGTAAGCTAAACTTATTGAAGTACAATTAAAATACAAAAAATAAGATAATTAAGTATTTTGTAATTTTTATACACACAGATAACCAATCAATGAGGCCTAGTTTGAACTTGCAGTTTAATTCACATTTTGCAATTGTGGTGGACAATATTCTAGTAGAGTATTCTTTCAGAAATTTCTGAATACACAATTCATTCAATACAAAAGGCTGAGCACGTGCCTACAATTAAAAAAATCGTCCTCTTGTACTTCAACAAAATTATTGTACTTATCAAGACTGAAACCTGAAAAAAAAGAATCTCGTTTTGTAAAAACCTTAAATACTGAGGTAAATAAATTAATAAATATACTATGTAGTGCTGCATTTCAAATTTAACTGGTTCTTTATGTTTCCAGATTACAATTCTGCTCAATTGTCCTACAAATTACTACCACAGCTGTTTTCCGTAAAGTATAATAATCAAAAGTGTTCAAGCAAGTGCAATAGTATTCATGGTCATGCTATGCAAAACAAATAATTCTCAAGAAGGATCCAGGAAAATGGCATCAACAAATTTGTCTTTATTAAACGAAACTTCGTCCAATGGGGACTGTCATAAAAATGGACGACAAAGTGGTGTCGTTATCTTCCCATTTCAAAACTACAAGAACAACGATCCATATTTGGCTCATCATTTTCTCCAATTAGATTTGGGAGAGATTGTGGTCATCACGGGAGAACCATCACCTGGATGGTTTTTTGGATGGAGAAAGTTTTGTCCCGAGACGCGTGGACTCTTTCCTGGTTTGTCGCCAGTCGTCACGATGATCGATAAATTCGGGTTTTGATAATGTTTTTCTTTTGATTGCTCATATTAGGGTCACACATTGCTCAACCCAAGCGAGAGTTCACAGACCTGCTTGAGAAGATTGGGGAAGTTTGTCGTGAGTGGGGCGAGATTCGGAAAAAGCTCTTTGTCGATGTCCACCTCTACCAATTTGAGGTAATACTTACATTATAAATAAATGTAAATTTAAACGTAAAGATAAAACTCATTTTTTTACCAATAGCATATTGGTCGCGGAATTTTTGAACTAATTGATGGCAGAAGGACACTCCTCAACCAATCCTTGACACAGGATCAGTATCGTGAACTTACAAGAAAACTTTGCAGTCGGATTGATTGGGGAAACAGAAAATTAGGATTAGACCTCGTCCCCTGGAATTGGCTGTTAGACGATGGCGAAGAATCAAATAAAGTATTTTCCTACAGTTTGGATGGTAAGTTTGGATATCGGTTTATTGTATAACCTATTATTTCTAATTACTTTTTCATAGTTTATTAATTATGTTTTAAAATAACACGATTGATTTGGCCACAGGACAATCTAAGCCAATACAAAGTGAGAAAGAGAGCTCTCTACGAATCCTGCCAGAATGCAACAAGGATGCTGGGAAGCTGTTTAAACTGCATCAAAAATCTGTTGAATCTGCAGCAACTCGTGGTAGCTCGACCTTGAGTCGTCCTAAGAACAAAAAGGAACAAAAGAATGATTTGTACGTGTCCCTTCGAGATTTTTCATACACTTTTACAGATGACTGTGAAATTTCCTTTAGTCTTTTCGATGGAAAGAGGTGACAACTATTTACAAAGTTTTGCTCTATACTTTTGTATATAACCAAGTGAAACATGCAAATATTAATCTTGGTTTGCATTCCTATCTGTGCAGGTTCATCTCAGAACGACACATAGTTCACCAAAAACATACACAAGTTCCCCAATCCAATTTTCACATTGGGGATGATCGTCCGACCATCTTCAAAGAAGTCAACGTCTCAAATAAACGTGATCTCTATTTGGTCGTACAGATAGTTCGTATTGGGAGGATGTTTTATACGGAGAGTGCGGCCAAGAAATTGTCTTCTGCAAAACGGCGATTCCGTAGACCTTATGCCTGTGGAGTGTTAAGTCTGAATGATGTAGAGACTCAGAACGAAGACGAGTTGGAATTTACAACGTAGGTTTTTTTTATCTTACTATTAGTTTAGCTTAAAAAAAAAACGATATTTATGATGAACCATATTCATTGGTTTTTCAGGGGCTGTTGCGAGCAAGGAATCAAATTATACAATGCTGACGAAAAGGATTTTTGGCAAGTTCACGAGCTCATAGTGTCCCAAAACTATAGGAACATTGTGAGCAAAATCATACCAGTTTTGAACTCGTTCAGCGTCTCGATCTTCTGGTGTGGTACCAACGCCTTCAACACGGCGAGCAATAAGAACAGCAATATTACTAAAACCAAGTTGATTGGTTTCAACAACATAATTGCACCACCAGGAATAGTGAGAAATGATCTTTACTTGACCCTCTCCTCCGTAGAACTATTGGACAAGAAACAAAATAAGACGGGCGGAGCCAAGAGCTGTAATCTGGAAGTTGAGATCCAGGTGATTGATGACGATGACGATTTACTTTCTGTCGAAGGAAATTGTTGGAAGTCGCTGATTCTCCATCACGTCAACTCTCCTAAATTTAATGAAACGATCAAATTTTCAATTCCAATCGAGATATTTCCCAAAGCGAAAGTGCGTTGCATCTTTCGACATTGCTCTACCAAAGATAAAACAGACAAGAAAATGTTTGGGATCACATGGATGAGTCTGATGGACTTTTCGGGAACCACTGTGCGCGATGGTCAGCATCAGATTCAGCTGTATAAGTGGACTGATGAGCAGTCCCTGCCAGTTCAAACTTCTTCTCTAAATCTGTCAAAAGATTCGGTGAGTATAATGAAGAGATTGATGTTATTTCACCTTTATTTGCCAAACTTGCCCTACTTTTTTGATTGGTTCAACAGGCTAATCTTAACACGCTTATGGTGTCCACCAAATTTACTCAAAATATTGATTTGGTCAACCTACTCAAATGGAAGCAAACATCCAACTTGAAGCCTTCTCTTCAAAATCTCATACAAAGCCATGAAGCAACAGAGGAAATTGTTCGCAAGTTTCTACAGGTGACCTATAATGGACCATATTCATGCATAGTCGAAATCATCATCAAAATCAATGTCACATTGAATATCTGTAATATTGATTGTGCTAATGTAATTGGGTTGTTACATTGTTACAGGACGTGCTTGACGCCCTCTTCACAATATTTAGTGATGAAGATGGTAACAGCACAGAGTACTCTGGTGACGTATTTACCTTGTTGGTGAATATCTTTCAACTCCTCCGCAACTCAAATTATGCCGCATATAAAACTGTTCTGCATGCATATTGTGCTGAGCATTTTGCAGCGGCGTTAGTGTACAAAGGTCTCCTCCTCTCACTTCGACACTACACCACCGTTCTGCTCAACTCAGTCACAGAAGATATTACTCAACTCATTCAAAACTGCTACAACTCGTTGCAGTTTATTTTCAAGTTTGTGGTCCAGTCTCAAATTTTATTTGCAAAAGCCACAGGTTATTCATAACACTAGTTTATACTTATATGTAACAGTCCAACAGCTAACTAAATGGAAACTCTTATAATAACTAAATTTTGTTGTGAAATGCAGGCGGTCACCTAGAGGATAGTTTCAGACGTGATGTTCAAGCGCTAATTGACTCATTCTGTCACGTTTGCTCGAAAGGAAGTTCTGATTGTTCTCCAGTGTTTGTTGAAACGCAGTCAATCCTTCTCCACAATTTCCATTCAGTGTATGAAGAATTGTTGTTGGTGATGCCACTGATGGATGTATGTAAGCTGGTGTGCCAGATATTTAGCTCGATTCCAGTCAAAGAGACGGCAGCTCATCCACTTTCCCCGGCCAAACTGTCTGCAATACATCAAGTAATCAAGAGTCCTTTGTTTCGACACTCGTCCTGCCGTGCCCTACTACTCCCCGTGTTCTGCAAGCATATTCGACATCACCTCGCCCACAGGGAAGAACTCAAACTTTGTACCGACGTTCTTTCCGAAATCCTCATTTATTTACACGACATTCGTCACGTTAAAGAGGAAAAGGCTCACGCCGATATTGAAGTTGTTTGCACGACAACTCTTGAAATGCTAGTCCAGTCAGTTCTAGTTCTTGAGAGGACGAGCTCAATTGTAGGAAATCTAGTGACTTGCCTCATCTCACTTTTGGAGCAAATGGATCACTGTCACTACAACCGACTCTGGGACGAGTTTCATGAACGAAAACCCCTTAGAGACTTACTCCTCCGTGTGTTCCTTTTGTTTAGGTGCGGAGGTTCACTGTTTTTTGCGACAATTAGAACTATTGATAATTATTTAAATTATGTTTTTTTGCAGAGATCTAATCAAGCATGAAGTATTTCCTGCCGACTGGGCATTCATGAAGTTATTAACAAATCACGTTATGCTGGCTTCCCTTCAAGAGTTTTGTCAACCTTTAGTCACAGATTTCCTCAAATTCTTTGACGTGCAGTTATGGACGCAATATTTTACTCTTGCCGTCACTTTCATCTCACAACCAGGACTCCAGTTGGAGACGTTTAGAGAGTGGAAGAAGGAGTGGATTCTAGAAAAGTATGGAGATATGCGGCTCTCGATGGGTTATCAAATGTTACAAGTACGTGTTTGATGAACGCACATTACTTTTCATAAATTTTAAAGTATGATTATTTTTTTTTAGTTGTGGACGAATCATTTAGGAGATGTAGAGAAGCGACATTTTATTCCCTCAATGATAGGTACAATTTTACTCCTCACTACAATATTATATTACAATGTTACAATGTATTTGTCTAATCGCAATAACACTTGCACATGTTAATCCTTATGCAGGGCCATTTCTTGAAGTTACGATGATTCCTCAAGCCGAATTGAGACTAGTTACTCTTCAGACATTTTTCTATGACATGATGCAAACCGAATTTAGACTCAACGGGGACATCAAAGAGACAGAGTCGGAATTAATTGACAAGTAAATACTTTTGAATTTATAATTATTACAACAATGTTTAATTGAATGACTCTGTTAGGCTGGATTTGCTTGTAAACTCGGAACAAGAGCGACAGTACGGGGACGAAGAGTATCGGCTGAAATTCCATGAAATTCATATACAACGTCTGGATTCAGAGTCTAAATCTCAAAGAATGGGAAATACTTGGCCTACTATTTGCGCCTCATCGATTGACTCACTATCCAACTTGCAACAACTACTTCTCGACTACAGAGAAATTGCAAAAGATTCAATTGAAGAAAATCGGGACAAGCTCATGCAATGTACCGTCAACTTGCTCAATTTTTATAGGTAACAAATTGTTTCCCTACATGTTTAACGATTTCAGAGCTAAAAATATTAATTAATCATTGTTAATATTTTTCTACACACAGAGAAGAACAAAGATTGGAACAATACTTGCGGTACGTCTATAAACTCCACGATTTGCATCTGAGCGCCGAAAATTACACCGAAGCTGGATTCTCTCTGCTCCTCCATGGTCAACTTCTTCACTGGGATAGGGAAAAAATGCTTCCAGAAACCTGCGAGGCTGGTGGAATGCAATTCCCTCGACAGCGAGAAGCGGATAGGAAGGAGTTTATATATCAACGTGTTCTCAAATATTTTGATCAAGGAAAAGTCTGGGAGAAAGGCATCACGTTGTGCAAAGAGTTGGCGGATCAGTACGAAAAGCGATACGAATATACAAGTCTGAGCAGAATTCTTCAAATGCAAGCCACATTTTATGAAAACATTCTCAATCAACACCGACCTGAACCAGAATACTTTCGAGTTGCCTTCCTCGGCCAAAGCTTCCCCCTCTTTGTTCGAAACAAGGAATTCATTTACAGGGGTCACGAGTATGAGCGACTCGCTGCTTTCATTCAAAGGATTGCAGAGGAATGGCCGAATGCTCAACTTATGCAAAAGAACGCTCCACCAGATCAAAAAATTGTCGATGGAACAGCACAATACTTACAAATATGTAACGTAAAACCTCGATCGGGTGGTGTTCTTGGTAAAACTGAGGGTCATAAAATTCCAGAAAAAATCAGAGCGTTCTACTTGGTAAATGATGTGAGTGGGTTCCAGTATGATCGGAGAATTGAGAAGGAAGGAGCAGGAGTTGTGGACGACAATGAATTCAAATCCATGTGGATTGAGAGAACCACGCTCAGAACAGCGGTACAATTTCCTGCCACATTGAAATGGGCTGAAATTGTGGATAAAACGACTGTTGAGTTGAGCCCGGTAACTAACTTATTTATTTTAAATGAATTTTGTTTTGATTATCTGTATCAAAATTTAAATTTCATGGATTTTTGTTTAGGTGGAGTTTGCTGGAGAGAAGATGGAGGAAGCAAATGTACAATTGCAAACACTAATTAGTCAATACTCTTTGGACGAGGGGAGTGAATTCAAAAACGTGAACCCACTGAGCATGAGGTTACAAGGAATGCTAGATGGTAAGAATGCCACTTTAATTGTAACTAACTTAATATAATAACCTTTTGTACATAATTGCTTTATATAGCCGCAGTAATGGGTGGCATTCCTAAGTATACGGAGGCCTTTTTCAATGAAGACTTTCTCAAAAATGAGGACGACTCTGCTTCCCACTATGTTCTCAAACTTGTCAGTCTTCTGCAAGATCAGGTAAATTGTTGAGATTATATTATTTTGTAGGAAATTCGGACATAGCGTTCTAATTACAAATAAAATGTGTTCTGTTCCCGTAATAATATAGGTCAAATTGCTGGAAGAGGGACTAGAAATTCATGGGCGCCTCGTCCCTCCTGGAGTTCAACCTCTGCACAAGCGACTATTGGAATGCCACGGTCAGATGAAAACTAGTGTAACAGACACTGAACTTATGGTCCATTCCACTCTCGCGTCTCTCAATAATGCCACCCTGAGAAGATCCGATAGTGGAGTTAATATTGTTCGAGAGTCATTTCGTAAGCTGGGAGGAGGCAAAAGTATTATCAATAGCCCACTTCCACCAGTTCCAAAATATTGTCCCAACGCTAAACTGGAGAAAACGTCCATGATGTTGGGCGGCAGTGCGTCTAACTCGAACAGGTCTTCAATCTCCTCTTCGGGTGGATATGGTCAAATCATTTTACGGTAAATTTAATCTTCTAATTAAAACTATGTGATTCAAATGTTGTTGCTAATAATTTTCTAATTCAATGAGTAGGATGGGATCATCCGCTCGTGACCACTTTGATGATGATGATGATGATGATGTGTATAGTCAACCTGCGGAGGCTGGCGGTGTTGGTAGTAGTGATCAAAACGGAGCATTCGCCACCAATGGGCGACCTACAACAACGCCAAACTCAACTGGGTACTCAAAACCGCCGCTAATACCTACTCGTCTCAAGAAGGGGATGAGCCTCGGATCATCGCCAGGAACTGGTGCCAGTGGCAATGTCATTGTGGACACTGAGTACATTGTGATGCCACCTTCTCGTCTCAGGGAAATGGTGGATACTCAGAACAATCATGTAATGCTAACCACTTCGGTCACATCACCGCCCACAATCCCTCCAAAACCATCGTCTGGAGTCAATGGCGCTCGATTGAGCAACGGAGAAAGCACCACCAGCTCCTCACCACCGCCACCCCTCCTGCCCAGGTGAGCTTAGATAATTTAAGTGTGATCTGATTGCTGTTTCAATTCATTACTATGTATAATTTCTAATTATTTGTAGAAAACCTGCCACCGCGACAGTGGCTTCATCACATGCTCCAGTATCCAAAACTTCTTCGACTACCTCAATCAATTCTGGATCTGCCGAGTTCCTGCCCAATAGTAAGCCCGGCTCACCCCCACCACCACCCGTGCCACCCAAACCAAAGTCAAACGCAAATGAAGATAATATGGCCGGGGATGGAACGTACATGAACAAAGATGAGCTGAAGGTGGAGATGGATTTACTCAATCGAAACAAATCTCCTACCCACGCCACCATAGAAAATAATACTCTGAGCAGAAAATCTGGACACAAAGAATACTTTGTCCCACCAGGGGCCAAAGACATTCCGACTACTCCAAATCCTAGAGATAGTTCCGCTTCAAATTAGTCAACTCATAGTTCCAATAGTAAATCTGCTTACATACATGTGAACCTTCTCATACTTACTGTACTAATTTATTACATAGCCGTTAATTATTTAGCCGTCTGGAAAATGCTCACATATGAACCAAAGCAACTTTTTAAGGTCTTACTGTTGGCTCATTTCTGAAACAAGTTCGTCCTTCTCATTATGCACAATAATGAAAGCAAGAATTTTTTACTCCATGTGCATATGTACGTTCTTATCGATAGTCGTAGTGTCTTTAGTTACAGTTTAGTTTATATTTTGTAAAGGAAAAGTTATTCAAAATCGTCATGGCCAAAACTCAGCCTACTTACATCTACTTTTCTCATGCCAATATCTACCTTAGTAATTGTACGTAAGAAGTGAGTGACTTATGCTGGTATCGACTGCATAATGTAATTATGACTGTGTGTGCATTGCCATTTCTAATTTAATGTACAAATGTTGGATCTGTGGTAATTTTTTACTTGGCGTTTGGACTTGTAGTTTGGAAACACAAACTATGCGTAAAAACATTTATTAAGAAGAAGGTTCAATCGTTCAGCATGACGATGTTTTTTCTAGTCTCATCGGAACAATATTTGTAATCGTGTCTGTTATTTGTTTGTGGACTTCTCTACTTGAATAATAAAATAAACCAAAGATGTTTATTATCCGCTGTTTGTCTGCTTATCTTTTTTTGTTAGTTGCATGCAGACGTGGTCAGTCTGCAAGAAAGCAGAGTTGCAAATTATTACTTTGAGCTATACTTTTATTATCAAACATCCATTAAACAGTGTCAACAAAATCTGTTGGTATATAGTAAAACAGTTAAACTAAAAAATCGAAAACAGGTACAAAATGGCAACAATTATTGAGAATTCAGTTCCGTACAAAAATTAAGAATTCGCAAGTTCAAGATCGGAGATTGGAATTAGTCCATTTTCCGACTCGTCAGATTGTCCAAAATGTTGTGGCTTCGTCTTGACTGCTCCCTCTTTGATTTAATGACCAATTTCCAGAAGAGCTCGCCAAATAGGACGGCAAAAGAGCCATACACGACAAAGAACATTTTCACAGAGGCAGGATGTCTAAAACAGGATTCGGACCCTCCAAGATCTGAGGGGATGACATTGCTTATTTATTTGCAATCTGTCAGCTGCGATCAACTAATCTGCGTATGTAGAAGATTAGAACTCACGGAATTTTAGGCCGGAATATGTGTTAACGCCCAGTCCGATAACCATCTGGCCCAACTGCAAGGTTGTGATAATGTTAGCGAACCATCGTGGGATTTTAACGTCCAGCGCCCTCAGGGCAAAGTATGGATACATCAAACTGTGCACCTGAAACAACACCCAAAATTTTCCTTAAAAATTAGTGAATTGACAAACATTTCGAATTGGACCCACTCACCCCATAGTTCATGACACAATAATATCTCGAGATTGGCTCAACATAAGGCAAAGTCAGCCAGCACACAGAGAGCGTTGCTAAATGGTGATACCTGTGCGTCGGGAGAGAAAAATGCATTCATCAATTGGTCATCAGTACAAGGAATTATTATGGAAACGTACCACTGTAGAAGTTGGAGTGGTCGTTTTCTCAACACGATGAAAACGGTGTCGCCTAGAAAATTATTATGCAAATGTAAATTATTTACTATTCATCACGTATCTCAAAACCTCACTTACCAAGCTCGACGAACTTTGACCAGGTGAAGAGTAACCCCCAAAATGCGGTTGGCATATTTCCACCCTGCCAGATGCACACGGATCTGTAAAATCCGTTTGGATGAGATGTGAGCACCCCCAAAAATTCGGGCATCATTCGAATAAAGCCGAGCATGGAAAAAATCCCAAGGGCCGCATTCCACAAAAAGAGTTCACGTTTCAGCTCCAAACCGTGTCTGTTTTTCATGACTGCCTGAATCCCAAAGATAACCGCTATATAAATGACTCCCGCATAGATTGGGACGTCCCAGTGACGATGTGTCCACATCACCCAACGCTTCCAATCTACCCGTTCAAACTCAAAGGGTTCATACTTTGGGGGGTTGTCGAGAGCAAATTCGCTATAATCTATAAACCCATCGGAATTGATCCTCATGACGGGAAGAAAAGGAGACGTCTTGTTCTCAACTTGCGAGGAAAAGTTGAACATGGAATTGTAGGGATCCATCGTCAACTAAAAACTTGCCGTCCGAAATTCCAATATTTTCAGCAAAAACAGAGTCCACAAACCACAGCTGGGTTTGTTATCAATTAACCAAGACGTCGTCCAGCACTGAGTTATCCAAGAATTCTTACCAATGTAGGAGCTTGAACTTGTCAATCTCCTATGCACACTCGAACTCAGACTGACTTTAAAGCGTTTCTATCAAATCTTTTAATACGACGCCGGACTGTATATGAAAATGATCGGACGCTTGATTTTGTGGTAGCCATAAGTAATGTACCTTTAGATTGGGCAGGCCGTGAGATGCGGTATGCACGCATCAACATCTTCTTTCGTCTTTGTTGCACAGATGACTACGTAAGCGAAAGCAGTATTAAGAGATCAAGTGACAGCAATGACGTGTGCGATAGAATCATCTTCTTACTTACCCCATTTTTTGCTATAAATCCCTCGAATTCCGCCTTTGTTCATGACCTCATGAGTGGTTTTGGTGAGATGCTATTTTTATTTGCTGCACAATCGGCTGAATGGTCAAATTCGTATGCAGGACCAATTACCAAAATTCATGCAGAGTAACGACGCAAAGTTTTGTAAAATATCGGCCAAAGGTGATACCATTATATGCGTGAAGAAGCAGAAAGTTTGGGCAAGAGTGACCCACACCAGTTTTCCAAAGAGATCAACAAAATGTTTGGTTTCAAGTCTATACTTGAAACTAGTTGAAATCGGGCCCTAGTTTTTCTCAGTATGAACATTAATTATATTTGGTTAGTTATATACTTGAGTTTGGAAGCTGGAGGCGATGGCAAAAATAATCAATTCGACCCCATGCATAAAAAATGTTCAGTTCTGAGAACTTCATTTGTTTCATTATTGACTTTTCGTGCAATTAGCTTTCTTTGAAGTAGCTGTGAATAAATAATTAAGCATTAGTACGAATATGCATGCGAATAATTGTAAGTATAATCTTTGTGCTTTATGAGCGTCTCCGTATTTTGGTTTGTTTGAGGAGGTGAAAATTTTGTTTGCTTCCACACTCTCGGCTGTCGGTGTCATCATCAGTCTCTCCCCATCCCCACGCTAAAGCATTGTAGCCTCTTAATTCTGCGTGTCCAAAAGTTGGATAACATGCACGACCTGCGGCACATGTACATTTTAGCGAATCGTTATGTACTTGGCTAACCAGCAGAATTTCTACAACGCAAGTTACCATTGAATTTGGTGTTGATATGAAATTTCCACATTGTTTAATTCATTAATGTTTCATGAGAATTGGTTAAGTTTGTGATTCCAGGGACGTTACGTGATCTCGCCGTAACACGTCGTGTGCAAACAATGGTCGTGTTGTGATGCTAAATATAATGGATCTACGTAAATATGTACATACATATGTGTGTAGTAGTAGGTTATGTATGTATTGGGATAAGAAATTGGTTGTACGTACCCCCACAACACAGATTATACTTATTGTTAGATGCTTTCTTGCAAGATGGCTAGAATTGTTTTGACAATTCTAATTATTATCGTGGTATGGAAATCCCCTCGCCCAAAATGACCCACGCAATGTGACCACGGTTGGCTTAATAAGTTGGTAATTGGGATGGTCAAAGCCGAGTACGTCGGAGTGAATACCCACCTTCTGTCTGTAGCTACTTAGTTGCTGTGCTGTTGTCGTCAATTGGATTCTTCTATAATTTATTATGCTAAAATCACGAGATTTAAAACGGACAAAATCTACACGTACGCACATTCACAAAGATCAACACTAAATTTCGCATCATAGTTAATTAGATTACTAAAGGAAGGCAAACTAACCGACCAGTGGCATTAGTACTTGTTCTTTATGAGCCTCTTAATCGGCATTATGCACTTGACAACAAAATCCGAATTGTGCATGCACACTTTATTCATTTACATAAAAACCTCAATGAAAGTTTCGTTGAGTGAGGTGACGTACATATTTACATAAAAGTCGCTGTGTGTAGTCTGCGACTAAATAAGAAGATTTTTAAGAAACTTAAGTCGACAGATTTGTGTGGCATTGTTAGCACCGTTAGCACCATACGTACCATAAAAGACTACTTGGATTTAATAAGTAGTATTAGATTGTCATGTTGGCTGGGAATTTCCGTACGCGTCTTCTTTCTCAGAATGGGTTGAGACTCGCAAAAGTCTCAACTAACGACCAGACCAAAAAACTAGACTCAGAAATGAGATGAACCAAAATTGCATTCGATTGTTTCCAACCTTGTTTCCTTTGGGTTGTCCTTGCATTCTGAGCACGCAAAAGCAAACTTATGCATCCCATGCAATTTAACTTCTACGATCATCGCCTGCTCATCAGGATAATGTGGCTTTTAAAACTGATGGAGTTCGAATCTGGACAGAACTGGATTGTCCCAATTTTGCTACCTAATTTTCTCAGAAATGGTATAAGATGACAGATTTGGGTTCAACGCATCTAACGACTTGTAAGTTGTATACTTTACTTTCACTATTACATATTTATCTAGAATACAGATATGAAAAGCACTCGTGTCGGCAGTGAACCCAACTCACAACGCAAAAACATTGCCAAAATTTATCAAGAGCAGTTATACGACTCTGTATTTATCTACTTGATTAAATCATATAGAAACAATCTTCTTCCACGCTTATCCTTAGTGTACCACTTATCTGAACCGTTTCTGTTTTTATGCATCCGCTTTTCTAGTCGTCATCAATCACTCGTACAAGGTTGTGAATTTGTGCTGGTAACAAATTCATCAGATTTCGAGTGGGACTCAAAATGTGGGTGCATATATATTTATTATCTCAAATACATATTTATGTATACTTTTTCCTCTACTAAATCCGCCGACACACTCACACGCTGGGCCAAATTAGGATAATCTGACACTCAATCAATTATAATATTTCTACATTTATCCCAATGGTTATCTAATCGAGGGAATAATTCATATCTGGTAGTTTTGGCCTTGGAAGTGCAGCACGTTTCTGATCTGATTGATGAGATCTGTCCCAATAATAAACGCTGACGACCCCAGCATTATCTGCAATGATGAAATTGGGGATTTTTTAATGGATTTTTTTTTCTCACAAATAATGTGACAGATAAACGAGAGATTTTGGGTTAAATACAAGTATGAACATTTTACTGTTAATTCATCACAGATCTAACTGAAATAGGTGTTGTACAATGTAATTTGAAACGCCTTTTATTTACATGTATATGTATTCATTATGTAGTGATATAAATTTTCTCTTCCAGCGACACCTGTCTCTAAGAGTTGAAAGAAGTTTATTCTGACCGATCTGAAATCTGACGGTCACCGTTTTTATTTATTTTGCGTTACAAATATGTGAATACGTTTTAACGAATTATTTACATAAAGAATAATTAATGGGTCTCAAAAACATGTTAGTAAATGCTATCATCAGCTCTATATTTCCGTCGTTGCAGGTCGACGACAAATGCCTTCATATTTGTGACCATTGAATGGAATGCACTCCAAGCCGGTGAAGCACCTAAAGAAGTACTCGTCCAGCCAGGGGTAGAGCTGCTTGTCCTCCAGGGCGCACCCTCTCCCCTCCAACATTGCACACGCCAGCTGCGCAGGATCCCACGCCTGATCTGGAGAAAGGTAACATTGGCAACGTCTTTGGTAGCAGTGCAACCCTCCCACGTAGTCACAGGGCGGGTGAATATCTTCGTCATTTGAGTCCTTACAATCCTGCAAATATCCTGGAAATCATGACAAGCCAATTAATTGCTGAAATTCTATCTGATGCACTATGCACTTTATGACAGCCTGACCAGCGGCGGTAGGACATTCAAGGCTAATTGCCGACACTTATCCGATAATAATATTAATGATGAGGATGGTGACCCACCTCGCACACACTGCCTCTCGAGATGCTCAATATGGAAGCCTGACAGACACTGACAGCTGTACCCCGTGGGGGATTGAAGATCTGCACGACACTCGTTTTCCTCTGGGTCACAGGTGACAGAATTCGGGCCAGGGTTCAAAGAGCAGGCGGCTCCAACTTTGATGAAGCAGCGATTCCTTCCCTCCTTAAACACGTGATTGATCGGATTGGGACAGCGACACCGGTCAAATGCGCAGACGAGGAGATCTTCCGAGTTGCATTCGATCGTGGCGTTGCAAACCGCGCCGTGACTGGCGGCGCAATGTCGCTCTTGAGTCGGCGATTTCTGATATTGGCAGACTGTTGGATATTATAAAGCCCTCATTATTAGCATCCTCCGTACTTTATTCTACGTGTAATTGTTATGTATTACTTACCACACTGTTTCGAGCTGTACTGACAGTTTGCAGACGTTACACAGGCATAATTAACTCCCGATGACTTGTAGCAACTTCCTCCCGCCAGGACTACGCATCTTTGGCGATCCTGAATGGTTGGAATGGAAAACATTAGTTCATCGCATGCAACAGAGCGACAATAAACTGTAAGCTCAGCGTCATGTGCCCACCAGATCGAATTCCATGTCGTCCGTGTTGATACATTCGCAGAAGCCTCCACGACAAGCAATATCTTGGCTGGGGTTACAAGAGGTCGCTGGCAAGGACTGGTCACAGGCTTCCCCATGGCTCACATACCCCTCCGCAAAGGATCCCACTCCCAGAACGACAACGGCAAACAAGAGACCTCGCATCGTAACTAAATATATGAGAGTAAAACACTTAATTGTTGGGCTCCTCCAAATTGCATGTCCCTTTTATAGGGAAGGATACGTATTTTTATCTTGCGCATTGTGTGTAATCCATTAACGGATTTTCCAGCGTAATCTGCATAAAAACAGTCCTGGATTAGTTACAGCCAAATATTAAGAAATTGTATGGCAATTGTTCCAAATAATCCGTGTCCTGCCCACCTTGATTAAGTTGTACTTTTTTGCTGATTACTAATTTAATCATCATAAATTATTCTGTACAGAGAGAGTGCTAAGCTCGTGTTGTTGATGTGTCACTCGTGTCGGGTGCAAAGAGATTGAAATCGTGATGGCTTAATCCATGCATCAATCAAATCGACAAATCCATACCAAAACTGTACCTCACAAGCAAACGCAAAAATACGTTAGATCATCAGCTACTAGTAGTCATCAGAGATAAGTGTAAATTTATATCTTCACTTTCTCTCAAACCAAAGGTTTTATCAGGCGATCTCTGTTCCACATTTATTCACTCAGAGAAGAAAGCTGCGGTCAACATGGATTACAACACGGTTTTGCACTCTACACAAAAATACTTGCTCATATCGTTTCCATAATTGAACGTGTGCCAAACGCTCCCACGCCGTGTCATTGTCATGAGAAGATGAGGAAGAATCAAATTAAACGGGCTCTACCCACGCACGGCTATCTTGCAAAAACTTTGAGACATTCATGGAAGTCACTTTGACGAATGCGACGTGGAAGAGAAATGGTCAAAATATATGCAAAAAGTCTGTTGCATATGTGTTTTGGGCATTTCTCTGCTTTCACTCATAATGGTAATAAAATAATAATACGTCGAGTGTGGTGATTAGCTGTGGGAATGTTGTATAAGAAGTAAATGATATATGCAATCAGTAGATCCAACGACGTATTATTAAAAGTTGGCCAAACCCCAAAGCTTTTTACCTACATGTATAAGTAGGTTGACTTCTTAATGATGAGAAATTGGCGTGGTCAGGTCATGTAATGAGCGGGTCGAAACAGTAAGTCCACTTCTCAAGGTTAATTTACCAGTCAAAATGAGAGCCACGGAGTCCTTGGTCTTGCTTGTTCGCAGCAGCAGCTTCGGGAGAAAGGTCAATTGGGCAGGTAGCCACGAATTTGCATGCAAATTAGGTGCGATCAATCAATTTCCTCCGAGAGTGCAAAGTATTCGTGTCAAAAGCCTCATAAAACAGTTCCTCCATTGTTCGTCTTCGAATTGATTCTCCCAAGTTTTCGCAACAATTCATTCATTGCTCACTTTTGCGTACGGCAGGCACAAAATGTAAAACGTAATAAAAACGCATAATAAAGAAGGAGTCGTATTCCTTGGGCTTTCTCCGTCTCGAATAATAACTCAATAACTCTGCCCCTCTTAATATTAGCTCGCCCTTTCCACGTATCGACATTTTCTTGGATTCCCCATAAGTAAAAGGAGTGATTGATTATGAAAATTTTGGGTCAGCCAACCAGCCAACCGGGTAAACATATGAAACAAAGTGGAGGATTTAAGTGAGCCATGCATGCGAGTGAGTGAACACACAAAGCTTTCAACTCGGTGAATAATTCATGTCCACTTTACGTCAGTTTTTTAAATCGTTGCCCTTCAGTCGGGATAAATTTGGAGAGAGGACGGGCGTATCATTTTTCATCGCGAAGGGAAATGAGTAGCTTACTGGCAGAGATGAGATGAGATGACGTCTTTATTAAGCAGCCACATTTTAGGTTGGGCTGAAGGGTATTTTTGCACGCAATACCCAGTAAAAGTGACTCTTGCCCAATGAGAAAGCAAATTACTGGATATTGGACTACTTTTTGAGACGACTTTGCCATAAAAGTTGCCGGAAATCCCGTCACTGTCAACAATAAATATGAAAGTGTGCTAGTGCACCCATAACAAGATCGGGGGCGATGTACATATTCCACATACACGAATGTACATACAAAGAGTCACCGCACTTTCTCCCAGAGGGAAAGGCCTGCTGGACAGGACACACGAACATGCAACCGTTGACTGTCCTCCTCTTACACTTACGAAGTCAGGAGTTCTAATATGTATGTAACGAACCAGAAAATTCTTAGAAATTGGATTCACGTAACGTAATAAAACAACGCGGTGGACTGGTGCACACAAGAAGAAAGCACGGTATGCAAGCAAGGCGACGAACCGTTTTTGCGAACTGATTGAGAAAGCATGCATTGGACGAGTGAATCGTGGCCATCCATGAATTCCACGAGCTTACTTTCAATAATAAATTTCGCTTTCACACTCGAACATGACACCGAGCGGTAGGCAATTATGCTAATTACATGCTTAGCTTGGTCTACACACATCTAAAGTTAAGTGCTGGTTTTAATTATGACAAATGTTATGGTTCAGAGCGGGCTAGTACGTGACGAAGGTTGGTCAGTGAACGCCCCCCGAGAACGCAGCTCATGTGGCCCATGAGAGAGAAAGCTGCTGCGAGAACTTTCTCCGCTCACTTTTCCACTGGACCCACACCAGGAAAGAGTTTGGCTCAACAGTTCCTCTCTTTTTGTGTTTATTTACTTGCTCATCTACCACGAACCACTTTCTTCCTTCGCCCACCTGCCTACCAATCTCCGTCATTTTTCCAGGCCCTCGTTCTGTTCCTCTCGTTCAACTTTGGAATTTTAGTGCGTCATTGGCAAAACCCATTAAATTGTCCATGCTGCCCTTAGCTAGGAAAGCTCTCACTCTTGTATTTCTCATCTCCTCCTCGAACCGCGGAGGGGGAGGAGGTCAGCATGGAGCATCACCATCTTTCCTGGTGGAGGCTCTGCCCCTCGACAACAAACCTCCCAGTAATAGCGACACTGGTACGAAGCACACATGCCTACCCTTCATATGCGTACCCTTTCTTATAACTAGTGATTTTGGTCCACAGGTGAAGTGACTCCACAACGCAATACGAGTATTCGTTCTTGGTGCCCTTCGCCTCGTCCAAGGTTATCCAAATGTCTTTCAGTCCAGGGTCAGAAATGCCCAGAGTCAACAATCCTCGGAGTTCTTGGGGTCAACGCGAGCATGAGCACGGACAAAGGTCCTCCAGCGTTATTTTCCTCTGGGGCTGATTGCGTCATGTATTTTCAGGTAATTGGATAATGCCATTATGATTTCCAAAACAATTTGCTCGAGTCTCATGGTCGAACCTTGTTCTCTGCAGAATACGGACTCTGTTGTCAGTAATGAAACCAAAATATTTTCCTCTGCGTATTTGCCAATCAACACAACGTCGATTCAGCTCGTTTTCCGAGTTCGAGTAAACGGTAAGGTTACAACATGTTCGTAGGTATATGTAGCTTTTGTTTTTACTTTTGGTCACTGTCTCATTTTCCCCCAGATTCGACGTGTATTCTAAACGTTCAACAGTACAACTACACCGACCAAGACTGCGAGAAAGTGGAAATGAACGTCTCATCTTTCCCCTTCTGCACACAAATCAGCTACAACTGTGCTGGGGAGGAAGAGCGTCGTCTCCTCGCGGAGCTGGAGTCGAGGGGGGTACTGCTGAGGACGTCTGAGCTGCAAAAGCCACCACTCCCACTTGTTGCCCACTCAAAGAGCACCGAATTGCGGAGGGTGGAGCGGGCCGAAGTGATTCGGAGGGTAAAGAAACCCATTTCGTGGAACTGGCGAGACCATATACTGGAAATCTCACTCGTCTCCATTGTGGCCGCCGTCCTCATTCTCATCGGACTCAAAAGATGCTTGGCAGGGACGAGGCGTCTGATGAATTTGAGTTCGTAAGTTGATTCATCTTATATACGTTCTGCACATTGCAAAGTTTTTGACTCGACTGCTCAACAATTTTTTTTTCTATTGCAGGCATTCTCGTGTGGTTCGATTTGACTTGGATGAATTGGACGAGAAACGCCGTCGTTTTTCGAGCTGCGTCATGTCCAGCCCCCCGAGGCAGATCGACTACACCAAGAATCCGTCCAAACCAATTTTGAAAAACAGACCAAAATTATCTCACCCTCCACTGAATCGTGTTTTGGGCCAAACTCATTCTTCAGCAATCAAGAGCTTTGACAGTAGCAGCAGCATTTACTATGACGCCATCGAGGGTCCCAGCAGTGCAGCCGTCGTGGCCCCACCCGAAGAAAGCTCGTCGCATTCTCAACCACTTATCTCAGAGTTCTAGGCATCATAACCATAAGCTAGCCATACATACATACATACGTTTGCTTAGATTTCTATACAATATTAATGCTAATGAGCCATGCATTGCTAGGATAAGTTGGCGATGCTTTGTAATACCGTGCGCTTTCCGAGTCTCATGTGTGATAAATAATGAACAGTAATAAACTGCGCTATTCTTCTACAAATGCAAATGAGTTGGCTCCATTTCAAAATTATTAGTTGGCCTGGCATGTTGTTATTATGAAAATACGCCGTAATGAGGTTCATTGTGTCATGAAAATGCCCCTGCAATTTGTCGTGCTTGTTGGTACTCGGTGAAGCGAGGAGGATAACCGTTACCACCGGATGTACGTAGAAATGATCTCCTGACTGTATTACATAGTTCCACAGAAATTTAGCCCAAAATCACCCAAAAGCACGCGAAGAAGATGAGGATGCTATATAGGACATAGTTTAGCTATTAATAACCCAATATTCGGGCCTGTTCGGTGGGAGTGAATCTGTGTGTGATTTGGGGAAAGTAGGAAAAGCCATCAGTGCGACTATTCCGTCAAACCCTCAGATTTTCATCCAGGAGACGCCACAGCCACTCACTCACCCACCAAGCCACCAACCACACCGACTCCGATGAGGATGATGCTGAGACTCGGGAGAAAGTTGTGCTCCCCTCATCGTCGTCCTTCCAGAGACACCACTTTCTCTCTCCGTTTCTCTCTCCACGACGGAATTGGGGGAGACGACGGCGGATGGGTGAGAGAAAGTCAGTCTCCCAAAGCAACATGATACAGCAGCTTATGTGAAGGTGCATGAGAACCTGTTGCCCAAACGCAATTTGCCAACTCAATCTCTCTCCATTGGCTGGGATTGGTTCCTGCACGCCTAACCTGATTTCGTCCTCTCGCCCGACAACAAGTAGCTCATTCCTACGCAGAATAATAGATAATTCGATACATAGAAATTCGTTCGCCATGATCCTTTGAGACCCTGACGACGGAAAAGTAAGTGCACAACAAGAAGAAGAACAAGAACAAATATGAATATTTCTTTTGCTCGCTTGTGGCTCTTGGCTGTGGGGGCGTTTGAGGTGACCTTGGCCATAAATAGATGCTCACGTAAGTAAAATCCCATTATTTCAATAAATTGAACAATAGGCGTGCTGAGTACTTTGAATATTTCGTGGCGTTAGACTCGATGAATTACCGAGATCTTTGTCCAAACCCGATGATGGTGTCGAGCGGACGTTCGATTACCTCCCATGACGATGGGGACAAGGACGATATGGAAATACGCCTCACTCGGCGGTACAACGGCACCTGTGAATTCTTCAGGAATGACGACGAGGTGACCAGCGTGGGCGGAATTCATGTCATGGACTACGCATGGCCATTCAGCACAGCAGCAACCTGTGACCATGTTGTGAAGGTGAATATTCCTGTCAGCACCAACGGTTGTTTATTGGGGGATGAGAGGATATGGCTAAAACAGGTGTGTGTTTATCCAGCTCGTCCTTGACCGGGACACTATCTATGGGATGGAGAAGGAGAGCGTGTGCGACAAGGAGCTGGGGATAAAAGTCCTTGAGGGTGTCACCATGTGGCACAACTTCACCCTCAAATCGACCCGCTTTTCCTTTGAGGACATCATCTCAAACTATGGCGACTCCCCATTCGATCTGCTCTGTACCCACATCCCAAAGTTCGTCCTCCTGCTCTTTGAGACTTACCGAGGTGAGTGAAGACAGCACGATAACAAATTATTTAATTGTGCAAAGTACTGATTAACTCATTTATCGCCTGCTGTCCCAGATTCGAAATGTTCACTCGTGGTCCAGCAATACCGAGTGAATGATCGGCGCAGCAACAACTGTGAATACCTGAAAACTCCGCTCCACTACTTCCGCTTCTGTGGCGTCTATCCCTGCTCGCGATTCAGCAGTATCTTACACGAGCTTAAACTGATCGCAAGGCGAATCCCGAACGCCAACCTGATGGAACAGTCGCCAACTGCGGAGTCACAGGAGCAGAATAATCATTTGAGGGTCGAGCCCTACCTCCAGCCAGACGGCATGTACAACCAAAAGCTGTCAAATCTCGAGGGGAGCAACATTGCCACACCCACCACGACCACCACTACGACCACCACTGAAGACCCAGCCAGCATGTCGGATGGCACACTCGGAGATCCGAAACCAATTGATTATGCAGAGTGGGCGGTCCGCTTGTTCTTCCCACTCATGGGAGTGGCGTTCATCTTCCTCCTCCTCAGCATTCTCAAGGGACGATATGCCAAGTAATGCCCACTTTTCTAATTAGTCAAGTTTAATAACTTTGAGCTGTTTTCATATTTTGAGAATCTGGATAATGTGAAAATGTGTTTTTTTTTAATTTTTGCAGTGAGCTTTGTGCAAAGCAGGGTAATCCCCCAGCCCACTATCTCGGATCAATCATTTCATTGGACAAGCACGGACTAAAAATGTAGGTTATGCTTACCCGAAAAGGGCAGAAATGGTTGCAGGGTATTTATAATTCATCATCAACTTTGAACAAATTAAAATATTGCAAATCATATTATTCAAATCATACATATATTATTATCCAGAGAAAGGAGAAAGAAAACGTAGTCAAACTTTGTAGTTGTTCTTGTTAAGAAATCATGACCTGATATGAAACTGGTGTACAGATTGACACGCTTAAAATTCGATACATGTACTTAATAATTATACAAATGCAAATAAAAACAATTTCTAAACGTAAAACACGTCGTAACTGTTAAATTCTCCTGCTGATCTTATGGAAGAAGTCAATGTGGGGGGGAGGGGGCGAGGTGTCGTTGCGCCCACCTCACCACCCACTGGAAATAGCAAATAGTGACAAAGTCCACAATCAAGCAGTGCTTCAAAATGTGGCAGAAGTTGTAGAATCCAAAGTGGTCATTTTTGAAATGAAAGTCCCGAGCATGGGGCGGGGAAACATCGTTGTGACTGAGAGTAACCAGCGTATCCACCGTAATCGACGCCAAACTAACGACGGCCAAGATTGAGAGTACCACCCAGGCCCACGACATAACGTATGGCAGCAGCTTCTAGAATTGAATTCATGGGTTTTCATACTTAGGAGGGGAGGTTGCGTACTATCAGCTCACGGATCTCGACATACGACAAAATATATCTTGGAATAGACTGTTTCTTTCGCGAGGATGCTTTTTGGACGTGGGAAAACAACTTTTGAACACTCATCCATGCCCACTCTCGTTCTGTTTTTCTCTCCTCTTGTTTACTCAAGTCGAATAATTATACTGGAGAATTAATTATAAATTATAACAAATGTTCCAAATAATTAATAAACTTCAACCTTCCTTCTTTAATTTATTATTTTGAACTGGTTCTTATTCTCTTCTGTAGTGATTGGGGAGTGAATTTTGTAAATTATTTTTGGTAAAATTGCATTATTACGGCCTAGCTCGGATTTATTTCAGTGGACTAGCTTGGATTTGGCTGATAATTCTCAGTTTCCCACACGATAGGAATATTTTGTAGTAAAATCAGATTTTCGGGGTAAGATGAGATTTCTAGTTTCCAGCACTCCTAGCTAGCTCTCCTAGGTACCACTACTAGCTAGCTCTCCCAGATAGCTCTCCTAGGTAGCACTACTAGCTAGCTCTCCTTTTTCAAAAGCCATTTTCATGAAAATCTAAGAGAAAAATTATTTTTATACAAAATTTCAAAAATTTTTAGAAATTTTATTTTTTGAAACCGCCGCGAAAAAAGGTATTTTTATGCATATGGGACCTTAGGGTATTCACACAAAAAATTTCAGTCAAATCCGAGCTAGGCCGCTGTACTGCAATTTTACCATAATTTCTATACCAAATTTCAAAAATTGACAACGTGTTTGTTTTTCGAGACCGCCGTGAAAAAATTGAAAACTTATTTCCGCTATTTTGATTAAATTATAACCCATAAAATGAATGATTTTCGTTCAGATCATTTGTTGTATTGTAATATGATGCACACTTTTCTGTGTGGACGTGCTCTGGTGCTAAGTGTGGAAAGGCCCGTGCACCGCACCAAGTTGAGGCAAGTTGAGCTATCTATCTAACAGAGCTACATTTCTTATCGTGTGGGATCTCGATGCCCTATGGATATGTTGTAGTGTCCAACGAATGAACAAGAACCCTGAAGTGGTTTGACTCCATGGCCACATTTGCGCCCGCCACATCCACTCAAAGGTGCCCAAAAAACGCTTTCACTCCAGCTTTCACTCACTCAAATCCACGCCAAAAATCCAATTTTGCTCGGATTTTGAAATTTCTTTCACCATTATACTCCCAGATAGTTGTTTTATTATATCCAACTTCAAACTCAACTTGTTATATGATTACTTCGCAGGCATAATTTGTGTTGTTGATCACTGCAACAATGCTCATTTAGAATTTTAAATTTTAAGAATACAAAAAATCCAAGAGTTGAGTTTGATGCTGGATATAAGAGAGCAGCTATTTGGGAGTATAATGGTGAAAGAAATTTCAAAATCCGAGCAAAATTGGATTTTTGGCGTGGATTTGAGTGAGTGAAAGCTGGAGTGAAAGCTTTTTTTGGGCACCTTTGAGTGGATGTGGCGGGCGAAAATGTAGCCATAGGGTCAAACCACTTCAGGGTTCTTGTTCATTCGTTGGACACTACAACATATCCATAGGGCATCGAGATCCGTGAGCTGATAGTACGCAACCTCCCCTCCTTAGTACAAATTCTGGATAGTTTTCATACGTGTGCATACGAGTTTCATACGAGTTTGGCTCCACAAATTTGTAAAGTGTTACCTTGTAAACGTAGTGGAGGAGGCAGAGGGAGGTGAGGGCTCGTCCCAAGCCCCCCAGAATGGCGATGACGCACATAGACAAGAGATAAAATTTGAGGTTGTCCAGCGGCGTGAAGACGAAGGAGGACTCATTCTCGAACACGAGACTCTTCTTGGTTGAGGGGTCGACAATGTTGAGTTTCTCAAAGAAGAGTTGGTCATCGTAGTCGAGAGAGGTGTTGAGAATGATGATGGTCGTGAGCCACACGCCGATTCCCAGCCAGGCAAGACCGATAAACTGGAGACCGACAAAATACCGACACCTCAAACATCATTATTGTTAAATATGGCCTCCCGTCGTTATTGGCCGCGTCTGAATGAATTAGACTTACAAATGAGAGGATGGAGATGATGCAAAGCATGGAAAGTGGGTGATGCCTACAAATGCACAAAGTAGACAACCCTTCCCAAACTCCACTCATGATGATGATGACGGTTCCTCAGTTTGTCTATGCACTACATTTCACGACCACTTTCTCCACTCCACTAAGCCCACAAACCGACGAGGACAAGCCACCTCATAGGCAGAGAGGACAGTGTGTGAGTGAGTTATCTTGGCAATCTGAAAAATGAATACGACGACGACGACTGATGATGATATATTGGTTGCTCTGCTGCTGCCGAGCCACCTTTCACCTTTGCATCATGTGTATTAGGAGATGGAGGAATGAAATATAAGTCGAGTTGACCCTCTTTGTGTCTCCTCTTGAGAAGTTTCAGCAGCGTTGAGACCTGCAGGATTTCCACCACCACGACGATGAGAAGTAGCAGTGGAAGTGTTTGCAGAGAGAGAGAAAGAGAAAGCGAGTCTCTCTTGAGCCTCAATCTGTCGTCCTCTCCACCACCACCACTGCCTGCTCATTCTTCTTCCTCCTTTCTCCTGAATCCCCCCGGATGTATATATTCTCTAGTACTCTCTTCTCCTCCTCCTCTATTATTCACAACAACGCGTTCACCATCATCCTAGCTCCAACTCTCCGTGTCCCTGTGGTCTCCCTGGTCATGACCAAACCTGATGTGATAACTCTCCTTCCGGCCTTTGCTCCCTTTTCCACCCAGCACCACCGTTGTTGTTTACACAACCAAAGGCTGGGTTGGCTCAATTATAAACAAACCTGCTTTCTTTGATCTCCTTCACCACGACCACGATGGACCCTGGTCCAGCAGCCCACACAAAGCATACTATCCAGCATAGCATAATAGTTGCGGTTTCAGGAAGTATTACGAAATCTTCTTGTACCGCAGACTTCTGACATCATTGCACAAAGTTGCAAATGTTTCAATCTCTCTACTTTCGCTGAATGGCCAAAACTCAAAGTGAGACTCGAAAGAGTTCTCTGTCTGTGGTTGCTCTTTTCGGTCTCTTGATGGAAATGTACAGCATCACTTGACGCTCTTGGTGCTGGTTGTTTGAGAAGACACGTTTTCATAGTTTTCATGAAAACTTTTCCACTTGGCTTGCACTTTGAAACCTCACCAACCAACAGTTGTGCAGCTGAAGGTATGGCCCATTTGATCCCTCTTTATCACTGCTAATGCGGTGTCCACCTCCCTCGAGAAGTTCTAGCTACACGGAGAAAGCTCCATACTTTGCACACCAACTTTCTCCCTGGGAATAATGCATGTGAAGTTAGTGCGTCTTGGTGGAAGAAATCATGAGGACGAGGATGCTGATGATGCTACTGACTGACTGGTGCTGGCAACCCAAAAATAAGTCAAGTGACGGAGGCTGCCGTTATATAATGCACAAAGGAATACAGTGGTCGCCTAATAAGACGGGTATTTCGCATCCAATTCAACGTGTTGTAACACGCCAGCTTCCAAGTCATATTCTCCGAGAGAGGAATGAAATCTGCTGCTGACCACTAAACTCATATCTCCCCTGCGGCCACGCTCTGCTGCTCCGTTGCCACTTTCTCCTCATTCTTTCGCCTTTCTACTCCAGTCTACACAGTCATAAAATTGGGCAAAGTAAACATTTCAAGTTGTTCACCCACCCTCCGCCTCCGCTCAAACATGTATATCATAATCATCTCATGACACCGTGTCCATTTACATCCCAGCTTAATTTGATTAGCGAGTTTTATTACGTATGGTGTTCGAATCTCCCGTTGCTTCATAATTATGAATAATTAACAAACACAGCTAGATTATTAGTTCGCATAGTAAATATCACTAGTAACGAAGCATAACGAGGGGAAGATTGAGTTATCCCTTCCACACGTAGATGCCCATTCCTCCCAGAATCAGACCTATGCCCACACCGAGGACCACCCATCGCCACGTTTCGATCGCTTTTTTGGGATTCAATAGCTCGTCCTTGAGATCCTCTGCGTTGTCGTCGGTAAATTCCATGCTCTAGGAACAGACGGGAAAATGTTTACTTTGGAGATGATATCCACCAGAATGCAAATGTTTATCTTTCACTTGAATACATATTCATATACCTCGTCGATCCAAAGTATGGGGAAAATCATGTTTTCAATATTTCTGAATGCATTGATCGACGTGTTTGGAAATTGTTTAAAATTAAAATTCAACTGAATTCGTTTATTCGCTTTTAACAGAGCTCCAGAATTCTGAAATATAAAAGTTTCAATTAGTATTTGATTAGCAGAGTATTTAAGTGAATATGCATCACTTTTTGCTATGGGCTTACCGGTTCTATGACTAGCGCAGTTTCATGCAAATCTCTCGCTGGCCTTAGTCCAGTTTTGGCGGAGTACTTTTCATCCCCATCAAGAAAGAACGGCGTGGACATTACGAAGGGAGAACCTATAATGTAACACATAGAACTAAACTCATGTAGTTTCCTGCATTTTCTGAATATTAATTGGTGAGCCAACCTTTGCAGGCGGAAACGTCTATCGTTCCCGCGCCCAGACACGCATTTAAAGCCTGGTCCTGTGGGGAGCAGTAGCACATGTTGTCCTTGTTGGTTCTGGGGTCTTCTAAAGCCTCTTTAGGCACCGTGAACCTGTAGCCTTTGATCCCCTTCACCTCTTCTTCCTTGTCATATCGGAGGTAAAGCGAGCGGCAAATGTCACTACTGTAAATCTCGACAGTTCTTCCCTTGGTCACGAAAGGGGGGAAGATAGAGCCGTCAGTCCCCTTCACCGCGTCGCACTCGGACAGCGGGTTCCAGAAACCGAGGTCCGTAGAGCCATTGACAGTCACGATCGTTCCAAACACGCTGCTGTCCCCGACACCAGTGTGAATTTTGTAGGCTATATTGTCGCTCGTCCCGTTCGTCTATTTGGTGAATTATGCAATTATCAATGTCAGTGGGCTGCGACGTAGGTCCTCGTAGACGTAGGTTCAACTTACCCCGAGATATAGGCCAAAAATTATTTGATCGGCTGGGGGAATGGTTTGGTTAGGTCTTATGGCTTCTATCAGGTACGTAGCATTTAAGCCATCAAACATGAGTTGACCTACGGTTATGGGTCGCGTGAGTTTCTCGTTTGGCAGAATGTTGTTGGCGATGTGGTCGACAAAGCCAGGAATTCCGATGGTCTCTCTGTACATTGCGCCTATGAATCCCTGTCATGACATACACATTGGCAAAACATGATCATCCTGCATAGTATACAAAGAGTGGCGTAGAAATTAGAAAATGGGGACGTACGTAGAAGGGAAGGTTGAGAATATTGATTTCGTCCGTCTCTCGCAGATTACTTCCAGAAACTTCTGGGTCGAAAAAGTAGTACGTCTTTTGCTCGTAGGTGACCAACCTTTCTCCGTCGGCCTGACTCAGGTTGATCTTTCTCCTCCTTTGTCTGCACAAATCAAGGAAATTAGCGTGTCAAATGGATGGAAATATGTACATGTGGCTGATTATTTATTCTCCTCTCACCTGAACGCGTAAGGTCCCACTTGCGCGTACGTGGGAGCCCCATCAGTATTTATTGTGTTGGGATTGGTCACATTTAAAATGTAGACATTCATGTAAAGTGGCCTGTCAATGTCGGACCAACTATCCCACGTGCTTGAAAGCGGTCTCAACGCAATTTCCTTCAAGGGAAAAAAATATTATATTTAGACGAAAATGATCTCAAAATCCTCATCTAAACTAAACCACGTTGAATTCAGTACATCTTCAATCCTGCTCTTGATCACGTCGGGCAGCACACGGAAGCCAAGCACGGACGCGACGATGACCACAAGTGCGCCCAACGCAGAGACAAGTATGGCGATTTTCAACCCGTTGTTCATTTTGAGACGATTGGTCCTAGTGTTCACTTTGCCCCAATGATCAAGCTCTCGCACACTCTTGGTGATACGACGACCAGCGATGAGTGCATAAATCCTGGAGGATTTTGGAGGATTGGCATCCTTCCCTAGTTATCTTTGAAAGTGTCGCAGACAAGATAAACAGAGTAGCATAATTTATATGCTTAATCGTTTCTGGATTAACGTTCGGCATAGCTTTCATCATTTACACAGAGTCCACATACGTTGGACTGTGGGGGGATAGTACAAAGTTACAACAGTTGAGACAGAGTTACACCGGAGTGAGAGGCAAGCAAGACACTTATCAGCAGAGGCGCAATAAAACTATAAATCATGAAGCATTGTTTTGGCAGATTTTATTTTTAAGTCCTCCAAAAGAATTTAGATATCGCATGCCAATGAAATTATGGTGATGATGAAAATAATGGTCAAAAAGGTGTGGTCATATGTGCATAATATCGATACTATTTATTGTTTAAATGAAAAGGGTGATGATAAAAAACGGCTGGCAGCAGCATTCTTTTCGACATTTATTTATTCAATTAGTGACTGACATAGTAATCCTACTTGTGAAATAATCAATTAAACGCGCTACATTTTTTGTACTTTTGTGGATTCATGGGTGACCCAACCGGACAGTTCCATGCATCAACAAACTCCTGGAAAAAATGCAATGAATGAAATGCACATTGCTATTTACATGAATAATTTTTGAAATATTAATATTATATCATTTAACTATTGTTAATTTTACTTGGGAGTTTGTTACAGAGCCCAAAACTCTATACTTGTTGGGGGTGTGATGATCCGACAAAATTTGGTCGATCAATCCCTCGTCTCTGCTCGAGGAGCACCAAATCTACAGACAGAAAATGCACAACTTAATCCTTTCCCGTCTGACTGTAAGATTGATCTTTGTCATTAATCAGATAAGAACCAAATTAACAGAATCGGAGACATAGATACGTAATTGCATGGCATGAAGCATCGGGTTCAAATAAATGACCAGCCCCAATGCCAAGTACGCATAACTGACGTAACAATTACAAGGGAACCTTAAGTACTGTCACATCTCGATTTCCTTTTGAATGGTCTTAATTGATAGATAATTTAGTGAAACCAAAACTTTGTTATAGAACATGGGGTGCAAAATCACGTTTTTGCGAAATATTTGGCGAAAGCTGCACCAAAACGTGCAATTTTTCCAATGCTTTTAACATAGATAACAGCCTTCGGAATAATGAAATGAAGTTTATAAATTATATGCCTGTCCGGAATTTCATGCTGATCACCAATATGCAAAAAACAATGCTAACATTTGCCAATTTTTTTCAAATTGCAAAAATCTGCAAACTTCGAAATTTGAATTTTGTCGCTTTTTAGAAATTTCAATAAAATTGAAATGTTATAGGACGGCATCAATATAGGGCGCCCTATATTGATGCCGTCCTATATATATGCCATAGTCCTGGAGGGACCCTATGCATAGGGTCCCTCCAGGACTATGGGTTTATAAGTGGGACTATAAGTTTTGGTTACACTAAATTATCTATCAATTAAGACCATCCGAAAGGAAATCGAGATGTGACAGTACTTAACGTTCCCTTGTAATTGTTACGTCAATTATGCGCACTTGACATGAACATTACAATGGACAATCATTGCACAAATTCATCACAATTGACCAATAGACCAGACTGACATACATACATTTGCAAATCCAATGAAAAAGAGTTGCTCCTGAGAAAACTTTGTCATTCCAGGAAGTTTTTGCGGAGTCTTGGGAGCAAAAGTTTTAAAGGTTTTGTAAGCCTCGAGCAGTCCACCTGTACATTTTATTAAATAAATTAGCGCAAGTTCTAGTCAGAGAGGGAGAAAATGGGATATGACCGTTGTCTGGAAAGTTTTCGTCGAGGGTCAAAGCTCCATGAATGTGCAAGTTCGCCTCTGGCACCTTGAATCGATTGTACTGGTCAATCAAGCACTGACTTATGGGACTGAACTTGCCCGACGTAGTCTCAGTCCAACCTGAAGAGATTATCATGTTTTATTCGGTGCAGCTAAAGCTCATTCTGCCATGAATAATGCAATACGAACTTGTTTACCATAGACTGTGAATCCATGAGTGAATTCATGCCCCAGGATTGAGCCAAGGCCTCCATAATTCACAGCTCTGCAAGGATGAAGAAACATATCATTTTGCAACTGCTTTGTACATGCACACTTTTTGCCAATGGTAAAAAGCAAGCCAAATTAATCTGTCTTTACATTGGTACTCCGTCGTAGAAAAATGGAGCTTGTAACAATCCGAGAGGAACATCTAAAGTAATATCATTTCCATAAATGACTAATCCTTTTAGCAAAACTTCATGCATATTATTTTAATTATGAATTTATATCTGATATGGAATATCATGAAATTATGAGAGGGACATCTTGCGAGAAAATATTTTAGTTTCATATGAATTCATGTAAATAACTTAGGATTAGCCAATTCGTAATAAAACTTACTGACGGCTTGTCGTCGAATGTCGTAAAATGCTCCAATCTGACCAGGAAATGTTGTCCACTTGCTGCATAAGTACATACATATTCATGCGAAACGAATTGATCATTGTCCCGAAAATATTGAGACCATGTAAATAATAAATTTATTAATAAATAAATTTGTTAACTACTGACCATCCTGGAACGAATCTCTCCTTGAGCAGCTTCAACTTTTGATCTGTTAACCAGGCTCGCACGTTCCATAACTTCTGGAGGTATCCTCCATTCCCGATATTTAACTGCACACATCAAATTTCACACAAACTAATAAATAAACTCTGAAATTATCACAATCTCGACTAATTAATTTACTGCGACATGTGGCAGGAGCAATTTGTTGCCTAATTTTATGTGTGGTTACCCCTGCAAAATGGTTGTTGAGATGCTCCTGGAAAGTGTGCCTGTCAAACTCGCTTCCATTTGGAGACATCCAGGGAGCAAATCCGATACAGGGCGTGATAGTGCGAGCCTTTTTTCTCAGTGACCCTTTCAGACTAGAATTCATCCACTTGGCAGAATCCAACAACTGAATAAACGACTTGCGAACTTGCTCCATCATATCGGCCGCCTATGCAAAATAGATGCGGTCACATATTATATCGAATTAAGCGTCGCAACCAACCAACCTTCTCGACAACGTCATTCCCAATTTTCACCCTGTTCAGGTACGGTTGAGTAAGAGCGAGACCGAATTTCTCTTCCGTGGAGGATGCACACACGTAATCTCTGAAATCATAAAGTGACCTGACGTATCATCCGCATCATAAAATAATGGAATCTGAAAAGTGTTGTGTGTGACTTTTCTGAGAAAAGCTTTGCTACGTCGTTCTTTAAGGCTTACCAACCTCGGAGATGGTTCCGTGATGCCGTAGACGACGCGTTGGTACTTGTGGATGTGACCTCGCATTGCAGCCGTCGTCCCACTCACGACCCAACTCAGCATGCGGAAATGGAGGTAATTCGCTAATACCTCGACCGGAGTGGTCGACAAGAGTTCGAACATGTTTCCCATGTAGTTCGTGTCTGACATCGAGACCAACTGAGTTTCTGAGATTGTGGTCCCAGCAGTTCGGAAGGTGAAGTCAAGCAGCTTCTTTAGTTCCAACTTAATGTCCATAATGCAGGAAGGTTTTAACATGATAATTTTCAGTATTTTCCTAAATAACATCGGTCCGTTTATAATGTGGTCTTTACATACCTTGTTGGTAGAATTTGGCGTGGTGTAATTGTTGAAAATTGCCTGGAGGTAGTTTAGGGTGAGTGTGGCAGTGAAGTTGCGAAGGCCGTACTGCGTCTCAACACCGTCTCTCGACAACTTTGCGATTTCTTCTTCGAAAGCCACGATTTCCGCAGCTTTGGCCTCAATGTACTTGAGATTCAATGGACCCGATAAATTGGGAAATGATGATATTGCCGGAGAGCTTTTGAGCTCTTTCACAATGTTCACAATCAACTCCTTGAAGGCGGTGAGATACGATGGGAAGTTGTTCTTGTTGATGTAATATGGTCGCGAGAGGAACAAACTGGGCTGCTGTAGCTGAAATGCCATATAATTGGAGATTCATCAAATTATGCAGATTACACAATATTTACCCGCACTGATGCATACTTTTGTATTAATAATTTAGTGTAAGTTGTATTACGTGCACAGTGCTGAAATTCGGGTTGGACAAGTGTTGGTTTACAACAATGTCGAATATTGAAGACGTGCCAAACATGCGTTTGAGATCTGCCATGGAACGCCACCAGTTGAAGTTGGTGGCGTTCCAAGTTCCTGGAGGTGAAAGTATGGGCCAACCCCCGTACAACTGGAGCATCTGAAACACCGGCTTCAGCCCCACTTTCTCCAGTTCTCCTGTTGAAATACACGCTTTGAAAAAGTCTTTGGCTTGATTTAGCTGAAATGGATCGTCCGGTTTGGCTGGTTCCCTTAAAATGTCTGTAAACAGGATACAAATTTTAGCATAAAAGCATAACACACGCAAAAAATATCACCACCAATGATAAGAGCCATTTAGTATGCAATACATAAATGGTGGTCATAAATACCTTGAAGGAGTTTATTTGTCTCCAAATCCAGCTGCCCAAACGGACTCCATTTCGAGACGGAAGGTGGGATTGGATTTTTCTGAATCCATCCACCACAAGCGTACGAGTAAAAGTCTTGACAAGGAAAAGGAATCAGGGTATGCTACCCCGGGTTTTTGGGGTATTCGGGTTTTGGGGTAGCAAATTTGAGCAATACCCACGGGTAGTCGGGGTTTTAAAATTTAAAAAAGTATGATAAGACATTATTAACAATTCAACAAATTAATTAGTTATTAAAATTGAATTAATAAACAGTTTTGTTGCGAAATTAAAGAAAAAACAGATTTTTTTCACAACTTAATACATGAGACACTGACTCAGTTTATCCTCAAAACTCCGACTACCCCAACTACCCTCAAAACCCAGGTAAAACCCCTGGGTATGGGTTTTCAAACAAGCACAATTTTCCTTACCCTGACAAGGATCCACCGAAGTGTTCATGGACTCGAGTAAGGCATTTGCTAAGCGTCATTTCGAAAATGTCATTAACTCCATGCAAATTAATAGCATGCAACATGTGGGTTATTTCTTGTACCGGTTTCTATACAGCTTTTGCTCCTGCACACCGCGTCCTCCTCCTTCAGCAACGGCCCCTTGTCGTTCCTTCGACCCCCGGGTGGCGAATTTGCTGTGAGGGCTGCGAGCATTGGACTGTCACTACTGTCCTCCTCTGTGGGGTCTTCAGGTCTGGGCATCCTCACCAGCATGACCAGCGCTCCGAACGCCAATAGACCACACGTCAAAAGAACAAAAAGAGATTTTGGGACCCTTCTTCCTTCCATGGTCGGTATTTTTGGTATTTTTCGAGTCCGAACGGAGGAGATTTACAAAGCCATGAATGGGGGAAATTGAGATTTTGAGGAAATACTTAATAAGGAAATGTATATATAATGTTAATCTATATCGAAGATTAAAGGGACTAGACGATGATAAAGGTGAGAGTGACGAGCGACGGGTTCGCATGAACTTGACTTCCAGACCAGCAGAAGTCTCGTTCGCAATAGGAATACAGGAGCAAATACGGAGGTAACGAGATAACGAGGAAACTTTTATGATAATTTTTTGCACTTTATCACACTCGCCTGCTGCATACTAACCAACTACCAAGAAGACCACCAAGTAAGATGCTTGGCTGGTGAGGAACAAGAGCTGGGACGTTTGCTGGAGTATTGTTTTTTATGATTATTACACATCTCAAACCATTATGGCCAGTAGTACATTCATGCCTCGACGACCAACTACTGGTCTCACGACTCATCATAAATGCCAATCTACTCATTATCCCATCCATAATTTCATACTCACGTGTCGTACATATCGGTCGTGGACATTGCAGACGAGTTGTGGAAATAAAATCACCTCGGATGAGGAGGACCTTACATCGTGATTAGCGTATCGACGACAAATATTGGCCTGTTTGCTGAACAAATGTGGAGGAGAAGGAAAGCGGAAATGGCAGGAGTAGCGATGATGACGATGATGATGAGGTCTCATGGTTGAACCACTCACGAGGCGATGTTGTGATGAAGAACATTGCAATTTCTATTTGTTATGCAATTCAAGCAATGTCCAATAATAAATGTTGAGTGACAAATTGACCTCTGCAATTAATTGGAGTGGACACACACACGCAGGTGGACTTGATCAACTATGGTCTCAGTATGGCAAATGTGATGGATACCTACGTATGCAAATCATTGGACACATTTATAACATAACAAAGTGGAGCAGGAACATGCATGACTTGACCTTCGTGTCATTTGTTATGTTAAGTGAGTGTTGACGCTGCTGTGTGTGTGTGGCTGGAGGAAATCTTCAAAGATAAATTTAATGCTGTCAATTCCGCAATTTTTGGACAACATTAGGTATGCAAATTATCATGTAATTGATTCAAGCGAGTGAGTGGCACGTTGAAATAATTGGCCAACATAATTATATCTTAGCTACATACACATACACGAGATCTGGTCAATGTACGTATGCGCAATGTACACTAGTTCAGGTTCAAGATTTATTCATTGAAATTGTAATAGGTGTAAAATGGGATGGTCAGTGTCATGTACAATTATTGCCGTTGTTTGTGACATTGTAAACTGTCACGGACAGCATGATGATCTCAAAATGTCATGAGAGCGAGATGGTTTATGGCTCGTTTGTTATTTTTCATGCATACATAATATGTCAAGATATATTTATATGAAGTTTTGCTGCCAAGAAGGAAAAAATGAGTTGCTTCTTTGGTCTCGTAGAATATGTAATGCAAAGCTTTTAATTTAGCGATTTGTATGCATAATAAATTATGTAAATGGTTTAAAAAAATGGTTTTAGTAGGGGGCGATTTTATCCAGGTACGAAATGTGCTTCTGCAGAATTTTTTGAATCAGTCGTTTAAACTTGAGCTTCTTTTTCAACTTTTTCATAATTTTCTTCTTCTTTTTCTGGTATTTCTTGTAATCTACAAAAATAAATTGGATGTTATCTGTGCGTGAATATTGTTTTGCCCGGCAATAAATTTTAGTCGACTTACGTTTAGATTTTAGTATCTCTTCGTCCGTCAAGCCCTTTTTGTCCTCGTCCTCGTCCCATCCTTTGTTCTCCTGGTGGGAGTACCCGCCCCACCCGGAGGAGGGAGGCCCACCATTCTCACCCCAACCATCCTCAGCCCACGACGTGTAGCTGGTGAAAAGTAAAAGCCGATAAAAATAAAAATGGTCTCAAAATATTTAAAAGCATGGTTTTATTAATATTATTAAATTGACAACAACAACGTCTAACAAATTATGTCACATTCAAACTCAACATTGTGTAACAAGAGGATAGGAATAGTTTCACTGCACAGAAAAGATGTTTGTAACCATCGCCATGCATCTGACAATCTGCACCCTTAAAACTAGCAAGTTATCAACTAACGCCACCACTCCAAAGCCTGGATCTTCTTCTGGAGCAACATACTGAGCAGCTTCTTAAGTTCGACTTTGTTTTGCAAAATGGCAATCTTCTTCTTGGCCTTGAGTTTCAAAATCTCATACTTGAGCTTGTGTTTCTCATGCTCGATGTAGGCGTCCCAACCCCAGCCGTCGTGAGATCCATGTTGGCTCCCACCGTAGTGCCCTTGGCGCTGGTGACTTCCGTGACCAGCTTTGCTAGAAACATGTCCCAACTTCATTATCAAGATTTTAGAAAATGTCCCGCGGAGGAAAGAGCAAAAACTCAAAACTAGGGCTACGTTAAGTACGTATTTATGTGCGCGTGTCTAAATATGTACACAAGGTGGCTTTGCAGTGGTGGCGTTGTTTATTGCTCGCTATTATTAGTGTGCGTGGCTCAATCCCTCGATAAATATTACATATTTTTTACATAGTTAATTTACATTTGCTCCAGAAAATAAAATGGAAAGCATTAAAATATTACGAAAGTGTAGTATAAATAACAACAAAACCTAATAACACTGACAGTTGACCATCACTGACACTGACGCGACGACGACGACACCATTCACTTTTCGCAGATATCAGATAAATTCCAGAAACTCGATTCCCTTTGTGAATATTTGTGCCCCGACTTCAGCCAGGTTGTACTTGAGAATCTTCTTCCACTTCTTGGCTCGTGTGACCATCTTGTACATTTCTGTAATTTTATGTGCACAAATCTTTAAGGTGGTGAAAGGAGGAGAAAGACGTTTAGATAAGCACAAACAAGGCAGTTTTTTCTACAATTTATGGATAAAATGGATAAAATGGGTCCCTATTTTTGAAATAAAAGTATATACTGCTGCTTATACCGTGATTGGCGTGGTTCACCCTAATCAAGACTTTTGCATTTAGGATACGAATATGGGGAGGAAAATTTCTGACTTTTATGCTAAATCCGATAAAAATAGATTGCTAAAATTCGAAAGGTTAAAGTTTAAGGAACATATTTCAAAATATTTAAATGTTAAATAGCGTTGGTCGTTTGACCTGACTGAATCAACACTTAATTGTTTGTGCAAATTATTTGAATGTTGAGATTCTCAATACCCAAGCGCAACTTTTGTACTTCGGGGTCGTCATCGGGATCATATTCGTCGTCGTCGTGCGCACCAAAGTTGATCGGGTGGGGCTCACCATGCCCGTGGTGAGGTCCTTTGTCGTACCTTTTAATGCATCATCAGTCAGTGTCAGTGAGAGTCATGTCAGTTTCTTTACCTTCTCTCCCCATTTTCGAGGGGGCTCATCATCAGAGAAAATCAAGGGAGAGAGGCGAATGATGTTATTTACTTGCAAATTCCCATCACCAGACCACCCACACCCAACCATCCTCTCCCCACAACAAGTGGAACTAAGTGGCTTCTCGATCGGTATAAAAAAATAGGATAAAAATGAAACCTACGATCCGTAATGACCTGGCCCCCAGCCGTCCTTGCCCTTGGATATTTCGATCGAGAAAGGCCACAAGAGTCGAGATGCGGGCGGCTTGCGCTCCTCATCGTCCTCGTCGTGACGCATAATTGGGGACGGATCGCCATGAAGGGGGCGTCGTTGTCGCTTAGCCAGCTGCAACTTTCGGCGCACAATCTCGTCAAAATTTGAGGGGAGCTTGATGGGTCTTGGGCGTCCTTTGGTTCGTTGATGTTTCTCCTCCACGCTCTCGTTGTCCTCACTTTCTGACTCGTCCTATGCGATAATTTGTCAGGAAAGTTAGTTAATACGCCAATTACAAATGTGGAGTGAAAACCAAAAACAAATTCTACGCTTGTTGGTGAACCAGAATATGTACTTGGAGAGTAAAATTACCTCATCGCTGGAGGCAACTCCTCTCCTCGACTGAAATTGTGCGTTTTGTGGCGAGACCGCCACCACCTCGTCTTCTTCTACAGATACCGCATCGTCCGAATCTGGCCCCCCAACCACGTAAATGTGGGTGGGCTGCTCAATGTAGTACTCGGATTGGACGACACAGTTGACGAAAATGATGGCAAAGAGGGCGAGTGCCAAGTCAATTTTTAGCCTACCCATTTTCACAAAATACTATTTTCTTCGCCGGGGTGGCCTTGAAGCAGAGTGCAGTGCTACCACCAACTCGAGACTGATCACAAATCTTGAAAATTGCTCCGAATGGTGCAAAAAGAAGTCGTCGTCAGGAGTGGTTGAAGTGGTTGCAGTCGTGGGGGTTGGGGTCAGAGCGAGCCGTAGTATATAGTACCGGTACTAGAGATATTTAGTGTGTAGTGGACTTCCGCTCACTTCAAGACCGGTTTTTGGCCCTCATCATCATCATCGCCATCCATGTAAATGCTGCCAGAAGTTGAGTTTCGAAATTCTTTAGCAGCAGATTTGCACACCTGTGAAAGTCGGCAGTTGCAGAACTGAAGCAACTCCTCACTTCACATACTTGTGAACATACATAGATACGTACACATTCATTTCTGGGTCAGTTGCATTTCTGGTGAGGCAATCTTTCCACCATGAGATTTATACATTACGTGCTCGACTGCTGGCAAACCGTTCTTGATGAAGCAGTAGTATTTCGGGCAATTCAGTTTTGCACATTATGCGATTATACATCCATTTTATGTTTTTTTTCTTGGGTAATATGCAATTGTAAAATTTTTCAATTTGGGAGTTTTCACCTGGTGAAATTCAAATTGTTTTCGAAACAATGTGAGTCAGGAACATCTGGGGAGACATAACTGAGATTATAGTAGTATTACATAACTACTTAATACGCACGCAGTTGGTTTCGTAAAACTTCTGAAACCCAACTAAACCGGAATAGCTCAACAATTCTCAGGGTATAGTTTATGTAATGCAAGCGCAAGAGGAGATCGCCGACCTCGCGAACATTCAATATTTATCCCATACAGCACAGCAACGTATAAAATCGCGAATAAAGGAGTGAATAGGTATTCTATTTGTTTTACCAATTCCTTCCGTGAATGATGGGTGGTGGATAAGAAGAAGCCACCACCAGCGCCAGAATGCAAGACAGTGCGGTGCAGTGGTGCATGGTTAACAAGATAAAATAGAAATATAATTGCCTATCATCCCAACTATTCGACACTCATCTTCCGTACTTCCGGTTTTTCTGACATGATTATAGGTTGATGGGCATGTGAAATTAAATTAATTTCAGCACGCCAACTACCAGAGCTACATAGGTGAAGTTGGTGATAATAGACTAATAAACTTGTAGAAAGTTTCCATTATTTTTGATAAAATTTAACGGTTCATCGTAACGGATGATACGTGTATGAATACGAAATATGATGGATTTTTACCCAAATTTTTGTCTAAGAGTTGAATTTTATTTCATTTTTGCCAGCAATAATAATAAATGAGTGGTTCTGTAAAATTTTACAATTGTGAAAACTATCGTAAGATGAAGATGATCAGTTAATTGACACAAATCTGGTTTATGTACGACGACAAAAAGAGTTGAACGCGTTTGTTTCAAGGGTATTTCACAAGCAAGAAGAAGATCAAAACTGGTTTCAGGACACTGCTCCAATAGTTTTTCCACCACATTTACATTGTTGCCGCATTTTTTATGTGTACACAACTGGCGTCGGTTTGTGCAGAAGTCATTAAGTGGTCAAATTTTTTCATACTACTTAATTTTTTTAGACTCGTATGTTTCTCTAATTTTCGAGTCGGTCGACAATGCTGTGCCATATTTGACCATTCATTCTGATTACCTCAGACAATGTTGTTGTGAAGTCTGTGCCACCGCCCTTCAAAAAAAACCTTGTCTAACTTGACGACCTTACGAAGATGTATTTTTTTATGGTTTGAAGTGACCGGTTCTACAAAAACATCGTTTTTTTTGTTGTACTTATTGATCCAAATGCTTAAAAAACTGTCAAATTGTCAGACAGTTGGTAAAAAAACATGTCAAAAGTTGCAGGACACGATTTCCCCTCACGATTTTTTGTGTCACACAGAGCAAAAAAATACGTGCGGGGTAACACGGATTGAGAAAGCGGTCGATGTGTGCGTGGCTGTTCTCAATTATAGAGACATTTTATTATTATTGCCAAAATATCAATGGACTTTTTTAAATTTTTTAGCATATTCACAAATAATACAATTAAGATAAAGATCAAGCGAAAGTTGCATACTTACATACGTTAGGAAAATGGCAACTATTGAAAAGATGAAAATAAAGCAATACTAAAATTAAGAGCTAAAAATCAGCTTGCTAAATCTACAAGTTTGCGATTTGTGCCCCCAAATTCGAGTGGAAGCTCTTGCAGGTCATAGTCTTGCAAAAGGGCTCGCTGCCATTCCTGCGCGTTGGTTCCATAAACTTTGAACCCTTGCAGATTACTCCCGGTGAAGGGCTCCAGAACTCGAAGCATGGTTCGAAACCCTCTCGGAGCTACATATCGGGTAACAAACATCAATGTTCACAGGTCACAAAGTTTTCTTAAAAACCGGGTAAAATGTGACATTAGTTGAGCTTACCATTCACCATATTTGCCTCATGGATTTCGTTCGGGTAGTGAGATCGGAACAAAGAGATGAGACCAATGTACACCTGAATGCCTAAGCAAACACCAAGAAAAACTGGGATTAAAGGAATTCTTATGCAACACTAACAGTTCCATAAAAAACTTACATTGCGGACATGAGTGTTGTGCAATGTTGAAATCTCGGACGTCGATGATGAGATTTCCTTGCGTCACATTCTTCTCGTGCAGGGTACGAACTTTTGCTGTCAGTTCTTCCATCAACTTGGCCCAGTACAAAATCATTTTGGAGGATTTTCCAGTCAGGGCGGCCTTTCGAATGTCCCAGTCGCCCAGGTTAAAAACTAGCGCTGAAAAACGATTTGCATAAAATACCAGACTTTTTATATAAAAAATATGTGCTTTTAGTTTGGGGGCATACTTGGACGACCTTCCTTATCTTTCACGGCCGTGGTGTAGGGATACTCGTCAACAAAGTCGGACCAGTCGAGAGTCTCAATGTCGTCAATGTTGTTCTCACGCCTCCACTCCAGGTTCTAAATCAATACAGCCATCCGTATAACTTAAGATTGGGCTAATGTTTGATTGAGTACTATATGGATCTAAGATGTCATCGTGTACGAATTATAAGTATGCACCACATATGCACATACCTCCAGCAGAAGTCTCTCTGTCAACCCCAAGTCAAATTTTGTGGCTAAAAGAAGAAAATTATCAGATTTTTAAATGAAATAGTGTGACTTGATAAATATCAGTATTTGATGCTACCTCTGAGCCAGTGAACCAAATAAATGTCATGTTTCATGTAATCCTGAAGGAGCTGATTTTCTACTCGACTTCGAAACTGGAGGAGAATATCTTTTCTTTAAAACTCACCAAAACCGTTTTTTGGCAAATTTTCTTTCAAATTTCTTGAGTTTACCTTGTCCAATAAAAGTTTCTGATTATTCGTCAGTGTTAATTCGTCATCCTGTGTGGCATTAGCTGAGATCACTACACACAACGCAGTTGCGAATATCCAATAACTCTGCATTTTGTGTCAAGATCCATGTCCTTATTCCGGGCCTGTGAAGTTTCTAATAATGCATACAAGCGGGAGGCAAGTTCCTTATATTTGCAAATTATGGCATAAGCGCATAAGCACTTGATGACGCATTCTTAGTCTCAGTACAACGAGTTTTTGCACATTGATGCAATTATGCATACACTAAACTTATGTAAAATATCCTCATTACAACTGGTCGGACTACCTGAATAGTTTGTGTGTACGTCATCGGACCGGATTGCTCCGGACCATGGACAAGAAATTATCCAAATTATGGGTAAAAACGTGCAAATTGATGCAAATACATTTAAAAGAAACTCGAATTATAGATAAGTTTAATAATGACTTGGTTTTTCAGACTTTTTAGCATATTTTCTCCTATGAGCAGAGATTTGCGGGTGGATGCCTAACTGACCGCACACATACCGAAGCAAGCACATACATCATACGAGGAGACGCTTGCTTGAAGTTGAAATATGGTCGTAAGCAGCACACGCAGGAGAGGAACCAGCCTCGTCAAAGCCTTCCATTTGTTTGCAGCATGTCAAGAACAGACGGGGCCAGGCAGGATGGAACAAAAACATAATCGATGCGAAGATCAATTTGAAAAATTGAGCCGAGCAGCGTGTCTGGCGTGTACCTTCTTCTTCTTCTTGAGCATTTCAATCAATTTTCTGATAAAGAGCTCGCCCCCGACACGCGTAGGTTCATACGGACACAAGTCGAACACAAGTCTCTCATATCGCATATAATCCCTCCCGTTATCATCCCATTGCTCGGGTGGTCGTGGGCTTTCTTTACGGTCAGAGTAATAAGTAATTCCAGCTCTTTTGGCAACTTTTTCTAAGGCGGATTGACACTTTGCCCAATCCTTGCAGCCACCCACCACACCATTATTATATCCTTCATCACCCATCGCGGAACATTATTTCATGGTCGTGCTAAGCGATTTGACAGGATGCTGAAACATTTGAGAGGATAAGAGAGAGAGGGAAAGAGTGGAGCGGGTGAAAGGGCAAAAGTTGTCGAGAGTTGAGAGGATTTTATTGGTAAATGATCTATAATCGGTGGTGGGGAGGAGTTAGACAAAGAACCCGGGTATCAGCCTGCCCGAGGATTATTATAACTATCCAACTTTGTGCAAGATACAGGCAATAATATTACAATGAGACTCTGACTAGTCGGAGGCAGCGGATACACACAAGTCACAACTTGGATCTTAAAGTAATAATAAGATTCTTGGTCCTCTTGGCCCGAGATCAGGGAGACAGAGACCCATTCATTCCACGACCCCATCATCACAGTCTATCCATACCTCCTTTCACTACCACCGTAATTTTGCCCCACAAGCCTCCCTCCTACCCCCACCATTCACGCTCCATATTCCTCAGTCCTCACATTTCATTTAATCCGCTACATTATTTCAACTGAAAATTTGTATTTGGATGACTTGTGTTCACAAATGTAAGGGAACGAATATCGTCCGATCCGGTCTGTTAAAGAACCGTCTGTTTGAATAAAATGCATATTTTTATGCCCCATTCTCCAAAAAAAAGTGTGTGGAGGCTGGCAAAATTTCCCAACAAGTTGTCATTCAGAATTCATTTTCAAACTTTTGTAAACTTTCTCTACTACTTTCCCCGGACAATATTGATGCAAATACATTCGGAGCAATATGTCTCTGGCTGGGCTTCTTATTACACTTACAACTCTGTACTACTATGTACCCACCAACCAGGCTATGCTAACTGGTCCTTGTTCCTCTCCTCTCCTGGCTGAGGCACATGCCCGTCTGACCCAAATTTCCAAACTCACAACTATCGATCCGATTTGGGAATTACTTTCTCCGCCACTCGCTCCCACTTTCACTCTGCACAGCATCCCTCGCTCACTTTCTGTCTCGCACTCTCTCCAACAGCCTCGATTTTATTTCCCACTTGCACTCACTCTCTTTCCTTCTGCACTCTCCTCCTCCTCCTCCTCCTCCTTGTAATCAGCCCCCTTCATCATTTGCATTAAAATACCCTTCAAATTCCGTTGGATTAGATGATTGTCCCAATTAGAAGATGGCTCTCAACCACCACTCGCACCCGCACCTGCACCAGTGCCATCAACAGAGACAGCAAAAGGTCAACCAAATTATTACACGAGCAGGCTTTCAACACAGAGGTCAAAATTCAAAACGTGATTCCTCCGCTGTTCAGTGCAAAGTGCGGCTCCACGCGTTTGTAACCTTTTCGTGCAAAGCATTCATTTTCTTGGTGCTGTTGATAGTGGCCTCATCGTCGTCCTTTGGGGGACCTCTCCTCGTGGCTGGTGACAGTAATTATAGGGAGATTTTGGCCCTCTTTCAAACCGGAAATGACTCTGACCATCGGATAAAGCTGCAGAGACTGGTCTCCTCCCACGTGGAAAACTTGCTCTGGCAAGTGAACAAGTTACAGCAGCTAAGTTATGGTCAGGTCTGTGACTCTGTGCTCATGGAGAAAGCTCGCCATGAGTTGACTGATCTTGTCGCAAAAGTGACACAGAGTCCGAACGAACAGCTCTTCGCTGACCTTGAGTCAAAAGCACAGGAAATTACAAAGTCGGGAAAGCAAAGTTGCGACTATTCACGCGGTTTGGCTTGTGACTCTGTCTCCATGAAATGCATCTGCTACACGGGTCACCGACATGACGTGACCTACGACGTGGTGAGAGAAGCTGGGTCCTGCAAACTGGACGAAATGTCACGCTGCTATTCCCCCAGCCATTTGGTCTCACGTGGTGCGGCGGTCATCCATTGCATAAATGGGGCAAAATGTGTAGGTGACCTTACTGGCCGGCGGTGTGTGTCGCCCGTGATGAGTGAAAACTGTCATTGCCAAAAGCCATGTCCGGATGGATCGTTCACCAATCTGATTGACGAGTTGAAAAAGTGCATTTCCAAGTTGAGCGACATCAGCGTCCTCCAATTTAATGACTCCTGCTCCGCAAAAGATCAGGCTGAGAGGGACGAAGTTGTGGAGGTACTGATTTTTGCTGGGCTCGAATATTTTATTAAAATTTTACATATTTTACATATTAGAATTTTACATATAATTTTACACATAAGGTTCCTTAATTGGTTAAAGGTCCTTGAGAGGTCGGGGTCGGAGAAGGCCGGACCCATTATTCGGGGGATCAAGAGGTTACTCGCATCTGACCGTTTCCTATGTTCGCCACACGACCAGCTCGTCTGCGACCGCGACATCCAACAGGTAATGCATCCTCTAAGATTTAACGTTTCAGGATTCGCCAAACAAGAGGAAAAGAAATGCCGAAATCTAAAATTTGGAAAAAAGTACTCCGCCCAACAACTTCACAGCGGATGCAAAATCATAAACTAATCCTAAGAAACCTAACACGCCCAAGAACCTATCCAGCAGAGGAGTCGGAAGATTAATAGAATAGTTGTATCATAAATATTATTACATTAGGCTTATTGCATATTATCTTTCCATCCTTTCATGACAAAGTTTACAAGATTTTTTTAAATGGTTTTGAGGAATAGATTTTAAAAATCTATACAGTTTTATGTATTTCCACTCTACATATTACTACACATTGAATTTATAAAAGTGTATACATAATTCAAAAATTACATATTTTCCAACAGTGCGTTTGTGGGCCTGAGAAGGATGGGATTCTGTACGAGCGAGTGAACGACTCGTGTCTATGGGCGAAGGGCTCCCGCTGTTTTCCCGAAGCGATTTTCGAAAACGTGACGGGGTCGAATGGGAGCTGCGTATCGGGGACGGACTGCTTGATGGAGGGTCAAACCATCCCATGTGATCCCAACTTTGAGGAACCCTTGTGCTACTGCCAAGACCCAGCGGATCTCGAGTCATCAGGGATGGTGACGGTCTTTTTGGTCCTGCTGGTCCTCGTATTGGGCGGAGGTGGGGTGTTGGGCTTCCTCGTCCATGCCAAAATACTCTCTTGCCCACTCGGAAGTTCACCCGCAAACGTGTAACAAGTTTTCTCTTTTTACCTCTTGATGAACAAAATTTTTCCCAGTCATTAAACGACTGACTCTTCAAAAACCTCATCCCCCTGTCTCGTTGTCTCACACCCCTCCTGCAACACTTCACGGCCAAATATCCCCATTTCCAGCATTCAAAACAAAACAAAACGTACTGCAACTTCTTGATAAACAATGCATTTATTTCTCTACTTCATGTACAATAAATAAGTAACGATAGCATGTCCGTGATGATGGCACAGAAGTTCAACTGACGATGAGCAAGTCTATAATCCTCGGAGGCAATTAATTCACATTCTAAAAAACCATGTATTCAACAAGTCTTCCATAATTGCAGCCTTAATGCCAGAATAATAATAATATTGTGTAAGTATGAAACTAAATTTATTGGCTCTCTGTACTCGTTTAATGGAATTTATTAGTACCAAAAACGTACCAGTATGTGTATTTAACTAACTAATTAACTGTACTTAATTAATTAATCGTATCAGTAAAAAATGTTGATGGTTTTATTTTTCATAATATCGAAAATTTCAAATTTTCGTGATTCTAGATTTTTCACAACCACAAAAGGAATTATCAGAAGCCAGAATTATGTACTCCATAATAATACGTATTTAAATATGGACGAGTAAATATCTATGTAGTTATCTCACCACGTGTTGAACATTATGTATAAAGTCTTCCATAACATAAAGTTACAAATGCGACAAAAAGAGAAAGAGTAAAAAAATGCAAACCATGATGATAAAATGTCTTCCAACACGTCTTCCACGCAACGAAACTCTTTCCCCTCCTCCTCCCACAAAGGATGCGAAAACGAAGATGGAGAGAAGGGGGAGGAGGAAAAAGAGCGAAACCAAGTCTTCCGAAAATAATACATAGTCGATCAACCATTGCTTTCTACCATGAAAGATACGACGATGATGCAAAGTGAATAAAAGTAAACGGATAAAAAATAATAGACTTTTTATTCTTGTCACTACGAATCTGTGCGTGGAATATGTATCTTAACTAGTGTCGTGAATTTAAAGTATGTAAGTAGTTCAAGAATTAAATAATACTGGAGAGCAGGAACTCGTATATTCTATTCTATAAAATTGATGTGATTTTTTATTTTAAAAAAATTCGACAACTAATAAGGGAACCTTAGGTACTGTCACCTCTCGATTTCCTTTCTTAATTGACGGATAATTTAGTGAAACTAAAACTTTGTCATAGAACATACGGTGCAAAATCACATCTTCGTGAAATATTTGGTGAGAGCTGCTCCAAACTTGTCATTTTTCGAAAAGTTATTTTGTTGAATATGTTAAAAACTGACGATACAAATTTCCAGAATTTTTTACAATTTTTAAAAATAAATATAGCCAACAATTTTGAAGAATGCGTTAACTAGACTGGCATTGGTCATGTTATCTTTTTCCATGAAAAATTGGAAATTTTCGGCCATTGTATTGCAGTAAGGAAAAAATCATTTTTTGAAAACTTTTGTAACGCCTTAAAGAAGTTTAGCACTTAAATTTTGTTGAAATTTCAAACAACGGCGAAATTTAAATTTAAAAAACGTTTGCAGATTTTGACAATTTGAAAAAATGACAAATGTTTGCATCGTTTTTTTACATATTGGTGATCAGCATAAAATTACTGACAGGTATGTAATGTATAAACATCATTTCGTAGTTCCTAAGGCTGTTGTCTATGTTAAAAGCATTTGAAAAATGACAAGTTTGGAGCAGTTCTCGCCAAATATTTTGCAAAGACGTGATTTTGCACCGTATAATGTTCTATGACAAAGTTTTAGTTTCACTAAATTATCCATCAATTAAGAAAGGAAATCGAGAGGTGACAGTACTTAAGGTTCCCTTGTAAGTAGAATTAAATTGAAATTTTCTATATCTTATTTATTACCTCAGCTAAAAAAAATCATAGTAATTTTAATTTTAAAGCCTTACAAACTATGTCTGTAAAATTGGGTCTATCTGGTTTCTTTATTATGAAGTTAGTTTAAAGTGCATCTGCATGTGCATGTCGTTGTTTAGTGCATATTATAAATAGTTAAAAGTGTTTAAGAGGAAGTTTTCCAGGTCTAATTATTTACCAATTATCGCTTGTTATCACCTTGTATCACGGGATAATTGCGCTTGTCAATGTCATTTCCCACCCGTTCTTATCTGTTCTCTAGTCGTTCTAGCGATTTCTTATATATCGAATAATACGTTAGTAGAATTGTATGTTAGTCAATCATCATCCAATAAATATTAGAGGCAAATGTCGGATAATGCGCCACAATTATAGTTCGTAACATAATAACCAAAATAAATACGTACATAAACCTGACAGTTACTGGACTACGCATTTAGCAGATATGTAAGTAAGGAGAATACGTCAATGTGTCTGTCGTACTGTTTAATTAGTAGTGTACACTTGAGTAGAGTTTGATATTGAAAATTCACGTGGTGTCCATTTGCAAAGTATCAACAAATAAGTGTTCGTTTGGTAATAAATTATCTGAACCTATGCAAGTCGTACATCTTATTTCTTGTGTAACAAGATTTCATATTTTCATATGGCAAGACGGTAATGACGACTCCTTTCTTTGGCTGCTTTCTCCAAAGGAAGCGTATGGAACTCAAATCTGCAAAGTAGCAGTGGTGGCATCAGGAGGCATCACCATTCCGGGTTTTCTTGGTGGAGAGGAACGAGTGCATATCTTACGAGACGACGAGTCGACGGACGGGAAGATATCGATCCTTTTCTGAAGAACAAGCCCCGCTGGAAACAAGCTACTTTTTGGAACCTTTTCTTCTAAGCTCCTGCTCTAGTTCGCGTGAAATAAACAGAGTCAGACCAAGTTAAGACTTTAAAGTCGAAAGTGAGGACATGAGAAGGATTGGGGTGACATTTTCCTTGACTACTGTAGGCACTAGGCCGAAACAATGGATCGGGTAGAAGTTGAAAGCCTTCAGAGTTTGTCAGATGTGGAGATTGAGGGGTTTGCCTCCACCCCAGTCGCAGGAGCCCCACTCGGCCAACTCGGACACACAATTGCTCACAGTTACCCCTGGCTGTCAAAAATCACCACCCTCAACCTTGACCTCTGCGGTATGACCTCTCACCGAGTCACAATAATGCATTCATAGGTTAGTAATATACATACGTAATGCGTGCGCGACTATGTGTGACTTTCAGGGTCGGACTTGTCCCAGAGGATAGAAATCTCTTGTCCCAGGGGGCCCAGTTTCCGGACAGACATGCAGCGACGGGGGGACGAGAACGGGGCGGAAGAACAAGTTCAGGACCAAAGACAGTTCACTCTGCTCAATAGCAAGAATGAAAAACTGCTCACTGTCGACTTCTCAAAGGTCTCATTCCATCACTCCAATTACAATTTACATTTTCTACAATTTGAAAAGGAACAGTGAGAAATTATTTGTAATTTGATAATCCCTACTTTTGACGGCAATAGGACCGGAAGTCGTTTCACATAATGGAGCCCGACTCCAACACTTTCATCGCCTTCTTCACAGTGCTTGAATCCGTGGAGAGTTCACGCGTGGACATTCACAATGTCATAGACGGTGAAATCTACTACGTGGATTCGTCCGATACTCCGGCTCGTCTTGTGGTATATACAAATCAATTAATTAATTCAGAGGTCAATGCTACACGTGAGCTAAAAAAATCAAAAATTCCCGTTGCCAGATTAAGTCTGAGAAGGGTGAAGAGATGGCATCAATTTCTAGACCCCCGCCTAAATGGACACAGTTTATGACCATGACCATGTCCCTAAACTACACAGGGGACGAGCGGGATGGTTTGACCACAAGAGAAAAGGCTGTCGTGTTGGGCTTCCTGATCGCTTTGGTAATAATGACACCGTGGTTTTGAGGAATAATTAATAATTGTTACGTATGAATTCTATAGGGCGTGCTAGGGATGGATTATTGGAAGCGATCCAGCAGCGGCCTCATAACTTTCTACATTATTTGCATTTTACTTTTTGCAATCCTTGTAATTTTTATTTATTGTCGTTTTCGTGACGGAATAGGATACAAAAAAACGGAGAAACAAGCCCCTGCAACTAATTCAATACTGGACAACAACACGACCTCATACCTACGAAACTATTAACTCACAAAATTTATATGTCAACATGGTCACGTCGTCGTTGTGATCTTCTAAATAATTGTGTTGTGATAATAAGTTTGCAATATCTTTTTAAATGCTCAACGCTTTCATAATAAAATCAATTCGTCATGTTCTTATGCATTTCATCAATCTCCATATTTATGTATTTGCATGTGCGTACCTTAGAGTTGTCATCAGCATAATGAAGTAGAGGATATTTTTCGCCATTCTCCTGCAATCACAGAGCTGTATCTAAATGCAATACACAGGGGCATGCATATTTGCAATCTCATATAAATACGATTCCGTCCATACTCAACATTTGCTCAAGCTGGAACGCCGAGGAGGCCAAACCTAAATATGCAGTTCTCCGAAGCTGGAATTGGAATGTGGGAATGTTTCGTTTCCGTGTGTCCTACCCTCGCCTCGCACTTCTTGTTCTTCTTGGTAATGAAAGCACTGCAGTAGTCAAATGCAAATGACACAATAAATACTATACCAACCCAACCACTGCAGTGATAAGAGTACATAGTCAGCAATAATACAAGTGAAACATAGTTGAGACTTATTAACACTGGAAAAAGGGCAGTCTACATAATTCACCTTTTCGGGATCCTTGAACTATGTACCTTCCTAATCATTCGCCCATTAGCAAGGAAACCTTACCAAGTCACGTCCAGCTTCTTTTTTGCTAAGCCCTTCTCCTCATTTGTTAAGCTACCTACATACCTAATCCTCCTACGATCTTCCTACGATTCACGTTGATTGTTACAAAGTCAGCCCTTCGGCTAAATCGTCGAGGTAGGTTTCGTGGCTGGACGACGAATAGGAATATTCACCCTCTCGTGTGCATGTGTCTCTGTGCAATGCAGAATAATAACCTCAATCATAATAATATTACATGAAGGAATAACGTAGCCATCACAAAATTGAGGTTTAACTCATCAACCACAGCATACATAGCACGTCGTATTTGCTAAACACGCAGAGCAGAGTCAAATTGTGCAATTTATAAAAGCGACAAGAATTCCTTTTTGGTGTCATATGATGACATGGAATAATTTCAGTCCGAGTGAGTGAAATGTGACTCCGTACAAGAGAAGAATTCGTCAACAACTTTGATCATTAAGCAAAGTTGTTAAATTTTACAGACCAAGAAACGAACGGACTCGTCGTCGTGTAGAAATCGCAAATTACACGCTGAATGAAAATATTTATTCTGCTGGTGGACAAACTAGATCGCATAAATATTATTTGCCCACTTTTATCACCACTTCATAAGTACATACTCTTTCTCGCATGTCGTGGGATTAACTGGGAAGTGCAGTTGACAGAGTTGTAGAGACAAAATATTTGTAAGAATAATCCAGATCCACTCCACTACGGAAAGACAAACTATAATTCTATTCATCTCTGACTGGTTAAAACAAAGGAAAATATTTCGCTACTAGGTTGGATTAAACGAGTATCATGTATGCAAGTACATAAGTAAGTACGCGATTCACCGTTACTCAATTCATTCATTCACGTTAGCATTTTCGGTTTGCATTGTACTTTTACAATAGTACGTACTTGTTGTATACACAGTCGAGAAGTGGTTTCCTCACAATAAGTGTGTTTTATTTATTAGCGAACAATAATAAAACAACAATCGACTGAATAAACACAAGCCTCCCTTCGCACAAAGTAACGTCTACGACAATAGAGGAATTCAACTCAAGTGGTAAATTATTCACCCCACAACAGAGACAGAAAGTATTGACCGATAATACCCGGAATTAGCAGAATGATGCGAATATTTGCGATATTTGCATTTATCTCGCTCTGTGGAGTTGCATGCGTCAGTGGAGTTTTGGTCGAAGATGTTCGAGACCAAGTCATTCACGAGGTGGAGAGTGCGTGGCGTAAACTGCAGGTAATTCACTTGTCACCGTCAAGATCGTAAATCATATCTTGAATCTATGAATTCATAAATAATAATGACGTGCGATTTATGAGACAAAAATATTTACCTGCATAAAAATTATTTGGTTAAATCTAATTTAGGGCTTGGAGTCGGATCCTAACAAACCTCTGGGTCAAGTACTGAAGGACTTGTCAGCAATTGTCTCCAGAATTCCGGACACCATCAGCCGAGTGGAGCGAGAATTGACCGTGTATGAGTACGATGAAGCACTAAAATCCTTGGGAAAGGTTAAAAAGTAAGGTCATTAATTCACGGGGTTGATATCCATATTGCCATCAGCTAATGCGAATATTTAATCACACACATTTAATCCCCAGCACTACTCGCACTTGGAGGGAAAAGTGGTCGGAAATTGCTCTCCTCACTTCTCCTGTGGACATCTTGTATGGACATTTTAAAATATTTCCCGTAAGAAATTTAAACATTACGACTTATTAAAATGAATTTGAATAATTTGTCAACTATCTATGCAGGAAATGCCGGAAGCATTCTTGCCTGGCTCCGGTTATGACTTTGACATCAACTCCCTCACGGAACTCATCCTCAAGCCCTTGTACAACACGGACGAGAAGGGAACAATCACGCTGAAATATCTGATTGAAAACGTCCACACTGCCGCAATTTCGAGGACACGACGTGAACGAGACGCCTTCCACATTCTCAGCGATCAAATCGAAGTACGTATTTCAGACGTACTTAGAAACTTGATTGAGATATGAATTTGCATAAACATTCATGTTTCGGTATGTAGGAAGCTCTTCGGCAGTCGTACTGGTGTCTCTGGAATGGGAAAACGCCACAGCGGATCGTGTACGGATTTTATGAGACCTTGGCCGCATTTGACATCAAGGAGTACACGCTGCTGAACTTTGCCTGGATGCTGAAATTTGCCATCAATGGGAGTAAGTCCTACTTGAATTATGTACTTAACTGGCCTCCTCTGATGATGTCATGCGTATTGTACAAAATTAATGCCTCTGGTTTGTCACTTTGTAGCTGAAGTGAAGAATCAAGTGGTGGAGAGCAAGGAAGCCCTTCTTCAAAGAACCGATGAGAAGACCATGATTGCAAAAGAAGTCATGGCCACAGCATCGTCTGGCTATTGGAAATGCGACCCCATCAAATACCAGGCTGGCGTCAACTACGCAGAGTTCAAAGAGTTGCTTCAAGTACATAAACATTTATGTATTTATTAACTAATATCATATCAAATAACATGAAATTGAATGGTATATAACGACTCCAGGGCTATATTGAGAATGAGAACAAGATGCACACGAGTGGATCATGCAAACAAGGTTGTGCCGACTATGCCTTCATTAAAGCCCGGTGTGCGTACCCTGATGATGAATCTTGTTTTCACCACAGAGTCTGCACTGGCAATCTTATTGAGGTATTCACATATCCATAAATATTAATCTTTACCACTAATTATGCTCCTTCGTCATGCAGTGCAAATACATTGCTGCTGACGCCACCGTTTGCCCTGCCGACGCCCCTCGACGATTTGACTACATTGAGTACAAAAGAGGTCCTACCCTGGGCAGCAGTAAGTTGCGTATACGACACGGCCCACATTCTAAATAATTTTAATGATTTGCTAATTTTTAGCATCAAAGAAATGCAGCAAAACCACCGAAACGAGAAATAGTCACTGGAGATTTTTATACCACGTAAGAAAAAATACGTTCACCGACAGTAAAAGTAGAATTAAATGTTTTAAACATTTTATGCATTTATTTTTAAACATTCAGTGTTCAAACTGCTTCTGCTTGTGCGACGATGCCCGAAGTCCAACCACCGTGCGACACGTTAGCATTTCTCCTGCCACGTCCGACGTTTCAGCCAACAAAGTTGTCACCGGAGTGCAGTTCGTTATGAAAGAAGGGATCCTACATTTGCAGGTTTGTATAGTAATTTGACTTATGGGGTTTTATGCTCGCTGACCCAAGCATACGAATTACATGTCATATAATTACAACAGATTGAACAAGGGGAGGCAGAGAAAGAGGGCGACATTTCCGATGGGACAACAGAATGGAAAGCACTGCCGAATTTAGATAAGTATGACGAGTCACGGGTCACTGTTTTGGAGTACACGCGTCGCAGTTTTGATCTGGACGACCTCGTCGTTCCAAAAGACCACGTCGTCACTGGTGTAAAATTCCGTGTTCTTGGAGGACACTTAAATCTCGAAGTTCAAGTGAGTTTATTTTTGTTCTTGTGAAAACATGCGTATTTATATAGTTTTGTTCATATCATTAGAGATTCAATTCTGGTTGTTTTTTATTATTCTAATTTGTAGGCCACCCAAATTAATCCAGAGACTGGGAAGCTGATCATCGGCTCGTCGCACTGGGTGAGCAACGACAATACTCCGGAGGCTGCGAACAACGGGAGGAAGCTGTTGCCTCTGGATGAGCTGGATGTCCCCACGCTCTCCAAACATCCCAGTGCCCCAGACTCCACCCATGACCAGTACTTGCAATTTGGCCCTACTTCGCGCTACAAGGTATCACATGGGCTTCTAAATAAAATTTATGCATTTGAGTATTATTCATTTAATAGTAATTGACTCGATAAAATATATGACTAAACTTGAGCCAGTTAATCATGGCAATGCAATTGACTTGTGTATCCATTTACAGGACGTCTCCCAGACCACAATCCCCTTCATTGATCTCCAAGAAGTGCGTCCTAACCCTCCCGTGTGGCTCAGAGGGTATTGCAATTTACCTTAGCTTCTAATTTCTTAAATAAGTAGCATCTGATTACGTGCATAAATAAATATGGATGCACATATATTCCAGCATCGGCGTGTACCACAAGGGACAGCCTGGCTACGGGGGATTCGTCGCCCCCCGAGTTTTCACAATTTCAATCGTGGATTTCATTAAAGTTGGTGGGTCCTCTTCCAGCAACCGCTACGAAATCTCCCCTTAGGCTCCCAGCAAATAAGAATTCATGAAAAAATTGCACCTAAAAGTATGTAGGAACCTAAATAATGATCTTCAATCCTTCACTCAAAGACAGCCCTTGTACTAGCTGAATATTATTTGTGTAATCAATTTAGCCATAACGTAGCTGCACTAGATTACCTTCTGGAAAAAAGTGTATAAACCCACTCTTAAATCTCACAATTCTCTGTACATGATAGTGTCATTCTACTAAATATATACTGACAATAATCAGGTAAAGAATGCTCCCATCAGATTTCAAAGAGTTTTACAAGTCCTCAGAATCACTCTTGAGTGCGAGGGAGGAGGCGAAACATTTCCATATTTACATTGATTGCGTCCAAAGACAAAATTTTAAAAAAGGGTTTCTTGAAAAATTGGAGAGCTTTCATTTCTCCGTCAAAAACTTGAAATATTTCTCGGTCGTACCACATTTGATGGTTTTTATTTATTCACTCGAATGAGCTATTCGCATTGCAGTCTTACATATACCATTTATATATTTACAAGTACTCGTATCTTCCTTACAGCATGTCTTCCATTCCAGCAGAATCTAAAATATGTAGCAATAGGCGTTTATCATTAGTCATTAGTCTCTAATTAATTTGAGTCAAATGATGAATGCAATTTTAGAGTACTTCAAACAATATATGTGTGTCGTCCTAAGTCTCCAGTCTTTCATACATTAAAAAGGTATAAAGTATTCAGGAAGCTATACATATGTAGCTACATAGTTTTATATACGTTTAACTATTACAAATCTTATAATCTTATAATTTGCCTTCTGATTGTACACCAACCTTTATTGGAGGATTTGTACTTTTTGGCTTAATTAATCACTACTGAGTGCATAAGATTTAGAGTTTTTTTTAATAGAATAGATTAAGAACCGGATTTCGCAATTCCGTCACATTCAGATTTGCGTCTCAATGTTGCTGTATTATGTAAAATATACAAGGTGAAACTCAGTCCAGATATGGGAATAAAATAAAGTGGATTTTAGAAACCTTTGAAAAAAATCTTTCCTTCTTGTCATGATTTATTTACTATGATGCTTATGGTTTATGCATTCAACTTGATGCTTTTCTACGTCGAATTCTTTGGACCGAGGGATTTTCTTGATTCCAGAATTGCATGAATTGGCACGTTCTTCTACAGTGGCTCTGCAAACAAGTCATCAATATTCATTGATCCCAGGGCCAGCAGAAGAAACGTCAGAATATTGACAGGTTTTCTTGTCACCTACGGTATGCAAATATTGGTTGGTTGGTGGTTGCCTTGAGCTTTCTCACGTTCCTCCTCCTGAGACTGGATGGGTATTGACAAATATACGAATGAGACGGATTGGGCGGAGGCAGTGTGAGACGATGAGACGATGAGACGAGTGAGATTGAGACAGAATATTGATCCACCACCACCCCGCTGTTTCCAACGCTCTCTTCTTCACGACGGCACACACTTTTTTGCAACTAAATAAATAATTTGTAATTACTCATAGTTCCTGATTCCAATTGGTGTGCAGCTCATTATCTGTACCAGACCAAGGAGGATAACACACAGACGAGATAACTGACTCATTCATCATCAAATAGTCACTGTCGGTATTGGCAAAGCTACTTCCTTTCAAGCATGAGAACGAGTTTTTAGGTACACGATTATATAATTTTAGGGGAGTTTCTTTATTATTGTGTGTTAAATGTTCACAACTTGTAAAATATTGGTTGTGTTAATTTTAAGTTTGTGATTTATTCTAAATTTCAGTTCTCAAACAACAATGGTTGTGCTCCAGTAATGAAAGAATTGTCTTGCGACTACTTCTTACATCGCGGATTGCTGTCAAGTGTCAAGTTTACTCATTTGTCATTCCAAATACACTTTAATGAACGGAAATCGAATTATTCGTGTTATTGGGCGTATTGTTTGAAGCACGGTTCGTTCAGTCTTTCGTGGAAGGTGTGTAACTTTGGTGGTGGGGAAACAGTAAGGAGAACAAGAAGTCGTCGCAACGACGTGACCAACAACGGAGAAGTATCAGGCTCTCCACCTTCTAGAAGACGAAGACCGGGGGATGGGCGGGTTGACGGGTCAACTGAAATGCAAAGTCAGGCATTTCCTCTGCCTAGTCATCTCCGTTGCATTGACGTCTTTTGTCTTATCAATCTACAACCAAAAACAGCCCCACACTCTTCAAGACATTGTTACTCAGACGCACAAACAATTTGAATCTCTAAAGGTGAGTTATTTTTTTAAAGAAATAGCAGTGTTTTATACTACACTATTTTTATACGACACACCAGAATGAGAACAACGCTCAATTAAGCCGATTGGTGCGGTTATACAGCGGCTTAATTCAGGGTTATTCCCTGACTTTCGTTCGCGACCTCACAACCATAATATTTAATATATGTTAGGAGAATTTGCAAGCTGGAGTTGGAGTTGGTGATGGTTGGGGAGGAGATAAGCATTTGGATGTCGAGGACAAGTATCTCAGCCTCCTGGGCTTCATTCGCGACCCATCTGGGAAGGAGACGACACAGGCTCAAAAACTTGGACTGGAGGCTGCCGAATTATCTGTGCGCAACAACAATGGAACCGTTCCTATCCTTGTTGTAACTGCAGTACGTAACATACCAACATAAACTTCATATATATGCACATATCGACATTAACTTAAGTAGCCAGCTATAAAACGTGTGTCACTGAAATAGGTCAACAAGGGACAGTTATTTCAGTTTGAAGATTTTTTGACAAACGTCCAATCAGCACTTCCAGCCAACCCAATTATTGTTTGGAACATTGAACCAGAGGCACGGGTTGAAGAAGATGACGAATTTACATTGAGCCTAAAACAGTCTTGCAATTCATCGTTATGTTTCGTTAAGCGTTTCTCATTTTCGGGTAAGTTTAAAACAGTTTAAACAAGATTTATTTAATTATCTAAACTATATAAAGCAGGCAAGTGTATCGCTGAGTCGGTGGCTTGGTTGAGAATTCTATTGACCTCTCCTTTTGTCTCTCCTCTGCAAAGAGAGAAAAGGAGAGGCTAACTTCACTAATGTTGCATTCTCTCAAATTATTTTATTTGGGTGACGGGATTTTTTTGCCCGTCGATGGACGGGCGTCTAGTTGCATATGTATTCCATAAATATATGAACATTTGCTAGATAAACTCTTCGAATGACAGACGACAATTTTTCGCAAAGTTTTTTGATATGTATATCACAAGTATTGTAATTCACAGACCGTGTCGTACACTACGTACACTACAGCAAATGCCAAAGTTATAATTTATAATGCACAAAGCGTATGTTAATCATAGTTGAATTAATGAGATTATTTTACTCTGACTGAAGATTATCCGGATCATGTCAAGGATCTCAGTTTTCGAGCTTACAGACCTCTAATTCTACAGGTAACATATACTTTATATGACAATCATGATATGCACGATATACATTTTAGATTTGTACCCGGATAAATAAAGCGCTAATTCTTAAAACTGGTGTTGTCGCAGATAATGATGGATGCAGGAAACACATGCTCTTTGTGGCTGGATATTGATAGAAGATTTATTGCTCAGACCAAGTTGAATCTCAGCCGATTTTTGGAATTGGCAAAAACTGGTGGAAGCAATGGTGTTGTTGGATGGCCGTCTGGTATTTACTTTTGCTTCATCGTTAGTAATTATTTATTTACTTGTGTAATTTGATCAACTCTTGTTCGTTTTACTTTACAGGTCATCCTACGTCTTCGCTAACACATCCTAAAATGTTTGCATACTTTGAAACAACGGCAGAGAACTTTTATTTTCATCGGGTATGATTTAGTCAACTCATTGTGTCACTCTATGATATCTAACTAGTCATAGTATTAGTAATATTACATATTTACGAGTCACTAGTCGAAAATCATGTATGAAAATCGCGTATCAAAACATCAATAAGCAGTTTTTCATGGATTTCAGATGATTGATCCATCACAACTTTTGTTGTGCAAAACTGAAGATTTGCAGTCCAAGGTAAATTATAATAGGCCGACTTCTCGTTCCTATCTTTAAAAACCGTATTTATTTACTTTTATGCACACTTATCTGTTTAACATTTTTAATTCTTAATTTTTGATAAAGGTTATGAAACCTTGGGTTGCATGCAGTTTGAAGAAAGAGTGCATTGCTCCATTTGGATCGCAATCAGGGGGATGCCGATTTGATAAGAAACCTTTATATCGATATTCCGGGTGTCACGGGTGAGCAATACATTCGTTAAATTAATTGAATTGAATTTAAAAATCCACTCTTTAATGTGACAGATATGATTCATCAGCTCTAAATGTTGCACTGGGTGTTGCATTTCCAATACACCAGCCATACATTTCTCGAGCACCTCTTACAAAGCCAGTCCAACTGCTAATGATCAACTCCACAGCTTCATTATGATAATCGATGACCAATTAAGGAGTCGTCGTCGTCGTCGTCGTCGTCACCCCCACTCGTCACAGCAACAACACAGTGATTGGATATATGTACGCATCCACTTGCACAAAGAAATACATAAAGTGCTTGATCAGCTCTCTCCCCTTTGTCCCTGCAAGAATCAAAAAGGGGTTTACTCTGATATAGTCATTGCCAGTGAAGTAGAAGATTGATAATCAAATCAACGAGTGAGGATGAACAGCCTCGCCTTAAAAAATATAATAATTGGACAGAATAAGACACAGGAATAATAGTACCTTATTTACATCCCCTGTCTGTCCCAACTCAGTATCTGTATTATAATAATGCAACAGCTTCTGTGATGTTATACACACACGCGATTCATATATGCTCATTCCGATATGGGTTTCGGATCAGAAACATTTAGCGACCTCACTCATCTCACCCAAAAGATAATATTATGGAAATGTTTTGCATATTGAAAAATGTATTACTTACTACTGCATTTCGTTCATTACTAATATTGATATGTATTATTCGATGTACACATAATTTCCACTTTGTTGTAAATTGTGCGTTAATTCTGTATACGTATCATCAGGAAAAGCTAATATGTGTCTTTCCGCTAAATGTCCATGGTACGTTCCAAAAGTTCAAGTCGTCATTCATCACTCCACCCGGCGGAGGGTGGGTCATTTTAAATAACGGCATTTCTTTACTAGTCATCAAAACCAAACACTGTATGCGACATAATTTTTTAACGCCATTTGTTTCGTGGTTCGGCGCAGAATCCGCAAACGTGTCCACGTTTTCTACAACATTTTTACCGTTAATAATAGCACTAATTATTATTTAGTCGCCCACATTGTTATCTCTCTGTCTGATATTTTTATTATAATTAATTAAGTACAATTTATGTAATTGATATACCTACATAATATATACACACATGCATACCTTGTACCTTACAGAACTGCAACACAAATGTATTACTCACTCCACACAGCCCCAACAGATCGGCAATTGTATTATATAATGAATATAATTATTGTAAAATCAAAGCAAGTGATAGTGAAAAAAGCTGACAAGTATATACTTAGCTGACCAATAAAATAATCTCTGAACCTGATACACTGATTGAGTTGGTGGGCATAATATTTGGCATAATAAATAATTAGACTTATCAATCATAAGTAACCATTAAATCTGCTATGCAAAGTTGCATAGCGTGGGAATTGCATGGAGAAAGTTGGTAAAAGTTTAGGGTAAAAGTTTGTGAGGCGGACTCTAGAGTCAAGTCCGACCTGTACTTATGCACTACGATTTGACTGTAATTTTACACTTGATCTCGGTTTCCCCTGATCTCGGTTTCTCACAACATTCCCCCAAGGCTTGTTCAAAAGTGTGCTGTAAGTCATGGCTTGAAAAGCTATGCTTCTGCTGCACGTAATAATTAAATTAAATTACAATTTTGCAATATTTTCAACACGTTTTAGTGGGCCTGGAATCCAGACCGGATTCTAGGGGAATTGTTGCGTGGTTGGGTGTGAACGGTCCTTGAGAGAGAGAGCGCAGTCTGTCCAGCGAGTGAGAGAACTTGGCCTGTGATGATATTTAGCCTCTCGGAACGATCTGCTGCTGATTCCGAACCACAACACAAAAAGTGCCCAAAAAAACGGAAGGACAGCTCTCTTCCTCTCCAGTTGCTGCAACTAAAGAAGTAGGACAGAATCAATACGTTGTAATTAAATTGTGCTCTTACGTCTCTAAAATCGGCTAGTAATAACCCTTGAGGCACTAGGAATAGCTCGTAATATGGGTAAGTGTCAAATTTGCTTGAACTAGATTCAATTCTCAGTGTGGTGAACTCAGTCAGCTGACTGGATAAAAAAGGAAAAAGTTTCAATAATTGCAAGTTGAACCAACTCGAGCGAGTCATCGTAATTTTCACAGTTTTCAATTTCGGTTCGACCATGTTGACCAGGATTGGACTTGTCTTTTTTTCTGGATGTTGATCGCTGTCTAAGAATGTGATTTCATAACGATATGTGTGAGGCGTGAATAATAAGCTCAGCAGCAGCAAAACGTGCTGCCGTTCACTGTTGCGTTCTCTCGAGTTTTCGACGAGTTACGGATTTGGTCAAGATCAGACCTGTTTCTCTCACACTCATTCAGCAACTCATCGCCGGTCCTGGTCCCGTCCTAATTTTTTAAATATAAATCACAACGTTTTTTGACTTGGCAAAGAAAGACGAATCGACATTTCGCATTTGAATGTGCGTTTGTTCGGAAGAGTTTCTGTATTTTGCATTATTTAATTGTTGTAATTATTAATTATTTGCAGTTGACGAGCAAATTCATTAATCCAGCGAATTCATCAAATGTGGGTCACAAGGGTTAGACATTCATGTCACTCTACAAAAGACGTGTAATAAAAGGACGAATTGAGATTATTAATTGTTGCAAGATTAGTGCAGTTTTCCAACTTGGTGTCGCCATCAATTAGTGATATCAATCAAAATGTGGAGGTGGGTGGTACAAGAAGTCAAGTTAAAGCGTTGTTATTGTTGACCCTTGAGCGTGAAAGGTTGAAGGTAGTGTAGTGAATTAGTGTAATGAAAGTGGTATTAAACTCCCAAAGGAAGAAGAATGACATGATTGGAAGTTAGCGACTCAACAATTGTGCCGTGTTTTTTTTCAAAGTTTGGAGTGAAAACTTTGATTCCACAGAAAAATTATTCATTAACCACTACCGTCCCTTATACCAAACTGATTCAATTTTCTCTAGTGAAAGTGTTTAATAAATTGTGTTGTGAATGAGTATTGCGATGTGGTGGTGGTGATGAACCAATTGCATTGGTCCGCCGGCGGAGAAGGTGGGTGTCAGTTCTTGTATAAACTTTAATAATTTTTACTTTTTGCTTCCTTATTGCTTTTTAATTATCTGATGTGTACTACTAACAAGTAATAATAGTAAGTAATTTCAAGAAAATGGATGAAATTACTTCAATAGTTGTCATTGTGTTCCACGAGTAGTTAATCGTATTACATTTGCATAGATTTTCTTGCACCCTAAATAAATATTGTCTACTTATTAGTAGATTTTCTTGTTTGAACGGTGTCTTTTGAGGTAATTAAAATCAGTTATTAGCAACTTTCAAGTACAAATTGTACTCCATCATTTCATTATAAAGAAAGCCATATTAATAACTCGCTCCGAAAATGATTTTTACAATGATACACGTATCTTTTATAGATGTCTCCTTTTTGTATTTCCTCGCATTTCCTCTAGGCACAAGTTAGCTACATATATGAGAAGGACGACACTTGAACTTTTCATCTGCCATAAGTATGTGTCCAAAAGGGTTAAAATGAGGGAATAGCTGCACTGCGTTTAATACCGTTTTTGTCCGTGGCTCTTGAGATTTGTACATACAGTCAGTGGGCGAAGACATGTCCGATGGAGTGCACATGGAAAGTGGGATTGCGATGCTTACGCTTTCTCTCTCTCTCTCTCCCACTTTCCTCTCTAATCTGATTCCTCAAATTCCGTCCCAGTCTCAAATCAACTAGCAGAGAGAAATACTACAGGCAGACAGGTACTTACATACATAGAACTATGCCTACGATGATGTGGTCGTACTCAGTCGTAGTTCAGTCACATGTTTTTTGGCTGGTGACTCTGTAAAAGTCCCTCAACTATTTACATACACTAAGAATGCACATTTTGCATTTAAAAAACTGCCCATCCATCCAACAATACTAACTGCTGATATGTTTCAATAGTTAGTTTGTGTGTACGAGCCCTCAACTGCTCGTATTTTGCCAGCATTGAGAGATAACAACGTAACAGGTTCCACTTTAAGATACTGACCCAATTGTCATGTCCCAACTTTCAATCTGACCAACCAGGTTCAAAAGTTTTCGACTTACTTGATGATTAATCAAATCACTGTGGAGTTATTATTGTGATTGTTTTAGTAGTTACTAGCAGTACTAATGTGTACGTTGCAACGTGCAGGCGGATGATAATTCATGAATTGTGACCATGCTCAATCTCAACACCTCGCCAAATAACATAACGGGTACATATTGTTGTCGTTAACTATCCAGCTTATCATTTACATAGTGAGAGTAGTGCGGGGGCACAAAGTAGCTGATTTAACCATGATCAAGGCAAATGCATTATTATATTGTTGCATTATCTTATGTTTTCAGGCGCAATCGCGCATCTTCACTTTGGGTCTGCAAGGATGGAAAATTTTAGTGCGATGGATCCACGTAAACAGGAGCTACTGGAAGCACGCTTGCTTGGGAGCAGGGTAAGTAACCTCAATTCAACAATTAGTTTATTTTATTTCACTGTATGGCTTAGTGAATATGCAAACTTTTCGTTATCATGCATCATCATATAACATTAAGTTTATGTGAAGTTGTGATCGGCATATGAAAGTAAGGTGCATGGGGACTAAAACGATAAGCCTACAGGATATCATCCACGTGTCCCAACTAATTAATTCCTAATCACAATGACTACGATTTTTTCCTTTCTCTGGTGCCTACCTGGCTGAAGCAGACGACTTTAGACTAGAAGCACTAAAATTGGACCGACTACATACGTCGTCCGCATATTACATATGCGGACGACGAGAGCGCTGAGGGTGTATGTAGTAGTAGTGGATGGTTTAGGGAGGGGAGGAGGGGGGTGTTATTGGTATGTATGAGGGTTAAGTTGAGTGGGAAACATTGTGATTGTGAAGAAGACGACGGAGACATTATGGACGTGAAAATCAATAGTTTTAGAGCTTGGCCGTGCAGTAGTGAAAGTAAGTAAGTGGAGTGGAAGGTCGCTGTCTTTTCCTCCTTCTTCCCAGCAGCAGCAAGCCGTTGGGTTGGATCAGTAGTGTGTGCAATGTGGTATCACACGGGTTTAACAATTTCAGACTTGAGTTGACTCCCAGGCAGGCAAGGACTCTCTCTCTCTCTCTTTCGGACAAATAATACACGGCTCACTTTCTTCCTCTTTCACCATCATGTTTCCTTCCGACGACCGACACAGCCGACTTCTTTCTTTCTTAGCACTTCTCATTGCCTGCCTCCTTCCTCTGTTGTACCCCCAGCATATGAAGCATAGCACAGAGTGGCAGCAAGAGAATGCTATCTATTTAGCCCACACAGGCAAGCAGTCAAGGAAGGCAAATGCAGAGATGGAAGGGAAAGTCCAATCTAGCCACCATGAAAAATAATATGCTATGCAGTGTGTGATGATGATGCTCTCTCAACGCGAAAAAAACACCCAGACCGCCCAATCACACAATAAATTATTCGTGTCATCCGTGTAGATATGTGGAATGAGCCCTCTGTAAAAAGGACAACTTTCACCAGAGGATATCCTCAAAACATATGTATTATAGCTGTGGTATTTGTCTAGGTGTTATTTTTTTACAAATCGGAACACTCTTTTAATTCCTCCGTGACGATGTTTCTATAAAATTAAATTGTTATACGAAGATGGCGGTAATATGCTTTCTCCAAATTCATGGTATGCGTTGAAAGGAAGTCTAAAAGGACCAATCGGCAATGTTCATGTTCACACACATTATGCTGCTGCACAAAGCCAGTTATGGCATGTTCTGCGGGATGGGTGACTTTTAATTTGAGGAGGAGTGCATATCTCTTTCACTCGAACTTGGGTCATTTTACGCAGGCAGCGGAGAAAGGAGCCTCACGTGTTATGTTGTGAGTACTATTACTTGTGTATGTTAGTTGATATGGACTGGGTGAGGTTTAGTTTAGTGAGATTGGTTGGCAGTCTGGCAGTGCACTGGTTTGGTGAAAGTAAAGTGTGGATAGATAGATAGAGGGACTTGTGTGTGCTTGCTAACGGGTTGGTGGTAGTCGGTGGTGGAAGCAAGGATGAAATGAAGGTATTTTTGTCGAGATAGCACGAGCAATAACTTTGTGGAGCTGGAAGTGCAGGCTTTTGTAGCAAGATGTTTGGTCTCATTCCTCTCCTAAGTAGTCTCCACACAAGGCTGCATAGCATACGTATGTACGAACATGTACTTCTCGGCATGGCAAAGGAAACGGCGTAAGGGGGATCCAGTTCACAGTCCAGCAGCAGACTCCATGTTCTTATAGTCTTCTTCCTGTTCCACTACTACGACTGCTACCACTACGCCACGACTGCTAGTGGCTCAGATCATTCCGATTATGCTGTCAGTTTGTTGCAAGGGCGATCCGTTTCGGTTCTCACAATCGGGTCACTGACATCCCCACTCCCTCCCGTTCATTCGCAAAGAGAAAGGTCTTCTGGAGCTCTCCTTCTTTCTCGAACTCTACTACATACAATCTGCTCTGGCGTGCTGCAGTCCTGCAGGACGCAATTTAAGCAATGCAAATGAGCTAAGGATCCACTAACTTCACTTCGTAAGGCTAGCATATGAGCAGAATCGGTCAGTATAGAAATCAACTCGACAATATTGGGTCAACTTTCACCATCATCAGTATCACGATGAATGTGGTTTGTATTGAGTCCCTCTACTTCATTAACCAAGGCCATTGGAAGGAAACTGGTGGAAAAGGGGTCTGTCCAGAGATCGGAATGGTTGTCTAATTTGAAGGAGTGAATTAGATCAGGGTTTTGGATCTGCAGGTCTGCGACGCTATAATGGCTATTTATCTGGGTTTGGCTGCATGCAACCCAGCAACAAAGGACGAATTCCCTGTTGATCGAACCTGCTCTTTCTGTACTCGTTCTAGTTGTTGTGCAATGATGTTGTTGGAAGTCGAAGGAAAAAGTACATAGTGCTGGCTGGAAGGTTGGAAGGACTCTCTTCATGAGTCTCTTCCCTTCTCCATGTGTAATCGCAGTTGTAGTAGTTACTGGAATGGAATGGTAACTACTAGGGTGAGTGACTATCTACTATCTGAATGCGTATGCATGCATGCTGTTAGCTGCCGAGTGGCGTAGCTTCAAGTTGCGTAAAGGAATTGAGCTTGATTATGATATTCTGGGGTTCTTGCTGTTCATTGTCTTCTTCCTGTTCCATTTTATTCCAATGGGCCTGGCTGAGAGGTCGACGGGCTTTATACGCTAAATGCAGCAGTTTCATCCATACTTCTTCTCAACCGCGTTGGCTCGTTTTTGGAAATGGAGATCGCGATTGAGTCGACTATGCCATCTTATGTATATGATGGTTGACTGGTATTTGGACAAATCCATAGTGTCCACTTTTAGACATTAGTCATCTATTTTGCTTGTATTTTGCTTGTTAAAAGTGTATGCGATGATATTTACCCAAGTTGTCAAGTCAGTGTTTTAGTGCGACTGTTTATAATTTTTTATGGACTGATTGAGACAATGGAGTTATTTGTAATGACAGTAGGTGTAGTTGCGCAAGCAACCACACTCGTAACAGTATACACAGGCAAGTGAGTAAGTATTCATAAGTGAGTGAGAAAAGTGCAAATAAGCCATCGTGAATTCGTGATGATGAGAGAACGTGCATTTGGATACTTTTGTATAATGCAGTGCAATCTAGTCCTTCCTGGGACATATACACAGAGATCTGTATGCATACATATCTATTTTGTGGGGCTTAGGATGCGCAGAATTTAGGAACGAGTCCGTAACAAGAACTACATAACTGGCGAGGAAGATTGTGTGGTGGTCTGTCTGCCTGCCTGCCTGAATGCATTGCATAGTTTACGGGGTTTGTTAACGTAGTTTAAGACCTACCACTCGGGCAGATGAATTTATTTTCCTTTCTTTTCATTCATTCACCAAGAGCATGACGATGAGCAAGACCATCTCCTCCTTCTTCGTACTTTGCAGCATTTAGAGTCGTGGTTTCATTCGTAGTACTTATTTATGCAGTAGTTGTAGTATAATCTCCCCGTGTGTAAAAGACAACATTTGAAATGCTCGTTATCATGTACAAGGCTTGGACAGGAAAATAAAGTCAAATTTGAGAAAAAAATTTCTTTGCACCAGGGCTGACTGTAGTATTGTAGTATTATTATAGTAGCAGTAGTAGAACAAGAACTGTTGCACTAATATAAGCATAACTTGACGAACTAGGTAAAGCCGATGTCGTTGTGTTATCTGGGAGCTGCAGGGAGAATATTACATTGATGGTGATGATGATGCCTGTCTAATGAAAAAGCGTTTACCCTTTTCTTTTACCTTCTGCTTCTCATACTTCGGTGATACAGGATTCGTGAAGATGGTGTTACAAATTGTACCTTAACATTATCATATCATATTATACATACGTATATACGTGTTGTTTCGCAGTCTAGCACGCTAGATGAATCTGCAAATCTCTTTTTCCCAAAAACTGCTTTCCTTCAGTGCATCATCATTTAATTTGTATTTAAAAATTGCTCCACCAATGTTACATGTTATGTAATTGTGAGTCACAATTTGCGACCTTTGCCCAGACCTCATTCCTTGTCATCAAGTACTTTAAGATTTAAGATCTGCACAAGCTGAATTTGATATTATGTCTAAATTTCCCTCATAGTGCGACAAATGATTAATCTGAAGTCATAGGTTTAGATATTTTTAATCACACGGCAGAGAAAAGAAGAAAATGCCGTGTTGCCATTGAACTGTATTATTAGAAATGGGTTAACACAGCTCATGTCATTTTCAACTTACTCATACTTGTCTTGTACTACCCACCCAGTTAACGCAATTTAGTTGAGGGTTCAGTGGAGATGATCTGTTTTGTGAAGAGGCTCCCTCGGAATAACACCACCAGTCACCCCACCACAAAACGATGAACCATCCTCATCTCATATCATCATATTCTTTTCCTCGCTCGATTTTCTTCACCACGAAAGAACAAGAAGAAGACGGCAACAGAAATGATGCTGCTCAAAACAGCAGCATGCCATAGCTATTAGTGGAATGCAATGTAGGAAGGAAAAGGGAACTTGTTTGAAGAGAAGTTTTAAAATTTATCCAAGTCTGAGACTCTTTCGTAGTGCGTACACTTCGTACGAACCAATGGGTTCACCACCAGTCGGATGTTAAAGGAACGCGGTGCAGATTCAGACAGATGAAGAAAGCATGAAGAATCGAGGATGGATGGATTATTGTGCATAAACTGGCTACGAGGTTAACACCAGTATCGGGCATTTTTCTCAGGGGAGCAAATTCAATGTGAAAATATTGACCTTTTTAAGAGAATTTAATATTTGCATATGTAGTGTGCATATATTTAGAAGTAGTCTCCTCCTTATTCCTAAAGATCTAGATACCATTGATTAGTTAGACGTGGTGAATATGCAGTAAAACTGTTATTCCCACCCCACCTTGAAAATATCCAGACTCGCGAAGAAGGATTGCCGTTTCGGTTTGGTTTGAACGGAAAGATGGCTTTGCTTTGTATGTGGCTTGACGCATGTATTATTTCACTCAAGGGAGAAAAACGACTAAACGAGTTGAAAGATGGCCGAGGCGAAGGTGAGAGTGAATAAGGGAACAGGGAAGAGTTAAATTATTCGTCAACATATTTAGATATTTATAGAAAATAGAATATTATTGATCTCTTGATCTTTTAAAGTTGCACTGTACATCAGTACACAGTGGCGGCGAAAGCAGGGGGACAGGGCCTGACAGGGGACATTCTCCCCCCAGAAATTATCAATAAGCCCCTCCTCTTCCTATCTCACAACGCTAATGTCACAACATTAACCAACCAAATGAAATGATCTGTTTTGTATGCAGTGTGTATATCACAGTGTATATAAGACATTTGCCCGAAGTGCCTCGAGGACTTCTTTTACATGATGATCCTCCGTCTCACCTTTATCTCATGGGGTAGCCTGGAGGTTAAAGGAGTGTAAAATCAAGCGTCAGGTCCATGTAATGTAAGGTGAACTTTGTAATCTGGACAGTTTTTTCGTCAATCGAATTTGCATGCAACTTTCCGCAAGTGTGCAATGTGCGCTACCAGATTGCAACGAATATTCACTTACTAAAAATTAGCGGCTGTCGAATTACCCTTTTCTGAGTTGGTTAAATTACCAAAATCAGGACTAAATGTTAGCTTTTCGTAGATTTGATGATATTCATATATATGTAACATACCATGCTCATTGAGCCTTACAATAAAACCCGTAAAAATGTAAGCCTTTACAATTTTTACTCACAATTCTATGAATTGAATTATATATAGCGTTCCACATATTACACTCCTTTACTTATACTTCTTACCGTATATCCAACTGTACTGTACCCCAGAGTAAATAATCATAGGACACACATACTACCGACCATTAATTGTGCAGTATAGGACTGAGTAGTACTACAATATAATAGTTTTATACCTTGTTGGTTAAATCGTGGCGATGATGATATTAATGATCCATCCATCTCCAATGTGGCACACAACAACACAGTGCAGATGGAAAATGGACGTATGATTTTGTCTGTATTACCAACTTACATATTTATGTAGTCGCATGGTAGTCGCTGCAGTTGCATGCAAGTAGGATTGGATCAGCCATTTATTATTATTAGCCAACCTCCTTGGTTGAAAATTTGCGAGGAATTCAATCCACATTACTTGCATACTTATTACAGACGCAGCAGCAGCAGCAACAACAAACAACGGCAACAAAGCTCGGTCTGTCGGATGATAAAATGCATGGCCTATGACTGCCATACTAGTATTATACATGTTGCGTGATTTGGTTGGTGGTGTTGCCGTTGTCAGAGTGAATAGAGAAGATGGAGAGTATAGTTAAAAGAGTTAACTTAAGTAAGCGCAAGAGCATAATAATAATTTGATGAAAGTTGGTTTCCTTTGCCACTTTGTGTACGATTGAGTAGTTTGTAATAGCTGTCTATCTATCCCGATGAGTCCGTCATCAGGGCCGTAGAAGTGGGAGTGGAAGATCACAGGGACGATAGACTCTGTATGTATTATGCAGCTAGTTCACGATGCTTATGATGAGAGTTATTATAAGTAGTTACAATGCAAACTGGGTGAACTTTGTTAATAAGGTGTTGTTGGGTATTAGTGGTAGGAGAACTGATTAGAGGGACCCAGGGATAAAAAGGATGATGGGTTTTTTGGGCCTATTTTATTGGTGTCCGTGCCGAGTTGAGAATTCCGTCGTCCTATCTGCCCGAGAAGAGAGAGAGGAAGGAAGGAACTGCAACCAAGTCCGACGAGGTGTTTCAGAAATTTTGTAATCCATGAAGTGGGTTCTCTCTCTTCTCGAACTAGTAGTTGGTCGGTCTAGTTGGATTGGAGTGACTGAATGTTCGCTCTGTTCTTCTTGTTTTTTAGCAGGATAGAGGAGAGTCTTTCCTTCCTTTGCGTCGTACTAAAGGCGAGAAGAAGAGAGGTTTAGATGGTTTGTTAGTTGTGCAAGTTGAGGCAGGAGCGACGAGTCGTTTTACATACTCGTTAGGTTCTGCTGTGTGTTTATAAGGTTACGTCGTCGGTCCTCTCTTGTGGCTCCCTGCCCTGTTCAGCCAACAACGATATTGGATTTTGTTGTTCTCTCGTCTCTGCTGCTGAGAATGTCCTCTTCTGCTCCTCTCTTCAGTCAGCTACGTGGTCGCATCAACACCGCCGAAAGGCCGACATACTGCCACTTTTGCTGATATTTTATTTCTCTTCCACTTCTCCTGCTAGTGAGTGAACCAATATAATGCTGCTGCTGCTGCTGCTGCTCTTGTGAACCCTGACTACCCACCAGCAAATCCACCATACTTGTTTTTATATCACTTCAGCCAGTTCTATTATTATTACTCTCCGCAATTCCGATAACTTGTCGTCGGACGTCGTCATCATAATCAGCAGGGAGAGTGACACTATGGATTCTCCTCCCTGGTCAAGGGAAGGACTTGTTTAGTGGTTAGCAGTGTGTGGGGCTGGCGGTGGTGAAAGTGGTGGTGCCAACAACCACCGCAGTGCTGGCTCAACCCATAGGAGTCCCTGTGACCTGCTGCGGTCATCAGGTTCCTACGACAATTTCCTTCGGTGGAAGTGGGAGTGGGAGTGGGAGCAACAGTGGTAGCTCCCACCCACACCACCAGCAGCAGCGCAAGAGTCGTGGCAGGTCACCACAAGTCAGCAGCAACAAAGGGCAGCTCATCAAGGACTTGCCCTTTGATCTGTCCCCAAAGCCTCGGAAGCCAAGAAAACGTAAATTGTCGGGCAGTGGGAGCGCTCATCTACTCGCACCCACCTCAGCGGAAATGTTCCTTGTGCAACCACCCTACCGGAGTTGTCCTCCGACCACTTTCGAGTTCCTTGTACGTGCACAATGCTACCAATATCATACTCCCACAAACCTCATTATTGTTACTATTATTTTTAGATTAGTAGTTGTGCAATTATTTTAATAGCACACCAGTCAGGAGAGTGACAATCGTAGAGAGAGAGAAGAGGATTGATAATCAGAATTAAGTTCCTTATCTCTCCTCCTCCTCTTACAAACCAAAGAGTTACGTGTTATATTTACTTGCACGTCCAGTCCACTCAATTGAATAGAAACTCGAAACATCTCACTCAAAATGTCGTCGTTGCATTCGATATTTTGACGATGACGATGAGATGATAGTTACGAGGAGTGCTATGACTATGAATGATGTTTTGAAGAGCTTCAAGTATAAATTCGGAATCAGGCCAGATTTTATTGTATTCGAACTGTTCGACAAGTTTAATGTTTTTTTGTCAACATATAATTAGATCACCATTTATTTGAGTCATACATTGTGTGCATGGACCATCTTTTAGACAGCCATTTGATATTCATGTATCTGGAATCAAAACTCAAACAGTCGAAATCTGTTGAAATAATTTCTTATCTCTGGATCACAAATTGTAAGTTTATGGATATGGCTGAAAGTCAGCCAGCTGAAATGGAGGACGTGCTACATGTCTTTTATGTCTGAGTTCTGCGTCCTTGTGCTCGAATGCCGATCGTCTACGGAAATTCAGACATACTTGTAATAATTAGCAATTTTAAAACAAAACTGGATCAACAGACAAGGATTTTAGTACGTTATTTTAATAGTTAGGCTTATACAATTCTTGGAAAATAAGTACATTTATTATGGGCAGTGTCATAACCCAATGATTTAATTATTGAACACCTTAATTGGTTTATTGTACATGAGATGGAAAATATGCAAAGTTTCTTATCAGTATTACGTTGAGTGTAGATTATTTATCGGATTTTTGGTTCATTAATAACAATTTGCATTTACTGGAGAAAGTCACACATCTTTGAAATTACAATATTTTAGTTTTGACCTTAACATGTAGAGTGATAATAATTGGTTGTCACTTCTATTTTCAGATGTCATCCGGAGGACCTCAAGTACAGATGACACCAAACCAATCAGGTCATCCACTTGGTTCGTCCGGTCACAATAACGGAGCACCTCCTCATCCACTGCCTCTAACAAGTGTTGTGACAACTGGAAACACCAGCGTGATCACCTCATCAGTAGGTCATTCTGCCATTACGAATCCTCCTGGTGGCGGAAACACCAGTGGCAATGTTGGTTCTGCTGCTCTGGGTTCGACAAATGTAGGAACAAACAACGGAGTGATTGACAGGATGCACGGCGGTGGTGGTGGCTCCAACAGTTTGGATAGATTGGCAGCCTCTTGTGTCGTCCCTCAGACCAATACTTCAGGGTCGAATCCAGGACAATTTAACAGTGGTGGTCCGCTTCTGCATCCCCCAATGTTGTCATTACCAAATTGTCAAAATCAAATTTCAATCCATCATACCTCAAATAGTGTTATTTCTACAAATATTACAAATGCGTCCGGACAAGGACCTGGACCTGGTCAGGCTTCTGGTGTCACGGGTCCAAATCAAGACTCCAATACGAGCGCTGGTGAGTGAATGATGGTGTTGTTGTTGTTGATGGCGCCTGTACATATTATTCTTGCCAATCAGCCTCAAGTTTTGGATTAATATGCACAATTATTACTAGTATTTGCACTCTGTTTCATGTTTTTTTTGTGGGGATTTTAGGCTCGTCTCACAGTGATAAAGAAGTAGATACTCCTGCGCCTGAAAAGCAAATACCGAAAGTACCTGCTCCTGAAAGGAAGAGAAAAAGAAAGGCTGATGATACAATTTCGTTGGCAAAGTCCGGCGAAAATTCAAGTGGGGCGACTCCGACGTCATCTTCAAAATCCTCAAAGAAAATTAACGATTACTTTGCTTCCAAAGCCCCGAGTGGAAGTCCCATACGCAACTCCTCCCAAGGGGCAAAAAGTCCTTCTCCTCACCAAAATATTAAATCAAACGTAAGCAAAAAACAACTTTTAGTCTAGTCTACTCCAAATAGATATCACGATATATGTGGGTGGAGTTTTCTAACTAGCAATGTTTTAATTATTTTTCAAAGTTTCCTGCTAGTCCGCAAAACTTGAGTGGCTCAACAGTGAATGTCACTACAGCTCAAGGGTCCTCAGAGTACAACACCAACTTAATGCACCACCCGCGCTTGTCAATGCCCTTGTCGGTCACAGCATCAACCCCCGGGGGAAATGTGAGCGGCAATCTGTCTGGTATTAGTGGTGGAAATGTGGCTGGGAGTCACCCTAGTTCTACGCCTGGTGGAGTAGTTGCCGTGCACAAAGCCATCCAGACTGATCTAACGGGCGTAAGACTGGCAGAGAACGAGGCCCAAGCTTTGACAGACGTTGAGTCTAGAAATACTCGCATTGATGAGCTGAATAGATCCAGTGAAGAACTACGACATCAAATGGCTGCTCAACAACGAGTGCTCGAACAACACAAAGCTCACAATTTAAAGTGCATAGAAGTGATCAAAAAGTTATTGATTGAAAAGTCGTCAATTGATAGAAAAGATTCAAGGCAGCGGTGCATGCAAAACAGACTGAAACTGGGCCAATTCGGTAAGACTTATTAGCTCCTCACATATAATATTTTTTTGATGTGTATTAATTGTTACCAATAGAGACGTTGAGCGAGAGTACATGATTGTAAAAAAATCATTGTAGTCTAGAATCACAATCACAATCTATGATTGTATGTTCTTGAGGTTGAGCAAGAATATTTTATGGGAGGATTGTAATTCTCATTAATTTCCGGCGGCAGATTTGAAATTCCTGTAAGTTGGGTATATGAGTACAATACAATGCTGCCTGGAGACGGAGATTTGTAATCCTGGGTTTGACTAAAAGTCTGACTAATTTTGATTTTCCCGCTGTGTTTACAATCGCAAAATACAATCATGTACTCTTGCTCAACCTCTCTAATGATTATCCCTTAGAGTATCTAATAATAATAATTATTATTAAATACTCTAAGGATTATCTAGTATAAATGAAATGACTATTGAATGGTTCTCTCTCAAAATAGTTACCCAACGGGTTGGAGCATCATTCCAAGAAAATTGGACGGATGGTTACGCTTTCCAAGAGTTGACGAGGTAAGTAATAATATATGAATAATATAATAACATTTCGATTGTTTATTTCTTATATTGTTGTATTGTTGTATATTTACTAAACACTTGCTGTGTTGTTGTATAGGAGGCAGGAAGAGATCTCGACTGAAAAAGATGACATCGATCGTCAGCGGAAATTATTAGGAAAACGAAGGCCCCAAATAGTCGATGGCCAGGGGGGATCAGCAAGAAAGGGGAGAGGAAATAGCGCTCACAACGGTTCTTCTGATGGATTTGTAAAGCCTGGTGAAACGAAGGAACGCGAGCTTACATGGCAAGAGTTTTATGAATCTGATGAAATTTTTAAGGTATGTCATTGACAAATAGCTGACAATTTGTGGCAATTTCCTTTCTAATTTCACGTTTCTCACATATTCTGATTATACATTTCCAGTTAAGACAAAACGCATTGAAAAAGGAAGATGCGGATCTGCAGCTTGAAATGGAAAAGTTGGAACGCGAAAGAAATTTGCACATTCGCGAACTCAAACGAATTCTTAACGAAGATCAATCAAGGTTTACTAATCAATCGGTGCTTAATGATCGCTATTTACTTCTCATGTTGCTCGGCAAAGGGGGTTTCTCAGAAGTTCACAAGGTATGGCCAAGTTAGAACTATGTAAAATTAGGAGATTATGATGAATTTAAATATGATGATGATAATACAAACAAATGTATATCTATAAAGATAATCATATGCTAAATATTTCATTAAAATTTGTTTAAATTATCCCAGGCGTTTGATTTGAAAGAGCAGCGTTACGTTGCATGCAAAATTCATCAGTTAAACAAAGATTGGAAAGATGATAAGAAAGCAAATTATATCAAGTAAGTTTAATCTTTGCCATTATTGTTATTATTATTATTTATTACACCGATGAGCAAGCTAAACTACAATGATGGTTTTATCGTACACTATTTGATTCCTCGATTTTTGTCCTAGGCATGCACTAAGGGAGTACAACATTCATAAGACTCTGGATCATCCTAGAATTGTTAAGTTATTTGATGTGTTCGAAATTGACGCCAACTCATTCTGTACGGTTTTGGAGTATTGCGATGGACATGACCTAGATTTTTATCTTAAGCAACATAAAACAATCCCAGAAAGAGAGGCAAGGTCAATCATCATGCAGGTTGTCTCTGCCTTGAAATATCTCAACGAAATCAAACCTCCAATCATTCATTACGACCTAAAACCTGGTGAGTATTAATTCACACATGACATCAATGCATACTAAATAACAAATTGTATCGTAAATGTTAATCGGCGTGCCTTAATTTTTTGTTAACAGGCAATATTTTGCTGACTGAAGGTAACGTATGTGGAGAAATTAAAATAACCGATTTTGGGTTAAGTAAAGTCATGGACGAGGATAATTACAACCCGGAGCACGGAATGGACTTGACATCGCAAGGGGCAGGAACCTACTGGTACCTCCCTCCAGAATGCTTTGTCGTTGGAAAATCTCCACCCAAAATTTCATCCAAAGTCGACGTTTGGAGCGTCGGTGTTATTTTTTATCAGTGCCTCTATGGGAAAAAGGTACACCTCACTGCACGAAAATAAGCTACCTTCACTTTGCTAGAATAAGCTTTTGATTATTATTATTATACTTTGTGTATTTTCTTAACAGCCATTTGGCCACAATCAATCTCAAGCAACCATATTAGAGGAAAATACAATTCTAAAAGGTTAGAAAATAATTTGTGATTTAATAATCCACTTGCTAATCGATCTGCCAACCCAATCATTTTTTCCCCACAGCTACAGAAGTACAGTTTCCTAATAAACCCACAGTTTCATCTGAAGCTAAGGTATGTAAATACATACTTTTTTTAAGAACATGGATTTGTATTAAATTCTTAATTGGTATTTCTGAATTTGGGATATCTTATATTTGTAGCAAATCATACGTCAGTGTTTAGCATATCGGAAGGAGGATAGACTGGATGTCATTCAGCTTGCTAGGACTGAATACCTTCAACCACCAATTCCTAAACACATGAGGAATGCTGCGGCTGCGGCGTCTCAGCAGTCATCCTCTTCGTCATCACACTCTCACAACCAACAGCAACCCACAACACCCACAGGTACACTTAACAAGATATAAATGACATTGATCTAAAAGACTAATCGAGAGCTTCTTTCATTTTAGGGAACAACCCCGGTTTCCCCCAAACTCTCTTTTCTGGAATGAATGCATCCAGTTCGTCCTAGAACAACCTTAAATTTAGAGTCTTCTGCTGCTAAACGATGATGACGGCTGACGCTGATCTTTCCTGGATGGCCTACATACGTTTCGTCATTCACCACCCATCTCCTTTCAAAACTTATTGCATAATTACAGAGAAACTTATTACAGAATTCATTACGTTTACTATAGCTATATACTTGTACTCCTGAGCTAAAAATTATAAAACTTCCTTTACCAATTAATAATTTTAAGGAGGATACACGATGCATCAGTACCAGTAGTAAATGAGGCCAATGTTTTACGTCTTTTCAATCTTATCCAAACAATGGAAATTCAGATATATTTTGTTAGGCACCTCCTTTGTTTACCGTAATTTCATTCTTATGTTTTATTACTCGTTTTGTTATGTGCTATCTAAAACACAGTTTGTTTCTTATTTATATACGTAGCGTAGGATTTTTGTAGTTCAAGGGAACGGAATGTTGGCAATTCTGAGAATTTTTTTTAGTTTTAGTGATTATTGGAAGTCATAATTCTACTATTTTATCCAAATTCCTTTGTTTTTGTCATCCTGGTGAATGACTGCCCGGGTTGTTTGTCTTCGGACTTTTTTTAACCTTGTTTTTGATCTAATTATTTTGTGACAGTAGTAGCCTCCATTGCCTAGAGTTAGAGTTACAATACGTGATGGCAATATGTCGTTGTCTGGGTTTAAGATGCAGCGCAGCCGTTATTAGTATTCAAATCCTGTTATTTGTTAGGTGTCTATTATTACAGAGCATAGAGGCTGACTGAGTACGCCGAACGCAACTTTAAGTACGTAACAAAATGTTACATATATAAGATAAAGAGTATGTAAGTAGAAGAAATTTGTAAATTCGCATTATTTATAGAGTTAATAAGAGAAAGACCTTGTGATTTTATTGTTTATCGCAAAAAATGAATACGAAGTAATAATAATAATAATTACTTACTATTATTATACACTTTCTAATAATATAGTGTATAATAATAATAAGTAACTTCGTTAGAGAACACTGAAACGAAGAACTATTATATATGCCACATTACATTATATTATTATCAAAATATAGACCACGGTGATGTAAATAGAAAAAAAAGAACGCGAAGAAGCATTGCATGAGTATTGTATCTGCTGCTACTGCTGTTACATAATTACTAATATTATTTATTCCAGACACCAGTAATTGTGTAAAGATAAAAAAACTAAATCTAATCCGTGTACAAGAACTGTCGGGAGTTGAATCGATAGTCATTAAAGTCAAACGGAAATGAAATAATTCATGTATAACAGAGTGACAAGACGCCAATATTAAAAAAAACGTTACTCGAAAACAAGTAATCAAAGAGCTAAGATTTCATATATTTTATACTTATAAATTATATATATGTACAACCAGGGAATGCGAAACATGATGTCATCCTGAGAACTAACCTCGTCTATCCCACAAAATAAATGTCCCTCGGACGACGACTTCATGTTTTGCAGCCTCTATGGATAACAGAATTATGACGTATCATATATTAGCTTGGCTTGACAAATTTTGCTTGAATCCAAACTCGGTACATTTTCAGTTGACGAGATCTATTGACTTGCAACCTTTTGTCAACAATGATCCGTTCTTTAGTGAATCCTTGCTTCAAAAATAGTTTTTCAACTTCATCTAAAAACAGACATTATTTCACTATATTTTACGATATTGCACGATAATTAACGTGAAAATTTTTTACCTTCTAAAAAGAAATACACCCGTGTACCATCTCCACGCATATAAAAGTTTTCGGAAATGCATCGTCCATCTTTAAATCGAAGTTGTGCCATGTCATACCTTCCATAGTCCCGGAAGAGAATAATTCCGCCCGGTTTTAAAAATTCTAGTAGATTTCGAATTACTTGGTTATATCTGTAACCCAAAAAAATAAATTTTTTCTCAATCAAAAGTCATTAAATGTAGGAACGCACTTATCAGGACTGATTGCTGAAATCACAAATATCGCAGTTATAACATCCAGAGAGCCCTTTGGGAAAGGGGTGATTGGATTTTCACTTGTAATGTCCAACACGAACGGGGTACATCTACAAAAGATTATATGCATAAATAGGCAGGTAACATACACTATGATATGACCACGAATTACCTGGTTGGCTGAAACTTTTCATGGCCTTTGATAATATCAACGGCAGTGGAAGAGAAATCGCAGCAATAAACATCTGCAAATAAACGCACACATCAGTGGTGTAAATACATGTGCAACCAGCCCATTCACCATTGTTATTTAGGTAAAATGCTATATATCTTAATAAAAAAACATACAAGTTTCAGGGTGATTATTTGCAGCCAGAAATGGGAAAACAGTATTTCCTACCCCACATCCTATTTCTAGCACTTTGAACCCAGAATTTTCACCAGGATATGACTCTGACTTTCTCTTTTCAGTAATTCCAGTCATTGACTCTTCCTCACTGACACTGCTACCAAAGGGACTTTTCAACTCCGGAAACTCGATGAACAACCAATTCCGATCTCTAAAAAATCTGTAAATAAACATATTGAGAAAATGACATTAACTTAATTCACTCTTATCAAACAAAGCTCTACTGCATAGATCAACAATTAATTATTACAAGTAATGGAGATGAAACTTGCTTATTTTGATGAATACTGTAAAATTTGTCCCAATTTGAATCGGCATTTCTTTCCAAGTTGTATCGCTTGTCCACTTCCATTAGATACGCTGAATTTTTTTCAACCGCATTTCTTGCTTGCTCTTCTAATTCTGAGTCCCATTCAACGTCGTCCCTGCATAAACAAATTAAATAATTCTCTTAAATAGTTATGCATGTCACTCATGTGAATTGTTTACGTACCATGCATTACAATCATACACTGCGTTAGCATCCTTCAAATGTCTATTTCTAACTTTAACAACAAACTTGACCTCGTCCGGCAAAGACATCAGCGAGGCAGTTCCCTCGTTTTTATTTTTAATTTCTTCCCATGTTCGTCTAAGGCGATCTTGTTCATCCAATTCCTTCTTGAGGGAAACAGACTTTTCATGTTCTGATGCAGCAACTGAATCATCCAAATTGTCTTCAGTACTCTCCAGAATAAGATTATCCATGTTCAAGTCAAATTGATTCAGGGACGTCATGATACTCGTGATAAGTCTGAAAATTTGACATCAAGAAGAATTAAGAAAATGCTAATATATAAAATTACAAACTACACAATATTTTTGCTACCAAAATTTAGAAACTAAACACACTTGAGTTTTAAATTTGATTGACCATAATAAATTAAATACGCTGATTTACATCATGAGTAGAACAACATGTGACAAATTTCAATGAGCCGAAAACGGCGGGTGGATGGTGTCATTTTAGGTTGCCCCAATTGTTTGAGAAAGTAGTCGCTCCGCCATCTCTCTCGTTTGGCAGCAGTTCATCCATGCCGCAGTCGGACAACGTGTTCTTCATTCTATCAGGCTGGTCTCTCCGTTGAACTTGGATTCTCCAAATTTCCACCAATATTTCTAGTTTCATCTCATCAGTTTCTTAAATGGCACCGGTAAGCCCTTCTCCTCCCACTCACTCGGGTGTAGCAAGAAAAAACTTTTCAAACTACACGTCCGACCGTATTTATTTGACATTAGTTTTTACAAAAGTTTCAGAGTAAATGAAATTATATTAGTAATTTCCTGATTGAACATTTTATGTACTGTATAGATTGTTGTTTGATGTTAGAGTGATTTCGGAGGATTCTTTTATGTTGAAATTATTATTTTTCTGATTTTAATTTGTAAATTACAGAAAAAGGCCGCTCCCGGCAAAACCCCGGCGCCCGCCCCTGCCGCAGCCAAAAAGGAGGCCAAGGCTCCTGCAGCAGCAGCAGCACCAAAGGGGAGTGGTAAAACCCCAGCGCCTGCCCCTGCTGCCGCCAAGGTCACAGAGAAGAAGGCGCCGGCTCCAGCTGCTGCACCCAAGGCAAAAGCTCCAGCTCCAGCCCCCAAGGTTGCTGAGAAGAGGCCCGCACCAGTAGCCGCAGCGGTTAAGAAGGAGGAACCTAAACCAAAAGAAGTTCCAGCTCCCGCAGCAGTGGCTCCAGAGGTGAAAAAGGCCAAGACAGAAGCCAAAGCGGCTAAGAAGGCAGAGAAGAAGGCTGCCAAGAAAGCTACTCCAGCAAAGAAAGCAGCAACTCCACTTCGAGGAAAGGGTACAGCGTCAAAGAAAAAGAAGGTCGCCGCCAAGTTTGTTGTTGATTGCACATTGCCAGCTGAAGATAGTTTGTTCAACTGTGGAGACTTTGTAAGTATTCATTATGCACTGAAATTGTATTATTAATTGTTGAGACTACGTTTACTTGTTGTCTTTCTCTTGCAAAACAAACAAAAAAACAAGGGACAGTCGTCGTGGCTAGTCGGGTACTACTTACACTCCATTCGTGGATGCGAGGAGACCCATGACACAATGCTCACGCAAAGATTAGGGCAAAATTCCCTATTTCTGTGACATTAAAATGTGGTCCTTGTTGTCTATTTCAATAGGAAAAATTTCTCCGAGAAAGGATCAAGATCAATGGAAAGACCAGCAACTTTGGTAGCGCTCTGAGTATCGAACGGGGAGACAAAAATAAAATCATTGTCAATGCTAGCTGTCCGTTCTCCAAGAGGTGAGTCCTATCCTACATTCTCATTAACAACACATTATACGGGATAAATTCGCTAACAAGAATGTGACCTGTGTGTTGCAGATACCTCAAGTACCTAACAAAGAAGTATTTGAAGAAGAACTTGCTCCGAGATACTCTACGAGTTATTGCAACCACGAGAGATAGTTATGAGCTAAGATACTTCCAGATTGGTGGGGAAGCCGACGAAGAAGAAGAGACGAACGAGTAACTCACGATGTAGTTCAAGGTTGTTTTACACTGCACTAATCTGTGTATTTTTCTTACACTGAGAATAAATTCGTGTACTCGATCAATTTTGTGAAATGTATTCAAGTTTTTATTTATTGCTTTTTTATATTACACAAAATGGATCATGCTCATTTAACGATCTGTATAAAATTAAGTCTAGTTATGTGAAGGTAGTGTTCGTTGATGAAATTGACATGTTACAAGAGGTCTGCACTCATGTGTTACTGAAGTGCAACTTTACCTCTTTTGCTAATCAGTCAGTTCTACAAATCCGATTTGCATGGGAGGGCGAATGGACAGATTTCACATTTCAGATTTTGTTACCGGTGAGAAAGTTGCTGCAAAGTGCAAAGAGGTTGGATTATTTCATGGGATTTCTATGCGCAACTTTCTTGTTTTCATCCTCTCGTTTATACTCTCATTCATCCTCATGTCCGGTAGTAATAGACCAGATGATGACACCCACCCATCCCACCACCCGCTACAAACAGCTTTCTCTCGAGAGAAAGCTAGACTTGAAGGGGCGGATCATCATCTATTTACGGAGCCCAAAGTTTTTCTATTACTGGGCAATACTTTCCCTGTTTCGAGTGCTACCCATGACGACGACTTGACGACTTGACGGCCACCAAGGTTGGCAAAAATTATCTGTTGCTCATTGATGATCCGTGGTGAACGATTGTTGTTGTTGCATGTGGCCGTCAGAGGCCCAGCAGAGCTCATTCTCATTTCAGTTACAAGAAGTTGCTCACTCTCTCTGCTCTGTTGCTGCTGCTGGTTGGGTGTCACCTGTCAGAGTAATTTCCTCAATTTCTCCTTTAGTTCCTTCCTCGTCTCAACCGTCGTCTGATCCTCAGGGTCAAGGGTCATCACCGCATAGGTCTCAGGTTTTTCGGTCCATATCGCCCGTGAATCAAGAAGACCCAAGGCTGCTGACCTTCGAAAGACAAATAACGAACGACTACGTCAATCATGTGAGTCATCATCATTCATTAGATTCATCCGTGTTCAAGTGTTTGTCTAATAATCAATGATCATCATATGATTAACGTGTTGATAATATAAACTATTCTACTGCGTTTTACATTTTGAGTTCTAGAAACCATTAGTTTTCAGCTATAATTAAAAAATCTCATGCTTACTTGAGACACAAGGTGCTGAGTGATCTGATGACTCAAATTAGTCATTTCTTTAATATTTTATTCGTCAAAACCAGGTTGAATCTCTGAGAATAATGATAAAATTTTGTCTGGAAACTAACTCCGACCGATTAATATCTAGAACAGCGATAGAATTAATATGAAATGCTCACGCCCGTTCTTTGTCTCAATGAAGAAGATGGAACTGAACAATTATTATGTATTGATTGTTTACACAGGTCGGATACAAATGGTCCAGGAGGTAGCGGAGAGGGTGTTGTGGGAGGACCCAAAACCCCTCAACAGATTGCTGCCCAAAGAAGACTTCAGCAGACACAAGCACAAGTCGATGAGGTAAAAAATTAAAAATGCGATTTACAGGTATCATAACTTAATGATGAAGCAAGTTAATAAGATACTTATCCATTTGATCTTTCAGGTTGTGGGCATTATGCGAACCAATGTGGAAAAAGTGTTGGAAAGGGATCAAAAGCTATCAGAGCTAGATGATAGAGCAGGTTTGTATTACTACTACTCGTATTACGATTAACTAAAATTAGCAGAAGGGCAAGTTAGATTTTTTAATTAATCATCATTCAACTCATTTTATAGATGCGTTGCAACAAGGTGCATCACAATTTGAACAACAAGCCGGAAAATTGAAGCGAAAATTCTGGTTAAAAAACTTGAAAGTATGTTGTACAATGAGACTGATAATCTTCTACATGGCTGACTCATCATTATTTATTTTTTAATTTGATGTAGATGATGATTATATTGGGAATCATTGGTCTCGTGATAATCATCATTATCGGCGGTAAGTCGTCTACAGCCTAAAATTTTACATCTATTTGTCTAATGTAGTCAAGAAATAAGTGGAAACGGCACCCTACTTTTTTATGACAATAATGAACTCTGCCTAATACCATTACCAATTATTGTGAATGTTCTGTGTCTGTAAAAATCGTCTTCTCGGAAACCTGGTAAACAGCAGTGATATTGCACTTGCTAACCATATTTTAACTTTTTACATCAAAAGCTATATTATAAGTAGCTTTGTTCTGTACTTTTCCTTCTTGTTGGTTGGATTTCTATAACATAACTTCTGAGTTGTCTAGTTTCCTTCGCCAACTCTCTGCTTTAAGTCTGTTCATACGTATAGTATAGAGTATATTGAATTATGATTCAAAATTCTAACAAAATAATGCTTTGGATTTCTGGATTTCTCAAGGTGGCTTTTAAACTATCAATATGCCCTCCTATCTCAATTGATGTGTGCGTGATTTTGTTAAGTTTCATCAACGAGTGAGTGCATATTCATTCCTCAAGGATTGTTGCATAAAGCATGTGATAGACTGAAAGGGGGTCAAAACATCATATACTTCCAACATTAGTTATGTCATATGGCATGACCAGTGGTCATTGACCACTACCCAAAGAGGGTAGTTGTCAAATTCTCCGAAAGTAAATCACATGCTTTATGTACTGTTTCTAATATGTGCAATCAAAAGTGTATCGAAGGTTCTGTCCTATGATAGCGTAGATTTGTGGGCTTAGTTTCTTTGTGCTCATTCAAATGTGCAGGCTATCGTTTTGCCCTTTACATAGGTTGACCGGTTGGTTGATCGGCATTTTATCTAAACACAACGTTAACCCCACCCTGTTATCAGTTTATCGTGCACAGCACATGTGACCCTTCATTATTTTATGCCCCAATAATGTTTGTAACTGAAGAGCATCGTTGTTATATTACTACGTATTTTGATTCTTTGTCACGGACAGAGCTTTCGAAATTTTGCTAAAAATGATGGTGGTTTTTAACTTCAATATATATACGCATGCAGCAAAGTGTATGCAGAATGGATGAAGAGGTAAGAAGAAACAATTAGTGAAACATGGTGCAATGGAGGATGACCTTCCAAATTTGTTCCTATTTCTCTCATCACCATCACCATAATAAGTCGCTCCACTGATCTAAAATTTTATCAAAAAGTCTGCAGGCAAATACTTTCAACATCTGCTCTCAAAATGTTTGCGTACCTCTTAAAATATCTAATAGATAGGAAATTCATGTCACCACTACCAAAGTAATAATGTATAGAGCTGTCCTATTACTCGCTGGTTTAAGAAGCGCATGTTTTTTATAATTAGTATAATAATTATACTAATTATTATATAAGTCGAGTCTCGTGTGGCTGATTGTAGGCATACCAATAATTTTCTTTTGGTAAAGGAGTGTCAAAAATTACGATTTCAAACTTTAATTGTGGGTGCGGACCATTCTGACGGTTTCTTGTGAAACATATTTATGTGTATGTAGTATTAGCATTGGCGTAAGCAAATGAGGGGTTGTCCCCTGCATATTTTAATCAAACTGTAAAAGATTGAAGGGTAGATTCTATATTCTGCATGATCTCGTGTATTATTACGCAGTATTGTGCTATTATGATCACAAATGCTATTTTCGAAACAGAGTATAATGTAGAAATAACGACTGAATGTTAATGTTCATGTATGTGAATGTAAACCTTTCCATTTTTTCTGCTTTGCATGTATTGCTTTGGTGTGTGGTTATTGTTGCTGTTTTCACTTAATTTGTCACCAATTGTTAATCGTAGATTGTAGACCACATGACACTACAACTACAGCGCTAATATGTATTAGTGTCACGTACTCCTGCATTCCAATTATAAGACAGACAAAGGTTTATTATTTATTTTTTGTTTTTTTTTGTATGCATTAGTTTCCATTTTCGGTTCTGGGGGTGGTTCGTCCGGCGATCATAACGACTCGCCACCTGCAGGAAAACCAGACTCCACACTCAATTCTGCTGCAACTCCAGACACTTCAGGCTCTGGCTAGCTCCCTTCATATGGAAATATGGACCTTGTGGATTTCACATTTCAAAAAATGACTTAATATCCAATCCATATATATTTCATATGTGTATATATAGACGCATACGCAGAGTCGAGAGTATGTATTGCTGTAATTATTTACTAGATATTGATCCTTTATATGTAACATACGATATCCAATCGGCAAAATTGCATCGTCGTCGCGTAATATTTCATTATAATATTTGCTATCTGACTATCACACAAAGTCAAAATTTGATGTATAATTCAATTGAAATATATTAATAGCATTGTAACAACCAATTAATAGTTAGCACTATTTCTACTACCTAATCTGCCTAGAATGCAACATATAATGTATTATTATTTGTTTACTAATTTATTTGGAACTTACAATTAATATTTATTTCCATTATTTCATTGGATCCATTGTCTTTTTATTTATTACTCTTTTTGACCAATTATGTTTTTCGCTTTAACACAGACTACTATGCTTCACAGTGGCTGGTTGAAAACGAGTGCTTGCAAGAAATATTTGGCTTTCGGTGGTGCTTTGCTGCGAATTCTACTACAATGCGTCCTCCCCCTATCACAACCACGTCATCGTCGTCGTCGTGGGTGCAAAATGACGTAAACCCTGCAAAATTAGTGTCCATAGTTGCTCCCATCCTCACCCCTAAATCCCTAATCCTCACCTTGAGACCTACTGAATCAGATGCTCCCACTGCTTACATTCATAAGACTGTTGCTTCTACAACGGAATCAGTTCTGATAACCTTAATGTCCGCCACCTCAGCCACATACACTGCTGCAACTTCGCCAGCAATCACAACTGAAGCCTCAACAAGCAGTTTCACCACGAACCCAACATCATCTGAACCAGCGTTGGAGACAACGACGACCAACTCTCTCTCATCATCAGGACTAAACAAAGACGGTTATCAAACTACTACTACGCCGCCACCGACGACCATCGTCATGACTTTCGAAACATTAACAGAGCTTAAACCTACCACCAGCACTTTTACTTTTGCTACTTCCTTGACGCCGTTATCAAGTTCTACAAAACCTGGAAGAATGTTGAAACGGCAACATGACGTGCTGGACCCGGCCGTGGAGGTGGAACCTGTATTGAATGAGGAAGGTCAACAAATGTACGGCTTACATGACATCCCTTTGTACAAAAATGCGGGTGGCAAAACGATTCTTGACACTTTGGTAGATTATACATAATTTTTTTCCGCAAAAAAATATCATTTTACAAATATTTGTCCAATTCTCCCCTTCGTTCCATTATCACTGCATCATAGCTTCACTTTCATTTATTAAATGCATAAATTACTTCCAAATAATGGATGCAAGTTTTTACTTTGTTGCTTGAATTTAAATTTAATAGCTTCAACTTGACACAACGATAATCCTATAATTCATTAGTGTGATCTTACATTCCTTGCGCATATGTATGTAATTGCGGTGCTAAGAAATTAGTGAAACGAAATTAAGAGTTTGTGGGATTTAGTTTTAGTAATGTCTGCATGTACTAATGCTTAAAGTGCTTATCCTTAGAGTGGTTGAATACACATATGTATGAAGTTAAGGAAACGTTGGTGCTAATTCGTATACATCAGAGACTTTATAAATCGTTATTATAACGTCTTCATATCATATGCTATGAATATCTTATGCTAAAAAGCAGCCAAATACTTTTGTCCCGTTTACCACAACCTCTTCACCAGATGACTTCGTTATATGACTTGAGATAATAATTAGCTATATAAGATCTCTGCGCCTTGACAGGTTTAATAACGGTAATTCATCAACTATTGGTTCTTTATTCTACAATATGTCGTGAACTGAAGCCAAATTCGGCCGAACCGAAAAATTTATCAAGAATTCCGAAAAACCAGAAAATATCAAAGAATGTTCAAATCATACATTACTTATATTACTTACTACTGATACTTGATACTACATACAAGTCGGACACTGTTAGTCAGGTACAAGTGGTCCAAAGTCCCGCTTGCCGGTCACTTCTACCTGACTGACTGTGGTCTGTGGGAGTAATTAATTAATATTCACGTGAGGCAATCGAGACTGTGTGCGTCAATCTCCATCACAATGTTATGCTTGTATTTTTAATTTATAAATTAAAAAGATATCTTCCGCTCACTTTTTCCCAGAACCAAGGCGAATTTTGCTTCAATCAGTCTAGAGCTCTGTATACCATTGGTCGAAACAATCAAAAATCACACACCAATATATACATTACATTATGTAATTTACATAACCTAAACTTTGACGTGATTAAAGCTATGGTCCGCGACATACTATTTCGCTACTTATTTCTCCCTGGAACCTAATATACAAATCCACATATCTAATGCTATCTGCCCACCACCACGTCTTCTGCTTGATAAGAAAGTATTTTTTTAAGTACACGGTAGCCAAAATTAACAGCCAGCCACCAAGCAAAAGGCAGGTACATGCAGTGTCAAAACAGTATAAGTAGTTTAGTTGCGAATTACATTGCGAGTCAAAATGGTTCCTGTGGGTGAGAAATGACGAATGTCAATTACATATTATTAAATACGCATCGTCGTCACTTGAATTTTATTCACCCGACAATCTATCAAAGGAGTAGAGGTGAGCTGGATATCCATTTTTTTGGATAATGCATGGCCCGATCCAATCCAACTGGATTTGGATGGATTGGATCTGAAAAGTTTTGGGCCAAATGGATTTGGATGGATTGGATCTGAAAAATTTTGGGTGAATTGGATTTGGATGGATTGGATCTCAAATTTTTTTGGGTGAAATGGATTTGGATGAATAGGATCTGGGTGGATTGGATTTGGTCGAATTGGATAAATTTCGTCACCATAAAGAATATCAGGAAGTGTTCTTTTTAACACTCCGATCTCATCCTAACACTAAATGGCCCATACTTTTGTTGCATGGCACACACTGTGACACATATACAGTCCAATCAGATTTATCCCGAACACTAACCATGAGTTTATATATATAATTCTTTGGATAATCCATGCCCTGATCCGATCAAACTGGATTTGGATGGATTGGATCTGAAATTTTTTGGGCCAAATGGATCTGGATGGATTGGGTCTGAAATTTTTTGGGCCAAATGGATTTGGATGGATTGGATCTGAAATTTTTTGGGCCAAATGGATTTGGATGGATTGGATCCGAAATTTTTTGGGTGAAATGGATTTGGACGGATTGGATCTCAAAAAATGACGATCCAGCTCACCTCTACAAAGGAGGAACAAAGAGCAGGAACAAATGAGTCCGCTTAGATTTTATATAGTTTGGAGAATTAGAGTAATTAATTATGTATAGTTTTTAGTGCAGGATGAGAATCTAATTATAATCAGTACTGTGTAATATGTGTACCGCACCAACAAAATTATTAAATGTGTAAGCAATGGGCAGGGTAAAATCATGCATGTTTGATAATACATACATACATATGTAAAATTCCTAATCTTAAGCCACGCACAGCAAGTATCTGTAATAATACGAATATTGTAGCATTCTAAAATAACTGACACATTATACATATATATGTTGTGCGTCCTTCTGTATGGTCCATGTCACAGCCGTGATGATTATGAAATATATAATATTTGATGTGATCTAAAAATAATAGACCGACCGTGTTCTGATGGGATTCTCATTTGTGACCATATTCTCATCCACACATTTCCCACGATTACATACTTGCCAAATTGCGATAATAACTTTATGACTGCATATCCCATTAACAGGGATTTTTTGTCACTTCCTCTTTATACTCATTTGCATACGCAACAAAAAGACAGAAGGGGTGATTTTTTGTTTGTTTGTTTGTTGAGGGATTATGAACAATTGTGGGTGACCTTTGCAAGGAAGAGAAGAATAACAGATCAGGATCACACAGGTCTCGTATGCGAAATATGAAACGGCATCGCTACATTAGCTTAAATACAAATTCGCTTGCAGTTTCCGACGATGCTGACGAGCTGATGTGCCCTCTACGTATATGGCCAACTTTCCATTTCACCTTTCGCAAGCAAACCCCTGTCCATATTTGACCAGAATAAGGACACTGGCTGACTGGTGGAGTTAGTGGAGTAGTCCATCCATAGTGCAGCAAATGCATACAAGAGTTGTTGAGATGTTCATTTGCAGAGGTGGAGGTGGTCATAATTGCACAATCCATAATGCCTCCAACTTTTAACTCTGTTATGCCCATTAAAACACTACGCCAACCTCCTCACCATCCTCGACTAGAATAATCCGCATAATGACAGTCATACGTGTGTACATTACATGCTCGGTAGTAAGAAAAGAGTGCAAAATGTAAAATCTCACAATTAACCTAACCTTCTTCGTTCCAACACGAACGGACTGACTGCTTCACATTTTACTTATTGGACTACAAGGAAGCTTTGGAATGGGCGTTCTTCGCCAAAATTACTGGGTAGCTGCTGGGTCTCTCTAAACTCTAATAAGACCAAGTATTGGCAGAAAGTGGATTATCTACTCCAAATTTCAGAAACAGATTGACACATTTTTATTAAGTTTGGTTCAAGTGTTATCAGTGTTTGGCGAAAATGGTTATTTTGAACCCTTGTTGTTGCATCTCCCTCCACCGGGGCTCGAAAACTGTGGCAATCGTGGATATTGTAAGCATTTATGAACCACATGAAATCCAACCAGGTTTTGATGTCAAATAAATAACTTTTGCGAATTCATATTGCAGATATTGGCATGCATTCCCTTAATTGTGTTTATATGCAGTTTCGTCCCTGGGGTTTACGGAACGGGAGGTAAATTTCGCCACCTATCTACGACCGTGATCTAAATACGCATCCACCAATAACTGGTTACTGATTAACTGATTTCCCTTTTGACGGTTTAGGTCAGCCATTTACGGACTTTAATACTGGAATCTGGACAATTTTCATCGTCTTTCTCACCGCGGATATTGGCCTCTCTGTCCTCCTGTTTTATTCAACCAGAGAGGTAATTAAGGAATTAATCATAAGGGTTACATTTTATGAGGGCAGAAACATGAGATTTTTCATGATGTATCTGTTGCAGAAATGTATAAAGAACTTGAAGCGCTGGTTCTACATAAGATTGGTGACGACGGGGCTGATGATTTTGCTCATCATCGTCTCCGCCTGCTTCCAAGTGTCGATCGAGTTCATTCTCTACGACCTCTTTTACACCCTCTACCGCATCTACACCCTCTGGGTGGTCTACCTCCACGTGGGCGAACTCGTGCACGAGGACACCTTCTACCCTCGCAAACAGCCACACCCCGACTTCTCCGTCGCCGTCATTACCAACTCGAGGGGGCACAACAAGGGAGGTCAGCTTCCCTCCAGCTATGACTATCAGTACAATGAGGCTGGGAACAGATATGGCACCGTCAATGGGGCATACGCCTAATCAGCCCATGGGGCACAATCTCAACTCCTTTCCTAATTTTTCCCTCCTCCGAGAAATGAGTTTTAAACTTACACAGATATTTCTAGATAACCATGTAACCACTCCTTTTCCCATAGTCATCTCGAATAAGAGGGATTTGTATAGTTTACTGACTCTACATACTTTGATCCGTGCAAGCTTCGCATACTTGTAAATTTAGGGCTTTGATTTTAGTTGAATAAGGTGGTAGTATTGGTGATTTGCATATAGTACACAAGTCCGAAAATGTAAAAAGTAAGGTAAACCCAACTAAAACAGTTAAAACAGTTTTCTCAATAAATTTACATAGTAAGAAATAAGACGAGAGGAGAGAGAGCGAGTGATTTGATTGAAAGCAACTGAGGTGGTGAAGCACGAGGCTCCGAGAGGATGCTCCGTGTAGACGGAAAATTAGAAAGTTGGAGAAAGTCCAAAACTCTGAACTATTTTGAGAGCCCGATTTGACGCAGTGAGAGTCTAAGAGGTTGCAATCAACGGTATTGCAGTTTCATGAAATATGCTATAACTCCAATAATACTCGAATAACAATAATATTCACTTCGAGACAAATTACATTTATAGCAAATGTGCAAAATGAGACAAGTTGTAAAACCAGACATGTATTTATTTATGATCACTCACCTTCCGACGTTTGCAGATGTAGATCACATGTTGAGAGTTTCCTTCGTGGCGATTGTCTTGGTTTAACGTCTACGGGTCACAAGTAAAAAAAATATTTTGTCACGGGGGGAAAAGTTGAGACATGCTTAATTCATGTTACGCAGTGTGTGTCACAGTGAGAATCTTGTTCATATGTAGAAACTCGTGTACTTGTTTTTCTTAGCCCTGCCTTTGGTGTTGTTTAGAGGAAGTGAAATCTTCAAAATATTGAGATGGGGATTGAAAGAGTGAGAGATCTCATGTATTTATGGCGCAAAGAGCCTGCAATCTGAATGCATGCAGAGAGGAAAGAGTACGTGCTTTCGTCAAGACAGCGTTCTCACTGGAGAAAAAATGTTGGTGGGAAAGGGAGAGGACTGAAACTGAACTGGAGCCACACAGACGACTTTCACTCACTCCGACCGAGTGGTGTGCAATGCTTTCACTGCAGTGTTACTCTCTCTCCCTCGATTTGTTAATAGGCGGCCCAAAGGGAGAGGGGCACAAACGCTGTATTGCGATTCCATGTCCAACCATGCCACATCAAGTCATCCTCATACAACAGCAGCAACACCAACAGAACATCTATTCGTCCTTCTTAATTGGTTCAGTCAGCAATTGAGTCAGTGAAATTACATCATCACGGGTCGAAGGAAAGATGTAGATGAGGAAAATGTCACCAACAGTATGAACTTGTGTCATTATTCGTTTACGTCTGTTATGGGAAAAGTATATATAATTAATAGCTTGAGGCATGCACTGTAACCCCCAATTGCGAGGCAGGGCTACGACAACTGGCAGTTTGACATGCAGCCAACACACTTTGCACACATCGACACAAATATGAAGCCATAGGTCTCTTGTTTGAGAGAGAAAGAGAGATAACTTTTTATGCACGCGAGAATGCACAGCAACACAGAAACGAGCCATTACAACCAACTTCTCATATGCATATTCATTCGGCTTTCAAGTGATGGCAGTTGCGCCATATCGTCGTCACAAACGTATCGATTAACAATTATTAAATAACGCAACATTCACCAAACAACGACCCATCAAAGCCAGCGAGAAAACGGCAAACCAGCGTTCTGTGATTTTTAAATGGTTTCTTTTCTTCCTTTTTGGTGGATATGGAGTTGAGCGTCGAGAGGGAGAAAAGCAATCAGGCATGAGAACATTTACGTGGCTGCATGGTTTTCAACTTTGTGACTCTGTCCCGTCCCGTGCGAGCCGAAGTACGCACTGCAGAATGCCCGACCGATCTCACCAGGAAACTTTACTCCAAGGCTACTACCCAAAGGCATCAGCAGCAGCACATTATTTTATGCATTTCCATGAGCTCAGATTTACTCACTTTTTCTTCCTCCCCCAACATTCCACCCAGGTTTCACACGACTGATGTGCGAATCACAAAATAAGTGTAACTATCAACAAAATGTATGTACCGCATATTGATGATGTTTGCTGAACTGTAGTGTAAGTAAGGATACCATTTTCCCACTCTGAAGTGGGAATTGGCTGATGTGTATATGTAAAACATATGCAGCTCTCTACGTATTATCTATATGAAAAAGTGGTCTGTTATGTCCAAAGTAAAATGTCACGTCATTCGGTCATTTAGCTAAGCAGACATGGACACACTGTTTGTGGAAGGCGAGGAGGAGGCAGTAAACGGTTGATTAGGGGTGACGCTGGCGGGGTCTGCAATCATTTTGTTGCAAATCCCATACATGGATGCACGCCTGGCTGAAACAGTGTCGTGCTGGAGAGAAAGCACGGGGAGAAAGCACGGGGAGAGAGTTGAATGAAAGTGGAGGAGCTGTGAGTGACGAGGGAGGAGGAGGAGGTGGTGGTGGTGGTGAGGGAGTTTCCTCTCTCGAATGTCGGGGAATGCAGCAGAGTGACGCAGAACTCGCTTTCTCTCCGACCTTCCGAACCTGATACACCCCTCGCTCGGGAAGGAGAAAGGCAGCCTCTCACCATCACCACCACTCTGTATTGACGACCTCTGATTATATTGCCCCTAGTTTAACCACCCTGGCCTCCAAACGCTCCTTCCTCCTCCCGTCTTAATTGTGATAGACAAACGACAAACATCGTCATCGACCTCCTCAATTAACACATCTGCCGCTGGTCAGCAGTTGTCAGCTCCGGATTGGTGGTGGTACGAATAGAAAATTCGAATAAGTCCTCGCTGAACTTCTGTCCTATCAACAACCACCATGTAAGTGACTCATGTCGTACATATTACTCATTACACCCTCACCTGGTACACTCCACAATTGCAAACTCGTCAACTGGCCACAAGAAACCAATTTTGTACTCCCACACCCCTAATTTCCACAGTCGAGTATTAGCAAGTATTCACTGGAGTGTGCATTAATTCGCTAACTGCTTTGGCGTGTTTGGTGACATAGGGCGCAGCCGAATGCAAACCTTGGCGTTGAAGGGGAAGGGGGAGGTGAAGAGCCCAGAGTCGGTAAACCAAAAACACCCCAACAAATCGCAGCGCAAATCCGCCTACAGCACACCAATGCTCAGGTCGACGAGGTGAGAACCCCAATTTTTCAGCTCACTACGACCAAGCGGATGTACAGCACGTGAAAGAGTATCAATATTTTATGACAATTTTTTTGAAAGGTGGTTGGCATCATGCGCAGCAACGTAGAGAAAGTTCTTGAGAGAGATGCAAAACTGTCCGAGCTGGATGACAGAGCCGGTATGTATTTCCCATCAATTCCACACGTATAGATTTGCACAATTAAGCAAAGGTGATGATGAAAACTGAAACAATTAATCTCGTTGCATGTCCATGTAGACGCTCTGCAACAAGGTGCTTCACAATTCGAGCAACAGGCCGGAGCCCTCAAGGTGAGCACTTTCTCCGTCGCAATACCATTTATGTAGGCAAAATGTGTAGGGTCACTTGTACGCCATATGTCGTATGACGTTCTCTTGTCCTGAGTGTAATGTTTTCTACTTGTTTTGTTCAGCGGAAGGCGTGGATGAAAAATATGAAGGTACGAATAAATTGATACAATTAAATGACGAGAGCTTCTTACTTTCTCTCTAATTTCTGTATTTAAACAAAATTGCAGATGATGATCGTGATGGGAGTGATCGGGTTCATATGTCTTCTCTTCATCGGATCTAAATTAGGCCTTTTCTAACCTCGATAAGTTAGTATGCTCAAGGTTTCTTCATTCATTCATTCATTCAGTCTGTTCCACATCAAAAAAAATCCGGATAAAACAACACCAACTTTCACCCAATTCTTAAACACACCTTTGCATTGTTACGTAATCTGTAAGCAATATGTACACACAACACCCTTGGAATGCGGACTGGTCAATTAGTGCAAGTAATACCAGGAGAAAGTGCACCTAACTATGTATTTCTATCTACAATATGGTTACAAGAGAGGGTAAAAGTAGGCAAAAAAATCCACCGCCCAACATTTTTAGTTTCACTTGTTTTGTTATATTTCGCCCATTCTGATCCGTTTTTTTGAGATCTTGTACATCTTCACACTTTCACTTTTTTACTTGTTGGGTGGGCTCTGGAGGTTGATTTTACTGCATCCTCGTGAAGTGATAACACACACACGCGTTATGCAAAAGTCCTTTAGCCTGTAGATTCTTGTGTAACTTTTGAGTAAGGATGAGGACTTAGTTGATGAGTTGAATATGGTTGACTATTTATAAAGACATCGACTAGTAATTGCCTTTCTGCTTGTCTCTTTGTGCACTCCGGGAAGTAGATTCTAATTTCGTGACGCTTTTTCGCAAAGCATGTCTATGTTGCACACTGATGAAGAATTCGTTGTACATTTTGAAAAGGTGGAGAATTTTGTCACTCACGACTCGTTTACACAAATCTGATGTATATTCCACGAGAGCGAGAGAGGAGGAGAATAGCCCAAATATTGTCGGTATTATTGTTTTTACGATTATTATCGTTCTGATTATCATTACGACAAATATGAAGACGACGATGATACATACATACCTATATTTAAAGTGTATATTACACCTATTCGTTGGTAAAAGTGTAGAGTATTGTAAGTACAGTAAAAAACAAACCTCATATGTATTAAATTTTAAATGGGATCGAGTGAGGGGGATGAGAGCGTTTTGAGAAAAAGTGAATAATTGTTGTATATCATCGACTGTTAGATGAATGAAGCTGTTGTAGATGCAAAGATGACCTAGAAATAGTGGACTTGAGCGACTTTGTCACCAGACAAATTGACCTCCGTGTCCACGAGATTAGCTAAAATAACACACAACAATATTGCAACGAAGTTAGCAACTATTGCCTTTGAACAACTAACAGCCATGTGGTGAGTGTTTGAAAGGAATAAAGAAAGTCAATATCAACCATGATCTCGTATTCGTTATTTTTACTGTGCATCATTATCTGGCAGTAGCTACATCAGTATTTGTATGTCGTGTTAATTTAATATCTCTTAAATTTGATGTCAACCATGCAACAACTTATCCGGACCAATCTAAACGGAATCCAGTGCTGTTTCCGGTATGATCTGACTTGAATACGTAGAGGAGCATATCCGTATGAGACGTCATTTTTGGAGATGTGGCACAATACCTTAGTTTAAAATAATGATAATATAATAAATAACCTTGGGTAACTAAACTGGGTGCCTTAGATGGAACATGTTTTCAGAAACTCACAAGTCATACTGGCTCCATCCTCCAAAAGGGTTGGGGTCCGGATAAAATTTGAAAACTACGACATAATCGTAACAGTTGGACTCCAATCCTTTGACCGTCCACGTCACGTTGACTCTGGGATTGTTGTTGACGCTAAACCCTGGCGTGGTGACGACGAAGGTGGAGAGCTCATTGTTGTCGTAATTGCCCATCTCTGGATGGTCCAGGAATCCGAGGGGCGTGGTGGAGATGAAATCGGTTGAAAGTGCGGAAATATTTCCCCCGGAAAATCCAGTGGCTCTGTATTCCAGCACGAAACCCATGCCCTCCATGGACGAGTCCGTGACGAAGGTCACAATTGCAACGCTTCCACTCATCGTTACTGGAATTCCTTCGAATCGCCTGAGAATATTTAGATTTAGCCATTTAATTGGTAACAGATTGATAGATCTGGAATATTTCAGACATTCAAGGCGCATTTATGTATTTACATGAACTCAGTTTTAAGCAAAGGAGGATCGGCTCTGGTGAAAGTGCTGATACTAATGCCGTCATCTGGGTCTGAACCCGAAATTCCGCTTTGGATCAAGGTGAACGTCATCCCCAGGGCGTTCTGGACTCGAATTGTCCAAACGCACCGCTCATTGGGCTGATAGAGCTGCTCATTCTTGTAATTAATTCTCCCAGACACGGTTTCCGAGAAAATCCCTCCGCACGGCGTCTCTATTTTTCATACAAATATATTTGCACATATTAATTATTTATCTACCAAATTACCAATATCTTTCTCCTCCTCGTGGACTAATAAAATACAACAAACCTGGTGTGGGACCACTTGTAGTTGTGGTCGTGGTGGTTGTGGTTGGTGTCGTAGTCACCTCGTTGGTTGGATAATACGTCACCTCAAACCCTCCCTCGATGCCTGTCTGAGTTTCGAAATCGGTGAAAAATGCAATGATAAATCTGGATTCGATATTGCTGAAAAATGCGGAAGTTCGTTCCCCACAAAATCGCTCCGTCTCATTCAAAACTCCGCCCTCTGTAATCTCGTACAAAATCAAGGCATCACAAATGCATGGATTTGTCGAACTGCTGCACGTCTCAAAGAGAAGGTTGTCGAGGCTGAAGTCCGATCTAGTTGTTTGTTGAGGGGACACGGTTTTCACGAGCCAAGTTGCAGCCAAGTTTGGTTCGTAATGTTCCACGACTGGGTATTTGACGACCCCTTGCAACGCAGTGGTGAAGGTGGACATGTGCTTGGTTCTCAAGGGGTCAGAGTTCATTCCCGTCCATGAAATATTGAAACCCCTCCCGGGATCCGTGTTTCCTGTTCCAATGTAGAGGACCACCACCACGATGCTGTTGGGCATGAGGAAAACGGGCGGTGGGGGCAGAATGTCGCAGTAGCTGAAAGCATAGGTTACGTACTTCGTGTGAAATACATGAAACTATTCAATTGTAGTATGCCTTTACTACACGACTTTGGGAATAAAGACGTACGTGGAGCTCTCTGGTTGACCTGCTGGCGACAAGTTGGTCAGCGAGTAGAAACGAACGCCGCCATCCCTGCAGTCTGTGTAATTTGAACCAATGCTCAAATTTTGCACCATGAATCGAAAGTTGGTCTGCGTTTCGAGGTGGATCGTCCACACGCAAATATCTCCGGCTTGGAGGGTTTCATCTGATGCTGGAAATTGCAGTGAGTCCGCGTCTGCATTTACATCGCCCCCGCATTGCGACAACCGGGTGTTGCGCCCACTCTCTGCCGACGTGAAGCTAGCGTGGAGGCAAATAACGACAGTCGTAATACACGCTAAACTCACTACCGTTTTAATTGTCTGACTGTTGCTCATAATGATCACTGCAGGATTATGCTTCGTTGACGCTTTAAAGTAAATTTATGCAACGGCCAGCGACAGAATGTGTCCGAGAAGAAAAATTAAATCGCCAAGTCGCTCATCATCCTTGATTCATCTAATCAGCAAAATAACGATCCAGCATCATTAGCATGCACACCTTTTGCTCAGACATCACCCGATACACCTCGTCTCCTCCCCCAGATAAGCCTTATTTAGATCTGTTATTGTAACGGGCGTGATATCATCAATGGTCTCATCAATTATTGTAATTTGACACCAGTAATGGAACTGTCTCATTTGGTGTCCATCACATAATTGTAATCATAATTGTTCCCTCAGAAAGTGTGACAAGCCTACTGCGCATTGATCTACTACTACAAAAAATCAGTCAATCGTCGACTATTTATCAAAAGTACATAAGTGACATCAAATTGAGAGATTAAGAACACTCGAGATTATGCTTTAGTTGAATGACATTGCAATGTTTTATTTTATTGCTTCAGTCGTGTGCATGAAATATGACTACATATTAATTATACGTATTACGCTTTTTCAGTAAAAATAAATCTGATTGATTATTTTTTCAAGCACAGGTACACATACATTGACATAGTACACGGGTATATGATAAACGGAGATAATATGCCATTTAGTGGTATTCCCGAATATTCCCGATGCGTGTGGGTATCAATTCCCCCGATAGTAAACTCATGATAATGATCATTTAATCAATTTCACAGTAAATATTTTCTAATCTTGAATGCAACTTGATAATTTGGGTGCAGACTTCGAGATGACGGGACTCGAGAGAGAATGCCTACGTGTTGCATGCTCAGGTTGAATGGGATATCCGCAATTCTGCCGCAACAAAGAAACAGATGTCACATGCCGATGACATATTGAACTTTGCATTTCAATCTAAACGCAGCATACATACCTATCTATATGTATCGACGGTTTAATTGAACTTGAATCTTGCGAACAATGCACAATGTACACAAGACTCCTGGGATTCATTTTGTATGTAGTAATTTCTAACACACAATTATTACATGTCACTTGCTTTTCGAAATAAAGTTGCCGTGATTGTGCAAATTCATTGTGAGTTATCGGAATTGTAGAGTGTGAAGTATCCACATAATAATCCAGGTTTGCGTCACGACAGGTTGTAGTGCCGGTGGTCAGGGAAAACATGCGAGTGAGTGATGGGGGCTTATAGCTGGGAATTACTATATCTCTTCTGCGAAAATGATAACCAATTCATGCCCTTAAATACGCCGTCTGCTTGGCCTTCAACGAGCATTGTCTCATACCAAATCTACCCTCACAAAGCACAAAACTCATGAACATTCAAACTATTCTTGCAGGGTGAACGAATAATTGTCTGAAATGAGTCGCAATCAATCGAGTTCAAGTTCAAGATCATCGTTGCTATTCATTTCCCTTTTGATAATTATAACATGTCTTCAAAGCACCGTACATGCCAAAGTAGTGAAACACGTATTTATAGTCGACTACGTCGAAGGATCGCCGGATGGGGTTTACCGGGACAAAATTTTAGCCATAAATGGACAATTTCCAGGACCTACGATAGAAGCTGATTTGGGAGACACTTTGCAAGTTGATTTAGTGAACTTGATCCAAGACGGGCAGAATACGTCGATCCATTGGCACGGGATTCACCAGAAAGGGTCCCCATGTGAAGATGGGGCCAGTCAAATCAGTCAGTGTCCCCTCAGAAATGGATTCGTGCAGAGATATCAGTTCACGCTGCACCAGGCTGGAACATATTGGTACGCACTGCTTCGAAAAAGTGAAAATGTGCCCGTAGAAATTTGTGTGTGTAGTTTTTAGCGTTTATTTGATGCAGGTACCACTCCCATGTGAACAGTCAGTACACGGATGGTTTGTGGGGTGCACTGATTGTTCACAATAGGCCCGAAGTATATGACTATGACGGTGAGATTGTGATCACTCTGAATGACTGGTACCATCGGACGGCTCGAGAGAATGAGGTGACTTTACTCTAGCTGAATAATTACCATTGACTTTATTCTAAACTGTGTTCTTATTAATTCAACTGCAGCACTGGCATCTCACCCCCGCCGCGAGAGGTGTGCCTCCATACCCAGACTCAGGCATGATCAACGGTCTAGGTCGCTACCCTTGCGACCTTGCTGTTCTTCAAAATAGGACATGCGACACGACGCTTCAAAGTCGAAAGGTGTTCAATACTCATCGAAACCAGACGTACCGAGTTCGCGTCATCAACGTGAGTGCCTACACCGCCTTTAACTTCTCGATCGATGGTCACGTTCTGGAGACGGTGGAGGTGGACGGGATTGACTCGGCGAGGCGTGTACCTGTGGATTACGCCGTCCTCGCCGCCGCCCAACGGTACTCGTTCCTCATTCGAACGAACGGGTCCCTTAACCGCTACCTGATCAGGGCCGACCTTCGCATCGAGTCTCTTCTCCTCATCGAAGGCGTCAACATTAACAAATTCCCAGAAGCGTTGATGGGAGACGTTACGGCTGTGTTGCAATACGTGGATGACGACATTCCGGCGGAAACAGAACAAGTAGAGCCGTTCTCCTTTCAAGAGCAAGTACCTCTCAAAAATCTGTCGAGTTTAATTTGCCTGGATGAAATGGAGCTGTCTCCGTTCGACGGGCTGCCTGCGCCTCCATATTTCGACAAGGAGTTTATTTTAGAAGCAGGGTTTTACGAGGATGAGCATGACGTACGACGGGGTCAGTTTAATATGACGCCATTCAAACTACCGGACCACAAACCTTTGCTAGTTCAACTTATTGACGGAGATAAACTCGCTCCTTCCGTTTTTGCATTGGATGTCGGATACATGGACGTCGTTCAGGTATTTCCAGATTATTTTATGCAAATCAACTGAATGCGAGTGTCAGTATTGCAAGTAAATTACTGAACTATTAGGTCGTGATAAATAATCCATTTTTCGGACCACACCCTTTCCACCTTCACGGGGCATCGTTTTGGGTGCTGGGAATGGGAGGCTGGTACGATGGGAATTATGATCCAGCGAGGCACAATGAGACCCTCTCCCTCACCGGGGTCAAACGAGACACGGTTTTAGTGCAGGAACAGTCTTGGGCCGTGATAAGGTTTGTGGCTGATAACCCCGGAGTCTGGACTTTTCACTGTCACATAGATTGGCACAACCTATCCGGAATGGCCATGACCTTTGTGGTTGGGAGGGACCAGATCTCAAGGGCAGTTAGATTCACGGAGGAAGGCAGACGAGTATGTGCACATCACAAGCTCGAAGACCTCATCGACAAAGGGGACCAGCCAGACACGAGTGATGCCACCAACAATAGTTCTCATACGACTCTTGTTCTCCTTGCTCTTATCAGCATCGTTTTATACCTCTGACCATATTACTAAATAAACACGTTTTTCGAATATGCATGCGTTTTCATTCAACACTTGCTGCATATTATTTACCAACACTCGAGAGAGCACAGATTTCTTCTCATACATTTGAAGAACGAATGCGTTTCTGGTACAAACAAGTAGTGACTGACTGACAGGCAACGGCTATGGACTATGACGAGGAGATGATGATGATGATGAGCGACTTGTGTCAAATATTGTTATTTTAACGCTTGTCCTTCGAATCAAATCCAACTCCTCATCCGTCCTCGTACTCGTAGTAGCACAATATCCTCATTTTCAGAAACTCGGATGTTTTCGCTTTCGTGACCGAATCCGGGTGAGCCACTCGCTCTCCCAGAAACTAATGCGAAAATGTTCTGTACAGGGCAGCCACACAATAAACTGGAGCTCTGGACTGATTAAGCAACAAGCGCACCTACGTAGGTGTTCACTTCCACTTGTCAAATTGTACAGTACAACAACAGCCGACTGAATAATTCCGTTAAAAATAAGACCTTAAAAAATGTTTGACTACATTGACTAGTTCAATGACGACCACAAATGTGTGGTCACTTGTTCTTACAGTCTTCGCATTCCATAACCAGCTCTTCTTCTCTGTCATCACCCTTTCTCACGTAGCAAATGGGTTGAGCATCAGTCCTCCCTCGGGTAATCACATTTTTACCTTCATTGCCCATTACTGTTGTTTTGCACCCATTTCTCTAAATCTTATTTTGTCTGGTTAAATAACCATATTGCAGAAGAAATATTCAGCAATCAGCTCTGCCCTGACCCCACCACGAAAGCTGCGTCCACCAGCCCAGACTCGTCCAGTGGCACCTTGGGGACATGGAACTCGTGGTGGCCCCCACGGTCTGGCGCATCTCAGCCGCTCCTCCCACAAAAGGTATTCGTAATTTTAACATGCTGCTGGTATAAGTATTACATATGATGGGATGGGAACCACACAATTTTGAAAACTGGTGGTCAACCAATACTCAGATACTCGCCATCAATCTGGACAAACCAAAGGACTCGACTCACTTTTACGAAAGCTGTACCTTCAAGGAGCAGTGGGAGCCGGGGCCAGTGACAGGAGAGTCGCCACGGCTTAAGCATAACGTCAGGGTTCGCTCCATCAATCTCAACGTCAACAGTTGGAACTTCTCAACGTCACAAAACTGCTCCACCTTCATTAAGGTAAAAATTTTTGCTTCGATTGATGAAGTCAGTTCACCAACGACGCTCGGAAACTATAGAAAGCGGATTCTTTGTAATCTACTTTAGTTCAACAATTGGGATGACCACGACGGGGGACGATATCCGGTGCTGTGTGGGAGGGAGAACTTTGACCAGTACCTGGGCCCCTACGGTCATCCCATGGTGCTGTACTACCAGTGGAAAAAGGGAGGGCTCTCTTTCCCACTATTTCATTCCAGCTACGGTGAACACCACCGAGATCGTAAGGAGACTTTGGAGCTGCAATACATGCAAATTTATTTCTTCGTCACGTCAGGTAAGCAGTGCAACTATAATTTCAATGGCTTTACTTCAATTAACGCAAATATATGAAATGTTTCACAGGGTCAAAAGGGGACACGAACAGAAAGTGTCGCGTGCAGCAGTACCGCTTGGACTGGTTGCGAATGGGATGTTCATCGTATTCGACGGAGGAGGAGCCGGTTTGTGGGGAGTACCCCTGCCCAGGTGAATATTATTATGGAACTGATGTCGTGGGGAAATCTCAATTTATATCCCTTTTTCAATTGACCAGAGCTCGAAGCCCTTTATCAATCCAAGATGACAATCTTCAAGGATGGTGAGAGCGAAAATGACACCGTCCTCGTTTGGAAAACAAAGAATGACAAATACAGAATGCGTACCTTCCTCCGCCAAAAGGTGATAACGATTGTATATTTATAAAGTGTGGTATGTATACATATATTATAGGTGTATACATATTTTGAAAATACAATGAATATATATTGAGATGAGATAGCGATTAATGCAAACTTAACTGATGTTTTTTATATTTTCAAAAGTTTGTTCCCGTCGTGTTCTTAATTGTCCTAATTTGTGCATACCGATCTTACATGAAGGCTGGGCTCAGGTTTGAAGAAATAACTTTAGCTTAATGTGAACTATTATGACACGACTATTTACATGCAGATACCAAAATTCGATACAAGATGACATGCCGGATTTCCGAGTACGATCCATCAGACGACGCATTCCAACCTCGCGAGCATACCCTGGACGTGGACCCGGTCCCTGGCGCGACATGACGACGGAAGCAGCTTACTGGGATTTCCCAGACGAGGATCCTCCTCCAGACTACGTGGCCACAGGGTCCCGTCAACAACAGGATGATGCGGTTATACAAATGGGGAATGATAACACTGTCACCACCACTGGCAGCAGCAGCCCCTACAATCCAAATCAATCCATACGCATGCATGAGGTTCAGCCAAAACTGACCGAGAATGAGGTAGAAGTGGAGCCACCCCCACCGTACGAGTCTGTCTGTCCTCCCACATATGGAGAAGCCACAAAACCATAAATGGATACAATTTTTGTAAATTCCTATCCATCATATGCCATATGATTACAGAATACAAATACAATTTTCAATGTGCTAAAATATTAAGTTTTCATGATTTTTGTCACCCCCATTCCACATAAAGTTACTCAATTTATTTTACAAGTTTTTTTAATCATTAAGGGACTTAAAAAATGACTACAAATTCAAACACTTATTCTTTATATTTACTATTGGACTATATCTTCTTTTTACTTTCCGTGTCACTATCACTATCGGAGGAGCTGTCCGAGTCTGAATCAGATGAACTGCTTGACGATTCCTGAGATTTTGTATACGAAGAAAGACTATTTGTCAGCGTGACTTGTCCAATCATAAGATTTTGAGTTAGGTTCATTATTGGCAAATTTAAGGTGGTGGAGAGTTGAGAGTGGAGGTTAACTATGTTGTTGGATAATTTGACCAAATTGTCCACGTCATCCCGATGAAGAAGTCGATTCTCATAAATTAGACCGATTAGAATAAAGGCTGGCATTTTCTTCAACATCTTCATCAACATTGACACATCCGTCGTGCTACAAAACCCAAACGCCGTTTTGGATTCACATAGTGGTATGATGGGTGCCCATTTTGTCCCTTTGAAAGCTGCAGCGGTTACTTGGCGGTTCACCCTTTGTTGAATTTCCATTGGGAAATTGTTATCATGGAGCATCAGTCTTATCTGCGTACAACATCTATTATTATTAGTATTAAAGACGAAGTAAAAAAACTTTCGAGTAATACACAATATTTAAATAAACTCACCCTATCAAATTCCCTCCCTGTGAATGAGTCAATGTGGAAAATAGCTATCATTGGGTGCTTCGTAAAGTCGCGACGTAGTTTCCCAGCTAAAAACAAGGCGTATGGATTTTCCTGCGTTATTAATAATTGATATTTGTTATTTGATATTTGATCAGCAAACAAAAATATGCACACTTTATGTAAAGCTTTCTAAAGGTTCATACATCAACAATTGAAACACTGTTCTGGTCGCTGGGTTTCAGCATGGCGTCACAAACAGGTTTATTTGGGGGTGGTACTGGCTCGCAGACGGCAAAAAGTCGCTTTCGATTGTAGTGCATGGGCAAAGGGTTCTTCAAATTAGGTCGGTTTCTGAATCGCACCTGCTGAACCACGAGGGATATCAATTTAGAGCCCAAATCTGAAACAAAATAAATAAAAATATTTTAAAATAAGTTAATGTTGTCTAAAACTCTGCATTCCATCAAATATTTAATTCTGTTAATACCCGGGGACTTGCTCATAGTAAATAAAGCCATGATGAACTGCTGCTAGGATTGTATACTTATTAGTTAAAATTAAGTTAAATTAAGGGAATTAAATTAATACTGGAAGCCTAAAAATAACAATCGTGGTTCACGAATTTCACGATTCGTGAAAGATTGGCTGTCCAAACGTGCTAATTCCGCTAGTTCCACGATGGGTTTGAGATTTGAGAATATTCAGCAATCATCCGTCAGACAGTTAGCAAACCTTGAACCGACGCCACCAAAGCATGAAATGATGTATGATTTTGACCGACCAATTTTACAAACCGAAAATCCCGAAAAATTGAAACTTCTTCTTGGGATAGATGAAATGAAAACCATGAAATAATTTAATTTTGGTAGCATTATATCTAACTCTAGATATGGCCTCACCCAAGTAGTTCGGATTTTTCAGGATTTGCCTGTTACTAACTTTCTCATTGACATTTATTAACCCTTTGGGGTGATAAATACAATAATAAGCTCAAAACTAGCTATACATCAATACAAGCGGTGGGGGACAAGAGATTTTCTCCAGCCCTTCACCTGTTAGAAATGCTAGATATTAAAATTCCAACGACATATCCTTCCTATAGGTAATTTGACAGAATTGCATATATGAAATTCGAGACCTTACAATTAGTGATTCGAGCTAATGAGAAAAATTTGAAATTGAGTTGAATTTCAAATGAATTTTGCCTGAATTTGAACTGAAAAAATGAGTCTGAAAATGAGACAAGTATTGTATTTAAATACAATACATAATTATGTATGTATGTACACAGTAGAGGAGAAATGCTCCCAATTCGTGCGACGAATTCCTTTGTTCAATATTAATGGTCCCTTACTAAACGAACATGTTAGCAAGTTGTGGGGCCTTATATTCATTTAATATGTAGGAGCTCATGAGTCATGTCCATTTAAATGTTGTATTAGTATTGGTTGGTAGTTAGAAGTTCAGTTAGTGGGAGATTTGGTTTGTTTATTGCATTATGATAATAAATAACTCTAGTGGCAAGAAAGTGCAGTCATTTCAGTTTCGCCAAGTTAATATCTGCTCCAAGTCCGTGGTTATTTTTTTACGTACATTGTTATACGTTTTAGAAGCGCCTCTTCAAATATATGATGAGGGCATTTAGGTGTAACCTCTGTCACAAAGCATTCAAGACGTCTTATCAGCTGCAGGCGCATGCCAAGACGCACACGGGCGAAAAACCTTTCAACTGCAACCACTGTCCAAAGGCATTTTTGCAAATGGGGACTTTGCGCTACCACATTTTGACCCACACGGGCGAACGACCGTATCCCTGTCACCGTTGTCCTAAGCGTTTCCGCCAGAAGTCCAATCTAGACCAACACCTTCGCATCCATCTCAACATCTGCTTGTGCTAAGTTTCTGGTCAACCTTTTCAGTAAACTGGCTTAGTAAAGATAACATTTGTTTAAACCAGTTACCCGTCAACGGTGTACATACATATGCATAAATATGCGTACATACGTATTAAAATGCGTACAAGCTGCTCCTTTTAATTCCCTGTTCTGCACCTCCCCGACTTTATACAAGATAATAAAAGTGCATGTAAATGAACGCAGTGAATAGCTTCCTCATTCAAACTTGACAAGTTCTTCCTATCGTCATCCTAAAGTCGTGTATATCATAATACTAATGATGATGATATCGTGAGTGGTGAAGTTTGCATTTATTTTCATAGTGTGTTTAATAGTACTGTTGGGTGTCCCCTGGATTATATATGTACAATGTACATATCTGTTGTATAGTTTCTCCGTTGTGGACCAGTTTCGAGCCGCATAAATAATGCATTGGCCTTATAATATATCTATCTCGTTGGAATTCAATTGGCTCACAACCAACATGTTTAAACGGTGAAATCCCTGTATAAGATCGGTATGTCCGGCTGTCTGTTGGTGGTCAAGTAACTCGTGAACGAACGACATACAAACTTGAAACCTAGTTTATTTAGGTCAAGGGTCAGACTTATAGAAAACGAGCAATGTAGGTGACAAGGCCACAGCGCCAGGTCATAGGTCACGTTTTCTTAAATTAGAGCGACATCATGCGATGACTCGAATCAATAGTATTTTCAAATAGCTGTCCAACTGACTAGGTCATTCTGACCTGCGACACCTCGGTGACAGGTCAAAGGTCACAAATTTTTAAAACACGCCAGACTTGTTTAACATATTTTGAGCTCTGAACACAAATATGATACCCGTTTTGACTGCGACACCCCAGTGAACGTGGTCTCAAATGTTTAAAACGCGTCGGACGGTTAATTTTAAGATGGAAAACATTTTGACGTATGACACGCTGGTTTCACCCCTTGGTGAGTTTTGGTGAAATATGTGTTTTAACGGTTTATTAACTTACTAAAACATGGGTAGGCAATAAATATCACTACTACTAGGAGTTTTATTAAACGTTGACGTTTTAAACTTGCACTGTTTGTTTTTTAATTTCAATTATAGACGACAACAAAAGAATAAAGAAGCTAAATTTTACGCCCTCGTCATGGTGGATTCAGTGTCGAATATGCAAGGTTTGTATTCAGGATGAAGATAAGTTTATCGCCCACATATTGTCAAAACACCCATCTTTGTCCTCATCATCACCAACGGCTTCTTCAAATGAGAACTCAGAAGACGACGAGTAAGTTGTCTATTTACACAGAAAATGCATGAAAACTAAAAGCACAATTCCGCTGGGGGACGGATATTAACAGTTTTGGTATCTAGTTGGGCTGGATTTCTTTCCAAGCTTTTCGTAAATTGTTTTTAAAAAATAATATATTTTTACTTTTACTCCTTTATGTAGATCGTCTGAAACGAGTCGTAAAGGTCATGCCGTTGGTTCCACGGACGAAAGTGAGGATTATTCCGAGGATGAAAATTTTCGTGTAAAGCAGGCGACAAATCTGATCAAGACGGAACCATCAGCCTTGTGCGGAACTGTTTTAGGGAGCGTGCCAGAACGCCCAGAACACAAGGAAGCTCTTCTTAATGAGTGGACGTCGCGAGTTTTTGGGGAGGAAAGGGTCCTGGCCGTGGATCTTGTAGCAATAGAAATAGTGGATCGCACGACCACACGTACAGACCACCCTTCTTGTGCCGACGAGGCACTGCATAAAAGCAATGATAACCCCATTCTCCGTTTGGCTGGGTAAAAAATGTCAACTATACTGAATAAAAGGTTTGACTTGTATATGCAGTCGCTGTAGTTCAACATTGTCTTCGCTTTCTACTTTCACAGATCATCCTGTACAGCAACTAATTTACTGGGCAACGAATTGGTGCCACCTCCCGCTAATAGTACTAATAGCAATGACCGCGTTACGCTTGTCGAAGAGCAAGTTGAAGAACAACCGGAAGGAAGATTATTAGCAGAATCCAGGCCCATTGTGCCAGACTTGACAACGCACCCACAAAATATTGGCACGCTTGAAAACACCTCAGCCTTACCGGACAAGTTACACAAGTGCTGCATTTGCCTCAAAAAGTTTACTTTCAGAGCTAACTTGAATTGTCATTTATCTGTCGTACATCTTTCCAAGAGCGGTCCAAGTAAGTAATTAGACAGAATTACACTTACATTTTCAGTTTGTGGGTTAATTTAGCATACATATTTTAACTTCACAGGGGGGGAGCGAATACTCAAATGTGGGATTTGTCCCAAAACCTTCTCCAAACGGAAGCATCTCTCGCATCACTCCTGGATTCACACGAAAAATGATGAACATCGGTTCAAGTGTCCACAATGCATGACTGGTTTCACGCGAAAGTCTCTTTTCAAAACTCATTCGAAACAATGCTGCAAAACTTAGTACATTTCGCCCAGAGAAAGGACTGATTCAGAAAATGCTCATATTATGATTATTATGCATTACTATCTAATATCGGATATGCATATACAGCTTATATCAAATTTATTTATGAATAAACTGCATGTTTTATCGTTATTCTTAAAACAATCAGTGAACGCGATTTCTATTTCATTTCTATACCGCCATTTAATGCAGACGACCAACATTTCAGTAAAAATAACAATTTCAATGCAAAATTTGTCTTTAATTTTTTTTGCATTAAGGATTTGCAGTCTGTGTACAGGTTTTACAAATGTTAATTAAACAATTGTACACTGATATTCATTATTTTTAAGGTAATTTTCCGAAATGGAAAACTATGTATTTATTTTCATGCAGAATTGACCGTTTCATGCAGAAAATTTAACTGCCAGCTAAATATGCGGATTATTTATTGCAATTCGAATTGCCGATCTCAGCCTTTGCCATAGATCTAGATGTATCACCTTAGCAGATCCACAATTGAGCGAGTGAGCACTTCTTATTTGCAACATAGTTTGCACGCTCTCTGATTATGCAACAACGTGACTCAACTAAAGCCATATCTAGCACTGCAGCTACATATCATACATCTATATGAAAGAGGTGCAAAAACACCTGCAATCGTTCTCACCCACCGTGAATCCTCCCCCCGGGGCACAAATTATGCAATCCTCCTCCCAACCAGCTCCCACAATTCCTTCAGATAGTATCAATTCGGTGGAAATGATAGGCAGCGATGCAAGTATTCAATTCATTCGATGTTGTATAATATGCTAAATTCCCCTTCTCGTAAACTGGTCAAGTTTTGGCATTTTTATTTTTGATGGAATTCGAGTTCTATAAACGACACATGTATCTCAATTTGCCTAGGCGCAAGTGGAGACAAGTATGTATAAATGCATGCAAATTATAACATGGACAATTGCATATTAAATTTTCTTGCCATGATTGTTCTCCACGTTGCATTTATTTATCTCAGTTTTAACGAAGCAGCAGCCCCTCTCCTGTATTAATATGATCATCATCATTCATTGTTACAAACCTTTACCTATCCAATTCGCTCATCCATCCACCACCAAGATAAATAAAATACTATAAAAGCTACTAATAAAAGCTCATCATCATCGTGTCTTAAATCCTGCTTCTGCCTACAACAGTAGAGGAGGGGCCGTAGCGAGCAGCTACTCCATTGTCGCTGGTCGAAAAATTGGGAAAGGGTGTGAAAGTATTGGCGGAGAGTTTGGGAGGGGTGTGGTGGTTTGGGTGTGGTTTTTGTGTGGGGGTGGTTGGCGACGGCACTAAGGTGTCAATATCCTGCCATGCCCACACTACTACTAGAGTGCCAAAGCTAAAATCTGTACAAACTCGCTCGTCTAATAAAACACCAAAATCCTTTCCTTTGCACCACCACCACCTCAACCAACACCAGCCAGCCTGCAGTTAGCTCCGCAATACTAGAAAACCTGATAAACTTTTAACTGCTGCTCCAACGCAATCCGTTATGTGGTGGAGTGGAGTCGTGTTAATTCACGTTAATGTGAAACCCCATTAAAATTTCGTAAAACTCACAATTCAATTAGCAGTGGTGGCTGCACAGAGAAATTAAGTTTCACCAGCGCGGACCTATTAAACAAATGGAACCAAAAAGTTTCACGGGATAAATTTGATACACATATTGACGAAATTTTTAAGAAAGAAAGCTGGAAGAAAATTACGCAAATTAAATAAATTGTTCCAAGCGAGTGAGAAACATTTAAATAAGTACTCAATGTATTTCAAGAGTTTTCAGTTTTAGCAAAATTCTCACAAAGATTAGAGTCGAATTATTTCGCTATTTCGCATCTACTTGATTTTTGCTAGTGCTTAACTCAGCCTTAATTGAATTACGTGGTACGTCCGAACTCAGAGTTCGCACGGCATACTTACGACGACATTGCTGACCTCAATTGGATATTAATTTCGCATTATTGATTCATTGATTGATTGATGAAAACCAAGAAATATTAGGGAGACGGAGATTATACAAGTGCTATTATTATAGCTGACCATTTGTGATTTAGCGACTTTCTTTCTCAGGTTGTGCAACCAGCTATGACGAACGAGCCTTAGTTTACACTAAATTACATCGTCGCACCAACCTACGTCTTCTTAATTTTAATCCATTTCTTTGTTCTTCTCATCTTTCGACTGACGAGGCGACGATACAGGCAGACTTTGTGAGAATATTGCTCAATTTGACATTAAATAGTCCGAGTTTTGTACAAAAAGGTGAGTCCAGAAATTCAAATGAGTTTGTTATTATTTTCGTCTAAATTTTACAACTTTTCAATTTAATTTGTTATTTCAGGAGAAAGATTTGGATTTAAATTAGATAAATAATAACAAAAACAACGAAAACACACCCTTGATCTCTCCGGTAACAAAGAACTGAATGCACCTGATGATATTTGTACGAGATTACGATTAGGAAAACTACTACACGATAATAAGGTAATAAAACTAAATCAAAACAGGTAAACATACATAAAACTATCTTAGTTATTAAGTAGTTATTAGTTAGCAAATTGGTTTTTGGAATGGACTACCCATAATAGTAACCGAGGTAGTCAAACCTTCGGCGAAATGTACAAACAAGGGCTATTTTCCAACTACTTATATGACATGAATAATAAGGGTTTAAAAATTGTGCTGAAACCTTGTTCACAGTTTTGTTGAAATAATAAAGGTTGTACGAGAAGGACGCTGACACAAATAGGCTGACGATGGCGAAGCTAGAGACGGAGGTGCTGCTAAAAAAGGGAAAGAGGGGGGCAGCGGCGTATATCCAGGCCGAGTGTGCCAGACCCGTGAGGCCCGAGAATCTCAATGCTCTCTTGGACACCTTGTTGGACCCTCTCAAGTCCATTGATGACTGGGAAACTATCGACTGGTGTCGCTGGCTAATGGCTGGTGGCTGCACGCCCGATGAATTTGCTTCGACAGGTTTGACATCTCGTTTCTAACCACGCTATTATTTGATCACAATTTCGTAACTGAAAAATATTTTATCGATTATTTCGTTAATAGTTCGGCGATATGACAATGCAACTACCTGCGGATTGGTTTGGACAGCTAATTTTGTGGCTTATCGTTGCCGAACGTGTGGAATTTCTCCATGCATGTCGCTCTGTGCAGAGTGCTTTCAACGAGGTAACTATTACCATTTATTTTTTTGTAAAAGTTTCCATATTTTAGGAATTTTAATTCTTATAATTATTTTCATTGTAGGAAACCACAAAGGTCACGACTTCAACATGTTCAGATCCCAGGCTGGAGGTACGTAAAAGTGATTGTATTTTGATATGTATTATCAATGCAATTGAATTAATTAAATTTCGACTTCTAACCATATTAAACAGGTGCATGTGATTGTGGAGACACAAATGTGATGAAAGAATCTGGCTTTTGTGTAAGCACTTACCAGAACTTTGGTATAATAATTTGGCGTTATTGCTTAATTTATGTCTTATTTTTTTGCAGTATTTACATGGGCCCCATGCCTCGGGAAGTCATGAGAGTTGTCCAGATAGTGCTGCTGCACCACCTGACCTTCTTTGCGTCGCTAATGCCATGATGCCTCAACTCATTCTTAGGTCTGCTTATCAGTCAGTTTCGTTACTATCCGGGTTTAAACAGCGCATAGTAGCGCCCTGGGGGTCAAATTTTAGCGTTGATCGTTTTAATTTGAAAGTGTTTCACTTTAATTTCAGACTGATTCAACATATGAGACAAAACTCTATATCTCTGGATGGATTTCTGGGTGCCGTGAATGCAGCGGATAAGTTTATCACAATGTTGCATGATCTTAGTTCTATGGGTGCTGCGATGAGAGCTGTAATGACACATGCTCTCACGAATCCACAAGTAAGTAATCCGGATTGATGTGCTATTTACATATTAATAAATTATATACGCTGAAATATCTTTTGACATAACCTTTTTATGGACCTTTTTATTAAAGGTGTACAAAAGTTTGATGGAGTATAACAATGATGACGTTAGTGATGAATATGAAGATTTTATGAAAACAACTCAACGCTGTTACGACGATGCGCTTGGAACGTTGAGGAACCCATTGCCTCCCACTGAGTTTGAAGGTCTGCTTGCGAGCATGAGTAAATTGAATTATATGTGAAAACTAAAGTAACACCACCATTTGGTTTTATTTTTTTAGAGATACCATCCTTGCAGAAATCTTTAGTTCATAGAACGTTTCTTCAAGGTATGTATAATGATGATGAGTAGTAAACATGTTGCAATTGATGTAGTCCGAGAAAGTATAGTAACATGAATGTGTTTTTAATTTTTCTTCCAGAATTGGTATTTTGGACAGCAAAGTTTGAGTTTCCCCAAAAAATTGTTTGTCTTTTGTTAAATTTACTTCCTGATCCAGAGTATAAGGTAATTTTTAATCACTTTCCTTTGAATTAATATAAATTATTTTTCTAACATAACTAAATTTCCTGCTGTTGATTTGTTGCAGGAAGCATTTACTCGAGCTTTTGTTCTACATTATAGTCGAATTTCGCAGCTCCTAGTACGCTCCCCTGACCCTGACATGCTCTCTAACAGAGTTGTTCACGTCAGTGTTCAGTTGTTCTCCAACGAAAAACTAGCTCTCCGGATGACGGAGCAAATGAATCTACTTCACGTCATGGTCATTAGTTTGCACTACATGATGCATGATATTAGCTTTTACAGTCCAATCTATCAGAAGATTGGGTTACCAATTCGCGTTGTCGATTGTGGGAATTCGGTGATGAAGGACCATTGTTATTGGCCTTTGGTATCCGATCTCAACAATATTCTAAGTCATCGCCCTGTCGCGTTAAAGGTACATATAATACTTTACTTTGTGGGACTTTATAATGATTATTTGTAACTCTGTCAACTTTGTAATACGATTTGACATTTGTTTGATGTTACAGTTCCTCCAAGATGATGGGCTTCTCAACATGTGGTTCAATTTCCTCTCCATGTTCCAAGGTATATTTATGCATTTATTTATAGTATTATTACTCAAATATACTAATATCGTACCAGTTAGTTTTATTAAGTTTACTAATTTGTGTAGGAATGAATGTGAACCAGAGGGAAATGAATCAGCACATCGAATTCGAACCCACAACTTACTATGCAGCATTTTCAGCAGGTAAATGGTGAAACCATTATTGACTATTTTACGGTTATTAACTCTAGATAAATAATGTGAATTTACAAATATTATAGAATTAGAAGCGAGTGCTTCCCCAATGTGGGCTCTGGTGGGTCATTTAAAGGACTCTTGCACGGCTCATCTTACAAAAAATTTGTTGTGGCACTGCAAGCGTCAACTTCGCCGTTGGTTAGAAAATGTAAAATTCGGCCAACATATGGTGCGTCATCGTAAATACATTATTTTGATTCAAAGGTCTTGTTTTTTGTTGAGTACTTGGATATTTCTTGCCAATGTGAATTTATTTTATAGAATGAGGATATTCAAGTGTCCTTTCATCTTCCTTTGCATCGATACTTCGCAGTCTTCCTTTACCAAGCTGTTCGGAATCAAGGGTTATCAATATCTGAACTCTTACCTCCTCCACATGAGTTAAAGCAGATTATATTTCATCCCCTGCGTGTACAAGTTGCCTTCTATGAAATTATATCGGGATTATGGGTGCGAAATGGACTTCAAATCAAGGGTCAAGCTATGACGTACATTCAGGTTGGAATATTTATTTTTTTACATTGGAATAGTCATAGTCGTAACGTTTCTAAATGTTTTGTATTCCCTTGCAGTGCCACTTTTGCAATTCTATGGTAGATGCAGACCTGTACCTGTTGCAAGTTGGTCTAATGAATATTCCTCGTGAAGAATTTGTTTCCTCTATATTTGAAAAGTATTGACATTTACGACACAATTTTACAAGTATAATTCCTGAAAGAACAATGTAAATTTACATTCTTTGTTTAATTATATTATTCTAGATTTAATATCGTCGAGTCATTGAGTATATCCAGCGATGTTACAAACACATATTTGGAAGTTGACCAGGAAATGCTCATGATGGAGAATTGTCTTATATTTCTGGCCACGTTAAGTTCCGTAAGGACAGCGATTGGAATGTCGGACGCGGATTTGATTACGTTGGAAATGGTGACTCTTCTCTGCATGTCCGACAAAACACATAGCCAGCTAATGGAGCTCATGCCGGAGAGGTGTGGCAACAGCTCCCAGTCTAAAGACTTTGAATCGGTTCTCAATTTGGTGAGCTTTATCATCTTATAAAAGATTGTTTATCTTGAGCTTATTTATTTACAAATGCATGTTATTGTCATGTTTTAGGTGGCAGAATATCGGGCCCCTAATTTTGAGTCGAGTGGAAACATGCTACAAGGGATGTACGTCCCAAAATCCTTCGTTTGGGAAACCGAATATGATCCAATTTACATCTTACTTAGGGCAGTTCATCGTCGTGAATTTCAAACAAGGTACATATTTTGTTTATAACTTTTATTGAGCGGGCTGATTAATTATTTATTGACCAAGTTTAAAGTTTCACCTGTTTTATTATTTTTATAGTATGGATAGATTTACGGAATTTGCAAAGCACACTGGCAAATTTAAGGGCTCTGGAGCTCCGTGGCCCCCATTTAGAATTCCGTCCGCCGTTTCACACCCATACTCGGACCCTCGGCTGGTGCTCCTAAGTCGTGTGGTTCAGGGCGTGTTATTTGTGATATTTTACAAGGCAGTGCATACGTCTCAATTATCGGACCAAATGGTGGCCTTGGCTGTTTACCTGCTCGAAATGGCTCTGAGTGTTTGCGAGTCTGGAGGATCGTCTGCAATAAGTCGACATGAGGAGTCGTATGGTCGATTTGACATGAATTTTGGAAGTTACTACTCTACGGATGACTTACTCTCCAATCTCAGAACGGAAATTGACTCAATAATAGTTAAACCTGCAAATTTCAAGGACGAATCATCAGATGGTAAGTTTAGCTTATAGCTAAATAAATAAATCCATTTGTATACATTACAGAGATGATTGACTTGTAGTCACACAATACATAGTGTTATATTTTGATCATTTTGTGCTATAGCTATTGAAATCAGCGTTGACGAGATGGAAGTCGACGGTTATGAGGGGGAACCAGATGTGTTGGACCTTTATGACTCTAATTATGGCTCAATGACAGCATTCAACTCCAACGATTATCACATGGAAGATTCCAATCCTGCTGCTCCTTCTGGAACGCTGGCGTTGATGCCACCCACAGGCTTTGCAGATGCCATGGTGCCAATGACAGTTACCGACCCTTCGTCCAACGCTGCCATTACGTCGACGACAACGGCGCGGATAGACGATGCTATGCACAATAGAGTTCTTCAAGTCGTTCTTGCCTCCAATAAGACTGTTGCCAATGTTCCCAAAAAGGATATGATGGAGAGAAATTCGTCTGTAAGACTAATACTATTTAATGCAGGAATTTTATTTACTACTTTTGAATTGCTAAATAATGTCCGACACTACAGATGGGGAGTCAACCACCGCCTACAGAAGTGATGGTCAATGAAAGCATCCTTACCCTCCTTTTAAAACTGCATGCCAAGTTGTCTGCTTCGCCTGACAGTTATGTTCCCTTCTGGGAATCTATCGCTGGTCAGAAGCTCATTTCGGATGCAATAGCAGGAATTTCAAACGGACTGCAAATTCAACAATTCGTTGGAGAAAATGAGTCAAAATCCCCTAGATTCAGTCATGCCCAACTGTACGAATTGTTAAATCCTGTCGAGTCAAGAATAGGAGACGGCCAGTTTTTCCTTGCCAAAATTTTGGATAAAATCTGTGCGAAGGATGATGCGTGTCGAGAAACTGTAATTCGTTTGAGGGAGAAAATTTGGCCAAAAACCGCTGAGGATGAAGAAGCAGTCAGGCTTCGTGAAGAGCAGGAAAAGGAGGAAAGACGGAGAAAGGCTAAAGAGAGACAGACAAAGTTGATGGCAGAATTTGCGAGAAAACAGAAACAGTTTATGGAGAAAGCCATGACGGAGGAAGAATTTTTGGACGAAATGGGAGACAGCTCTTCCGATGGCTTTGGTGGTCCATCAAAGGACGATCTATCGGAATCCATTAAACCGCTAGAGTACGACTGTGTCATTTGTAATCAAACTAGTGCATCCACCAGCGACAATCCAATAGGACTTGTCATACTTCTTCAGCCATCTTCAATTTTGGGACGCAGAACTGAAGTTGGAGAGAAGGTAACACTGATAACTTGATAGTTAAGATTGAGATACTATGTAGAGTTAGAGTACCATCTCAATCTTCGCCTACAAGATTATGACGCACTATATTGGATATTTTAAATCTTAAACAGAGTCCCACGCTGCCAACGAACGAGGATGAAAATTGGAATTTGGAAAAAACGAGGGAGACGATGGCTTCGTTCCACAGAGGAAGATTGGAAGAATACAAACTGCATTTTGAGGAGTCCAGTTGGTTGCAGTCCGTTTCTGCTGGATGGGAAGGAGGTACCGCTTCACATTAATTTGGATAATTGATTTCATCTAATTATTTTTCTGGTGTTTAGGCGTTCATGTTTCCAGTTGTGGACACCATATTCACATGCTGTGCCTCAAAGGATACATTTCGGGTTAGTGAGTTAATTTAAAAAGTTTATGCAAGTTATTTTATTCAAACCAACTTGTTTTGCATATTATACAGCTCTAAAGTCGCAACAAAGGCAGCACAGCATATCCGTGGACCGGGGAGAATATTTTTGCCCGCTATGTAGACAGCTAGCTAATTCTTTCCTCCCCTTGTCTCCCGAGTTTGGGATCCGACAGTCAGCCTTAGTTAAAGACAGAAAAAATGCTCAAACCCCGCTAACGCCCGAAACAACCGTTCCTGAGATATTGCCTTCTCCAGAATCCAACGTCGCTTTAGAAATAGTTAAGCTCCTTCGAGAATACATCTTTCCCACTACAGCTGGAAAGATGATGGATGCGATGACAAAGACGATGGAAGAGATGACCAATATTACCCAATTACGATACCGTCAAGTATGCTCTCACATACAGAATAAGAATAATAATAATAAGGGTTTATTCATTCCATTAGTCAGTCCATTACATTTTTAAATGAAACCCGCGTATATTCGTTACAATTATTTAATGTTGAATTTATGTATTTCTGTTGATAGGTTGGCAGCTCAAAAAATACGAAAAGTATGATTTGATCTTTAACAAGTTAAAGCAATTTGAAAGACCAGATCTCAACTTAACCTAAGTGTCATTTTGTCATTTCAGGTATTTTATTATTTGTGACTTCCATTGCTAGGACGAACCTTGAGCTTGAAGTAGTATTTCGTGGAGGCAGTTTGGTGGCTGCCGAGCCACAGCCTTCTACGTCATCTTCGTCAGGGTCGTCGTCAACTGCTGTGTCTAAACGGTCGTGTCTTGGTACGTGTAGAACATAAAATAGTACAGAACATAAATACTACTCATTCCTACATGTACAACCGTATAAACAAAGTTAATATGGGGATTTTTTTTTACTATTTAGTTCCGCTGCTACACGTTTTGGGTGTTCACTACAAGATACTGTCAGCGGACCCATGTGCTCCCAAGATGTGGGAGAGAATTTTAGGAATAAGGTAAAATTATGGTTCAAAAGTAGCTGATAACTTTACGATGGACTTTAATTTATGATTTGAATGGCCTAGATTCTTTCCGGACTCATCCCTGATGCCAATGGATCGAGAGGTTCCAATGCTACTGCGAGATCCTACCACGATGCTCCTACATTTACTGATGCAGCTCCCTATGCACGTTGACTTGGCATACTTTACGTCCATGGTGCAAGGAATCTACAATTTGGTTTATGTTCAGATCTTGTCCGGTCTTAGTTGTGGATTTTTGGAGATTGAACGAGAATGTTGGAAACACAAAATGGCAAACTATTCGTCAATTGAAAATCCTAATCTCATTTTCTTCCTTCTTGGAACTGTTATTCGCTATTTGGAAAAGTTCCCATTCTACTGGTTAGAAAAGAGCGGAGCTGCGGCAGCCGCAGCTATGGACCAGGACGATTTTACGAGGCCTCAAAATTATGCTAGTGACGACAGAGAGCAAGAGTTGGAGCTAAAAGTGCAATCACTTCTTTTACCGTATCTCCGAATTGCGACACTTTTGAGACATCAAATATACGAACAAGAGTTACCGCTGATAAGGTCATCCGATTGTGAATTTAGATTGTTAGCCCAGTTCTTGGGCCTTGGTGTAAGCAATGGCGGTGGTAGTGGAGGGGTTAGTAGTATGGACGACTCTGAAAGTTATGGGAGTGCAGTGTTTGGTGGACCGAGTGCTGAATCGTCACCCCATAGCAATAGTAGTAACAGCAACAACAACCATAAAAATGCATTGGCAGCACATAGTTTCCTCAGCTGGATATCGCCAACCCCTTTGACGACCATATGGACGTGGTGCGAGGATATGGGCAACTTTATCGGGAGAGCACGTGTGGCCTCAATGTCTTTACTTCAAAGTCATCACAAACTTTGGAGTCAACCTAGATTGATGAAACTTCCTCACGCCTATGACATTGTGTTTCAATACTACCACAGGAAACAATGTCCAAACTGTAACTCAGTGCCCAAGGACCCGAGCATTTGTTTGGTATGCGGAACAATGGTCTGTATGAGAGACTCTTGCTGCAAACCGGCGAATGGGTCATGTGAAGCAATTGATCACTCCATCACGTGTGGAGCTGGTACAGTCATCTACCTCTCTGTCAACTCCTCCACCATCGTCGTCGTTCGAGGGCGACGGGCATGTTTATGGGGAAGCGTCTACTTGGACTCGTTCGGCGAAGAAGACCGCGAGCTGAAGTAAGGACACTTTAGTTATATTAAATTCAGTTACTACTATTGACTCTTCTACTTTGCAAACTTTACATTATAATATTTCTTATTTTTTGCAGGCGAGGAAAACCGTTGTTTCTAAGCAAAGAAAGATACGCTTTACTTCAACAACAATGGCTAACTCATCGGTTCGACCACACCACTCGTAAGTGGGTGTGGCACAGAGACAATCTCTAATTCAATTTGGATTTCTTAAGTTTGATAATAATAATATTTGCAAAAGACAAGTCTCCTTCTTTGTATATTACACCAAAGACTAATATTTTGTCCTGATCATGTCCATATACATACTTATTAATAATAATTATTATTATTATGCACAAGCAACAAAACAAAGTATCATGAGAGAGGAAGAGAAAAATAGCAATACGTCAGGTAACCATCATCATGTATACTCGGTTGTAACTCGAAGAAAAAGTCATAAACTAATTTAAAACTCGTATTTAGTTGAATAGTTATATAAATATCGCCTACATCTCTCCGCAATAATAATACCTAATACGTAATATTTACGCAGCGCATATTATATACAAATGTTTAATAGTCAGTCATTCGCCAATACGTTATTATTGGTGACGTTTGATTTCCCAAGTTTAATTTCCTCGCCTTGTTTTTGTTAATCCCATGTTCGAATAAAAAAATAAGAACATAACTTCAAAATGGTTTGCTTAATGCGAGTTTATTCCGCATCCGCATACAAACCAAACAACACACTGACCACTAAACTACGATTCCACCACTACCCAGTACCAACCTTAAAAATTCCATAATTTTGCAAACGTCAAATCCATTGGAAATGGTTCATAAATTTTTTAAATAAATGTACAAACTAGTAAATAATTAGTAATTCGTTTGCTATTTAATAGCTCATTCTTCACCTGCGACCGCACTCAAATATTTAATTGGTGGACAATGAAACTGTTTGAACGGGACAATCATTTTCATACCTTGCTGTGGATTTGATCCGAACTGTACCCAAAGTACGTTTGTCTTCAATCGTAAATCAAGTTAGCTTTCAAATTATTTCGTCATATTATGCAAATATATTTCAGGCAGTTATGAAACTCGGCCTAATTTTGCTCATTCTTGGTTTTCTTGGAATATTTCAAAACTGGGACTCTTTACAGCAAGACAAAGCAACAAACGTGTCAAACTATTATACCACCGTCAGTCTACATATGTAAATTTACCACGCGTAAATTTTACATTTGACTAATTCTGTCATATTTACATATTTATCCATAAATATATTAATCGATCGATATATTTCGACGTTATCGAAACCTCTGGCATTAGGGTATGCAACATCTTGGATTGAAAATTTCGATTTTCCGTATGGACTATAATTATAACTGTTCTCTTTTAGTTTGTAGTACAATAAATTAGTTGGGCTTACAGATCATGGCCTCCCAGTAATGACCTCCGACCAGTAGCCTCCTGAGGAAATTGGCCATGCAAACGAGTTTTAAAATCTCTAGTTTCTTTGTTCTCATCACTAATATGTAAAACTATATACATATTTCTAGTCACCATCATCCAGCATTAATCACTTTTACTTGTACGCATGCACACGAGAGTAAAAGTAGAGTGTCGTTTGCATGCGTGCAGGTAAAAATAATGAATGTTGGATGATGGTAAATACAATTACATATGTACGTGTGCTTTTACATATTAGTGATCAGAATAAAGAAACTGGCGATTTTTACTCTCGTTTGCATGCGTACAAGTAAAAGTGATGAATGCTGGATGATGGTGACTAGAAATATATATACTTTTACATATTAGTGATGAGAACAAAGAAACTAGAGATTTTAAAACTCGTTTGCATGCGTAAGGTTGATGAATATTGGATGATGGTAACCGCAAATATGTAATTTAAACAAGAATTCTCAGACGAAGTGATTGTCGAACAAATATGTGCTTTTACATGTTGATGAGTAGCGCTCTCTCGCTGATGACTAAATAATGTTGATAACATTTATGTCATCACCATCACCAGAAATCTTATAAGATTTGGATAAGTTAAGTATTAAAAACAATGCGTGTATTTATCATGGGAGGATATTGGGTGGGAGGCGATTGGCCTGGGAGGAGATTGGTCGGTGGTTATTACTGGGATGCCAATGGGGGGAGGGAATTTTCCGCAATTCAGTTAGTTGAGTGGTTTGTATAACTGAACTCAAGATGGCTTCCATTTATCACATACTAATTTTTGTTACAACGATAAAGGTATGACCCTTCATATACTGTTTTATTTTGAAATGTTGTAATTTATATAAAACTCCAAGATCCTTAAATAATCCATTTAAGATTTAGTTTTACGTTATTAAATTTAACCCCGATCCTTTGAATTCCTGAGATTGTTTTAAATGTTGTATCCTGACCCGAAAGAAGACGTCGAATGGATTTAGGATATTTGGATGCTGACCATGCATAAAACGCCTAAAACTGGATTGTTGGTTTGTATTAGCGAATCAGAATTTCCAGTGAATATTCGTCGGTTTTTGTTATTTTATATTTCCGTAAAGAAAGAACTGTACTTATTGTCTACCAGTTGTAAAGTTTTGTTTTCTGAGTTTATAATTGGAAATTCGTGAGGACTTAACTGGAGGTCTTTGTCTAACTGTTCAGCGAATGGAAAATAATTTCTATACATTTCCCTCATCCCATTTTTATAAAGATAAAATAACACTTGGTATTTCAATTGGGTAACTACTCTTGCGGCTAGTAAATTAAGTTCTTCGTTGTCCCCTTTGGTATTTGTTGAAGCAATGAGACGTGTGTAATAGTCTATTGATTTCTGTTGCTGTTCGTACGAGTTCGTCTGTTGTAATAAATCAAATATCACATCAACGGCGTCAAGAATTTGCTGGAAGACTTCAATTACGTCAGCCGCAGCTGCATCATTTAGTTCTGTCGTTATTTTTTGTTCTAATTCTCGATGCATATGTTTAATTTCCAATTTACTAATGCTCATATCCGACAAACTAGAATTACCCAGTTTTAATAGAATATTATTGAAATTCTTCGTCCATTTCTCTGAAAATGAGATAAGACTAAAAAGGGAATCATTTTCAATGTTGAAGTCGTAATCTTTGTATGCCTTAAGTTGTTGCTCGTGATTTTTAATTTCATGTACAATTTGCTCTGGCGTTACAGTCCCCCAGACTGAATCAACCACCGTTCTTGCTAGGTAGTAAGTATTTGGTATGAATACCGATGCGATATTTACAATGTGACCTGCAATAGTCGCTATCACCGCCTTCACATACATTTCCCTAAATTTTTTTAGTGAGTCTACCAAGTTATGTCGCTCTTGATTAGTTTTATCTTGTGTGATGCTGATACGTTTATGTATACTATTAAAATTCAGAAGAATATTATGTTGAAGGTCACTTATGATTGGAATAATTTCGTCGTTGACAAAATCATGAGCGTCTTTGACTTTTTTTCAGTTATTTCCTTCATTTGAATTTGATTTTGAAGAATGAACTGTATTGTTGAGTGCTTGTTTAACTCTGAGGCAATGTTACGTAATGTGACAAAATACGACGTAATATCTGCTACCGAAAATTGGTCATGATTAAAATACGTAATGCTAGAAAATAGGATTGATTGTAAGATGTATAAATAATCGTCATTGGGTCCCTTGCCTAAACTGTTGTCTACAATGTTTAATAATCGTTTATGTTGTTCAATAATTCCAAATGTTGCACCATAAACGTTATACAGTTGTCCAATTGCTAAGAATTCCTCAAAAAGTGCAGACACTGAATAGTTTAAATGGAGAACTGTATTATTATGAAGGTTATTCAACGCAATGGTTGTATATGTTTAACTTGGTGGGCTTTCTAATCCCTCTAAGTTTTAATAGTTCGTATTCGTACTTGGCTATCGCCAATGAAAAATCGACATATTTATATGCAACCTTGTCATCATCATCAGCCAATATTTTGTTCGCCACTCCAACCTTGCAGTCACCATATTGCAGATTAATTGGTTCTGGAAGTTTAATGCTATAAGTTGAATATCCTGGTCTGATTTGTATTACTTCGAGACGAGCTTTATAAAAACCTCCATCAAAACTACAAGAACCGCTGCGACCAGGTTTGCCGTCTACACCCTATGACCGCCACCACTTTTTATAATTAGCCTTTGTTTGTTTGTCCGCTTTCCTAAAAAACGTGCTCTCCCAGATAATCCTTCGTATCCACCGGTCCATCTAATATAATTTCGTCATTAATAACATGCATGAGGAAAGGTGGGAGAGTGTAAGAACGTCTGTGGCGACACCGGAGCAAGAGAAGGAGGGTCAAAGGTAATTTGCTACAGCCTAAACAATGTCTCGAATTTTAGATACAAAAAGTCACTAGATTTCAGTATGCTTGATTTTTAAACGGGAATTTTATCGCAATGTATGACTATTGTTTATGTGAAAAAAGTATAGCTTTCGCCGAGCCAAATTTAAGAGGTATCCTGGCGTCTATTTTAATTCTAAGGAATATCTTAGCAACTTTGAATTCTGGCACTAAAATACATTTCTGTAAGGGATAAAATAATAAAAATAAACAAATTCCGCCAGGTAACCTTTTAGAATTTCTAGGGCCACACTTTTTTCACATGAACAGTAGTATCAGATAAAGCACTGAATCTATACGCTACAAAGGTTATCTCAGAAAGCCGTCGGAAACCCATCGTTTTAAAGGTACTCTTGGCGAGTCATATCATAAATAAATTAAAAATTACCTGATCTTGGGAGAACCTGGTTAGTTCCAAAAAAAGTCAGAATTTTGTCGAAATAGTAGTCGATTTGGTCGAGAGCTCGATTTGCTAAGGAGTTTCTTTACGGCAGCTTTACCATCCTTTCCCATTATTGATTACTCTGTCTTTATAAATGGCAGTTCATGCCTACAAATATATTTACAAATATATATAATAATGGTTCTTACCATTATTTCATTGCCTCCACTTCCTCCCATGCATCCATCACCTCCCAGCATCTATATTGTTATATTAGATAGATTTGAACATTTGGAACAATGACTAAGAAAGTGACCTGCTTTTCCACGCACTCCAGCCTTCCCATGTGCCGAGGGATACTGTCCATCTGATGCTTGTTGTAGATGTGCATTGACTTTTCTTGTCAGGAACGATATTTGGACCTTGGGGGCTAATATGCAGAGTCCGGTTATGTATGTATTTTAAACTTTTTCAATAATAACCCGATCGGATTGAAACTTTGGGATATTGTTGTTGGTCAGGCATAGGTCACACGGTCAAAAAAATGTTTTCACATATTTCCAGGGTTTGGTACATATAAATATGTTGTTGTCGATTCTCTTTCCTCGAAATTCTTTTGTTGTTGTCGACCCCAACAATCACCCTCCAATCCGTCTGAAGAAAGCAGACGTCTTTGCCCGCTACGCTGTTTACGTCGCCCAGAGCGGGGAGGGCGGAGTCTCGGAGTCCACCATTGGGAAATACACAAAACAGTTTTTCCCCGACACCATCACCCGTCGCGTTGGAGCCAGGGGTGGCCTCCACAACTGTTTTGAGGGTATCCAGTGGGTGGATGCACCTCCACCTTCACCTCAACAACAACAACGCTACGATTGGGGAGAAATTCTCGCCCGCCTCAAGACCACCACGCCCACTTTGCGAAGAGTCCCCCGCGGTGCAAGAAGGTCTGTGGCGCAGTGTCTCGACAAGATTTTGGAGCAAGTGTCCGAGTCGGACGACGAAGAAAGCTGGGGAAAGTTGCTCCTCTTTCCTTATGCAACACTCCCAGTCCCCCAGAAGTCTGATCGCATCAAGAATTTGACAACCTGGGTCAAGGATCATACCGCGGGGTGGGTGGGCGGCTTCTCCATCCCTCGGCCCCTCCCACCACGCCCACCCTCTAAAAAACCCCCACTCGACATGACGGCGAAAAAGGTGGAGGCCAAGTTAGCCGATGGTGACATTCGGGGAGCAATTCGCCTCGCATGCTCAGATGACACCATCGCTCCGTCCGACGATGAGACCCTCGCCGCCCTTCTCACAAAACATCCCGCCCACCCACAACCAGTCGATTTTCCTCCACCACTTGAGGATCCTGTCATTGCCCCTGTTTTAGACGAAGAGTTGCTTCGGGCAATTTCCTCTTTTCCGCCAGGGTCCGCGGGGGGACTGGACGGAATGAGGCCCCAGATCTTGAAGGATCTCCTGGGGTGCAGTCAAGGAGAAGGGGGCGACCAACTCGCCGAAGCGATGCGGACCTTCCTCAACAAGGTCCTCAACGGTGGTGTCCCCTCAACTTTTTGCCCCCTCTTTTACGGAGCTTCCCTCACTGCCCTGAAGAAGAAGTCGGGCGGGATTCGACCCATCGCTGTGGGTAATACGTGGCGGCGCCTTGCCGCGAAGATCATTGTGGGAAGGATTACCCCTCAGTTAATCAAGCATTTTTCCCCCCACCAATTGGGGGTGGGCATCAAAGGCGGGGCGGAGATTGGCGCCCACGCAGCCCGAATTTTTTACGGCCACGACCACACCTCCCCAAAAGCGTTCCTGAAAATCGACTTCAGGAACGCCTTCAATGAAATTCGGCGGGACACGCTACTCCACGCCGTCCGCGACCACTTTCCCTCCATCTTTCCTTTTGTGGCGCAGTGCTACGAAAGCCCCTCGTCGCTTTTCTACGGGACCATCCCCATCCCTTCCCTCCTTGGGTGCCATCAGGGCGACCCCTTAGGCCCCGCCCTCTTCTCCCTCGTAATCCACCCCATCGTCGAAGCCATGGGAACGGAACTAAACTTATGGTATTTCGACGATGGGGCCATTGGGGACTCTCCCGAGAAGGCTTTGGCGGCCCTGGCAACCATTGCTAGGATGAGTGGTGAGGTGGGCCTTCACCTCAACCACGACAAATGTGAAGTCGGGATTCTGGGGGCGGAGCGGGAGGCCGCCATCGACATCCTGCTCCAATTCCAACAAGTTGCCCCCGGGATTCAGCTGATGTCCCCTGATTCTGCGATGCTGCTGGGCGCCCCCTTAAATAACGAAGCCCTGGGGGTGGTTCTGGCCACGAAGACGCAGCAATTGGCCACTTTCTCCCAACGACTCCTCGATCCCTCGGCTCATTCGGCCTTTTTCCTCCTGAGGGCGTCCATCTCCATCCCCCGGCTGATTTACTTTCTCCGCTGCGCACCGTCGTGGAGAAAGTTGGACGCCCTCGCCCACTACGACGCTACTCTGAAGGACGCCCTGGAAGGGATCCTCAACTGCACTCTCTCGGAGGCTGCTTGGATGCAGTCCTCCCTACCCGTGAAGGAAGGCGGCCTGGGGCTCAGGCACGCTGTGGATGTGGCGATACCGTGCTTTTTAGCGTCGGTCCACAGCGTCCTGCCCCATGTAGAACGTCTCCTTCCGGACCACCTCCATGGCACCGACATCGCCATGGCAGAGGGTGTGCAGCGGTGGACCGACCTTGACCTCACCGACCTTCCACTCGACACCGTCAGAGGGATTCAATCGGCGTGGGAACGCCCCATACTGGACAACACTTTGTCCAAACTCTCCGAATTGGCAGTGATCCCGGAGGATACTGCCCGTCTACGTTCCCTCCGTGACAAATACGCCGGGGTGTGGCTCAACGCCCTCCCCTCTCCACAACTGGGCACCCTTCTCCCCAACGAGACCTTTCGGGTCGCAATCGCCCTCCGCCTACGCTGCGATATCTGCGAGCCCCACAAGTGCCCGTGCGGGGCGCAGGTCACCTCCAGAGGCTACCACGGCCTCTCCTGCCGCCGAAGTAAGGGTCGTTGGTCCCGCCATGAGGCCGCCAACGACGTCATCGCAAGAGCCCTCCGGTCTGCCGAAGTACCCTGCATCAGGGAGCCCGCGGGGTGCTCCACTACGGACGGCAAGCGTCCCGACGGGATGACACTTGTCCCTTGGTCGCGGGGGAGGTCCCTTGTCTGGGACTTCACCTGCGCGGACACATTCGCCCCCAGCTACCTCCCAGACACCGTGCGCCATCAGGGCGCTGCCGCCAGCAAGGCAGAGGACCGCAAGAGGAAGAGGTACGCTTTCCTCATGGATCGATACATTTTTGTCCCCGTTGCCTCGGAGACCACGGGAGTTTGGGGCCAAGAGGGACTGGCCTTCATCCTCCAAGTTGGCCAAAGGATCGCCGCCGCAACTGGACAGTCCAACGCCGTTAACTTTTTACGCCAGCGGGTTTCGCTCGCCGCGCAACGTGGGAACGTTGCCTCGATTCTAGGTACACTTCCTCCAGGAAAGGAACTGGAGGAAGTGTACTATTTGTAGTCCGTTCTCTCTCTCTCCCATTCTTACGGACCTTTTCTGCGATTTTCTGCGTTTCTTTAAGTTAGGGACCTTTCTTGTGCGACTCTTGCGTAGTCAGCTTTTTGCGATACTTTGTGATTATTTTCGTACCAACTCTGCGAACACAGCTTATACTCTGATCAATAAAAACAAAAAATTTTTGGACTTTCCTCTATAAATATGTTTTAACATATTTCGACGATTTTGCCAAAAATGTGCATTTTTTGATACACATAAATATGTTTTTTTTTTACATACTTCGGCGATTTTTTCAAAAATATATATTACTTTAATACAAATAAATGTTTTTACAAATTTCAGCCATTTTTTCGAGGAAATGTATACCATTAACTTGGCATCACACAGTTCGACTAAGCTTGAGCTCTGGCAATTAATTGATGCGTGGTTGGGTAAAGAATGGGAACAATACCCTCGTCGGCGGAACTTTAATGATCCTGACGATGTTTCAAAAGATTCAGGTTTTCAATAATCTGTTTATTTCATGAAGAATACAAGAACTAGTGGTATGTATGTGGGAACCAAATATGGGTCAACAAATAAGCCGTGCAAAATTTGGGAGCATATAGTAAGTTTCAATTAGGAATAGATGGTCCAATTGAAAGATATTATATTCAAGTTGTATAAATTACAGGCAAATGATTTGTATAAGATAAAAAATAAAAACGATGTGTACTCATACATAGGATCAATAACGTTTGACTCAGGACCGAACCCATACTCTTCGGTTATGATAGCAGGATCATTCTCAGCGTATTGCAGAGTACGTTATTTACATGGCTGGGGATGGTGCCCCCAATAATTTTACAAACTGTAATTTTAAGTTTCATTTAAATAATTACTTTTGTTTCTTGTTGAAGATTCTGCAGTATGTTGGCAATCACTTTGCACCTCTTGTTTACATTAAAGCTGAAAATATCCAGAATCGACTAAATAGTCAAGCTTGGTTATTTGACGATCTAGTTAAACACATTAGTCACGATATTATAGAAGGGCGACAAATGATGACAGCCAGACCTCCTGCAAATTTCACTCTGGTTAGATATGCCATTCAATATTTACAGTTCCTGTTTTATTTTTGTTGCCATGATTTGTCTTTACTAAAAAATTCATCTTTAGCGACTCCTGTTTATCCTGAACATCTTGATATGCCGAAAACAACCCGTCGTTGTTGATGAACAAGTTATATCCCAGTTTGTACAGGAGAAGTTACATGAATGGAAAGCTGGTGCCCGGTCAATGCAAGACATGGAAGAGGCCTTAACAAAAGATCAATTTCTTGATCAACAACTACCGTCTGAAAAATATTTGGAAAACACAGAAATGGCTCATTTGGACCAACTAGACGGACCAGATGATCCAATCCTAACAAGTCAACCTGACAATCCATTTTGTATTGGGGTTGAAGAGGACACTTTAGAAAACACAGATGTTATATTTGATTCAAATAACAAGTTTTACTATACAACTTATGTCATGCATAACATCGAAAACAGATCCAAATTATGCCAGTAAATATGCCATTCCTTGCCAATCTTGGCAATTTGTTCCCGTAAGTTTTATTTTAGCGAGATTAATGAATATACAGATTAATCAGTTTATCCAAAAAAAGTATAAATCTGCTTATAGGGTTCAAAATTCTACAAATCTCGAAGACTGAGTAATGCAAGCTGCAGACAGTCATGCCGCCTATTGTCAGGTCTCGTGAAATTGAAGTTCGCTTTCCAATTACTTTATTCTGACACTATTTTTTATCAATAGTTGCTACAACGAGTAGGAAATCACTTTAGACCAACACTGTACCCGCCATCGCTTAATATTTATCAAAAAATAAAACCCATTGTGTGGAGTAGAGAAGAATTAGCTGATCGTTTAACCGAAGGCATTTTTAATGGGGTAAATATCTTGGAAGTGGAACCACCACAGAACCCATTTGTAGACACAAGGAGTAAGTACTGTTATTCAATGTTTTTGTCTAAAGATATATTTAGTTATCTTTGTTTAACCCACAAAAATAACCCATCAAAATTGACCTCAGGAACTACTTTGGAATCTGTTTTGTCAAGCAAAATCATGACCACTTACACGTTGCCGGACATTTCAGACGCTATTGAAAGTTACAAAGCTGGAATGAGCATCCGTGAGGCATCTGAGATGTATAATGTCCCCCCCTACTCGCTCCAAAAAGTCTTGTCATTAAACAAGATAACTCGTAAGAATTTATTTTAATAACACAATAAAGGATATGGTCGTTGAAGCTGCCAAAGAACCTTTTCCATTTTATGCCAATTGCCAAAAGAGCCTTGTCCATTTTGTGTCAATTGCCAAAGGGTCCAAGTCCTCTTTTGGGGGTAATGAGATTTTAGTGTCAATGGATTCTACAGAATTTTCTGAACAAGATAAGTCCAACCAGTTTTTTTAGAAAATTCTGAAACCTCCAAAATAAGCTCTGACAGCGAGGATTCCGGTGTCCTTTGAGTATGCTGTAGTCCTAGGTGGAGGGTTTTACTTCACAACCCCGTTTACGCCCGTTACACCCCCTGCAATAGCCAGAAAAATCTGTTTCTACGTGTCTAAACTGTAAGGGAGAGAATATTATTAATATTATATTTATGGAGAAAGTAGTTTAGGGGTAATTTGAGTTGTCATGAGGATGAGTCTTGGCTCGTAGCATAAAACTGCGAGCTCGAACAAAAATCAGTCAGTTCGTGGTTGGATTCGGTCGAGAGAGGACCTGCGGATTCGAGCTGCTGCCGTGCTGAAGAAGAGATTCCAGCGACAACAGCAGCAGAAATTATTAGGAAGAAAAGGTCAAAGGGTATGTTTTAGGGCACTGCAGAGGCATCTTTGCAGGTAATGTGCTGATAGAGGCATCTCTCCAGCACCTCAAAGTTTCTTATTTGGTCACGAGAAGTGACAATTGTATGTATTTGGTCAAGTTAGTTATTTTTCTCTCTCCCTCCAAGTTATTGAAGTCTGGTGGGAATAAATTGTGGGGCTTTTATCAATTGTAAATCTATGTCGTGGTGTCATATTTATTATAGTGTAAAGAGTTGTGGGTGATTATCTCATCACAATTTAGCAGTAAGAACCTGGGAGTTGCATTGGATATGCAAATTGTGTCGTAATTAAGGTCGGGAAGGCTTAATTCGTCACAAAACCTTCAGTAAAAATCGAAATTTTCTCGAATTTTCTTACTCCCAGATACTTTTCTCACCCTGTCTAACACGAAATTTTATTGTTTTGATTTTTAAAATATTTTTGAAATTTTATTTCTTTCGAAAAAGTTAGAACTTCAAAAAGGTTCAATTTAATATTGTATGAGATTGGGACCACAATAGTGCAATAATTTTAAAAATCTGAGAAAAACTGAATTTTTGGTGAAAATTTGAACGAAGCGAAAACAGTGGCACAAACGGGGCCATGGAGGCAAACCCTCCTGCACTCTCCCAATACTGCAACATGTCTGAAGGGCATCAAAATCGGAGATTAGGATTTAAGATCTGTATTTCATATTGCATGTTATGATAATTTATCTCTTAAACAGTGATACATAAACTTCAAAACAATTTGAGTACAAGTTCTCCTCACTTATGGCAATATTGGGTTTTAAATGCATCTTTTGTTTTTACGCTCACCTGAAAAATTTTGATTTTGGAGAAAGTCCCTTTGGCAATTGACACAAAATGGAGAAGGCTCTTTTGGCAATTGACATAAAAATGGACAAGGCTCTTTTGGCAGCTTAAAAGATGATATATCAACTTATTATATTTTCAGTGCGAAATGAATTTTTTCCTCATGCGCTCACTCAAGATACCGTCATGCAAGCTGTCAAGAAACTTATCAGCAAAGACAAAGACAAAAAACAACTCTATACCACTGAGATGATACTAAAAGAATATCCTGGTTTAATTGAACCTCTACTCGATAGATATAAGAAAAATCCACAACTAATTGCATATCTGGCTGTTTCTGATGAGACAAAAAAATTAGTTATAAACGTTCTCCGAGCAGGGGCAACATATAAGGATGCAGCCTCTCACTTCAATTTAAATATTAATACTGATAAGACTATATGGTATTACTCGAGTCAGGTAACGTATCCCAGCCAACGGAACATTTTTACGGGGTTTCTCGTTAGTTCCCCAGTGAGGCGTCGGACTCCTACGCACATATATACACACGTAACTAACAAGGGAACATACCGAGGTGTCCAACGAGTTAAGGGTCGACACCTATACCAAAATGACAACAATACATGACTTATTAAACAAACTGAAGGAATTTCCGTGTAAAATTCACTTTTCGTCACGTTGTGACGATATTTGTGAGGAGCGCATGACCATCGGGTTGCCAGCGGGAGAGGTCGGCCGCTGAGCGATCAGCTCGACCACAGAGAAGCATCGTCGTCTTCAGGCCATCTTCAGAGATTTTGAATTCTTTCAAATTTTGAAACCATTTTGAAATTTTGAAGAAATTTTGAAAAACTTTTTGAAATCTCTGAAGATGTGTTCGAAGATCTGATCGACACACCTATAATTTTTTCAAAATTTCATCAAAATTTCAAAACTTTTTCAAAATTTCAAAATGTTTTAAAAAATTCTTAAAAATTTCAAAATTTGAAAGAAGAAATCTCTGAAGACGTGAAGACGACGACGCTTGTCTGCGGTCGAGCTGATCGTTCAGCGGCCGACCTCTCCCTCTCTGGCAACCCGATGGTTATGCGCTCGTCACAAATATCGTCACAACGTGACGAAAAGTGAATTTTACACGGAAATTCCTTCAGTTTGTTTAATAAGTCATGTATTGTGGTCATTTTGGTATATGTGTCGACCCTTAACTCGTTGGACACCTCGGTATGTTCCCTTGTAAGTGAAATTCAGGACCTTGCTAATACGTAATATTTACGCAGCGCATATTATATACAAATGTTTAATAGTCAGTCATTCGCCAATACGTTATTATTGGTGACGTTTGATTTCCAAAGTTTAATTTTCTCGCCTTGTTTTTGTTAATCTCATGTTCGAATAAAAAAATAAGAACATAACTTCAAAATGGTTTGCTTAATGCGAGTTTATTCCGCATCCGCATACAAACCAAACAACACACTGACCACTAAACCACGATTCCACCACTACCCAGTACCAAGGTTAAAAATTCCATAATTTTGCAAACGTCAACTTCATTGCACATCATGGTTCATAAATTTTATAAATAAATGTACAAAATACCATCAGTAAATAATGGCAATTATTTAGTAATTCGTTTGCTAGCTCACTCTTCACCTGCGACTAAAATATTTAATTGGTGGACAATGAAACTGTTTGAACGGGAAAATCATTTTCATCCCTGCTGTGGATTTGATCTGAACAGTGTTGTCCCCAAAGTCATACCAGTCGTACAGTTTGTACGTTTGTCTGCAGTCGTAAATCAAATTAGCTTTCAAATTATTGCCTCATCTGTATTATGCAAATATATTCCAGGCAATTATGAAACTCGGTCTAATTTTCCTCATTCTTGGAATATTTCAAAACTGGGACTCTTTACAGCAAGACAAAGTCACAAACGTGTCAAGCTACCACCGTGAGTCTACAAATGTATATATGTAAATTTACCTCGCGTAAATTTTACATTGACTCATTCTGTCATATTTCCATGCAAGTAGTGCGTTTGATTTGTTGGGGTGGATATGGGATCCACATTATAGTGAATGACTCGTTCTTGCTTCTCCTATGGAAGGGGTGTCACTCGGTGGGTGGGTTGGACTCGTTCCAATTGTCTCGATATCTAAATAAGCCGAGATGGAATTATTGAGTAATGTTTTTCTGCAGAAGAATCCCAGCTTGGTCCGAGTGTGGGTCGTCGCGACCCCAATTTCTATCATCTGGGTGGTCATCATGATGCTAATCAACATAAGCCGATTGCGCTGGGTGTCTGGCGTCTCCAGCCCACAGATCTTTGTCCTTGTAGCCTTCTACGGCGTCCTTCAATGCTACTTTGTTTATGTCGTGTATTTCTATATGAAGGAAATGGAAGTGGACATCTTCATGAGCTCGACCATCCGCTCCTTGACGGATGCTGAAGTTGCTGAATTTGAGCAAGGAATTAGTCCACCCTTCAGGGTTCAGGATCTCGACACTGAAACACAGAGTCTAATGGACAGAATCCACTATGAGCGCTATAAGAAAGAAGACTTTGAAATCGAGAGAAACAAACTGCAGTTTGGTAAAGATGGCATACATACATGAGTATGCGTGGCTCATGCCTTGAAAACTGTCGTGTACATATGCAGACATGGACAACCCCTTGGGTTCTGGAGACTATGGGAAAGTGTACAAGGGGCTGTTGCAGCCGGCGGATGGGACTCTGGTCACCGTTGCGGTGAAAACGGTTAATCCAGAAAGTGCGGATGTGATTTGCTTCAAAGCGTTGCTGACAGAGCTGAAAGTGTGGACGTATCTGGGTTCCCACCCCAATCTTGTCGGATTGTTGGGGGCATGCACCACGGAAATCAGAGATCGTATACCCATTGTTAAAATTCTACATTGATTTATTAATTTATGCAGTTCCTCCAACTGTATTTTGTCAATTTTTGTTTTCTGGTGAAGGAACCTTGTTGATTGTCTCAGAATTTTGCGCGTTGGGAAATTTACACTGTTTGCTGGTTGGGTGTCGTGGACTATTTTGCAATTTTGTCAACAATAACGGGATCCTTCAAACTTCCACTCTCAACACCACGTAATTTTATTCATCTCAAGCATGTTTTCAGTAGCTCAACTTTCAAGTTAAAAATCTCCTACTTGGACGCAGGTTTACGACAGAACATGTCTCCACGCTAGACTTGATACGATGGTCCCGTGAGATTGCCTCCGGGATGGAATATTTAGAATCTCTGCGGGTGTGCCATTAGTCAGAGTATTTACTATAGTTATTTTAAATCTGTATCGTTTAATGAGGATCAATAAGTTGTGCGATAGGTGGTGCATGGCGATTTAGCAACCCGCAACATCCTCTTGACCAGCCACAAAGCCGCAAAACTCACGGATTTCGGCCTAGCTCGGCAACTTTACAATTACTCGGTGTACGTCAAAAAACAGAATGTGAGATCTTATCAGTTGCATACATAGATCTTATCAATTGCAGAATTTATTTAAGCCAGAGTCAGTGTCCTTCTCTCCGAATCCTCCTCACATAATACATACATACATAGTGTCCTTCTCTAAATCTTGAAAGATGACCCACCCAACTACAGATAATATTACATAATGTAGAATGTGTTGTACAATGAAATCAGATGTGTATAACTTATTGATGTATATTATAGCTGTTTGTAATGTCCACTTCAAATACTGACTCCCTTCTGCTAAAAACGGTTGCATTGGGCGAGTTCAGCAAGTTTGTGATTTTTGCTGGGGCATTTTTTTCGAAATATTTGGTCACGTTATTGCAACTATATATTTTAACCATTGCTGTGTTGTAGGACCGTTTGTGATTATTATGTCTTAAAACCCATCCAATTGGCTTTAATGTTATGTATATATGCATAATTAGTGTATGCTTTACTTTTATGTTTTTATGCGTCAATCATGTCGATACAAACCCCATGCGATATATGTAGCTCGTTATTTTGGAACGTCTACTCCGGCCTTGCAAGAATTTTCCTGATTCTTATGCTTCTTAGGCTAGAATAGATTTTTGGGCGACAGTTGACAGTTGGTCTTCATTTCTACGCAGACCCCTTTACCTTGGAGGTGGCTTTCGCTCGAAAGTCTGGCTGACATGACCTTTTCTAGCAAATCGGATGTTTGGAGCTATGCAGTGACCTTATCAGAGATATTCACATTGGGCGAAATTCCATACCCTGGCCACCAGTTTTGCTTGGAATTTGTTTACGATCTCAAGGCCGGTCTCCGGCCCAACAAGCCACGTTTTGTGCCGCAAGAAATGTAAAATTAAACGATCTAATCTATATGTAATCGGACGATATTCGTTATAGCCTGACCTGAACAATATTTGTTGTTTTTATCTTAGATGGGCCCTCATGGAGCGTTGCTGGAAAAAGGATGCAAAAATAAGGCCCACATTTTCTGAAATTGTTCAAATTTTTGCAAACATTTATGACTTTTCAAGTGACTCACAAATGGGGTTATAAACAATAAAGTAAATAGTAAAAGCAATTAAGTAAAAGATCGGTCCATTCCAGGCAAGTCATTTGTGCATTCATACAAATTAGAAGATGCAGTTGCAAGCAATTTCACTTTGTTGTGTCATCATCACCATTTCATGCAAGTGATCATGAGACGGGGTGAGGGCGGACGTCATAAGGAAAAAAGAGTGCGTGTGAAATCCAAGATCACACGACTCATGAAATTAATCGGGAAAAAAATTTATTAGCCAGTAGACAAAAATTATCAAGTGAATAAAATATGGAAACAGTTATCTGATTATAAATCAATCCCGCAAGCACCCATCACGAGACTACTAATTAATAAAAGTAAGTACTTTCTTTCCACTTAATTTCAATGTCCTTGAGAACACCTAAATATGTACACATGTGACATATATAGGTCACATAGTGTGACCTATATGTACTAAATACTATAGTTTGAGTCACACTAAAGCATTTAGTGTTTAATTTTCAATTGGCCATTGTAAAATAATTGTTACTATTTATACTTATAAGAAATATGTGATTTATTTCTCAAAAGTATATTTTTTTATTAATAAAGTAAAGTAAGAGGCGAGGGATCGTAACATGGCCCTCAATGGGCTCCTCCTCCTCACCTCCTCCACGGTGAGTGTCGCCTCCAGGTCACGAATCAATCTCCTCGGAGCCAAAAAGTTCCTGGAAGTCGTGGACAAACGGTCGGCCATGGCTAATGTCGTTCCTCCCGGTGTCCTCTATGTCGTCCAGTGGTGTCCTTCCGACCTTCAAGAAACCAAGGGACCTCCGGCCAGTGGTCTCATGTCACTGATATACGGACAAGGGAATGCCCAATGCCCAAGTGTGGATATTCGCCTTCTGCTAAATGAAGGCACAGGTCTCTTGGCTAGACCAAAAGTTCCAATCGACCTCGTCATGGTGGACGGATGTCCGAATCGTATCTCTCTCCAGTCTGTGAGGTCGTTTGTGAACGAGTGGTTTAGTGTGACCAGGAAGGACTACTCGGTGCAATATCTGACCAAAACTGAGGACATGGTGGTTCCCTCAGCAGAAGAAAATGGTAGTGACGTAGGTGGAACTCCGAGTGGAGGGGACAGTAGCGATTTCAGACAATACGAGGTCGTCATACTGGGAGGAACGTTTGACAGGATGCACAATGCACACAAAATCCTTCTTACCGAAGCTGTTTTAATGTGTACCAAAGAAATCATTGTTGGAGTGACAAGTGACAACATGATTAAAAGTAATAATAATATTTTCCATGTAGTTTGTATGTTTCAACACACGCATTAAATATAATGATGATGCTTAAACATCAGTTCATCTTTGTAGGTAAACTTCTCTACGAGTTGATTGAAGAGTGTCCTGTTCGACTGGAAAGAGTGAAAACATTTCTTGCCGACGTCGCTCCACATTTGCGACATCGCGTCGTGACAATTGACGATCCATTTGGGCCAGCGATAACAGACAAGGACATTGGTTTGATTGTTGTGAGCACAGAGACTATTAAAGGTGCGGACAAGATCAACGAGATTCGCAAAGGCAAAGAATTTCCTCCTCTTGATGTACATAACATCATTTTGTTTACCGACGAGCTGAAACAAAATGAGCATGAGGAAGACAAAATTAGCTCTAGTTCTCAAAGGATTCGCATTCTTGGGGACAGACTAAAACCACCTGTAAGTATTTATTTATAGCGTTACTACATTATGAGATTTAATGTCCACATAAATAGTAATTACCCTAATTACCATATGTTTTTTTAGAGAAAGCTACCCTCCGTACCATACGTGATTGGTCTAACGGGAGGAATTGCCAGTGGAAAGTCAACATTATGTGGCTATCTGGAAACTTTGGGTCTTCCTACAATCAACTGCGATTTACTTGGTCATGATGCGTACAAACGGGGGACGGCGTGCTTTGATAAGATCGTCGAAACATTTGGAGCAGACGTTCTCACAACATCAAAGGATGAGATTAATCGAAAGGTCTTAGGCACCAAAGTGTTCAACAATCCTTCCGAGCTTAAAAAATTGACGTCGATCGTTTGGCCCGAGATTAGGCAGTTGGCACAAGCGCAGATTAATAAGTTGGCTTCTGAGGGTCACAAAGCTATCGTGCTGGATGCTGCAGTGTTACTGGAAGCCGAATGGGACGATATGTGCAATGATGTGTGGGTTGTTGTCATTCCGAAAGAAGAGGTACGAATTACTTGATGAGAAAATTCCGTAAAATATTTACGGGCATCATAATAAAAGATATGGTGTCAGTCAGTTATGCGTATATTGTTGTCGTATGTACACATATTATGCTTGTATTTGCAGTCCATTCGACGGGTTCAAGCGAGAGATGGTTTGTCTGCCGAAGATGCGGAGAAACGTGTTGCGGCGCAAGTTAGTAATCATGAGCGAGTGCAACGAGCCAATTTTGTCTTTTGCTCGCTTTGGGAAGTGGATTTCACCCGTCGACAAGCTGACAAGGCTTGGAAGGATATTAAGTCTATTATCGATACACTTTGATATATAGTAGATAGTCATATAGATGATTTCACTAGCATTTATACACGACGGCGAGTGGCGTCGCTTGTTATACTTTCCAGTACGTCAGCATTAGTTTAAAATAACACCAAAGTGCATGTGAAAGTCAGTGGACTTGTATTTTATTTGGAAATTTTAAAATGTGTGTGAGAAAAACTAAAATTTGTACAGTGCTACTTCATGCCAATAATCCGGTCTGTGATATCATATTCAAAAACAATTAGCTCTTAATAGGACTACAGTAGTAAGTAGAAGAAGTGATTCAAAATAATTGTGCACAAGATTACAATAACATGCATGGTATTGTGTTGGGTTTCAAGACAATTTAAATGTCCTAAACAATACTAAGCTACGGTATAATGAATCAAACACGTGTATATGTATATTAGTCATACGATACGACAGAATTTATGGAATTATAGAGCAATCGACTTGCACAATATTGTGTAGAATTGAAATGCCTATTTTTTGTATATATGTACATTGGAATATTAGCACACCTCGACTTTTGCTAACACGACGGGGGTGTAAAAATAAAAGAAATACCTGCCTATGTGCTTGTGTAATATAGACGATAAACAAGGTCATCAGATGTTATTAGAAACCTCTCAAATATTGTTGGAAACTCACAATTTGGCAATTATCCGTGCAATTTAATTTCTGGGTCACCTGCTTATTGTGCTGCATTTCTGAGGAATCTCCTCTCTGTTCCCATGAAACGCCAACTTCATCGTCGTCATCTAAATGGTCGCTCATAATTCATATCCGTCAATAACAGGTATTAATGGTTTGAGAAATGTGTGCAAAAGTTGTGCACAGTTGGAGTGAAGATCTATTGACGCGTACAACAATCATAAAAGTCCTGCTGATGTATGTAAGTAAGAGGCAAAAGTGTTGGTCGGTATTTACTGGCTGCCGGAATTGGAAAAGGATCAATAGAGTTGAAGAGTTCTTTCATAATGTGATTGACCACATAACACGAGTTTTATGATGACAATCACCCTGTCGTCGCATTTAATGGTGTTTTATTAGTTTCCCCCTTTACGAGAGGCCACCTTCCGTTCATCCGTTGTGAAGCCATTCAGTACAAATGTATAATAATAGTGCAAATACGACAAACCAACTTTTATGGAGCCCCAAGCTCTCGTCCCAAGCTATACAAAATAAGAAGACCAAAACAAAGTAAACTGGAAACTTTTTTAATGAGCCAGTACATGGCGACTGACTGACTTACTCCAGCTCTGTCAGAGGTTTGAGGTACAACTAATTCTGTGCACACCTTTTGCTACACGTTGGGCTGTGGCGGCGCGGCGGTGTTAGAGATCCTACATGATCCCATCTCAGATATCGTAGCCCCATGAAACGAGCCAACCAACCGTATTGTACAACAGTACTTTTAGCAGATATCTACACTATTATGTGCCTACTCAGGAACCGACTACACCCACTATTTATCCCTCGATCCTAACCCCACTAAATCTGCCCCCCACTATGAAATCCTCTCCAGCACAATGAGATGCTATTTCAATTCGTGGATTCTGGCCAATTAGTAGTAGTTTATTGCTGACAGGGTTTAATTTCGGTATCAATTCAATTACAATGACAAATCAATTCATAAAAAAATCTCTATTGCTATGTCACTGGAGTCTTAAAACTATTGGTTCGGAAACGGACTCAAACAAAGACTTTCCCAAGACTTCCGACTCCCAACAAAGACTTGAAGTGGACTTGAGACTCAAAAAAAGACTGACTTGGGCAGAACAATCGATCCCAAAAATCACTTCACTTCTTCACTATAGCTTCAGCCCACTGACCACTCACATTGCTCGTTATTTTAGCCAATGGGAAAACGAACACGTACACAGTTTTCTTGAACTTGGAAAGACTTTGTTATCGATAAATTAACATACTTACTACTAATGCCCAATTTTCATACAAATACATTCATACATAAAAGATTAAAATCACAGACACAAAATCATGGAACAATTCATACACACAAAATCATGAACAAAATCATAAATGAAATATTAAATGCTGCTGCGAATACATACTCCCCCCATTTAGGAACCTAAATCACTTTGTCGCAGCACTTTGTTTGTCCTTATTCTTGTCGTTGTCTTGATGAGAGGATTGCACATCCAAAATGCAGAGCTTGGCGACCGGACGACGGAAAATGTGTCCATTGCTTAGCTTGACGGAGACGACTCGTACCACTTGATCCTTCCCTGGAAAGAGTTCCACAACTCTCCCCTTCGGCCAACTGTTTCTCGGAAAGTTTGGATTGACCTCAATGACGACGTCTCCTATCTGAATGGGTCGAGTCACTTGACACCACTTTTGGCGGCGTAGTAGCGTCGGGAGGAATTCCTTCACCCATCTGCGCCAAAATTGGTTGGCCAAATGCTGTGAAATTCTCCAATGTTTCCGGGAAATGATGTCTGAATCAGTAAACTTCCCCACGGGTTGCAGGTTGCTGGATTGTCCGAGGAGGAAGTGGTTCGGCGTCAAGGCTTCGGGGTCGTCGGGATCATCCGCCACGTGGGTGAGTGGATGACTGTTCACCGTGTGCTCCGCCTCGAGCAGTACGGTATGGAGGACTTCTTCGGATAAGTCTTTCATCTGTAGTACGGACCCCATTGCCTTCTTCACTGAACGGACCATCCGCTCCCAACTTCCACCCATATGCGGACTTGACGGCGGAAGAAATGACCACCGTATTCCTCTGTTGTTGCAAACAAAACTATACATCTTATCTTGATTTATCTCGGCGAGGGCTGATTTGAGCTCATTGTTAGCTCCATGAAAGTTGGTACCATTGTCTGATTGAATGGTACTCGGACATCCTCGTCGGCATACAAATCGTCGGATTGCCATGATGCAGGAGTCGGTTGACAACGACCCTGCGATTTCAAAATGCACAGCTCTCGTGCTTAGGCAGGTGAAGAGGGCGACGTACCTCTTCACTCGGCTTCTCTTGACTACAACGTCGATCGGTCCAAAATAGTCCAATCCAGTTTTGTAGAAAGGACGGACGTTCATCTCAACTCGACATCTCGGCAGTTGACCCATTTCCGGTGCTTGTGGCGTGGCTCGTTCGTTCTTGCATTGCTGGCAATTTGCATAACTGGTGCGTATTGCATTTCGTAAGGACGGGATGAAGTATTGTTGTCGAACTTCATTTCCGATCCGCTCGTGACCATGGTGTCCACAGATCTGATGATAGTGGCGCAGTAGCAGAATGGTAAATGGATGCTTCGGGTCCAACACAACTGGACTTCTAACTGATGTTGGGATGTCTGCATTATCGAGCCTCCCACGGACCCTCATAACTCCAAATTCATCTAGTCCCACGGTAAGTGACTGAAGACGACTGGTCCTTGGAAGTGGGTGACCTTGTTGTAGTATTGCTACTTCGTTCGGGTAGCATTCTCGTTGGCATTGAATCCACCACCACCTCTCAGCAGCAGCAAATTCTTCTGGTTCGACAATCTTACGGGCTGACCTTACACGCCTGGCGAATCTTAGCATGTAGGCTGTGGCGTTGAGCAATCTCTTCCATTTTGAAAATCGGGATATGTCGATAACGGGTTGGAGTTCTTTCATGGCATGGATGATGACTTTCTTCAGCTCCCACTCGTGATTACTGGTACGAGGATTCAGTTTCTCGACTGGCCACTCTTCTTCCGGTTTTCTCAAAAATTCTGGACCACGAATCCATCTACTGTTGACGCTGAAGTCACATTTGCTGTCGATTCGTGTCATTTCGTCCGCCACGTTCTCGTTCGTTGGTATCCATCTCCAATCCTTAATTTCAGTATTCTCTTGAATTTCACCAATTCGATGAGCAACGAATTGCTGAAATCTTCTTCCGTCTGAGCGAATCCAATGTATGACGGTGCTGCTGTCGCTCCAGAATACGACTCGGTTGATTGGAATGGACATTTCTTCTTTAATAAATTTTTGCAATCTTGTCCCCAACACGGCGGCTTGCAGTTCGAGTCGGGGAATGGACACCACTTTGATTGGTGCTACTTTCGCCTTGGCACTGATGAGTGAGACTTCTATCCCGGTGGGAGTAATCATTCTCAAATACACCACGGCCCCATACGCCTCCTCGCTTGCATCTCCAAAGACGTGGAGTTGGTTGTCCTGGGACTTGGACAGATTTGGACTGAGACATCGTGGTAGCTGGAACTTGGTGATATTTTGCAGCTCCTCCAGCCACTTTCTCCAAAATTCTCGTGTTTCCTCGGGTATGACATCGTCCCATCCAGTTTCAGAGGTCCAACATTTCTGAATAATCATCTTGGCTCGGATGGTTAAGATCGACAAGAATCCAAGAGGGTCATACAACGACATGGCCAATGACAAGACTTCTCTCTTTGATGGAAGTCGTCCTCCTTTTAGCACATCGGATTGAGCTTTTAAATACGTTAGGGAGAAAGTGAATGCATCTTCATCATGCCTCCAAAACAGGCCAAGAACTCTCTCCACATGTTGCCCGGATGAGAAATCCAGACTCTTTACGGATTTTGCCCTCAATTCTTCTGGGATTTCTTGCATTACTTCCCTCGAGTTGGACAGCCAGTTGCAAAGGTTGAATCCACCCTTGCTGTGTACCTCTCGGACTTCATGGAAAAGTTTAACTGCTTCCTGCACGGTCGTGACAGAATCCAACAAATCGTCAACATAGTGCTTGTCTATAATGGCTTCACATGCGCTGGGATATTGCTGTCGATATTCCAGGGCGTTTCTATTTTTCGCTTCTTGGGCGCAAGTTGGCGAACACGTTGCCCCAAAAATTAGGACCCCCATTTCATACACGTCGGGATCTCGATCTCGTTCTTTGCCTCTCCACAAGAATCTTTGTGCCTGGGCGTCGTCATGCTTCACTCGGACCCGGTGAAACATATCTTGAATATCTGCCGTGATGGCGACAGGATATCTTCTAAATTTGAGCAGAATGCCTGGAAGGGAGGATAGCTTGTCTGGACAACGGAGGAGAAAGTCGTTCAGACTTTTACCCTGGACTTTTGCTGCCGCATCAAAAACAAAACGAAACTTGTTCGGCTTTTTTGGGTTGAAGGCCATAAAATGTGGTAGGTAGAATGTTTTCCCCGTCTCGACACTTGCCTCTTCTTTTGATAGTTTTTTGGCGAAACCCTTCTCTTGATATTCAGCTATCTTGCTTTCGTATTGTTTGGCAAATTCTGGTTCTCTATCCATTTTCCGTTCCATTGTCCTCAATCTTGACAATGCCATCTGCTTACTGAGAGGAAGAGAGACATCATCATCACGCCACAGTAATCCGACCTCCCATCCGTTTGGTACGCGGCGTAGAGACGAGTCCAATTGCTGTTGAGCTCTCTGGTCCTCAGTGGACCTCGGATTTGCTGGACTAGCGCTGACCCCCAATGACTCGATGGTAAAATATTCCTTTACCATTTGATGCAGGCTTGAATCGGCTTCACTCATTGAAAACATGGTGTGGCTTTGTTGCTGGCGAAATTGACCTAGTCTTCCCATGATCATCCACCCAAGAGGAGTTCGGACCGCGACAGGTTCATTATTCCCCTTCCCGGTTCGATATTCGTGGTGGACATGGAGTTGTGGATGGTCCAGTCCAATCAGGATTGTTGGCTTTGCATTGTTGTAGGTCGGGATGTCCAGGTCTTGGAGATGTGACCACTTTGACAAGTCACATCTCTTCACGGATTGACTGTGCTCAATCTTCTCAACGGTTCTCACATTTCTTAAAGTGCAGGCGTACTTCTCATTCGTCGCTTGCAAACGGACGTCAATCACTTGGGAATTTTGATACGTCTTCGTAGAATTGAACCCTTTGATCGTGAGCGGAACTGGCGATCCCACAATTCCCAATTTCTGCGCGGCTGCGCTCTCCATGGTGGTAATGGATGATAAGCCATCAAGAATGGCGAAGACTTCAATCTTGCCGTTCGGACCCTCAATTTGTACAGGACTCATCATGTGGATGACTTCATTCCACTCCCCCCGTGTTTGAAGAACAACGTTCTCTTCTTTTTCTTCTTCTGTTGCTGCTTTCTCCTTTTCTCTTGATCGGCTGGATCTTACTTGGTGGAGCAGTTTGTGATGCTTGACGTTGCATCCATCTACTCCACATGGTCGCGAAGAACGGCAGTCTCCGCATCTGTGACCGACCCCCAGACACCCAAAGCATACCCTCTTTCCCTTTACCATGGTCCAACGTTGGTCGACATCAGACTTGACGAATGTGGGACAATCTCGTTGGTGGTGGGATGAAGAGCAAAATGCACATTTCTTCTCCCACTTCCCTTGACCAGAATTATTCTTCTCACTGACCGTGTAGACTCGTTCCGGCTTCTTTCCTTTCTTGTTTTCTCGTTGGGTACTATTCTCTGCTCTGGTGGGGCACAATTTACACGCCGCCTGGGTGTAACTGTCAATCCATTTGGCAAAATCTTCTAGATTGGACGAGTCATCCTTCTGTGACCGGCTCCAATCCATTTGGGTCATCAACGGCAATTTGTTGACGAGCTCTTGCAGCAATGTCGGGTTTCCCATATGTTGCGGTTGCTTCAGGGACTTAATTGTGGACACCAAGTTGTCCACTGCGATTCCAAAGTCGATGAAAGTTTCCGACCGGTCCAACTTGACAGGCGGAACTTCTCTCAGCTTCTGTATCATCGACTCAATGATGAGTGCGGGGCGACCGAACCTCATCTTCAGTTTTTCCATCACGGTTGGCACCCCGTCCGGGTCGACCAACAAACATTGCACACTTTTGTATGCGTCTCCCTTGAGACACTTCTGTAGACGGGGGAGATTCTCAGCATTGTTGTAGCCACAGTTTCTGGTGGAGGTTTCAAACGCTGCAGCGAAACCGGGCCACTCTTCGGGATGACCAGAGAAAGACGGCAGGTCTCTTCCCTGTACTTGACGAGCTAGGATCTTGTCTGACATTTTGTGAGAGGACTTGAGACTTGCTCCATTGATCGCGTTGGCTAAGGCTGAGACGATATCTTCAAGGTTGAACTTGTTGGGACTGGATTTGGACTTTCTATGGGTCTTCTTTTTCTTGTGACGAGGGGATGATTTCTTTTTCTCTTCAGCCTCGCTGGCCGACTTCTCATCCTCCACGTCGCCTTCTGCTCCACCTTCTCTTTCTGACCCACTCTTGCTTTTCCCTTTGACCATCGGGTCGGCTGGGATGTGAAGAACAGTTTTCTCCGCCCATTTCTCCACTTCGGATGGTTCGGCTGAATCATCATCACTGCTTCCGCCGCCCTCCTCAGAGTCGTCGGTCGCATCTAACTTGGCCAGGTCCAATTCTGCTCTGACCAAGGCTTCTCTTCGCATGTAATCTCGTTGGTCGAATTCGAGATTAGTTGTAGCCCTCCGTATGTCTGCCTCCATTTGACGTAGTTGTTGCAGATACGATTGATTTTGGGATTCTGCAGCTAGTCTTGAGGGTTCGTCGTATTTGGCATGGTCTTTAATGATGTCTGTATTGCTGTTGATCTTTGTCAGCAGCTCAGCCAGGTCCAGTTCTAAATTCTTGATTTCTTTCTCCTTGTCGTCCCTTTCCTTACATATATCGGACAGTTTCTGCGCCGCTGTTACTTCGGCTTGGCGAGCTTGACGGGTGCTGCGGTGCGACGACTTGGACTTGCGGCTCTCATTCTTGCTGCTGGCGTTGCTGGGTTTAGACTTGGATGTGACGGCGGTGGGCGTGTTCTTCTTCTTCGCGGCTGGGTCAAGGACGAAGTCGCGCATAAGATGAGTGGGCGGAACTCCGGCGTTTTCCCTCGGTGACTTGCGAAAAGTCGTCGCTTCCGGCAGATCCACTGTCTCGTTAGTTGGTGTCGTCATTGTACCGAGAAAGAGTAAGCAATAACGTCGATTCCCCAATTAATTATTGTCCAAAATACAAATGCGAATCGGAACAACAGCTTGCCTGAAAATGTGTCCTTTTTTATCCTGGTGAACACCAACCAGCGATATTCGGCTGACAAAACGCCTGTCAGTAGCGGACGAATTCCTGACAGGCGTAAATTCTTGACGGGATGGTACGTGACTCGGTCGGCAGCTCGTTGAACCGGAAATTAGTAAGCAATAACGGCGATTCCGCGATTAACTTTTATCCAAAATACAAATAGAATCGGAACAACAGCTTGCCTGAAATTGTGTCCAATCTTTATCCTGGTGAACACAAACCAGCGATGTACGGCTGACACTTCGCCTGTCAGTAGCGGATGGATCCCTCAGGGTATGGGTGTGGCTGGTACAAGAGGGCGTAGCTCCTTGGACGGTTTATTCGGGACGGCGAGACCAGAAAATTTAGCAGATATCTACACTATTATGTGCCTACTCAGGAACCGACTACACCCACTATTTATCCCTCGATCCTAACCCCACTAAATCTGCCCCCCACTATGAAATCCTCTCCAGCACAATGAGATGCTATTTCAATTCGTGGATTCTGGCCAATTAGTAGTAGTTTATTGCTGACAGGGTTTAATTTCGGTATCAATTCAATTACAATGACAAATCAATTCATAAAAAAATCTCTATTGCTATGTCACTGGAGTCTTAAAACTATTGGTTCGGAAACGGACTCAAACAAAGACTTTCCCAAGACTTCCGACTCCCAACAAAGACTTGAAGTGGACTTGAGACTCAAAAAAAGACTGACTTGGGCAGAACAATCGATCCCAAAAATCACTTCACTTCTTCACTATAGCTTCAGCCCACTGACCACTCACATTGCTCGTTATTTTAGCCAATGGGAAAACGAACACGTACACAGTTTTCTTGAACTTGGAAAGACTTTGTTATCGATAAATTAACATACTTACTACTAATGCCCAATTTTCATACAAATACATTCATACATAAAAGATTAAAATCACAGACACAAAATCATGGAACAATTCATACACACAAAATCATGAACAAAATCATAAATGAAATATTAAATGCTGCTGCGAATACAGTACTTTTTGCTGAAGAGCTCAGTAAAAACCTTTCCATCTTCCCGTTCTCCATCATCCACCATAAATCAAAAGTTAATGAGAAATAGGAACGGTAATCCAGAAGACTCGCAAACTTTTTTTATATTCCAAGTCTGCAGAAATATTCCCATCATGCATGGTCACCAACCATAACATGCATCCAGCCATGAGCCAGCCATGCAACTAGATACCCTAGATACTCGACTACTGGAGGAGGCAGGTGGCTTCTTTTCCTCTGAAAATAAAATGCAAAAGTTGGCATGATTTTTTAAACTCGTATAATCCGCACTTTCTTTGTCCTTTATTTCAAGAAGTTATTTCAAGAAGTAAACTTGCCGACGCTGCCTTTTTAAAGAACCCCAGAAGAAGAAGAAGTTGTGGATTGCGGATTGATTGTTGACTGGTGTGTGCAGTTTGAGAGGAGCGTGCTAAAGAAGACTACATGCATACATAGACCTCAGAACTCTCAACTTCTTCTCAGTCTGCTCGAAGCCTCGAATGGGAGCATAGTCAACTCTCTCTGATCTCGCAAAACTATCCCCCATTTACTTCTTACTTCCTCAACTACTGGCTGAACTCACTCTGTGTCTTATCTTTTTGCACTACTCTCTCCTTCTTCTGTCCATAAGAGCCCATTACACGGGCAGGCATCACTGCCGTCTGCATTCCAGAGTCAAAGAAAGCAGCAGCAGTATTTGAATAGCAATGGACGATTAAAGGAGACCATTAAGGAAACTCTTTGTGCAAATATATGACAATCGTCGTCCCCTCGTCTCACTTCATCTCTTCTTCTCGTGGCAGCAGCAGTGATAATCGCGTTCATCTGCTTAACTCTCCTTGTTCAAAGTTGGTCGACGTTTTCCCTTTAATGAGTTGACAATCACGTCAAGAGGTCTTTCTCCTTGCGTGCTCTTCCTCTCCTGTCTTTCAGCACTCATTCATTTCTCTCTCTCTTTTTGATTCACTGTGTGTGTGAGTTGGTGTTTTACGGTGGCTAGTTAATTCATGAGAGTAAATTCCGTGAAGTACACATGTACATACAATTATTGTTCTTCTCTACACCCACCTACGGTTTTTTCGTGAGGATTTCTTTTTCCAGGGGAGATTGACCTGTTGGTAGCGATAATAATATTGCTAGTTCACCCATCGTCTCAACAATTCGTGCCAGAGAGGAGAGGAGCAGCTGTATCTGAGTTACGGGTTATCTATTCTTAACCCTTTACATTCTCACGCATCTCAGGAACTCAAGAGAACAGGGCGACGTTGAAAAGGTACGTGACCGCGTCTGACATGTGTATACTTTCTTTTCTTGGTGCAATAATCCTTGCTCGAGATGAGAACACACTCCTCTCGAACGCAGGAAAAAAGCGTGAATATTTATGTATGTATGCGATGGGTGGGTGGTTGAAGCTGTCAAATTTACTTTTAAGTTTTGCCTCAAGTAGTGTTATCGTCATTTGCATGCGATTTCCTATTCTGCATTGCCAGTGAGTGAGTGAGGTGAGACCAAGCCTGACTTACCTATGACAATATTGGAATTGAGGTCAGATTACCAATCGGCAGACTTTGAGCTGATTTTTAAAGACGATTTCTCCACTGATCAGGTTACCTGCTACATATGCATATCGTCTCATCTGCATGGTTATCCTTCTCCGTGGGAGTAAATATAGTAGGCAGTCGACATTCGACAGGAGCGCATCATTTATCATGTTTAGTGTCACCTCTCCGCATCCATCCATACGTATTCCAAGGATTATTATTATTAGGTATTAATCCGAGTTGGTCGAGGATATGCAGATACGTTTGGCAGTTGATGAAAGGGTTTTGTGTGAGAATAGTTCCAGTTTGTGAGTTTATGCAAACATGATTATCAGCACTTTTGTCAATTGTCAATTACACGGAGAAGGATTAGGCTGGCCAAATAAATGAAGAGATGAAGGAGTGTCAAATGCCACAACTTTTGTATATATATGTAGTTGTTAATGAGGAAGATTAAAGACAAAACGGGGATACTGTACAGCGTGCAAGTCTGCATCTGAATATGCTATCAACTCATTGAGGTCAAACGAAATAGAAATTGAGGGGCGTAATTAAACAAGCGATTCTTGCTGCATTTGTGCATTTTGCTCATTATAAGTGCCAGCCAAGACATTGTGTGATGTGGTTATGTACAGTTGAAAAACAAGTCATAAATTATATGGGGCTTCATCTGCACACCAGCCAACTCCAACACGGATGGATCTTCTCATCATCATCTTTTGTGATTAGAGACGACGTGGTATAGTGAGACGACTCTGCAGCTTTACTTGTCGTGATCTAGTGTTGAATCAAATATTTTATTCCCATCCTGATTGTGACTTGACATTCACCAGAGTAATTTTGCTCAGGGTTTGCAATCTTGGAGAAAAGTATGTGAAAAGAATAATAATCATCTTACAATTGGTGATCCTTCATATCCATTTCATCGAACGAATCCTCGTCACCACCCGAATCATCATCCATCCTACTCAAATTACGATTCTTTTTGACATTTCTAATACCCGTCAGTCGTACTTACTTTAGATGCTGCTCAAACGTTGGCATTTTTGGCGACAAGAATTTTTATGCAGTATTACGACGATCTTAACACTACGATAGTCGAGTTACTGCCTTTCGTCCATGAGTTTTGTCTTGTGCGATGATATCATATATTATTTCTTTACAAAAAAGACAAGAAAACAATTCTTTAAAGGCGCCGGTGATAGCGGAAAACCAATACCGACGAATAGCGTATTACATACAATCAACATATTTCGGCATGATTTAATTGTTTGTACCTGTTTGCAAGTTAATAAATACTTAGACTAATTTACACCCGGTCATCGTCGGTCAGATTAATATATAGCCTCACACATTTATAGCTTCCCTCTCTATACTACTGACTGGGTCGTGAATGGAAATTGGGTCCTTGATTCGGACGATTTTAATTATCTCTTAATTACAAACCTCCAGAGCGCAGTTTTATATACATACGATTACGATACGATTCCTTCTGCATTCCTGCCAAGCCAACACTTTGTTTGATGGCGAAGCTGTAGATTAGAAGTGCAGATATACGAGCTCACAAATTAAATGATTGAGCCAGTTTAGCCGAATAGAGGTCTGATAAATATATAACAAATTGCTGTGATTTGCTAAATTTTTCCTGCAGCAGAGCAGGAGGCAGTTGCCGTTACCTTAGAATAACCGTAACGGTGCATGCATTCCTTATCTAAACCATATTCTATGTTGAGCTGGCCCGTTCCGTTAGTTAGTTTAGGCTGTAACGACTCTTTTCGGCATGTATTGCAATTTGGAATACACGACCTAAACTGCAATTTCTTTCATGGGGCTGCGTATGTACATCGTTGATTAAGTTGGTGAGAAGCATTCGTAGTGAATGCACTTGTGGCAGTCAGTGTTGGCTGACCCAATTGCACAGATTCTTATTTGGTTTAGTAGTTTTGTGGGTTCTAAAAAGTAAGAGTGAGACGGAGCAACGACATACATACACATACAAACTGAGACAACTCTCCGCACACACAACTCACTCATCGTCGTCGTTCATGTCGCGATCCTTGCAAATTTTGATGATGATGGTAGTGACGAATGTTCAATTGGCCGTGCAATTTCATTCAATTCAGAATAAACGACGTGCAATTTTTGAAGCAACTTTTAAATTGCATGTTCCTAAGTTGGATTTGTGCCCTATATAAATATAATACATACGTACATAGTGTGCATGATGGACTTTTGTTGTTTGTTTATACACACATTACTTCCTTATTCTTTACTCAAATGACAAATTTTCCAAATTTTCCACAACAAGCGCTCTCCATTATGTAGTTTGATGCTATACGTTCGTCTTACTGTTCTCAGTTCTTCTGCGAGGAGTGTTATTTAGTTGTCAATGATTTATATTTACGTAATGCGTCAACCATTACTGGGAGCATATTATACTGATGGGGAAGTATGTGTCTTAGGCAGTGCCTGTGCATTTTATACGATGGCAGGAGAACTGTATAGCTTGGGAGTTGACTGCTGCAAGTACATAAATCCGGAAATGGGATTCTGCTGAGAAAGTCTTAATGGCCTGAGGAGGATTTTTTTTTGCTTGGTGCAGTTGAAAACTTCTTTAATTTGTGGCTTCCGCTCTGCCTGCATTGTTCTTTGAGAGGACTGATCTGTGATTGAGATTCATGGCCAAGTCACGAGTAAGTAACGTGGAGGATACACAAAAGGATTTTGGTTGTGGTGCAGATCAGAGTTTTCACCATCAGCCAGTTTTGCTGAATGGTGTGAATGGGTGAATGTTGGCGAGGAGAAAGTTTGAGAAAGCTGAGAGGATCGTCTTCCTATGCATACTACATTTGCGATGGAGTGAGTCTCGGTCGTGCATGGCCCAGTTTGTTCATCTCAACCCAAAGGCGTTCATTGGAAGCTAGCGCAGTGGCAGAATTAAGGGACGCCATGCATAAAATAATGCCACCGTGGCCTCGTCAACGACAAATCATCAGCTCGGATTGATTCTTTCCTCCTCGTTTGGCATTATTTCCCTCTGCGATTTACATTAATCTAATCGGGTGAAGCATGGTTAGTGGTGCCACTTTATAATGACTCCTTTATTTACATTATTCCCTCTTCGCTTGACGCTGATGTGCACACACATGGGCGGAGGCTGCATGGTGTGGATAATTCCTCATTGAATTTCCATTTGGGGCCTTCCGAACCATGTGGCACGTATGTAGAAGGCTTTTACAATGACAGATTGCTGAATCATTTCTTTCTCCCTTTCTTTCTCTTCCTGCTCTTCCTTTGTTTCTCGGTTTCAAGAAAAAAAATCCCAGCAAAATGACGATGCATATCTTGGTCATTATTGGGGTATTGTTAGAGGAGGATCTCGGGTGACGGGAGGAATTAATCACTTCAGGTGATCAATTGCCATGAAATTGGATTGCGACTCTTCTTCGTTGGTTTGATTGAAAAGCGTGCTCTCCATTTAATCCTGTCCCTTAATCTCCACCCAGTTTATTGTGCCATTAGAATGTAGGAAAACCACTTGAGTCTCTCGACTTACACCGTGTTTTCATCCCCTAATCTCCACGACCACCTCCTCCCTCGGTGTATTATGTGGTGCAGGCAGATACATGTGCACGTCCGTCCATCTCTTATTCATCGTCGTCATTGTCAGAATGAGGAGACTAGCAAGAGTTTTCCATTATAATTTCATTGTACTCTCTCCTTCACGCAGCAAGTTTCTTTTGTCCGTCGGGTTGGGATCATTCGTCGTGATTGGAATGAGGAGAGGCTCTTCTGTGGGGAGAAAGCATATCCTGGTTGGATGCTTGATGGCACTACACGCCTCTGTTTTCTCGGGATGAATGAGGCATAATCTTTCATTTTGGTGCAATTAAGGACTGGGAACTACACTCAACATTTGTGTATGTGTGAAAGATACCCCACAAAGACTATTGCGTCCGCAATAATCTTGGTTGGCTGGCTCCCATCTCATCCCTCCAGCTTAATTTAATTGTTTACTTTCCCCTGTCGTTTTATAGCTCTGGCCCAGCAGTGCTACATGGTCCCAAGAAATGTACAGTAAATTCTGTTGGAAGATGGAGAGCAAGATAAAGCATTTGATGAGTGAAACCATAATAATTTAGATTTTGTTGGGCGAGAGTAACGATCAGATTCAATCTCATGCAGTCCCTCTGACTCTAACAAAGTCCTTCTTGTTGTCCACCGCCATTTGGATGAAGCAAGTTATGAAACAATCAATTTACAATTACTGCACGGCTTCGGGTTGATAAAACTATAATATCTTTGAGAGATATGTCATAAATATATAAATGTATACAACGACATTAGCCTTGGGTTGGTTTAGATCAGGTGTATTGGATATGGTTGATGTAAGGTAATTGGTGGAGCATATGTACGTATAGTGGGAAGTCGTGTCCAGCAGGCCACTGATATTCTTGGCTTCAAGCTCCTACAACTGTCTTCCATTTTGTAGCAGCAAATTTGAGTGACAGGTTGACAAAAGTTTTCGACGACACTAATTCAAACAGACAAGCACAAAGTAAATATTACGTGTAAATAGATTTTATAGTTCTACACGTTTAGGCTGGTTGGCAGCTTTGTTCTCCGTCGGCCTATATATTCAACGCGCACGTTGGTTCGTACGTAGGTTGGAATTATGCGAAAATGTGACACACGAAGGAAGAAAGAGTCACATCGGCCAGCCCCACCGGCCTGACATCATTCAAGGGCGACGACGGTGTTTTTGGAAGAGACGATGTCAAAGTACAAAGATCAAACGGTGCTTTCATGTCATTACTTTTGCCAACTGTCAGCTTCCGTCTGTCACTTATTATTTCTTCTCGGAACGGGCGAGAAAGGAAGAGTCCGCACGGCCGCAAAAACGAAGCGGATTTCAAGTCAGCTGCAAACTGAAATGCTTTCACTCTGACCATGCCCATCTTTCTCGCACAAGGAGAGAAAGGTTCAGAGAAGGAAAGATGTGCGACTCGAAAATGATTAGAGTCGGAAATGATAAATAGCAGGCTTGCTCTTAAGATGCTCCCCCACATCCACCCACCCTGTAGCAATTTACGTCAATTTCCAATTCCATGTGCTCAAGTTCCTCATGTCTTTGAGGGTCTGCTCTCCCTTCATTGCCTTCGCTCACTACGACGACTATGCAGACTGATCCAAGTTGTCTTTCTTTGAAATTCCAAAATAGGAAAAATGGTTGGCACGGAATGTAATAAGTTGTTAGATTTGCATAGTTTACGACGGAGAAGCAGACTTTATCGGAATTCAATGTTCTGAGACGTAATATGCACACGAAGATATGCGTTGTGGGAAACCCACTTTCTTTGTGCATTACCATTTGTTTATTTAGCTCTAACATCATCCTACTCACAATCATCACGCTGCTGATGATACCGTGTCCTCAGAAATTTCCATTAGGCGTTATTGGATCATAATAATCAGCAGCCGAGGCTCAAAGACAGCTTTTTCAAAAGGCGAGGAGAGCGAGTATGAAAAGGGGCAATGAGACGACCTAATTTAATTTCGGGTTTCGTATATGATATCTTTTTGGTTGCAGGAGGAGGGAAGAAACGCATAAACTCATCCGCAGACGGAGGAGGACAGCGATTTGGCGACGAAGAAGGACATCGAGTTGAATTCCAGGCCAAAGGCGAGAAGAAGGCCGGGAGGAAGATTGATCCACTATTGGAGGGGGTGGGAGGAGGGGGCGCTGGTGGGGACCAGATGATGGTTGGATTCAACGGTCACGGCCGTGACCTCGTTCGTGACCACTCGTACAACAGACGCCACGAGTCCACCGCCTCCCTCCTCGACACCATTGAAAAACGGACTCAAAAGACGTATCGCTACGGAATCGGGCTGGTGTGCATTGGAGCGACGTTGAATTGGCTGGGATTTGCTCAGGCAAGGGTCCATTCTTCTCTTTTGAATTATTAAACCAACAAAAAATGAGCCACCAACGATACCCACGTACGTGTGGCTGGCTATTAAATGTGGTGAACCGTGGGGTACAATTGAGCTACTTATGTGGCTGGAAAATAAATTCGCAGAGTGGCGTGTCCATATTCGTGATCGGATATATTGCTATGTGACATGGTGTGGGTTTAAAAAATGCTGACCACTTATTGCCACCATAACAATGTGGTTGTAGACAAAGCCTCCACAGTTCTGTCCACATGCTGTCCGTCCAACCCAATATTCACGGGGAGGGATTTCTTGCGACACAGGATCGTGTGAGGACAAATTGAACTTTTGTTCCATTTAGGCCCTCCGCCTCGCCTCACGAATGCACTGCTGTTGCTACTTCAATTTCGATCAGAATCAACTTGTGAAGGACGTTGCATTAACTCGAGTGTTATTATTGCAAACTAGTTGACGTCAATAAATCCGCTGTAATTTAGGTGGTGGTGGCGATGATGAAGAAGAAGAAGAAGGAGAGACTGCCGCATTAGCCAACTCTTTGATCTGCTGAGAAGACAAGCCATGTTTTACTTAGATTAACGAAGACAGCGCTCTGCCGACTCGCTTGTCCAGATTGCAGCAATTGCATTGCGAGAAGTGATTCGGAGAAAGTTTTCTTGAAAGCAAACAGAGCATTCATTGGCAGAAAGAGGCATTCGAGCAGAATTCCCTGCCAGATTGGGTCGCTAAGCTCGAAACAGCTCGAGTCAAGCACAAGATGAGAGAACCCAATAATATTTCCATGTCTTTCTTCTTGGTTTGTTGATTTGTTGTTGGTTGGGCAAAGTGATGCTTTGCCCTGTTATCCACGACCGAATTGATCCAATTTCACTCCACATCATACAAAAAGAAAGAAAGAAGCCCCGAATCGGATCTAGTTAAATTCCTCATTCGATACCCCTCCTCCCAACCGCAACCACCATTCTGCAGAACTCCATATGTAAACTACCGTCGAATAACAACATGTACATACATACACATATTGGTTATATGTATATAAGCAGCGCTCAGGTGTATGTAATCGAGTAATGTACCCAAGGAAAAGTAACTTTATACATTGTCCAATTATGACTACGCAGTCACGAGTCGTTCAGGAGAAACCCAGGATAAAGATGTTAATAAAATGCGAAACAACTTGTGTATACTTGTCTTAGGTACATATGTATGTAGGGTGGATAATAAGTCTAAAAATTGGGCCCATTTCACGACATTTCATTAAATTACGTTGTCTTCCTCAATTGCTAGTCAACTTATCCTAAAGCAGGATTGAAGTGGAGAACCAGAGTCCTCCTCCTGACTACATTCTTATCTTACCTCGTTGTCTCTCAGATCCAGCAATTTAGCCAATGCATCGGTAGTTTAAATTCATGAAGACTTATTTCCTAATCTTAAGTGGAGGAGTTTCCTTATTCGATTACAAGGTTTTCGCAGGTGCTTGCACTTATTTCTTCCATTTATCCTGTCCGCGCAATGCTGGGGATGAGAGTTTAATTTATGCTTTCATGTTCTCATTCTCTCTAGTAAAAAGCATATATGGTTTTTCAGTTGTTCTTGGCACAACCTGGGAATACTTTGACTAATGGATGTCGTTTTATAATTACAGGGTAACAGTTACATCGACCCATTGCGGTACTTGGGGGTTGCGTCCGTGATAAGTGGATCCTTCTGCGTTTGCTTGGCCATGTGTCGCTGGTTGGGACGACCAATGTCCGGCCATCTCTCCTCCCTCGAGGTTTGCGTTCACATTTTTTACTTATTTACTTTCCTGACTTGCTTCACCAACTGCCATCCCGATGTGATAAGACTGTTGAGAGAATAAATGGTGTAGTTTCGGAATTTGCGAATTAGATTAAGCCTTAAAGTATCTTGTGCGAGAGTCAATCATGTTAAAAAAAGTCACTTTGCCCTCCATCCTCTTCTGGGTGGAGAATTAGCCGAGTGCTGTTTTTTCCTCTACAAAAGTTTGAAATATTGTGTCAGCCTCTTTCTTTATCTGCTCATGTGAGTGAAGCCAATTTTCAGACTCTCATGCCGTTCACGTTTTCCAAAACGCCCTGGTCTTAGCGCATTTGAGTTCATTTGATTGTTGCTCCCTCCACGTACTTGTCATGCAGCTGGAGGAGTCCGACCGGCGGATTCCTGAAAACTATTACTTTTACTTCAGGATGGAGGAAAGTGCTCCAATGAAAATTTTGGGATTCGATTTAACAAATTCGTTTCATCGGGATAAATGCAATCACTTTACTTTCTCATCCTCTCCACGTCCCCTCTTTTTTCCGGTCCTTATCGCATATTCTATTTTGAGGAATCTGTCTCCGAGGATTCACTTGAAATCTATCTTGAATTCAGATGAGTCTTTTGCAGTCGTATGAAAACACTGCTTGGTTTCACGTAAGTAGACAAACTTCGGCCCGTTCTCTAAATAATAACATTCCCATTCGTACTTATCATTACTGAAAGTGTATTATGTGCTACTCCGATATTTCCGATATTTCCAATCCGAATGATACAATGGAAGGACGCAAGACCCAAAAAGTGAGATAGCACATAATGCATTCTCAACGACGATAAATGTGTACATAGTATTTGAATTCTCGCTAATGTTCTCGTTCCCTGAGTCAACAATGTTGTTGCGGGATTCGTTTATTTTTCCATTCCATTATGTGAATAAGCTGCTTGAGAATATTTTTCATTCCACGTTTGCGATGCAAATGTGTGCATTAAACGGGGGCTGCTGCGTCCTAAATCACATCCCTTCAAGCGATAGGAAATCTAAATTATGCTCGTGTGTCCCCATATCTTTGCTTACAGACGTGCACCGCTTTCACCATCGTTCTGGGTATTGTGCATCCGTACGTACGTTTGGATGGGTATCGCCATCGCCATCATCATCAGTTCTGTTCTTCTACCTTTTTTGAGACTTTTAGCACAATCTCACATTGAGCTGACTCCTTTCACAAGGAGAAAGTGTGTGTAGGACCGTGCAACTTTCTCAACAGATCTAAATTCCTCTCTTATTTCTCTTTCTCTCTCCAACCGAGCGGATGATAAGTTTTACAACAAGTTGCAAAGTTTGGGCAGCAGTGTGCAGCCCTCTATTTCCTCGACCCAGCTTGCTACATATACATAGCTTGCTATTTCCTGTTGACTGGAGATCCAAATCAGATTTCAGAGAAATGCAGGCAGGCTGGAAAATCTCGGACCCACATCCAACTTTTTCCTCCCCGTCTTTGTGAACGAACTACTTGAGAAAGTGTTTGGAAATTATTATCCTCTTTGACGGAGAGGAATAATGATTGGAATTGGTTCAAGAAGTGGACGAGTTGAGTGGATCCGGAACAAAATGAAAGGAAAGGAGATTACCAGACCCAGCAGCGAGATAAAGACCAAGTGAGCGGTCACTACACGAGTCTCAACGTAGGTTCGACAAAAAATCCGCCAATTTACCAAGTTGGCACTTTCTCCAGCCACGGGCCGAACCGTGCTCCGCTGACCCACTCTGCCTCCCTCCCTTTCTTCCTTCCTGCCCTTTCACTTTTACAGCCTCAACTCTCTTTATGTTATGATTATTGGGGAGAAAAACATCTGCCACGACCATTCCTTTTTATTGGCCATCCCCTCTTCTTCGCTCTCTTGTTCTGGGTGCTGTCCTTCTGGAATGGGCCCAGCTGCACTCCACGAGGGAAAGTCCAGCCTTGGAGAAATGCAAACTTTTTTCATCTCCTCGACGCTGTGCTACCCCACCCGTCCGTCCCATGTTTCGTGCGAACGCAATAAGTAATAACCTCCATCGCATATGTGTGTGTAGCTCCTCTCCTCGGTCGTCACTTTTACATTTGCCTTGACAATCGCCTCTGCAATTCGCACTTCCCAAACCAACATTTATCTTCCTCCTCTCTCGTCGACTCCTTCCACATTATTTTGCGAGGAGGAAGTTTGGCGGAAATTGCCCTTCTCAGGTTGAGTTTGATGGCTGCCGTTATGGCAAAATGGTTGTCATTTCCCCATTGACACTTGAGAATAGATGAGCTATCAACTCCCCGACGACGACGGAAAGGTCACTCGCTTACATTCACCCTCATTCCGCTTCGTACTGTTCGTTTTTATGGAACAATATAGTTACCTTTTATGAGATGAATTTTGCATCGAATTGAGCAGAGCGGAAAACTCACTTCCTGACATGTTGGCCTTCTGCCTGGGTGAGCTGGAAGGGTTCGAGGGGAAAGAAAACAAGACGTGTCCTATTATTATTAAGAATGGTCGCGCACATGTACGGCTGGACTTTTGAGGAACTGTCGACCACCAGAGAAACCACAGTATCGAAAATGCAGCCATTCGTACGTCGCTGTCCCCTTGAAACATTCTGATGGCAATCTGACTTTCGTCAGACTTTTCGTGTTTGACATGGCCAAATAAAGCGTTACACTTTTTGACTGACGATGAGTGACAAACGCAGTCACATATTAGATACGTATGTGTGAACGTCTGCCACGAATTGGAGACGTGAAAATTATTGCTTTGTCGTCGCATGAAGTGTGTACATAATAATGTGATTTGTGAGATTGTGGGACTCTCCGAAGATCCACTTGACGAGCTCGAGTCTCACTTTGTATCGAGTTCAGACCAAGAGTCTGTCTGTCAGTGCAGCAGTTGTGCGGGTTCAATTTTGGTAATAATTGTGTATGTCGGGCAAATCCCCCTTTATTGGGGTTTCTTCTCTCCACAAGTCAGAGTTCGAGTCATATGCATAAATCCCAATAAGCCCTCAGCCTGTCCTTATTTGCACAAAAGTGTCAGCATTCTACTGCTCCCCGACTTTCTCCAACAACGCACACAGCCAAATTCAATGTGCTGCTCATTGCCTGTGAGAATTATGGCATATGGTGTGGTGGACAAATAGCAGCATAAATTATGCACAAGTCCACATATTTCACTCTTGCCTGCCACTCCTGCCTCCAACTTTTAGCCACACTCTACAGAACAACTTTCGCCGTCGCCACCACCATCGCCACAGCTTGGCCACTGATTGTTAATTGTCTATGCACGGTTCTCCATATTACTCCCTCATTATTGTCCTTCTTCACTTTCACTTTGGTTTTTGTGGAGATTCGTCGAACGAATAGTTTTACAATGAAGGAGGACTTTGTCAAGTCGTCCCCCACCAAGCACGCAATTGGGCCGAGTGAGAATGAAGAAAGAATGCTCAGTTGAAACAGTCTTACGACGAGTCTATATTTGCATAATCTGAATACAGAATTACGCAAATGCAAATCTCAAAATGAGTTAGACGATTCCTTTCTCGTATTAGTGAACTCTAATTCGTTTTAAGTTCCGCCCTTGCACCTGGACTGTTGGTTTAGCTTGCATGGAAAGCGTCGCCAAACACATTGCATCATCCCATCGTTCCCACCAAAAGTTCTTCACCTAGTGAGAAGAGCACGTTTATGGAGAGGTAATTACTACAGTGGAAAAAGTTGGATCGGGCTGAAATATTAGGGACGATAAGTGGGTGATATTGGTCCCGTCCCGTCTGCTGATGAGGGGAGCGGGGACGGGATTGGCTGGTGGGACAGATAAGGAAGCGGATGTCGCTGAAGGAAATGAATAAACGAACAAGTTTTCCCTGATGTTGTGGGTCGCCTGCTTACTCAGTCGGAACTGTCTCATCTTTCTCAAACAGTATCAAATTGACTTTTCGAGGAAACTCGAGTGACGCCCCAGTGACACTTTTTTCTTTGACAAGTTGAGAATTATTTCCGTCGCATTATTCCTCTCTCCCTCTAAACCAACTCTCAATTTGAGTAAAACTCGATCCTTTTGGACCTCATACATACATACAGATGCGGAGGACTGCTTCTATTTGGGACCTTTTATGAGTCAGCTTTCACCACGTACAGCCTTTTAACCAATTTCTCAAAGATGAGAGTCTTGTATTTATGTTTGGCAAACAGCTCGATTATTCTGGACGGCTGGCGACTGCTGGGTTACGTAAATACAGATCTGAAGAAAGAACGCTAGATTCCCACCTTTATGTGAAGAGTTGTATGTAAAAGGAGCTGTTGCCGTTATGATTGGTGCAGATTTTTTTTTAAACTCACATTACATTCTTTTTATTCCTAAGTAGAACGGTTTTTGTTATTCCTACGTATTACATGAAGTTGAAAGCTTTATCGAGGAACAGGGAGTAGTATGTACGTACATACACGTGTAGTTTTGCCATGCTAATCGACTGCCCAGCATTCATTAACATGTTTGAGACTGGAAAGTTTGCGTTTTTCTCGGAGAATGATACGATATGGTTCGCTCCCTGGTGACTGTTGTTCTTGAGCTCGGCTAAGCAAATAGCTGGGGGCACGTGGAGTAGTCACATTAATAAAACAAGTCTGAAGAAATGGAGAAGGCTAATGAGAAACAGAGCGATTTCCTCTGAGGACCAGCTCAGAGAGTGCTTCGCCAACTCCGATTGTGCTGCTGAGGAGAAAACGTATGGGCACTAAAATAACAGCCATGTCTCACTCTCAACAATCGGCTAATAGACAGTAGTGCAAACTTTGACAGTGATTCTTCAAAACCCATTTATGCACAAGCACAAGAGGGAACGGGAGAGAGAAAGAACTGATATTCACAACTTGAGCAAAATTATTTCAAGGCGTTCCATGCAACCGTCATCTCTTTGAGAGTAAAAGTTCTGCTCTCTGACTCAGAAGAAGTTTGCTCTGAAACTCTTTGTGAAAGCTGTGTGGAGAATGGCTCGGCATGAAGTGCGAGGATCTGTGCAGCGTGTGACGGTTGAATAGTGTTACTTGGACTGCATTTATCTCATTGGGAAAAATAACCAACCAATAATGTGTACGAACTGGCGGATTGATTGGGTTTGCATTTATTTCCAGGAGGATTCGCTGAGCGGGAGGTCCACGGGGGATGTGCACGTGATCAATGTTGCTGTCCCCATGTTCGTGTCACCGGACAACTACCGGCCTTCTAAACCTCCTGACTACGAAATAGTGGCGGCGGCTGGAGAGTTGCCCCCTCCCAATTACGACGAGGCCATCAAGCTCACGCCTGGTTCCTTGATTGATCCAGCCAGTCGTCCAATTAGTCCTCTCTGTCAGTCATGCGGTCCGTCACCTAGTCACTCCACATGTCCACTCCTCCTAATCTCTAAGGAACCCAGGAAATCAATAGGTACACACATCCAGGTTCTTCTTCACTCGGACACGAAATCAAGGAAGGCAACCATATCAGATCCTGATACAAATACATTTATATTTTTTCTTAATTTCAGATGCCACCGGGTCTCCGCCGCCGCCTTATCATCCCAGCCCAACCAGAAGAGTAGTTTCTCCACCACCGTCCAATAACCTTAATTCTTATCTCACCAACTCCCACTTCAACCACTCAGTGTCCTCCATAAACTTGATGAACTCTTCAAGCAGCCACCAAAGTCCAGAACATGAGCATTTACTCCAGCCGTCGGAAGAAGTGGAGGGAGAAACAGTGTCCTTGTTACCTGGTCCTTCTCCGCTGCTCCTGCCGCCAACCTCACCCACGAAGAACAGTACTCGACAACCTCCCACAACAACAGATTCCTTTTTTCGCAGTGATGACGATAATCAACAAAATATGAGACATGAATTTATTCAAATTTCTCTTCCTCTCGAACATGATTTAAATTTAGCAAGAGACAATTTATGTGAAAGTGGTTCAATAGTTGAATGATTTTGTTTATATAAATAATTGCTGCCATGTTATCCTCGCTCAATATGAATGTTCCCCAGAAATTTATATGCTGAGAATCTCAAGGACTATTTTATAAGAGTATTATTTATCTAAAGAAGATTTGTTTTCCAAGTGGAGGGTTTATTGTTGTGCATGCTCTCGTGGTGATTCAATGATTAAAGAGTTTTGTAAGTCCTCGAATTACATTTATTACGCAAGTTTGGCCATGACATCGTTTCATGTTCAATGACAAAACGACTTTCTCCTATGAATGGCAAATGCCAAACAAATATTGCTCCTGTGCAAACAAATATAACGATTTAAACCGACGAGGACTTTCAATTTGCAAATTGCCAGCGAAAATAGTAATCCTCTGAAATTGCTACGTTCATTATACATTATTGCTCGACAAGTCTCTCTCCTACGTAAGTGCATGGGAAAATGAGACGCTAGAAGATTAAAGAATGGGAAAATAGGGGCTTATTATTATTGGGTTTATAAAAAAAAATCAACTTGTGAGCTCCAGAGGTTGGTATCTGTCACTCGACTTTGAAAGTTGAGCTTGGTACACGAGTTGTTTCATAAATACAAATAAATGGAACGTGTGTTTGTTTGTGTGGTAACGTTACCTCGTTCGTAAAGTATTTCTGCATTCTATTTCTAAACGAGTGATAAAAATATGGGTACGCAAGAATGAACGAAACTAATGTATTTGTATTCAAGATTTTGCGATTTACTTTGTACGTACATATTTAAGAAAGAAGACACAGAGGAGGGTGATATTTCATAGCAAGGATTTGATCTTGTGTACGGAATGTCACCCTTTCACATTGCGGGGTGGACACTTGTTCATCTTGCCACCACCTTTGGCCGAGAAGCGATGTCGGAACCCAATTTCACAAGGGTCCGAAGACTTGAGGATCTGCAGCTGGCTCTGTCGATGTGAATTTCTACGAAACCCCACGGACGCGGATGGATCTTCACCATCATCATCACTCATAATCAGCAAATGCTCACTGGACGAGTGCACATTTTTATTTTTGTCGCTTGATGCGAGTAGGTCATCGTCATCTTCAACAATCCAGCTGTCTTGAGATGCATTTGGAGTTGTGGTCGACCAAGTTTTCCTTTGGTTGACTTGGAAGATTCTGGAGTTGATGCCTCCTCCCTGCTCCTGGTCGTTGACGTCGCTTGGAAAGATGATGCGGTTTTCATAGGACACTTGATCCTCTTCTTCCACCGGTCTTCCACTGCATGTCCCAAAGATAAGCAGCAGGGCCAATGTCGAGCTCAATTGTCCTCTCATTCTGTAAAAAGACAATCACGCGAGTTTTAATTTAGCTGTCGTCCCCACTACCATAGTGTAATAAGTTAATTGATGTAACTCACATGTAAAGGAATGTTTGTTAAGTTAACACTTAGAAAAGTTATGTACTTGCTTTTTATATATTTGAGTTATTGTAACACCACGCACAAATATTGCACTTGAGCACATCAAGTTTCTAATTGCAATTGCACTAGTTTGGGAAATAAAGTTTGCTTAAATTATAATTAAATTACGCCAGAGATGACCACAAGAGATGGATTTAGGTTATTCATTGTCGAGGACGGCGGAATTGGTTGTGGTCAAAACTGAAGGCGTCGTTTCCGAACGAGTGGTAATGCCATTTACGACAGAGTTCCGTCTTTGCGTGACCTTACGTGGAACCATCAATCACATTTTGTTTATATTTTAACCCACAGCGCAACCACCACATCTCTGCATAGAAGAATGCACACTGGCCGATCATTTTATGAGGACCTGCTGTACTATAATTTCACTTTGTTGTTTTTTACCCGCAACAATTGATTTCGGAAGAGAGCAGCTTATTCAGGTTTGATTATAGAGCATCTCCAAGCCTGCAATTCATGCATATTTATTTCTTCGTCGTCTGGCCAGTTCGTGCGTCATTCTACACAACGGCTAAAAGTAATTACGCTCCTCGTCGTGTGTGTGTGTCCATTCAACCAGCAGCGATGCCACTGTAACCGCCGGCCTTCTTCCTTGTGGTTTTGTCTCCCTCATACGAATGTACAATTTTTGGAATTGTTGACGTTTGTCTAAGGTGCATTGGCGACAGAAAATGGGCTTCAATCTGGATTATTTTATAACTCCCAAAATAGCTTACATTTAGTATTTATAAATGTGAAATGTGGTGAGTCTGGAAATTCTGGAATTTGCTGGATTGCATGAATAAGTTGCTAATGAAATGTAATTATTTCCCAAGATTATGTTCCTTGTGTGAATTCAAATTCAATTTGCGAGAATCTTAATTACGAGCTCATTAATACATCACGAACATAATAAAGATGGACCAGATTGTAAAAAAGTGAAGAACAAATATTCCGTCCAGATTATTATCGAGATTTTGTCTAATTGTATACGCAAATGAGCTGATCAATCTTGCCGTACTTTCCGAGAAGCTAAATTTTTCTTGAATATAACGCTTAAAATTTATGGCGTATGTCACTGTTCATGGTTCACTTGCACTAACTGGGTAATCCGACCTCATAATAAGAAGAAGCAGTATTTGTGTATCAACACAACAGCACAAGGCTGCGGCTGAATGGACAACAAACGAGACAAAAAAATCTAACACGTAGGAAAATCGGCTTACAAAGTGGAACCAATTATTTTTTCGTGTGTGTGTGACGGTCGCAGTCGCATGCGATGGGAAATAATGCCACTTTTGAGAATCTTCTTTAATGATGATAACTAATCGCCAGTAGAATCATTTTATTGCTGGTAAACCCATGGTCGACCAGCTCATAAAAATTTCCGAAACTTTTTCATATTTCAGATCAAAAAGTCAGATCACAAAGATCACCAATTTTATTTTAATCGAATTTTATGTTAAGTGCATACTTAAAAGCACATTAATGTAATATCAGTCTTCTACGAAAATCCTCATGCACGAAAGAAAACATAATTATCTTTTGCCCTCCGTTCGCCAACTACGTTAGGATTATGTCACTTTTATGGTTTTTGGTGATAAATAGTTCCCAGAATCTTGTCCACACCTTGCAAAATCAGGAATGAGATAGAGTGGCCGCATAATAACCTGTGTCACGCCTGAATATTTTACGAGGAGTGGTTTATGTAGCATCCAGGAGACGAGGCAAGGACAAAGAAACGCCATGTGTCGAATCGTTGGTTGACAGACAACCCGGAGCCACCACTGTACATACAAATTAGCAATACCCATATTTATTTAAATTAGGTTATGTCATCCATCAGATCATGAAAATACATAGCTCCCAGCACAGATTACTGTTCATTGATATATATGAGTCATACATATTTCAACGATAACACCTGGCTGCAATAAATACCTGCTTGCCTATTTTCTATTTGTACAAACGGAAGGTTAAAAACTTTTGTAGAACAGTTTATCAATGTGCATATATGAATATGTATCACTAACTAATAAATAATACTACAAACATCACTAAAATTAATTTTCCATGCAAGCACACACAAATTTTTTAGGTCCATAAATAGGCTTGAAATGCCAAAATGCTGAAAATGTTCGGGTTACCACGATAAATTATGAATCCACAAATGAGTAATCAATCGAACGTTCAGCTCTGATTATGACGTATTTACGTCCTGAAGTCTGTGCAAAGGTGATTCAAATTAATAATTTATAATAATTTATTCGATTACTGGTGAAAGGAGATGGTAATTCGTCATCCGTGAAGTGCATGCACGTCAGCTCCGGGATGAAATAAGGCATCCGGATGTCACAAGTTTTAATGTACGTTCATGATACAATGTAGCAAAAATCGATGCAGCTTATCCTCATAAATAATACGACATTGGATTTAAATTGCATATAAAGCTTCATTTCATGACCCAGCTTGTCACATTCAATTCTAGCAAATAAAACCCATTAGCTTGGCGCAGAAGATGTCGGACCTAGTATCCACCCACCAAAATAAGTAGCAACAAGTTCACATGCTACTGCGGATAGCTTATAGGAATTTGATTTAGTTTGTAATCAAATTACGCGAAACACCTCGAAGTTCGAGACTCGTATTGAGTGTACGTATCTCTCCACATCAACCAATAGGGATGGGAAACCTTAACACATTTGTGGTTTTCACTGCCGCCTTGACAATTTGGACCTTGTTGATCGCATCCCACGCGTACAGAGCCGAAGGGAAAGTCTTACCAATAATTAAAACTGGTGGAATAAGGACATCGCGATTGCAAATTATTCGCATGACTTCAGCTAATTTTCCCTGTGATGAGAAACGACGACGACTCAAGAGGAGAGTAAGGAACCTGCACAACGTCATCATTGAGTCCGTGCCATTTTGCTAAGCTAATTATATTAGACAACTAATTTAATTAATGTGTTGTACACTACCAATGAATTACGTTAAATGGAGATAAATCTTGTGGGCTGAAAATAAAAGACTTTAAACTAACAAGTTGAGTTTCTTTGTGTCCAAGTCAATTTTAAGCATCTCGTGGTTCACTGAAAGGTAAAAGGTATCCTTGCGTGTCCTCTGCAATGCCGGAATCAGGAGATAAGTTGTTCTGGGGAGGAATAAATACTTGAGGGCGACCTTCCTCCGAAGTTCCACCATCGTTCGCAACATGGTTAACGAAACCCTCAAACGAAGGTTGAAAGTAATTCTGTAAAAAACGTCACATTATTGTAGGCGAAAACCTGAGATTAAATAATGCATAAACAGTCTACATATGTATGTATGTACCTGCGGGGAGGTGTCCACCAACAGCTTTTCAAAGAAAATTTTCAGCTCTGAAAAGGAGGGTCTCAGACTTGGTTCATTATTCCAGCAATCCAGCATTGTGTTGTAACTGTGCATACATAAATGAATAATTCAGTTGACGTTATGCCAGCAAGAACATAAAGTGTTAAAAGAGCAATTAATGGGGACATTGATGAGAATATTAGTAAATATGTAGAGTACACACATGTTTGTCGTGGCGTAGGACGGCTTGTGCATTCGCATTCCGTTGACTAGTTGGTCCAGAAAATCGTCACTCCATGTAACTCCAGGATAAGGAACGTTTGCCAGTGTGAAAATTTCCCAGGTTGTGACACTTTAATATAACATGGAGATTTACGTCGGTGCGGAAATTATCCAGAAAATTAAGAACTCACCCGTACGCCCAAATATCTGAGAAGACTGAGAAGCGCATTTGCTGAAGCGATTCAACAGCCATCCATTTAAAAGGGAGCGGAGACTGCACATTGTACGCAAATACAATTTTAGAATTGTTAACTTTGACAGTTTGATCTAAAACTATCTAAAACTAACTTTAAATATGCAAGTGCATTGAAGGGTAGAGTGCAATAAAAAAAGTGGGATGAGTATCATACAAAAGGCGTTAGGACATGGTTTTGACGAATTCGCGGTTGAATATCTTTGGCGGGGAGTTGAATTTTGAACTGATTTTTGGTCAGTTGCAAGATAATACTCTCAAAAAGATATATTTAAAATTTTGGGCCGATAGCTTTATAAATGCCCCCTCCAGTGCCCCCAGAGTTTGAAGGAGCCAAAAAAACACTTTCCAAACTGAATTACTCATATAGCATGATAACCTAAGAGGTCAGAGGTGAATGATTGTTAATATTACAACCCTAGATAATCATTGCATGTAATAATAAAATAATCCACAATGAATTACATAACGTTGGGCCTCCATCGTCGCTGATACGTTTTCATGAAAAGTGATCAATCGGACCGTGCACAGGAAAATTGACCTGCTGACCTTTAAAGCGGACCCACTAGGTCAAATGAAGATTGAGGGCAAAGCTCTAAGTGTCTCAAGTAATATTAAATTAAACAGTGAAGATTTTGTGTAAACAGTTTTGGAGAAGGACCCTAGCTAATCAGCTGACGGGGAATAGTAAAAAACTCGTGAACTAATTTAGGAAAATAATGGTCAAATTTTGTTGAAAACAAATTTTAATAACTTTTTTGTGTTCCCTGCTGCAGAACTATTTTACCTACAAGGTACAAGTGACAAAATAATAAAATTACTGCGTTTTGATTAGTTAAAAAAATTTAAAGTTCCGCTTCAATTTCGAGGAGAACTTTTGTAAAAATTTTATAGGGTTTGATGGAAACTCATTTCCTGGGGTGTAACCACTTATCAAAATTTTATCAAAAGTACTTACAATGCAACATACAATTTCTACCTTGGATAAAAACCACGTTAGGGATTTTTAGCATCAAAGTCCTAAAATGTGGGGGCCTTTAAAGTCGAGGAGTTGCGTTCAAGAGAGCATTCCATTAAGACAAGTATGAAGCTAGACTACAAAAGGGACTTAAAAGATAAGCATGATACAAAAGTGGTTTTATATAGTGAAAAGCATGCTAAGTCCCTTGATAATAGTCGCAAAGACGATTTTTGCACCAGGACCTCAGAAAAAAATATTTTGTTCAACGCCATTTTATAAGAACACTGGTTTGGAAAACTAAAAAAGGACACCTCTCCAAATTTGACCTTTCCTCATTTCGCAGAGTACATAAAATCGGAAGCCAGATATGCTTACCTATAGTTTGAGACATGGGCTTTCACATAAAAAATGTTAGAAATCTCTACAACTAAAAACCATCCCGCAATTAAGGTATGAATTCGTCAAAACCATGTCCTAACGCCTTTTGTAAAACAGTTTAGGGTGAAAAAAGTCCTAGGGACCACAAACTTGTCGGCGATATGACAGTCCAGGTTAGTAATCCAAACACTATACTGACTACAAAATTTGCATTTGTGATGACCACATGCATTTACCTCTTGATTCTTTATGTAATTCGAGTAATTCAAAAGCTGGCGTGATAGGCCAAAGTCACCTTTAAAAATAAAATTATTAATTTTAATTAAACCAATAAAGCAATAATTAAAACGATAGAAAAAGCTACCAATTTTAACTACTAGTTCATCCGAGAGAAAAACATTTCGAGTTGCAAGATCTCCGTGAATAATTTTTTTGCTTCCCAAGAATTCCATCCCGTTCGCTATTTCTCGAGACCATTTTATGAGATTTTGTGTGGTTATCGGCGTTAATTTATTGTTTGTCATGTCTGCTCCTCCATATTCAGCATCCACGTTCTCGTATGGATTTCTTTGTCTGATAGGAAGGTTACCAAATTTTTTAACGTTTAGTGGGGCATACAATAGCCATGCTTACTTGGGCTCTTGGGGTACAATGGCGTCATTCTTGACCAGATTTATAAAAACTGGTCTCTGCTTTCTCAAGTAATGCTCAAGTGAACCATTCGTACAAAATTCCACTGCGATGAAGATTTCACCTAAAAATTCATCCAGAATTGTAAAAGTCAACCTTAATTTCCATCAAGCTCCATTGTTTGCACATACGTTTCCTAATATTTTGCGTGCAAGCTCCCACCAAGCTGCAAATATTGGGATGGCTGCCAATGTAGGCCATGATTTTGACTTCGGACAGCAGAGTTTTGAAGTAGAGGACTTCCATGTTGTGCTTCACCGTTTTTACCGCCACGTCAATCGAGTTCATCCCCTTGAGCGCTGTCTTCATTGAGCGGCTCCCATTCTGACTGTCCAACAACTGGATCGAACCTTTTAAAACTTGTCCAAAATTCCCACTTCCCAGCACTTTCGATTGATCTGCCCATCAACCAACCAATCATTGGTTTTTTTCATGCCAATTACCACATAAGCGTGCAAACAGAATTAGTGAGTCGTTACCGATGTGGATCATTTCTTTCGGGATCTCAAACTTGGGATTGTATGGAAGAGACTGGATCAAGTCGGAGGTGTCCAAGTAGTCATTCGACTGAACAGCTTCAATGTTCCCTTCCAGAAATTCTTTAATCTCAGCCTCACTCAGCAGCCGAATTTGCTTCCGCTGGTCTCTAATCGTCTTCCAGCAGAGGAACATGACGACCAGGCACAGCATCAAAACACACGAGGCCACGATTGACACCGTTTTCACCACCAATTTGAATGGGTCTAGCACAGGAGTTTTAGACAAATTTGTAATAATTTATTAATCATGAGAAACTAAAAATATTTTGTATGGATAACTGTTCACACCGATAACGACCACTCTAAAAGTTTTGCGAGAAATTTTGAGAAAGTTTTCCGCTTCGCAGACATATTCCCCCTCAACTTCGTCGCTCACAATTGGAAATTCTATTTCAGTGGTGGTTTTGTCGACAGAATTTTCAACATATTTTGAGCCCTGTTGAGATTGCAGAAATTAAAGCATTTTATTATTTAGCATAGGCCAGTAAATCACTGATTGTTACAGGAACGACGTCGCTCCAACGGACGACTGGCGAAGGTTTCCCCTGACCTCGACATATTATCGACTTATTGGAGTCACCAGTGAACCACACCAAAGTCTCTTCTTCGTCCTCAGTGAAAGCAAAGCTGGGAGGCTCCGGATCTAAAATAAAATGGCAGCAAGAGTTCATTTTTGCTTGCTAATATTTTAGCAATGACTTTACCTGGGAGGACGTTAATTGAAATGGACTGGTTGACCCAATCAGTGCTGTTCCACACCGGAGCTAAGCAGTACACGTCCACTGCGCCCAGAGTTGTCAGCTCGATTGTAAGATTTATCCGATTCGTGTTGTAAACTTCCACGTATTCCCCGTCCACAGCTAAAAATGGGACACACAAGTACAACGATAAAGTTGTGTTTAATTGTCCATGTAGAATTAGTGCTCATTAAAACTGTGTACTTATACCCATTTTGTAGTCAACACTGCCATTCTCACTGCCAACTGCAAAGCGATGTCCATATGCAAAGTAGTAGCGTGAAAGTTGACAAAACACGGTGACCGTGTCCATCAGATAGGTCTCATTGCTTAATGGTTCGATCACCAACATTTTCTGTGGGTCAGCCTCGCTCCAGTCGAAATCTGAGAAAATTTGCACCCGTTTTAATTTCTCGATCATGAGTTATTTAGAAAATATCATGGCATTTTCGGTAGGAGGACCCTTACAAATCTCTGGAGTTTCGTGGGGGGTTTGTGGAACGGAGTAGAAGTAGTGCTGGGCGAGAAGGATTCCTTGGTCTCGACACGTGACGAACCCAGGTTTGTACGAGTTGTCGTTAGTGTAAGCACAGTAGTAGTAGCAATCTGCGACCCTCCTCAGGCACTTGGTCCCCTGTTTTAACGAATTAAGGGCGTCATTACTTTTAGGCACTGCAACAAAATATTTAGGGTGAAATATGCATAGGCGCACCATTCTCTGATGGCGATAGAATGTGTTGCAATGTGCGGCGGAGTCGCAAATTAGGAACTGATTTCTATCAGTAATAATTTTTCCGGAGGAAGCGATCTCACATTTCCACCCGTAGTGGGGTTTCATTGGGTGGAGCCAATAGGAAACAATGGCAGCGCATTCGTCTTCCTTCCCAACTTCCGTCCTTCTCTGTAACTCATCGTCTAACGAACCACCAGATACGAAAACAATATTCTTATCAAAGTGAAAGTGCGTCATTTATACATGTCTAGCACGTAATGTAGATTGTACATAAATCATTTACGGAAATGGCGTACCGCGATTGGGGCCTTGAGTGAGATGCATGTTGACAAGATCCGTCGCCTGGTCAAGGTGTAGGATCACATTTGTCCGGAGACAGAGGTCGTCGACAGCTTGGCAAGTGTAGTTCGAGACGGAACAGACTGAGCCGGAGAATTGGGAGGAGAAAACTGTGCGATAAGACCAGGTTTCGTCCTCCGCCCCCTCGACCACCTCGTTCCACAAGCCTTTCACCAGGCTCGCAGGTCTCACCCCTCCCAACCCATCCGATTCCTGTAACCATTACCCAGAAATCACCATCTGTCAATTTTAGCCATATGCACGACGCCTAATACCGACGCCCACGGTCTCTGTACATGTCGACTCGTGGGTGGCGATTAATTTCATTCATTTCAGCGTGATACCGACACTGGAAGGAAAGTAGGAACAGGAGAGAGCGTGAAAGGTGTGCACTCTGTCTGCATATTCCCACGAGGCGAAATTAGCTGTGTCGATGATGCATGTGTGGGGAACTGAGCAGACAAATTAATTAGACTAATTAATCCTCATTTTCTCCTGACTTGTTTGGGAGAATTTGACAGAAATTGCCAATCAGCAATTATATTGTTCAAAATAATCGGTGATTAATACATCTTCATGACGAAATATGCAACAAAATGGAGACAAACGTATTCGACTGACCTTATCGTACGTTTCCACCCACTGGATGGGGTAGCGAGATTCGCACGTGAGGTTAATGCCAAGATCCATATTTTGAAGAATTCTGAAAGTGTCATTTCCGAACCAAACTTCGGTCGAATTTGAGGGGACGGACATGGTCACGTTGGGGAAGTCAGAGTTATGGCGGTGATTACAGAGAGGACTTCTCCTTCCTTGGGATAGCCCCCAAGCGACTGCTCTGCTACGGTGTCCAATAAGGACGAAGGTTGAGATGACAAGTTTCAGAAATGTCAACATTTTGACAATGTTTTTAAGTAGGAGGATGAAAAGGTATTTGTTCAGAACAATAATTTAGGACTGGAACATGGAAGAGAAGAGACTGAAAGGTAACTCTGTTGGTCGCGGCGTACGGAAAAACGACGACTGGATGGAAAGTTTGTGGGATTCTCTCCTCTTATTTCAACTTTGCACGAATGTTTGTACGCATTTACATGAAAATTCTCTGAATGAACGACATTAACGACTTTGTGTTTAGTACTGGATGCCATGTGTAAATACCATGCGATTTTGTATCAACAGAGAGTAGAGATCTGGAGTCTGGAGGAACCCAATAAGAGCATTTATTCATCGACTTTAAGTGAACGTCACTCTTACTTCTCATGCCGACCATGCCGAATTTAAAGATCAGTCATGACAGGAATGAATTGGACAAAATATAGTCAGGATGAAAGGAATGCTCTTAGACGACATCAGCGTGTTTAAGAAAATTCGAGATTTTTTTGTTAAATTATGGACCTTATTGAATTATGTAAATTAAAAGATTTATAATATATTAGTAATGCAATTTCTTCGTGAGTTATATCCTTTATTTCTTGGGCTTATGTTTGCGTTTGAAAATCAGCAACATTTTAGAATTTGAAAGTGAGATTTTTTCGTTCGGGAGTGAGTGATATTTTCATCAGGTTCGACGAAATGTTGTAGTTATGGATCATCATGAGTATTTAGCTGGTTTTTGAAAATGGTTTGAAAATGGCTTTCACATAGCATAGATAATGTACTGAAAACATTGTCAGTGCCATTTACTGTAATTAAACTTGGCTCGTGTCTTCGCTTTCAAACACACAGTGCGTGCTGCATTCTTTTACAACAAGATTTGCATGCAGATTTTGAATAAGTTTACGGGTTTAAATCTGATAACTAAACTTAGTTCAAAGTAGAGGACACAAACCATGACCATCATAACATGATATAGGTGTGCAAAACTTCATGAAATCTGCAATAGCATATTTCAATTCGCTGCATATTTTTTTTACCAATTAAGCAATTGAATTTTGTCCTTGCAATCTTTGAGATTATAGTTTTGCAAGAGTTTTATAGTACGATTAAAGTGGAGGCTACTCATTTGTCACGTTGAAGAACTTGGAAACGAAGGCTTTTTAGAAGTGTGAGCATATGCGTCGAGATAAATGAGTAGCCATAAATAGCGTATTTGAAACGACTCTCTGGTGGTTTTGATAATTAAGAGCCATACAAAAATAATATGTCAAGGAGATGGACGCAGCGAGAATGTAACACACGCCGTTACTTAAGCATTACTACAAATAAATGCAATGTACTTACACCATGCACATCACTCTTCTAAGCTATTAGACATACAGTAATCATCATCATCAAACGGCGATCATCATTTGGTGGGTGGTGGGGCAAAGGGGTTGCTTGCACTGCACCTGTTTCTCCCATGTCTTACTCGCCGAAATGATTTTTTAAAGGCCGAATGTAAACAATTGTAACCACTTAAACGATGAAGAATCCGCAACAGCATCTCGTTAAAATTCTGAGGACTCGTTTGGCGAGGTTTCCGCATACGTACTGCTGCCTCGTCCCACTCCCATTGTTGGAGAGATGAGGACGAGATCTGTTCAAGTTCAAGAACCACCAACACCGGTTTAGTTTGGTGCATTGTTGATGTGAGTCGAACGAGTGCCCATGGCTTTAGGTGCGAGAGGAGGAATGTTGTCTGCATACAAAAATACAATGAAATGAATTCTCACTGCAAATTTTATCGAGATTTTAACCAACCAAATCTTCAGCTATCTCAAAGTTGGTCATTATGTACATAGATACTACACTTGCAGGATGTGTATTTTGAATTGAAACTAGTGGCAGGAGCAGCAGTGTTGATTTTACCACAGACACAAATAACTGTGCAATTCATAAGTCTGCATACATGCATACTAGTTATTTTCAGTAGTAATAATTTTCGGGATTTGCAAAGGTGGGTAGGAAATGAGGAGAATATTTTCACAAATAGTAAGCAAAAATTATGTCACGAAATCGCCAGCGACCGAAGTGCCAAAAGGGAGGGGGACCGTGACTCCGAGTGTTGTGAGAGTTTCGGCCATCTCAGCGACTTCTCCATCTCCAACGAGTTTGAGTACTTCGACTAAAAAACATGGTGGATCCAGGTCAATTTCCATGTCCTCCGGCCCTGGATCCATTCCATCAGTGTCCTCTACTTCCCCCTCGATTGTAGGACCCTTGCTCTCCTCCACACCTTATCCCATCCCCAAATTCACGCCAACAACACCCCAGAAGACCGTTGCTCCAGTGGTCAAGGATGTGGTATTGCCATCACAGTATTCGGCGGTGGAGCGGGAGAGGAGGAGGCGGTCGCAGTACGCCTCCCTCCTCGACGCCTCAGTGGACATGATTCTGAGCCGAGGTTATGCTTCGTCTAGTGACACGAGGGAAAAGGCCGCCTTCATTTCCGACCTCAACGTGAAACGAGTGCTGAGCAAGAATGAGGAGATGAAAAAAGTGATTTTCAAAGTGGCAGCTATGGCTCTTGCTCAGAATGAAGAAGACGTTGGAGGAATTGGATCCCTTCACCCCTTCATCATCACCGCAGGGTTCGTCCAGTTTGCCCGAGTTTATAGTCAGGCATGCAGCTGCGTCCTCAACTAATTGTTGTTTTCTTCCCTGTGTATTTAGGGAGGTATTTTTTGGTGGGAGCTATAACGAAATGGGACTGGGTGAAAATCCAGACTCAATTCAGGACATTTTGACGCCCGGCCTCCTCGTGCTACTCTTGCACACGGCGTTTCTCACGGGGAACACGTCCAACAAAACCTTGTCTCAAAAGTAAACTTATTACTCTATGCATGCAAGTTGTACACTTGTAAGCATATGCAACTAACGTGGCTATCTACGAATTTTGCAGACAACTCCTTTTGGCAAAAGCACTGGTGGAAACATCGGCAGGATACCTTTTGCATAGGACGGTTGAAGAGACGAATCACTTAATGGAAGATACTCCCGAAAATTCGCGTCACTTTGAGAGGATGCACCAGGGGAACAAATTGGCCACGCTAACTGGAGACCTACTCGTGGTCAGCCTCATAAAGAATGTGGCATGCACGGGAAATAATCAGGTAGGCGCATGTTTGAATAGAAAGCGATCAATGTCCAATGACCGTCATGTTATGCAGGTGTTGGAGCTAGTGATGAACAGCTTGTCCGAGTTCTCGACGACCGAGATTGCCAAGAGGAAGCCGTTCGAGACTACGGAAAGTGACCCTTTGGTGTGTAGGGCAATGAAGCCTCAAAATCTGGCAGAGTCTATCGTGTTCTCGAAGGTAAACTCTTCGAAAACTTACTTTAACTGCTTGACTTAATTAATAATTAATCAATTATTAATTAAAGGGCTTTCAGTCGTCGCTCATGCTCTCCGGTCTGGAGGACCTGGAAGTGCTGGAATCTGCGGCACAACTGGGCAGCGTGGCAGGCCTCCTCTGGAAGAACAACTTTGACTGGACCAAGTTGACTTCTTTGGGGAAAGGCGTGGATAACCTGGACGAGCTAAACGACTACCTGGCAGGGTTAAGAGAACAAGCCGACGAGCTGTTGAGTGGAAATAAGTTCATCCCCTCCTCAAATCACCCAGTCACTGAAATGATGAGACATTTAATCCACTTTTGGGGAGCTCCGAAATCTAATATTTCGCAATAATGCAAGATAAAAAAAGAATAAATACATATTTTGATACACAAATAGTTTAATCACAACGCAGTAATAAGTACATATTCACCCAAAGACATGCATGGTTAAGGTTTAATCATGGATGTATAAGAAGGGTTTAATATCTATTCGCTGAAATCTATGAGTCACTCAAACGAATAGTGTATTTATATAATTTTCATGTTATTGACGGTAAGTTCAGTTTTGTATGCGTGTAGATATATTTGTATCTAGTGGCGTTTCATAAATTGGCTTTGCGTGGAACATGAATTGGAGCAAGAACAACCAATAAGCATCATCATATCCTCATGATGAAAAAATATGACCACTAAAAGTTGGTGGTCCTATGCTAACACTAGATATGTGCATAAATAAGTTATATTTTTATCTGTTTCACTCATGACATGACTGACTACATGACATGGCATCTTCTTTGTGTGGTTCGTTAAACTGGAGATTGGCCAGGCTCGGGGAATACGAGTCAAATTAAGTAAAAAGGAGCTTAAAAACAAGAAGAAAGGTTGTTGTTGTCAAGCACTTCTTCGCATTTACTTGACTTTTGCTCTCTCGTTAATACCACGTCCAACTCAATTTAATACGCCCCCTAAATAAATTCCTTAAATATCAGAACTAGCAGAAAGTCGCAGAGAAAATACGACGATGATGATGCGGTTGAGCATCGCCACGGTCCTCCTTGGCCTAATTTTGGTGGTCGTGTCGGGGGACGAGCCAAGATTGGTTCGTGTGCCCCTGACCAAGGTCAAGAGTGTCCGCAGGTCGTTGCAGGAGGTGGGGACGGAGGTTGAACTGGTGCGACATCGGTGGAACAAGTTGGGGGCACCTTTGACCGGCCCCATCCCAGAACCACTCTCAAACTACCTGGATGCTCAGTACTACGGTATGTACAACATGTGTAACAAAGTGTATTTCATAGTTTATCATAGTTTCATAGTCTGAAATTTAACTTGTGTAAAATTTAACTTGTGTAACAAACTGAAGCAATTATTATGCATACGCACTTATGTGCAACATGTAAGCACAATTTCCTCTTTTTATGTAGGTCCCATCACCATTGGAACTCCGCCTCAAAACTTTAACGTAATTTTCGACACTGGATCATCCAACTTGTGGGTGCCGTCAAAACAGTGCAAATGGACCAACATTGCTTGCTGTAAGTTCATATAGATTTCTTAATTAAGATTAAGATTTATGAGGGTGGAAAACTGAAATTTTTTTTTCAGTGCTCCACAACAAATACGACAGTCGAAAATCAAGTACCTACTCAAAGAATGGAACTGCATTTGAAATTCGGTACGGATCCGGCAGTTTGAGCGGAATTTTGTCACAAGATACAGGTATATTTCTCATACTTTCTGCTCTTACACAGATAAGAAATGGATAATATGCATGCAATATTTTTTATGATTATTCGCTAAACAGTCTCCATCGGAGGTATCCCTGTACAGAATCAGACGTTCGCTGAAGCCATAAACGAACCAGGTAAGGGCAAATTTATGATGGTAAATCAAAGAGTGTACCAAAACATCTTTAAAATTTGACTTGTCCAACTTTCAGGCCTAACCTTTGTGGCAGCCAAGTTTGATGGGATATTAGGGATGGCGTACGACACAATTTCTGTGGACCGTGTTCCTCCAGTTTTCAACAACATGGTCAAACAGGGAGCAATTGACAACCCCGTGTTTTCCTTTTACCTGGTAATTCATTCATTTGCATTGACACATAGTGCATACACGTATGTACTACAATGGTAATGGCAGTACGTAATATGTAAAAAATCTAAATCTAGCGTTATTTAAATGTAATCGTTTAGTTTGTAAATCATTATCATTATTAGAATCGAAATGCAGCTCAGCCAGTGGGAGGCGAGTTAATTTTGGGAGGCTCCGACCCCAAGTATTACAAAGGAGACTTTACATATATGCCCGTGGACAAGAAAGGTTTTTAATAGATATTTATATTTCTCAATTAAGCGGTTAATTCAACAATTTAATTAATTATGGAAAGGTTACTGGCAGTTCAAGATGGATGGGCTCAAGGTATTAAATATGCTAAGCATTTTAAAAGCCTCTAAATAATTGGTGTGTGGAGTAGATTGGAGACAATGGTGGGACCTACTGTGAAGGTGGCTGTCAAGTCATTGCGGACACCGGCACATCTCTGATCGCAGGACCCTCTGATGAAGTGCGACGCTTGAATAAAGAGCTTGGTAATTAACAATAATATGGGCAAGAACTTATTGTTAGTAATGAGCAGTCTTCCTAATGATTCCGCTTTTGCACGTATTTTTAGGTGCCACACCTTTGGTCAAGGTAACTGCCCTTTTACTGGCTGTGATAAGAGTACAAAGTGTTCATAAATAGTATATACACTAACGGTGTCATGCATTTACTTGGTAGGGAGAGTATGCAATTGACTGTGCTATGATTCCAAAATTGCCGACCTTGAAGTTCACCTTTGGTGGCAAGGACTTTATTCTTACAGGCGAGGACTACGTTTTGAAAATCACTCAGTTCGGAAAAACAATGTGCTTGTCTGGCTTAATTGGTTAGTAAATTATTAGGTAGAAAATAATTCCCAAACCTAATATAATTAAAATTAATTAAATAATAGGACTGGACATCCCGCAGCCCTTGGGACCATTGTGGATTCTAGGTTGGATGCCGTTTGTTCTAAACGTTTTGCTAATCCTGCTTTGTTTTTATTAACTTTTCTTAACATTTAAAAAATAGGTGACGTTTTCATTGGGAAATTCTACACTGAATTTGATTTGGGTCAAAACCGTGTAGGATTTGCTGACGCTGTTTAACTATCCATCGGTGGACACACCCAGCTCTCCTTCGTGGAGTCACCACATTTCTCCAAGTGTAGGATATTAATTATTTTATTTAATATTTAACCTGACCATGTCATGCTTCCTCCATTCGTATGGTATCTGTACGACCTTCAGTCTACTTAAATGGCAAAAAGTGAGCTGAGAAAGATCTGTTATCATAATTTGTAATATTTGTAGAATTTACTCGATCCAATCAGAATCTGAACGCATTATTGTCAATGGACTTATTGTGATACATTTTAGAGAATAAAAATGTTGCAGAGTGGAATGAATTTGTGAGATTTGTGTGTTGGCCTTGCTTGCGAGTCGGGGAGAAAGTTTGAGAAAATGAGACGACTATGCGGGTATGACCTGGCTGGCCATCTACACTGTGGCTCGACGACTTTCTCCTTGTCTCCTGAGCCGAGCAACTTCCGTGTCCGTATCAATTCGTTCGCCTGTGCTACCTACGATGTACTACTATCGGAGAAAGTAGTGTACATACATATATCGTGGATATGCCTCCTCGTATAGTAGGCTATCTACCAGGAGCTCGAGTAGTAGGACAGCTAGAGAACTAGAGCAAAGATCTGCACAATTTTGATCCATAATAAAGTACATTCCTCGCTCACACCATCCACTCTCTAAAACTGCCCACCACACTGTGCTATCAGCCCAACGCTCACCCTACTGAACTACTTGGCTAATCAACTCAACAACATTTCGACATAAATAAATCGCATGGTCGGAGGAGAGCCTTGACATGACGACCCCATCCCAAAAAGCAACCGCTCCCTCATCCCCCTCCGCTCTCGTCGCAGAGCTCCTGCTCTGGACTTGCAAGAAAAAGTTGAAACAATAACGGCCACCCTCCGCCTCCTCCTCCTCCCAACTCGGCTCAGCAAAACACAATGCAAAGAGTGGCCTAATCTCATTGTTCAGAAATTCCTGGGCAGGGCAGAGGAAGGTCTGTTGGAGCATGTCTGGCCACCCACAAATTCACATTCGTATGGGAGTGGTTAGTTATCAACAGTGAAAGCAGAGTACAAATTGCAGTCGTTATGCAGTTGGTGGGGTAAAAGGACAGAAAATGTAACCTACATAATTATTGCTGTGCTATTGATTGAGTGGAATTGCCCATATGAACTTATTCCTTTGTGTGATTGTGTGTGTGTATACAAATTGAGATTGAAATGGGATCTTCCGCAATAGGGAATTAATCATACAGCAGTGACTGCATAATACTGACAGTTCCTGGCCCATGATTGTGGCCCCCACACGCGGGGAGAGGGGTGGCCATAATCAATCCTCCCAACCAAATGCCAGTTCTAGAACAGTGTGTGACATCAGTGACAGTCGTAGTGGTAGAAGTAGCAGAGTGACCTTTCAGTAAGATCGGGAACTTGACATCCATGCATTTAATTAGCAATAAGAATATTAAAGGTGGCCGTCCCATTTAATGCATAGGAATTAGAAGCCTCCCTTGCTTGGACCCTCTTGCTTATTAGTGGTGGTGCAATTTGTAACCAATTCGTCAATACCCCTCAGTCAGTTGTGGTGTCGTCGTCGTCCCCCGGGGGCTATACGAAGGTCGTAGATTCCTGCGTGGTGCATGGAGATGAGCTGCTGCTGGAACTAGATTGAGATGAGGTGGACGATGATGGACAGTAGAAGTAGTAGTGGCAGTGGTGGTGCTTTCACTGCGTTGAATAATAAAATAATATGCAATGAATAACATGTGGACTCACCAACAACATCTGACTCTTCAATAGACTTTTGCGAAATATCTTATATTAAGGTTCTTTTCTCCTTTTTTTCTGTTTTTTGGCGATTTTTCGACCTTTTCGTCGAAGAAAAAATCGTCCAGCTCAAGTTCATTCCACTTCTTGAGCAACTCGGTCGGATCTGTTGTCCTCAAGTCTTTACGCTGTGCAAGCTGTAAAAAATTGCATAGTCTCCAAAGATCCAATCCAGTTCAACTCCTGTATATCCACTCTACATCTCTCTATCTACTACCTATTTAAATCCAATTCCTTGGAATTTTCTCTTTTCGAAAGACAAGTTCAAAGTAAATCAGTCACGACGGCGGGCTACAGTAAGAAGAACGTGTGTTCCTCCAACACCGGTTCCACGCAAGGCAAGAACTCCCTCATCGAGGTTCGTAGTTCTAGAGTCGATTTGGTCATATCATGCCTTTATTTATTTTGTGGCCACCACGTAATAATAAATTCGTTTACGAATGTGTTGTAACAGAAGAGCTGCTGCAAATGTGATAATATGGCTGCATCTTCCAGCCGTGGGATTCAGATGGGGTCGGCGTGGTTTCAGCGGTTTGTTATTCTATGCATATTTATCGTTTATGCATAAGGACATATAACATGGCCCGCATTTTGTATCTAGGAAGATCAACCTTCGCCCGCAGCATCGAGGGGTTCATCTGGTCACGGAGGAAATACTCCGACAAATCCCAGAACTGGGCAATTTCACCGTGGGCTTATTTCATATCCAGAGTAATTTCGCTAAATTTTTTCTTACACTTACAAATTTTCTTGATTATCATTGTCAATGCAGTTTTTAATATTTCATCTTCTTCCATCTAGTTCTGCACACATCTGCTAGTCTGGCGTTAAACGAAAGTTGGGTAAGACCGCATTTATAAATCTTACAAATTATATAAAATTATATTCTTAAATAATAAGAATGCAAATTATTCAGTTGATTAAGGTTTAATTAATTATTCTTTAATTTAATTTTTTCAGGACCCTGACGTTCGAGACGACATGGAATCCATGCTTAATAAACTAGTGCCTGAGGTAAGACGGTTTTTTATAGACAAAATAATATGTAGGGTAGATCTAAAAATTAAAGAGAACCATCAAATTTCAGGGACTGCCTTATAAACATTCATGCGAGGGTCCCGACGACATGCCTGCTCACGTAAAGGTAACGAGTGATAATAATAATTATGCATAAACAGATGAAATGAGATTGATATTTAAGGTGTGGTTCGTTCGTTATTAATAATAATTGGAAAATTGATTTCTTAGGCCTGTCTACTGGGTTCATCCTTATCAATTCCAATAAGTGATGGGAAGCTTAATCTGGGAACGTGGGTAAGGAAAAAGTCGCAGCTTCAGCTGGCTTTACTTGAATAAACTATGATGACCTCACATTTAATTCAAATATATTTCTTCGTTTTTCAGCAAGGAATCTGGTTAGCAGAACACAGGGTACGCTAACAATAAATAATTATAAGATCGACACCACATATAACATAAACATGGCTGTAATCTTATTTCGCTCTATATCTAATATTGCAGAACCACGCAGGAAGTAGAAAGCTTGTGGTGACCTTGAACGGAGTGCTTGCGCCAGGAACGCCCATTTCGACCGCCTCCTCAGGGCAAAATCCGCACTCACACCATTCCCACTCTCACAGCTAATCATCCTCTTCCTTAGACACCAAATTACTTTTTATCCTCTCATTACTCTTATTAGCGTTATCATCGTTGACATCTCCTCACACACACACACACACACTTTATACAATTCGGTTTGCTTCCCCTCGTGTGGGGACACTCACCACCTGTTCAACCACTCTGGCAGTGGGCGCAGGTCTTTTCACCTCATGTTATAAGCTATATTCTCTATCAACGACGCAATCAATTACTTTAATTGAGTGCATTGAAAATTTAAGCAGACACACTACATTGACACAATACTGACCACATGACAAAAGGCCAACGAATAATGTATGTAGATACGCCAAACCATAACCACACTTGACTGGCCCACCAAGTAAGCTGTGAATAATTAGTGCGTGCGACGAATAATTAACTTATGACGACAAATTATTTACACGAACGAAACTTATTTCTCTTCCTTAAAATTTTCACAGTGATAATATTTTCCCGAATCACGTCCACTTGTGTATTTTGCTCACTTTCCTACACGGCATTATTTATCGCCGATAACCATCCACTGCTTTGTATGATAACGATTATGATTGAATAATCCACTATAGAGTTTAGACCATTCCATCCTCTTCAATTTGCCCTGAAATGAATTTATTAATAATCTTGAGCAAAAGAATACAAATTTTAACAAGGGGCCTCCTCCGATGCACCAGCAGATACTATCACAATTTAGTATGTGCCATTCTTTCTAAATCTTTGGTTTAAAAGAGGTCGAGTAATTTGTTTATTCCAATAATATGTCCCTCAAGAAGGGTAAAAGTTTCCGTCATTTGCGACGTGACAGGGTCCCATCACTCCTCCACATCTTTCCCGAGATGCCCAAACGTGTTACACACAATAAGTTGTGATTCCATTTGCAGTAGAGGCTTTGAAAACCACAGTGAAAGCACTTGTGAATTTTCCGCCGCCGGTGTAGTCCTTGGCACACGGTCCGTGGAAGTCCTTTCCATCCACATATTTAAGAAGCATGCGGTGCATAATTCATACATATTATGCACAAAAACACACACACACACAACCCTTAATGCCAGCCATAATAATTGATTGCCAGCCAGCCACCTATTTTTGGGACACTGATTCCACTACAAAAATAATTAAGCACAAAAATGAAATGATTGGTGCACGACAATTAGTTGTTACTTATATTGAAATATGGTTTTTAAGAGTTTTTGGACAGAGCTCGATTTGAATATCACTACACACCCATAAACTTTATACAATCACCTCTCTCTCTCTCTCTCTTGATCCACCTCCTTTCCTGGGAAATCACTCTAATCAATTCCACTTCCTCATTCCTTGAGTTATTTCCACTCGGGCTTCACGGCCGCCGACCTTGGAGCACTCTCCGCACGCCCTGACGCCCACGGTGACAGACCCCCCAGACGCATGCTGACTTGTTTCATAATCATTCACGGGACTCTTTTTAGACGTAAGGCCACAACAACTATGCAAATCAACTGTTGATGCACAATTGGGGGTTGGGGCCGGGTTGCTAACCTAACTCTCCTCCACGTTGATGGTGATTTGCGCCGAGACAGCGCTCGAATGTCCTCCCAAAGACTTTGGCGCATGTCCACTTCTCAAGTGAGAAAATGATAGTGAGAAAACTTCCTTAATAAGTAATAATACATAATAATAAAATAATAATTAATAGGGACACGTTTATAAAACTAACCTTTTAACGCTAAGTGAAGCATATATTGTGTATCTTACATATTATATCGTTATATTTTAGCATAAGTTTCCTAAAGTAATAATTCGCCACTGCTTGCGATGTTTTTCGCATCACACCACAACACAACCAGAGAATCAAGAAGAAGATGATACGTATTATGAGTACGGACTAAAATTGTGTAGGTCCAACAATCAGCAGCAGCAGAAATTACCTCCAAACCAGCAAAAACTTCTTCTTCTTCTCCTGTAATTTCCTTAGACGAGCTGCATGCTGTATAATTTTGAATAGCTTATTTTTGACTCGTTTCATTACTAATGTTTTTTGGGGTATCAATTTTCTGGTCAACTCCACGCCCATTGTATTACTGTTAATGCATACATAGGCCGATGGCAGCATCAGCAGTTCTGCAATATGTACATTTAGCGACAAAGACCAAGCACAATCAAATATTAACTATTTCAATCCACACTCCTGAGCAGAAAGCTAACAAAAATTATTATGGTGCAGATATTTAAAACCGACGACGAGTTGTTTGACTTTAATAAGAATTTTGGTGCAGACTTGAAAATCAATCGAAAATATTCATCAAAAAGCCAAAGTAATTTATGACTACGATAGACTTTACACTTTACGTGGGTGAACCTATACACACGCCACAAATATATATTCAAAATGTCCTGAATTGAACAGTTTTCAGCCGCTAGTTGCAGTAATTTTGTGGTACCACTTATGTCCTTACCACTGCACAGAATTGTCCTATATACTCCATTCTTAATAATATCAGCCATCTACTTATCATGATGCTACCCATACTTTCTGATTTTTCTATTGCAGTACCGTAGCTTCTTTGGTTCAGGTAGCCATCCTTCAGGTCATCATCACTTTTGCCGTTATTAGTTGGCTTCGAATTCTCTCCAAGTCTATGTCAGGGTACTTACTAACTACAAAACAGCAGCAGCAGTATAATAAATTAAAACTCGACCAAGGACCGTGTATAATTAATTATGCATGGCGGCGTGGTCATGAACTATTATTATCATCAGCTTGGACATTTCTGAGTATAAAAGTCTCGCACACAAAAATTATAGGTTTCCAGTTTTTCTCTCTTTTCATGAATTTTAAACAAAATGTTTGAAAATTGTACTTCCAATGAAAACAATGAAACTCCACTATGTACGATATACATACATACATTCATAAATAATGCTAAAGATTAGCGTTACCTTTACTCTGTATCCTCCTCTCTGACATAAGTAATTATTCAATCGAGTAATAATTACACTTTAATATCCGTAGTTTACTGCTTACTTCATAGTTCACGTCATACATAATTATCGTATTAATAGTTAAAGTACATAACATAACTGCATACAAGGGTGGGGTTCAAAATCTTACTTATTACATAATAAATGATACCGCGCTAGGCCACACTCTACAATAAATGAACAATTAACTTACACACAATAACGAGTAAACTCTCTGAGAAAGATACGACGACTATACTGCATTTTCATTCTACATAAAGTTACAAATTATAGGTTGACTTGTAATTGCGTACATACATACATAAGTAATTGTCATCATATAATAACTGTCGAGGGGGGAAGGAGGGAGAGTAAAATGTAATAATATGAGAATTCAATCAACTATAAGCACTACCTATTCAACGAAATACTATACAACTAACTAGCCGTAACTAAAAAATGACGAGCGTAATGCGGCGGCGTAATTCGTGATTGACGAATAATTAACTTAACAATTATGTAAATTTGTCGAATCTTCGATCCATGCAACGATTACTAGTTGTGTCGATACTAAACGAATCAAATAATAAAAATTATATAATGAAAGATCTTTATTCGGCCTCATTCGGAATCTCTTTAATATTTGCATACACTTTAAAATTGTTATATTATGTCTATAAATCTCATCCAACTAACTGCATCCACATCCTGCGCCACGACTACTTTGTGGCTGGAGTATTTCCTCCCGTCGTCGACTTGTTCTTCCCGTCATCCTCTGCAACTTTTTTCTTCTTGTCGTCCTTTGCCTTCTCCTTTTTCTCCTTCTGAGCCTTCTCGTTCTCAAACTTGAGTTTGGTCTTTTCGGCTTTTATCCTCTCCTTCTCGAGCCGCTCCCTCTCCTTCTCCGCCCTCTTCCGCTCCTTCTCCTCGTCCTTGGCCTTCTTGTCCTCTTCCTTTGTCCTCTTGTCCTCCTTGGGCTTCTTGTCCTCCTTGGGCTTCTTGTCCTCCTTGGGCTTCTTGTCCTCCTTGGGCTTTTTGTCGTCCTTGGGCTTCTTGTCTTCCTTCTTATCTGCCCCATCACCCTTCTTGCCCGCAGCGGCGCCCGAGGTTCCTGCCTCAGGCTGACCCTTATCTGCCTCTTCCGATCCTTTCTTCCCCTTCTTTGTCACCGTCTTCTTGTCTTCCTCCTTCTTTTTGACCTCCTTCTTATCCTCACCCTTGCCGCTGCTTTTATCCTTGCCTTTCTTGGGGCATGACGCCTCTGCCTCCTTCTTCCCTCCTGATTCTGCTGCGTCCACTTTCACCTCCTTCCCAGGCTCCACTTTACATTTTTTGTTATCCTCCTTATCGCCTCTCTTTTTGGTTTTAAAGGCCCCTTCGGGAACAGACAGTTGTGCCTCGCCATCGGCATCCATCGTGAGTGCGACTTTGTCACTTTGCGACACTTTCGAACGTCCACAAATACGTGACAGTGCCAAAAGGAAGCGCGCTTTAGGGCCGAGCGACTGGGCACGAAGTTCCTCCAATGAAATATCTGTAAATAGAAATACCTGTTCATTTACAAAAGGAGTTATTTTTTCAGAGGATTCAACAAGTGGGATGGTGTTGGTGGAGCGGTGAAAATTTTACCAATTTGAATTTGTGAAGCCCTTCGGTAGGACCCATGGCGAGGTGGAGGCCCTCCGGTCGAACTTATCGTCGCAGCCGAGAAGCCATCCGATTGTGCCAAGCTCTCCGTGTCCGACTTGAACTCGGCCCGAATTTTGTCCAGAGCTTATTCAAATTATATATTGTATAGGTCATCATTATTCCTCATTTGACGCAATAATGCATAAACCAGCATACATACACATGATGGATACACACACGTATGTATGCGATTATGCTGCTAATAATTATCTGACTTTAAATTTAAATTCTCACCCTTTTTCAAGTCCATTTCGTCCAACTCTGAAACCAGCAAACGTTATATCGTGAGGATTGCTTAAAACTTTGCTCGAGAACCATAATAGTCATCTAACTCACCTTGGTTCTGTATTGCTTTGAGTCGCTGACGGAACTTTCTCAGAATTTGCCGACGAACGTAATCTGCTTCAATCTCCTGCTTCGTTCGAGGAATTCGAAACTTTACGCAGCAACAGAGCAGAATAACTGCAATTAACAATGCATTGCATAATTACTTAGTACTTATGGCGTGTACTTAAATAATTAAGTAATTCTACTAATTTTCAAAACTCTCCATGACTCACTGATGCACATGACCCCAGAAATGGAGAGGAAGATGAGATGCCACATTTTGAGGCCATTCCACACCACTTCCTCGAGAGCCTCCTCCTTCTCCAGAATGGACATCAGGTCGACATCTTCCCTCCATTTGGAACAATCCTGTGCCAACCACAAAGCAATAATTAAAAGTAGAATTTAGCAAATCGTTTGAATTGATAAAATATGTGGCAGGTGACAAGTACAGAGTTTGTGCTTTCCAGGGGAGGAGCCATTTTCACAATTTTTTACAATATTCCAAAGGGAAAATTTCAAAAAATATATAAATTTTCAATGCTTATTTATATATGTCAAAAGTCGCGTGGGTGATCTTGCTCTCATTATTTTGCGAGAATTCAGACTGTGCGGATGGGATTGCCTGCGCTGCTGGAGCGATAGAAATAGCTGATTCGTACATATTTACCTGTTCCGTGCCATTGACACATTTCTTGAGAATCATCCTCCTCTGTCCGGCAATTAGTGTCACCCTTGTTGATTTACTTCACCTCTCTGTCGGCCCTCGAATCAGGAGCCTATAAATCTACGTCCCCTTAAATCTTGTTGAACCCCTGATTCAATTAGATTAATGGAGATTAGAAGGATGATCGCACACGGGCAGAGAGCGAGGGAGCGAGAGAGAAGGTGAGACTGCTTGTCTGTAGGCAAATGAGACTTTCCAGTTGCACGGGAAGGATGAGCCAGCTCTTGCAATATCTAACACGAAGAAGAGAAAGTCGACCGGAGCAGATGAGATTAAAATGAGATTGGATGGCCAAAAATCAGGTCGTGTCCAAGCATTTGCCTTTACAAGAAGGATCATAAAACTTGCGGATGATGGACAGATCGATTCTCATCCTTGCTGCGTACATAATATGTTCTGCTGCGGGTGGGTGGGTGATGAGATTCATTTACCACATATAACTCTACCTACTTGTATAAGGACATTCAGAATTCCACGGTTTGGACATTTTCCGACAATATGTGTATTTGCAGTTGGATTCATTTCTGAAATCCACCTGGGGTTTCGACAAACAGCGCAGTTGTTCGCATCATAAGAAGCATCGCAGGTTTGTTGGTCTCTCTGTGTTGGATCATCATTGAAGAACCTTTCAGAGTGATGGATGAAAGCAAAGTATAAACGACGACGGAAACTGGCTAGAACTGCAAACGACTCCACCCAAAAATTATGGGATTTGCCCTCAATTTGCGTCTGTTAGCATGTATCATTCGCTCCATGATACAGTTCGTCTCCTGGGAGCAACTCTGTATATTTTCAATCCACAGATGCATGCACTCTTATCGTCCACACCGTACACCATTCCATGTTTATTTATTGAGGACTTTCACGCCATGTTTTTAAACAAGCAAAACAAAAGCGTGTGTGAGGTTGCGAAGATACGTCTTATGTGTATATGCTATAATTGTATATCATGCTTCCATACAAGTATGGAAGCATCAATAAGCTACGTATTATGGGAAAATCTACTGATATTTGCTGAGTAAAAGTCCAAATGTTGAAACATTATCAAAAACCTAACCAATGTGGGAAAGCGATTTTCACTTGATGAGCGAGAGGAGAGGATGGGACTCCGTCTACACTTTTGTGAACGCATTACTAGGAGAAAGTCCCAACCCTGGCTGCTGAAGTGGAGCATGCTAAATACATACATATGCACATTCAGGTCGTAGTAGAGTGTGTAGTAGAGTGAAAGTGGTGGTGGGTGGCTGAATGGGTGGTTGAATCAATGGAGAGCCGACTGGGGCCGGAGCTGATCCCGGGAATATGCTTTCTCCATGCTCTGCTTTCTCCAGGAAGGCCAAGACTGAACTACTTGAGTCAATAGAGAAAGAGTACATAGAGTTTTAGCTGACTGAGAGAAAGGGCATGGTCCTCATCCGCCTCGCCTCCGCCCCCTCCGACCGTCTCTGAGCCCTCAGCAGGGCCAAGATGGACCTTCGGATTGAGCTCGATAGCCCAGAGTCACCCCCCGAGCTGCTTGGATGGGCTGGCTACTTCGAACCAGGAGGCACGGTCAGCGGCAGGGTCATCATTTGGAACAAGACCTTCCGCAACCAGGAGTTCAAGAAAGGTAAAAACCTCGCTTTCGTGTAGATGACCAAGACGTGGGTTGAAAAATTATAAATTGTGCTCTTCACAGACTTGGAAATAACTTTCACTGGAAAGGCATGGACGGTGACGACGTCTTCAGTGGAGATATTTTTCACGCACAAACTGGAATTAGGTTGGTCGCTGAATAGGCGAAATGCATACTGATTAATGTGTTCCGAGTTTTTGAGTGTCTAATTTTGCGATGTAGGACCAAGGGTCAATCGATCCCGGAAACGCAACAGCGGCATAATTCAGCCTGGGAGAACAGACTAGTAATTGCTGTTTTTTATTATGTTTTACACACTGGCTAATTTTGTAACATTTATTTAAATTTAAGAGTAAAACTGTTTCTTATGTTCCTAAAATTAGCACATTCAACTTCCGACTGCCTCCCTCCATGCCCTCCACATTCAATGGGCGATTCGGAAAGGTGGACTATTATGCCGCAGGTGTGCATGACTCTTTTGTTCATTAGCACAATAATGGAATATCGTCAAATTCTCATGATTGATATATATACTCGAATTAAAATATAATTTCCCAAACGTTAGTGACGCTGTGTTCTCGTGGAGCGTTGGACAAGAGAGTCACCCTTCCGTTTAATGTTCTCTCCATGAAAGATCTTAACGTGGACCCGAAAGCAGCTCGGTCAGCCAAGATAATTATGGAAAAGGTGGGTCTCAAAAGCTTGCTTTAATAAACCCTTGTAAAAAATCTCTCTGCAACCGTCATAATTATGAGATTAATTATGAGATTATTAATTATGGAAAAGTCGTTGGGCTGCCTCTGCTGTCGAAATGGACCGATTCGTGTCACGTTCGGAGTGCCCTTCAAGGGATGCGTCCCCGGCGGCTTTCTCCAGTTCTCAGTGGAAATCATCAACCTTACATCCCTCGATTTGAAACGAGCCACAGTCAGCCTGATCCAGGTGACCATTATTCACAGCGCATAGATATTCGTTTAACAATACTCTCTCATTTGTTTACTTGTGACTCAGGAGGCCACGGTGTGCAGTGGACGGACGAGCGAGATTGACACGAAGGTGGTGTGTCGTATGAAGGGGCCCTGCGTGAGGGCAGGAGAGACCAAACTCTGGGAAGTGGACAATTTTCCAGTCCCGGTGCCAAGCGTTCCACCGAGCGACACGGACTCTTACGGCTGCGTCCAGTACATTACCATTCAATACGAACTGAGGGTAACTCAACGTTCAATTTAAAATAGTACTCTCATAGGCAACAGCAAGTATGTCTCAGCCAATTGCACAATTACTGACTTTGCAGATTAAAGTGGCCGTGAGAGACCTGGTGTTCGGCTGCTTCCAAGAGAGCGCCCTTTCCGGCAGTATACCGATTATTGTGGGAACAATCCCTTTAATCGAGTCAGAGTCGGAGGGCTCCTCGTCCACCGTCGTCCTTAGCACGAGCAACACGGATGCCAATTTGGATGAAATCTCCGAAGTCTACATGCCCACGTCCGCAAGTCGCTCGACGTCCATCGAACTTCCCAATTACGTTGACTCACAAAGACGGTACAACTCCTCCACGCGGTACAAGGACTCGCGTAAGCGGCACAAATTGAAATATATTGACCAATGTCTTATCAAATCTGGAAGAATGAACTATTTTTATGATAATATTCCGTAGCACCACCGTCCTACATCGAAGCGATCGTGCGACAACAACAGAGTCAGGGGCAGATGATGCAGACCCACACTCGAGGTTCTCCCAGCATACTCTTATGATCCAGGGTATCACCCGTCGTCATTGCGGAGCAACCGCGACGGGTGATCCCCCTCATGTCACGCCCCTCCGCCGTGACCACCACGCCATTGAGCTCCTCCTCCGCCAACAATGGGACAGGGAACACGGGCAGCAGCAGCAGCAGAAGCAACCGACGAAGTATGGCCACAAATGGAGGAGCTTCTTCCCTATCATCCACGGACAGCACTCCGACTTCTGTGGAGTCGGCCGCATTAGTCTTCACACAGCAACCTATTAGATTGACTGGCGAGCAGGAGAGCTGGTTCTAATCTGGTCGTCGTTATGATTTGCATACACACACTTAATTGCAACAAGTAATAGATATCTCTCTCTCTAGTGGAATAAGGGTGGCAGAACGCTATAATAATTAAAGTGCTGATTATGAATCGCTTTATACCTGAACAAATAAGCCTAAACCTATGTTAGCGATAAGTGACGGACGATACAAGAAATAAAATTATCGAACTTGCCGAAATAACTTTTTGCCTCCTCGTCAGCATATAGTCATCATCGAGGATAGTCAAAATGGGAGGACGCAACTGTTTCATATTTTAAAACGGATTCATAAAATGGATGCACCTATTTTGCATATTTACATTTTGAATCTAAAGTTTCTCCATTCTGTGTTTATGAAATGAAAAATTATGAGCACGAAGATGGAGTACGACGGGTGAGACGGGTTTGGTTAGGTGGCTAATAGGCCAATGTGCTCATTTCCATAATATGAGGTTGAGCACTGGAGAAAGTTGCCAAGCCACGCTCGCCCTTATAAAGTACTAAAGTAATAAAAGGAAGCCTTTTTCCGGGCGGAGTGCATGAAATTTGTTGTTATTGTAGCACGAAAGGGTGGAAAATGATGGACATTTCCGGATCCCGTTGCTCACAGCAAGCATCTTTCACACCCATGCACACGACTCACTTGTGTACACGTGTCCTAATTTACTAATAGTAGCAGCCTGGCTAACGGCTTCATTACCTTGCGAAGGTATTCTTTGTGTTTGCTCCGACGTGAGACGATAAGGGCGACAACGATGGCAGTATAAGAATAAGTTTGGACTTTGAAATAGGTCCACTGGGAGAAAGAAGGAAATTTCTCCAACCGAGAGGGAGAGACTGGACCTGTTCCTTCAGCTTGGATCAATAACCCATGTGCCCAGCAGCAGCCGCAGCACTGGAGGAATTCTTGAGATTACATAGTCAACTTGTTCCTAAGTAAACCACAATTCGCATGAGAAGAAGCTGTTACTCCTCCGGAGAAAGTCAGTCGGACTTGTTTCCTCTCAAGTTGTGGTGGAGTACGTACGTACGTAGCGGCAGAGGAGAAATGCTGGATTTTATCCGACCGTGCTGTTAACTTGCTAATTGGACTCTGCTGGAGAGAAGAGTTTATCCACCCCGATTACCATTTGTCCTCAGCACAAGGTCAAGACAGGCCGCCTTGGTTGGAGACAAAGTCAACTCGGATATAATCATCGCAGAGAAAGTCCAACCGTAGTTGTGCCTCACATTTAGGACGGTCGCCATCATCACATCCGGTCAGCAAAGAGTAGCAGCTGCCACTTGCTCCTCTCGAGGTCGTTCGATTCATTGAAGAGTAATCAAAAATCAAGGTGAGCTGCATTTCTTTATTCCCCTGATCGTCTCATCTTTCTCAATGTCAGGTTGAAGCATAAAAGGCACACGGACCGTTATATGTGCATAGTTGATTACGTAGTCACACAGGAGCTGGTTGTTGTGGACGGATGTGAGTCATACATATGCATAATGTTATCTTGTGCCATAGCGAGGTTTGGACATTACCAGTTTTGTGCGAGTGTTTATTTTGACAAGATCAAGTTCGAGACAGCTTGTTGGACGTGAGTGAGGAGGAGGAGGAGGGCTGTTCGGAACATGGGCAAGAACGAACGACCCTGAGAGCAAAGGCCATTACAAGATTTTTACACTCACTCGAATTTGTTTATTATTCCGACAGCAAATAAGGCAATATAGAAAAGCGGAGATGGACGAGTTATTATTTAGCTGTTGAGAGGCGGAGGAGGTTGCGAGAGACGCTGAGAGAGAGAGAGAGGACGACCTCATCATACTTACTTATGTACGTACGAACGTGGAGTTAGTTAGTGCAGCAGCTTCAATCAATCGGCTAAAAATACTCTGAGAACCATAAACAATTAAATCCGGTTTACGATACAATGCCATTCAGTTGTAGAATTTAAGAGATTGAGTCAAATTGAGTGCGATGCGAGAGACAAAAAGAGTTGTTCTCGGAACTCTGTAAATTCATTTGACTTTCTCATCGCCGTGACAAGTGCTGTTCCCCAAGAAGACGTTTACACTGTTCACAGTCATTTTTTGGACTCGCAGGCCTCACGTGGGAAAAAGATGCCACTGGAAACATTTGAAATTCATCTGGACAATCCGCACCGGTCATATTTTGCGGGGCAGAATGTGTCCGGCCAAGTGGTCATTGGACTCACAGAGAGATCCAAACTCATTCACGGTAACTTAATATTTTCTCAATCTCAACTGTTCACGTCTTGCATGCATAACGTAATCAACGCTTATTTCCTGCGTGCGTGAGTGAACGACAATCAGGTTAATGGACAATTATTACTCATTTCCTGAGCAGGAATAAAGCTGAAACTGCAAGGAAAAGCAAAGACGCATTGGAAGGAGACGAGTGGGAGATCCACCACTCACTTTGCGGAGGAAGAAGTTTACATTGACGAGAAAGTTTACCTGGTCGGATATGGTAAGCTCAATACCAGTTACTTTACAAATATGTACGTTACGTAAATTTTATAGCATGAGAACAATAAGCATGCATTTTCACAAGACGGATGGTTTCATGGTTTCTTGTATGGTTACGGTAACAATTGGGAGAAAGTCTGTATCCTAAAATCCAACGCATAAATCGTGGCGAACGATGTAAGTACTGAATTGACAACTAAAGATAGACTGTAATTGATGGTGGCAGAGACGGACAGCTCGGAGATGACTTTGGAGACGGGGAATTACAAGTATCAGTTCAACTTTCTCCTCCCGGATTCTCTCCCCTCTAGCTATTGCCACAAGTACGGCGAGGTCAAATATTTTGTGGAAGCCACAATCTCTCGGAATCGGAAGCCCAACTATGTCTCCAAAGTTGCTTTCACGGTCAATGGCATACTCGACCTCAACAAGGAATCCGAAGCGGCTCGAGAGGGAGAAATGTCGAATGAGAAGGTCAGACTTGTATCTACTTATCGAACGATTGATGATTATGATTATTACCAAGGTGGTACTAATATTACTTGGTTGGCGACATTTGGTTGGATGAGCAGGTCGTGTGTTGTTTCTGCTGTGCGAGTGGTCCGCTCGGATTTCACTTCAAACTGCCGAAAAAAGGATTCGTCCCCGGTGAGAGAATAGGGTTTCAGATCCATATGTTTAACCATTCCAGTCGGCACATAACCTGCACTGCGGTGGCCCTTATACAGGTAGCTAGGAATTAGGAATGTGCATTACGTATGTACTGTCTGTTCGTAGAGTGTGCTGACTGACAATCATTTATCGAAATGTAGGAGCTAAAGTTCACGGCAGATTTGGAACGTACAAAGACCAAGTCAGTACAAATGGCGCAAGTGGAAGGACCCAAGTTGTCCTCTGGCGACAGCACAGATTGGATTGTAACCTCTGACGTGTCCATGTTGAAAGTACCGTCCGTTCCACCATCCCGTCTCGATGGCTGTAAAATCATTGACATTGGATATCACATCAAGGTCAGTGGGCAACTATTTATGCCTTTAACGCGTCACAATATAACGTACACGGTTGATATATGCATCTACATACATACCATATTGTGTAAACTAAATGTGTGTGTGTACTTTGTAGTTTAAGATGGAAGCCAAGGACTCTGCGACGTTGAAAGAGTGCTTGCCCATCGTTATCGGGACAATACCGCTGAGGGATGACTTTAATCAAATTGATGGAGTGCAAAGAATTCCGATCATCAGTCAGCCAACTTCTACGCCAGCATCGGACGCATTCTTCCTCGCCTCTTACGCCGACCTTCGTAAGACATTTTTTGTCCCTGCACTTTCGAATATAAATAAAAAATGCAAGGAAAAAGAGTAACTTCCGAGTACACGCCGCCAATTAATTCCTGTTTCAACTCTCTTTACAGCTCCCCCAACGTATGAGGAGGCAATAAACGGCACGAAAGCTGAAGATGCAGAAAGCAGTTGCTCGGATCCGCCAGATTATGGCTCCGTTGATTGGAAGTCTTTTATTCCTCGCTACGTCAGCTACAGATTTTCTGCTAAATAGCTTTCTAATCTGGCCATTGTTGTTATCTAAATAGTTGTTGCGAGTTTTTTGTATGCCATGTTCAACTAATTATTATTAAACTAATTAATTATACTGTTGAGAACCATATACATTAATTGTTGAATTATTGATTGTAGTAAAGTAGAACATTTGAAGGAAGCTAAGAGAAAGATTTGGAGTCTGGGAAATTGAATCTGTTTTCGATACTCAGCAGTGGAGCCCAACCTACAAAACTTTGTTCATGGTCATGACAAAAATGGTAAAAATAGACGCATGACAAATATACATGTGCTTGTATATTTATTGTGTACTTATTGCTGAAAGAAGTTGTATTATGGTTTGTCGGCATATGTTGTTTCATTTAGTTATGCATTATCAACGTGCTAAAATTTTTCATCTGCAAAGTATCGCTATTTTAACGAAAATTTTCAACCTGATAACACTCTGAAATGGAACTTGGTACATTTGTGTATATACTTAACCCGGAATTTCTATTTCTTTCACCACTTGTAAAGTTCATGTGCATGTTACTGCTCATTGGATACGGTATATCATATTCCAGCATTTTATATTGAGTTAGGGATGTTATTATCTTCCTATGTGTTTTCCCAACGATTTCAATTCAGGTAATTACACATTTTATCAGACAAATTGAACAAACTGGGTTTTTTGAGCACATGCGGAAGACCGTTTTGCTCATTATCATCCCTGGTTTTCATTCTACTCTCTGTGACGAAGAGTGACGATGATGATGCATAAGCCTGGTGGTTCATTCGTTTGTGGAATACATGCAATCTTTGTTGCGGGACACATATCATCATCATCATCATCAAGCCGATGATTTTTTGCACGTGGCAGAGGAGTGCATATCTTCGAGCATTGCCCGGCGTGGTTGGCAACAAAATCATTGCAGCAATGTGACGTAACCGGGCGACATGTTTTACTTGCCTTTATTTGAACCACGAAGAATGAGTCTCGTTATCTGCCTCGCTTCGTCTTGCCAAAATTTATACCAAGCACATCTTAAAATAATGTATTTTTGCATTTGTGTGTACACTCAGACGTACATATATTTATATTTGCACGCGAAGAAACTATTACCAGACGGGGCTTATTATCTGAAGCTGATAAAGAATTTCATTTAGTCGCTTCTTGTGACCAAGGGTTGTGGTGAACACTATAAAAAGCTCAAATACCCTGCCGAGTCCCTATACCGAGCACCTCCTCATTTTGCAGACGAAGGTTGTGTGAGGACTTGAAGGGTTTGCTCAAGTAGCTTAAACCATCATGTTACAGTGAGTTCCAGTGCCTGGGATTCTCTTATTTCTGTATAATTTACCTAGAATTTGTCTATCAATAAGTAGCCTTGAACTCCTTCATCAACTCTGCCACCCTAAAGTACCGAGGTCCTTCTTACCTCTGGACAAGTCCATTTGTACATATAATACATTTTCTCGTGAGGAGAGACAGAGGAACGAACCTATAGTTTAAAGTCCTGCATGCAGCATTAGTCAGTCACTGATACCGTGTATCATGCTTTAATATTTCGACATTGATTTGCTGAGCAGCTGAATATTACATGTATATTAAGCAGTATTGAGCATTTATCATGGACAGGTTTTTCCTCACTTGAATTGAACTGAAGTTATTAAATATGTATCAACCTCTCTCAACCTGATGCAGCGAATTCTCAGTCTCAAAATCCTCGCAGAGATTACAGCATCGTCTCAATAATCATAGCTGCTGCATGTTGTAGTCTGCTGCGGTTTTTCATTCATTCATTCTGCAAATGAAAACCGGTCGGGTCCACTCCACGATAATTATTTATTGTTGCACGTCTTCGCCACTCATCCACCACACGCAAAAATTGCAGTCAGACTCCGGGGCAGCAGCAATTTTTTTTTTCATGTCACCTTCTTCTTGAGCATTGGCTGCCAGTGAATCAGTGAACTTGGACGAGTGATCGAGTGAAGACAATATTATTTATTTATTTATTGAGGTGGTGGTTGGTAGGCGGTGTAGAAATGGTACTGTCTAAAAGTCAATTTTTCTGCCTGGGCCTCGTGGCAGTTGCCTATTACTATAAAATCACATTCAGTCAGAATGTGGAGGACGGTCCAGTGGTGACCACCAGCCTCGGAAAGGTCAAAGGTGCCACGCTCTACTCCAGAGGAGGTCGCAAGTTTCACGGTTTCATGAAACTTCCATTCGCCCAACCACCAACTGGAAATCGGAGATTTGAGGTATTGTCATGCACATTTTGATTACGTATAGAAATGTCTACACATGGCAATGCATTTGGTCGTTTCAGCCTCCAGAGCCGGCAGAGAGATGGGAGGGAATTCGAGACGGTCGCGAGTTTGGTCCTCGCTGTCTGCAACTCGACTCTTTCATGGGGGTTATCCAGGGCGAAGAAGACTGTCTGACCATCAACGTGTTCAGCCCAGTTGTGGAGGTGAGAAAAACTGGTCTTTAGATCCCCCGATATTTGGTTTTCCCAATAATTAATTGATTTGTATTCTATCATTCCTTCCTTACGTCACGTCAGGCAAGAGCGATTTCAAAGCCATTGCCCGTGATTGTTTATTTCCACGGTGGATTTTTCCACAACGGGGGAGCTGATTTTTGGAAAGCCAACTACTTTATGGATGAAGACGTCATATTTGTGACTCTCAACTTTAGGTAAACTAAAGTGTTTTTATATGGTTCATTCTCTGAGAGGATAGATGCTGAACAAAATGTGATTCACCAACCAGACTGGCAGACGCTATAATACTTTTTATCTTGGTTGTTGCAGATTGGCTGCCCTTGGTGAGCGTTATCCTGACTCTTTTGTGGTACTATTGTGCAAAGTCTGCAGGCTGGAATGCCGTTTATTTATAATAATGTCCCATATAGTTTGCATATTCATATAGTTACATGCGTAGTGCGAGAGATTAATGTTTTCCTGTATGCTGAAACAGTATTCAACTGTTAATTGGGTTATAAAAGAAAAGTCTCTTATTATTACGACCATAATATAAGTATTCACCACGATATATTTCTAGCCAACCTTTTCCTTACATGCGGATCCACACAAATATATTGAAACTATGGGCAGATTGTATTCAACATTATTGATGGATGTCTTTATATTGGTTGGTACAGGATTTCTTAATACGGGTGATAGCGCGATACGTGGCAACATGGGACTGAAAGATCAAACAATGGGGCTGAGATGGGTGCAAGAAAATATAGGATATTTCGGTGGTGATCCTAACAAGGTGACCCTCTTGGGAGAGGTAATAGTTAGGATAAGACGTGTTGATTATAATGTAGGTAATTATGCATATCTTGATATTGATATGAAATGGTCTGCAGAGCGCTGGCGCCGTTTGTTCACATCTCCACATGTTTTCCTCAATGTCGAAAGGTGTGTAAGATGACTCCATGAAATTGAATATCCCTTTGTCCGAAATTGCAGAAATACAGAAACTTATTCTCTCTCTTCCTGATTCTATGTAGGCTTGTTTAACAACATAATCTCACAATCTGGGTCGGCTTTGCACTTTTGGGCGATTTTAGAAGAGCCGAAACGTCAAGCAGAGAGATTTGCAAGTTCTGTGGGATGCCCATTCAATGACACGGCTGAAATTAAATCCTGCCTTAAAAAACTTGATCCCATCCAACTAATTGAAGGGCATCGTGAAATGATGGTAGAAAGTATTACATTTTATTTTGGGGTAAGCTTGAAACAGTATTATGCGTCATCTTACAGGACCCTCTACGCGAATCTATTGCCATTTTCAAGCCTTCCGTAGAAGTAGATATTCGAGATGGAAATACATTTTTGGCCGAAAAACCAACCGAGATGGCGAAACGAGGGGACTTTACAAAAGTTCCATGGGTCACGGGCGTAAATTCTGAAGAAGGCCTCGTGTTTTCTGCAGGTATGAAAGTGTTTGTGCACAGCTTTTGTCGCATACGATAGTTGAATTTACATGGTGCAAGAGGTTGTTAAATGCTTATGTAATATTGGAGTGCATTATTTGTTTTGGTCAGCAATGCTTGTAAACAAAACTATGCAAACGGTTGCTCAAGAGGACTGGGGATTCTTTCTGGACAGGACAATCTGGTTTCCCTCTGAGGAAGAAACGGCAGAGAAAGTACGACACTTTTACTTTGGAGATGATGATAGCTCTCTCGTCCCAGCAAATGTATCGTCCAACACGGATCTGATAACGAAAATTAACATGAATCCATTGGAACGATTAGACAGTTACACCAATATGATTTCTGATCGTGGATTTTTCTACGACGCTCATCACGGTGCTTCGATGCAATCAATACACTCACCCGTATACTTGTACTACTACAGGTTATTCTTTTGTTCTACCATATTAGTCAGAGATATAAATTGGTCTCTAAACAGTCAATCTTTTTTTATCCAGTTATCGTGGAAAGTGGAGCGTGGTTAACTTTTTCCCAGAAATTAGTGGAACTTTTAATCGCCAATTGGAAGTGACATGGTCCCTCTTGACCACGTGGGTTGCTGCCAACGTCTTTGGTAGGCAGTTACCCAATTATGGTATGTAAACTTTTTTACTTTCGTAGAAAACAAACACCGTGACAAACGTAGAATAGAACCCATACGTACGTACACGCTAAACTAAACTGTTGTTCAAATTATGTCATGTCGCAGGTGCATCGCATTCTGACGAGCTTTCCCTGCTATTCTACATGCCATGGGTTTCTGAAATATATGCGGAATCTCAAGATTATGACATGTCCCTTGACCTAGTAAAATTATGGGCAGATTTTGCAGATAACGAGTGAGTTTGTATATTTATTTAAATATTTAGCTCACATTTGTTATATGTATAATATAAATTAGGGATATAAGTAGTTTAATTAATTAATTAATTTTGCAGTTCTCATCTCAAGTTTCGAAATGTAGAGTGGCCAGTTGTGAATGCGTCCCATAAAGAGGTGCCGCTGCAGTACATGAAGATTGACTCTGACCCCATGGTCATCGATGAACCCTTCACTCACAGGATTCAATTTTGGAGTTCGTTACTGGATTAACGAAGGCGTTAATTAGCTTAAAACAAATTATATATAGAAACTCAATTGTAATAACTCAAACTGTTGTGATCCAACAAAATTGTGTGTATATATTTATGTATGTGTGTTCGAGTCTACGAGACATAGTATAGAAATATTGCGCTACTATCATTGACTTGACCAGTATTATCAATAGAGATTTGTTTATTATTATTATTAAGATCATCATCATATCCTGTTCGGCAAAAAAAGACTGACTGTTTAGAGACCAATTTATATCTCTGACTAATATGGTAGAACAAAAGAAAAACCTGATTAAGTGATAACACAAGTTGAACCAAAGATGGAACGGCGATTAAAAGTGATTTTTGTTTCGGAATCACTGACATCAGATATTGTACGTCTCAGATGTTTAAATCTGCTCCGTATTTTAAAGAAGTCTTGAGAACTTAGCCCTGTAGGCAGGTACCTTGGGTGCGGGAAGAACTCGACATTTTTGGCCAGTTCGCTGTCGAGGAGGGCGTGGTAGCCGAACTTTGTTACCTGAAACAAATTACTAATTATGAAATGATTGCGATAATCAGTTTTAACACTTATTTCGTTTTGTACGATTATTTAATTTATGGTAAAATAAAAATTGATGAGCTGAATAATTACGTGAATATTTGGACAATCGATGCAAAAACTGAGTACTCGCATATGCCGGAATACTTTAATAAAGCTGTAGTCGCTGATAAAGTGATCGTCTGGGGCTTTTGAGAATTTGTGAAGTTTTGATTCATTGCAGTGTCTGCATTCACAGTAAATATTATAATTATTAAGTTGCTGTTAGTGTATTTTACCAGGAAGGAAGGATTGCAAATAACAATTTGTCACTAACCCAGCATCATGAAACATTCCAAATGAAAATATACATTTTGTTAAGATTCTGAATCTTTTTAAATCTGCAGTGATTAAATAAATTATTGGTTATATAATACATATACAAACCATGATAAATTTGTGACGCTACTATAGTTGGCAATGAAACCATGATAGAACCTTTTAGAGTTAGTAATAGCGGTACTGCTGCTTCTGTAGAGCTAATACAGATTCCCACGTCGGAAATTCCTCCCCACTCATCCTCCACGTCAAATTCTTGTAGTTTTACCAGGTTTTCAAAAATACTTTTCAAATCGGTGTCCACAAGTCTGAAAAATGTTTTGAACTTGAGACAAGTTAAATTCTTGCAATTTGAAGCTATGGAAGAGACTGATATGAACAAAGGCCTGCTGTTGCGTTCACTGGTCAATGTCAACTTCTTTAAAGATTCACGTTCACATAATAGCAATTGCTGTATATTATCTATAGCCTTTTGAACGAATCTCTGACGCAGAAGATTTTGTCCCATTTCTTCAAAATATTCCTTCGAGTTATCAAAAATGTACAACCAGAGTTCTTCCATGCATGGGAACACGGGCTCGGCAGGATGACTTATCTCCATTGTTATATCACATTTGATGAGGTCCAGACGCACCTTCCGTACATTTTTAAGGTTTGGCAAGATACTTCGACTTCCAACTAAGCTATTATTAATGGAGCCCACCACTCTGAGTAGATTTACGTCATAGTCAAGCATTACTAATTTGTTTATCAGACTAAAGTTGACATTTTCTAAAATAGTTTTCGTCTTGTTGCAAATCTTTATTAGCTCAGGGAATAGCTCGAAACTAGATTCTCCAAAATTTGTAATTTCTAATGACTGTAAGTTGCTGACATGCATGGATGATTTGTCATGGGCTCTTCTTCCAATGTACTTGATTATCGGTCCAATCACGAATCCGTAGACAATCGACAAGTGGACATTCTCATCAATCTCCAAGCCATTCTTTTCAACAACTGATGGTACATTCAAGGTTTTGACATTTTTCAAACATTTTAACAAAATTCCAAAAGTTTCCAGTTCCAAACCAGCAGAATGGCGTATTTGAATACAACAAAGTTCAAAATGTTTAAGATTTTCTAGTACCAAGCTCAATCCATTGAATTCCTCAGAGTTTTCCTCTAAGGCTTTTGTTGTCGTTGTTAGGTCAAGATTTTCAATGCATAAGGCTTCCAAAGATGTGCATCTACTAATAAATTGAAGCTGCAATAAATTGGACGATGCACATAGAGTTTGTAGTGTGAGGAACTTCAAGGACGAAGGAATTAGGCGAAGATAGATGGGTTTGATATAGTCCCAAGTAGATAAGTTGAAGCGGGTGTGGGAAATTGGCGGTAGTGGTCTCGGTGATGGAAAGTCGTCGTCGTGGTCCCAGTCTGGAAAGCTGTCGTAAAGCCCAAGGAACTGGGGACTTTCCACCCAAGATTTGGTAGTGTGGCAAACTAACCGTAGTTTAAAACGGTCGTACCGGTCCAGAAATGATAACAGCTTCTTTACAACCTATAGGCATGCAAGTAGAATTGTGATTTGTTGCGATTGTGGATAGCAGTGCTATAATAATAATAACTTATTATTTTACCAAATCCGGAAGTTGAGTTATACTCGCCATGACCAACCATTTACTCAGACAGGTATAATTCGAAATCACTTATTATGGTCGAACAAAATAGATTATGCAAAGCGTGTAACTGATCAAAACTGATTTGATCATCGTCGTGTGTGTTGTAAAAAAATGTGCCTGCCATGTGAGATGCGTCTATTTTACGACTACTCTACCGCTCGTACTTTGCAAATTGAGAGAAGAAAATGGGCAAATGCAAGACTCGCACTCGTCATCACAATCGTAGAAGTACGTTTTTAATATTCTGAATAAATCAAAACTGAGACATAATTCGCATAAATAACACAAATACAAGACATCCGTTTAAAATACTTTTTCTGGTTGGAAATGTTCAGCCTGATTTGCTAGTCGCACCAAAGCCCTTTTGAACAGGTCGAGTGCCACTTGAGCGAGGGCGTAACAGGGCGAAAAGTTACTGCTAAAGTAGGTCAGGCAAGGTCTCAAAATTTCAATTGCAGTCACAAAGTCTTGCTTTTTGAGCTGTTCGTCCCCTTCGTATAGTCTCCGCTCGTAGTCGTCAATTTTTGATACTTGTTCCAAATGATGCCTCACACAGGTCTCGCAAGGAAGTTTCATCTCCTTACGACGACCACCACTGCCATCCTGACCACGCCAATTAGTAACGTTGTCCACATCTACTCCTGAGCCCCGACATTCGGAGCAGTGAGATTTCAACTCGACTGCTGATTCTAGCTCATCCGGTGATTTGAAACTCTTGGGTGACCAGTTGTTCGTACATGCGATGCAGTTGCAAAGAAAGTTGTAATTTTCTCGAAGCAAATTCCTCCGCTCCGTCGTCTTCATGTGGGCAAAAAGTGGTTTGTACGTGATGCAGATTTCGTCCCAAGGCTCCAAAGTCTTGAGTGTGACGAGGGCAGTTTCCAGCATGTGAAACTTTTTAATCGGAGCCGCATTCGGATGACAGGAGTGGTTGCAGAGAGAAATTAATGGGTTCACCGCAGTGGCGAAAGCAACCGACCTTTCCCCTTCCTTGTCCAGTTTACTTATGGAGATCGCGTTGTACCTGATATTCCACAAGTGTCGGAGTAACAGAGACGATGTAAAATTCTCAAATTCCTCACCCGTCATGTTTTGATCGCCTTGATCGACAAAAAAGTTGGACGTTTCTTTCAGCAGTCGAGTAAGAAACATGGCTTTAAAGACTTCGTCGACTTTTTCCTTGAGAGCGGTTTGCATCCCGTGCGATATCAAGTGGTACATTGGACGGTATGAAGAACAGTTATAAATACTATGAATGTTGTCACTCCCTTCAGAATCAAATCCAGCAATTTCAGTTGGCCCATGTGCAAAAACTTTGCCAGTTTTTTGGTATTCGGCAAACAATTCTCTTATCCCGTTTGGCCCCACGACTCCCAAGAGTCTGAGAGCTTGTAGTTCCCTGTGACCATAAATTGCTGGAGGTACAGCGTTGGCTAATGTTTGCAAGTAAGACAAGTAGTTGTGCTCATATTTGTGGCTCCCTTCACAAGAATTTCGCTTGCAGTTCTCATCGCAGTAAATTGTCTGGAAGAACCAGCAGTATCATATCATATGTACTCAGTTGGCATCATCATCATCATCCAATTGTGGGGTGGGTGTAGTGTTTGTGAGATCATGCAACTTACAAATGTGCAAAGTTCGCAAGGTATGCCAGCGAGGAGAGGTTTGGAACACCAGTGGCAATGCTCGTGATCCCATGTGAGCAAATTATTGATGACAGAGACGAACGGCTTATCAATCAAAATCAGAGTTCCTGTTGGACCATAAATCAGAAAGGTTTCAGTTCATGAATCAACTTTTAATTAGTGAGCATTTCAGCTAAACGTGTATGTCAAATGTCAGGCAGAAATGCGGGAGGGGATTAATCAACCACGCGCATCAAACCTGCGGGGACGGTCTCCGTTGCGACTAAGCGTCTGCCTCGATTCTCCTTATAATCAATTTCCACCCATTTTTCAGCATTTGGAATCCTAGGATTTGGACTCTTTAGTTTGAAAAAAGTTTCATTAAAGTATTGCTTCGCCCTCAAACCATCTTCAACCGCTGTTGTTGAGCAGGTTGTGTCAATTTTGGTTTGGCACTTGAGTCGTCTTTGTTCCAATTTATCCCTGAGATTGGCTGGGAAATTATTGTTCACTGCGTGTTGAATGTCGCTCAATGCAGCGCTGAATTTGTTGAGCTGCACCAAGAGTGCGGATCTATTTGCAAAGGTCAGTCCAATTTCTGTGCTTCCCACTGGAGCAAACGCCAAAGCCAAATTGTATCCCCGCATAGCCCCACGCAAGTCGCCACATTTGTAAGCAGCGTTTGCTTTTTCTCTCAGTTTGGTGGACACTGATGCAGACTTCTTGAACTCTTAACCATCAAAATAAAAAAATTGGTTAGGTTAGGTTTCTCGGAAGTTAAACATTTATAAAATGCTTTATAGTTTACTCATCAACCAAAATAAAGCGGAACTCACTGTCGATATCGGACTGAGGAACGGGGGTCCACTTGAAATTTGGGCGAAGTAAAGAAATGAGTTCATGCTCATTAGTACAAGCTTCAATTTGTGCTTTATAAATTATTTCTCCAGTCGACTTAATGTTCAGCTTATCCCGGAACAATTTCAACAAGTTATGAAAGTGTAACGGGTCGCCTTCAGTGTCGCCCAGCAGATTTAGTGGTTGCGTACTTGTACCTCCACTCCAAATTGTGTCCAGCAGTAAATCAGCCATGCTCATTTTTAAAAAGGAAATCAGGTCAGATATGTTTGCGTTTGAAAATTTGTGTAAACGAAACTGCCACCAACTGCTCGAACTTCTCGTGCTCGGAAACTACACCAACTTTCACACAATGCTCAACTAAATGTTAAAAATGTCAGTTGAGAAAATAGTCTGCTTATTTTTAGACTCGGTCTCTCTGCATGGAATCAGCGCACATGAACAAAGTCATGTTGTCTTCCGTTTACTTTTTACATCATCATAATTCATAACGTTATTTAGTACGGGGCTACCGGATGCTATGAAAAAGGGGACAAGCTCGAAGCCTAAAGATATGGGACGAAGCTAATAATATCTGTAATATGAAATAGGGTTTCCTATTCGTAATTACTGCTTACTCGTTGCAGGACACTTTAAGAACAAGTTTGAATTTGTGAGCATACTCATCGGGTGTAGTTTATCAAAATATGTATATGACGCTAAAATACGTCACATGTACATCCACACAATTATCCCTTAACCTTCTTTGACGTTACAATACATACTTAACAATGGTTATACAATGCGTATGCGTTATTTTGATGGTCCAAGTCTCGAAAACAGGGAGGAAGAGAGACCTTGAGACATTCCTTCCTTGAATGGGATTGTGGGAGGGTGTTGAAGCCGAAAGCGTGGATTTCCTTCTTGGATGTTTTTTTACGACCATTCTTGAAACTTGAGACGAGTACAACTGGTTTCATGCAGGGCGAGGGTAGAAGAGCCAGAGTGTACGTGCATCAAGTCCGTATAAAGTCTCACGTAGTTCAAGAGAGGCGAACATTCCGAGAGATGCGATCCTTTTATGACTCAGAGTAGTGGTGCACTTCAAAGTCCTCATCACCCCTTCCTCCCAGTCGCACTTTCCTCTTCAACTCCTTCAAAACGCTCTCTCTTGCTCCTCGTGGATTCCAAGAACGCAATCAGTCCGATCGGTCCATACGCATCAAGAGTGATTCGGCTGCACAAGAATGTCCAGCCAATAGAATAATGGACAATGTGCTATTTCAGTCTCGTGCCTGATTATCACCCCAGAACATGAAATTAATTGTCACAATTTACCCTTTCGTGCTACAAGACACAAATTTCAAGTGTACGTATATTCAGGTTCAGGACTGAGTACCTGTACGTAGAAACTCATAGATAATATAGTGAATACTCCTGAATTTGCATTTCCATGAAATCATTTTTAAAAACGACTTTGCTTTGGTTGGCAGGTGAAGTTGACTTTTGTGTCTAATTGTAAATGTGCACACTTCAATTGCATAACTTCATGGACTCAGCATGATGAGCTCTGGGAGTGAGGAATAACTTTTTTGCTGGTAAACAAAACATTAGCATAGAAAAGTCTCCATGCTGTTTTCTGTTCAAATGAAAACAGATTTGTTGGGACGCGGAGAAGCAGGAAGAACTTGCTGACACACACGCTGCACGAAGAGGAAAGAAAGAAATGCTACCCATGCAACAAAGTTTGTTCATGGTCATGTAGTAAAAGAATTTAAGTGTCCTCCTCCCTCGTCCTATTCTTTCGCAGTGTTTGCTAATTTTAAAGTGTTTACGTTTGCCGTTTACATTCGCAGCCAAGCCAAGGCTGGCTGAAGATGAAAAGCGTTTCCAAATACAAGTGTTTGCATTCCATTTACGAACAGGAACGGAAGTTTACAGCCTTTATGCGTTACAAGAAAGTGAAATGAGCTGCTGTCCCGCTCGGAAACCAAGTCGTTTTGCGGTGCACGACAACAATGTGGCGATAAGAGGAGTTCTTCATCAGTTTCAAGACGAGTTCCTGCCCAAAAATTCCAAGTCAAAGTCTGTCGAAGAATACAGGCGTAAAAATTAAGAGCATTAAGAGCATGAAACATGTGCGAGAGAGAGAGACCTTTAAATGCCAATCTGTTGGTGTAAATTCAACTGTGTCCGTTCGCATGATGTGCAACCTAAGTGATAATTTATCACTGATAAAGCATCAAACGTGTGGTATGGAAAAATAAGAAGAAGCGTCGTGCCTTCTCGCAAGAGAGCAACAACGGTGAGCACCAGCAGCTTTGTTAAATCACCCGTGAATCTTAATAATCCACTCTGTTCCATTCCAAAACAAGAATTAAGTCGGCTTAGGCTCACATTATTATTAACTCTGCTGGTTTGTGTGCTCACATTATTAACGGAGTGGCGCTTTGTATTCCTTCTGCGAAATTATGTATGCAGGCTCGTCTGCCAAAAAGTGCGGAAGGAAGTTGGGAAGCAAGTCTTCTTCTTCTGGAGAACATGAGGCAATCTGTCTTCACATTTTATTGAGCTCTCTTCTCGGGAAACCAAAACCCAAACTTTGTCAAAGTCACTTTTTGTTGTTTCTTCCTCCAATTTGCACAAATCTGGCTGGTTGTTGGTGGTCTCGAGTTATTGCCACATCTCTACGGGTACAAATAAGTATTTGCACTTGATGGGTTTTCCAGATCGTGAGAGCCATGCAGCTTTAATTGCCACCCAGCACAACGGATTTTCTAAACTTACATTTTTGGTCGTTTTTTGAGAAATGTCAGAGAAGGAGGTCCACATGGAAGGAAGATTTGGTGGGATGCAGAGATCCGCACTTGTTATTTTCATTGACTGGCTTTGCAATAATTGACATGCAGACTATATGCACTTCCGTGACTGAAATAACATTCTCGAACTGCAGATGGATTCACGCTGCTGATGCCGTTAACAATTATTTGCATTATTTTGGCACCACACCATCTCTCCGCATTTCATTAGCGACAATTGGTAATGCTAACGACTTTACTAACGACTAACTTTGCGAGGCTGTGTGGTTGTGAGAGATAGGCAACAACAGTCTCATGCTAATGTTACAACCACCAAATGAGCTCTCAATGCTCATTTGTCAGTGATTGATTGAAACACGCTTTCAAGAAGAGACCCAAATGTTTGTAATCACTCACGCATTGCACTGAAATGTACAGTTTTTTGGTAAATCCACTTGAAAAATGCATTTGCATCGCATCTCTCATTAATTTACTAATACGATTTTTGAAACTGAACTGAATTTTAGAACACATGCAGCTCTTTCAGTTTCTTTCAACGGTGAGAAAGCAATGGAAATGAAGAATAGGCTATACTCGCATCGATGGAAGGCAAATAATAATGAATATCAAGGTTGTCATCTAATTTCTATCCAATTTAATCTCGCAAAGTGCATAACAAATGATTCTATAGAGAGCTTGCCAACAACTCCATATTTACCGTGTGTGTACGTACGTATCTATTCTGCAGTAGGTTAGGCAGAGATCCCAACTATGGACGGAGTGAGACGAAGCACGATGGAGAGAGAAGAAAGGGAGACTCAATCTCAGTCGCTCTCTGAATCTCATTTCGTTCACTCCTAGTTTCGCATCTTCTTTGTCGCCTCCACTTTTTTAGCTGCTTCTCCACCCAAGTTGCACCCACCTCATAGCAATTCTCCCACAACAATTGTGTGGAAGCACGATATAATTCCTACCAAGTGAAATTCAGTGGAGTATTCTTTACACACTTTTTTTACCGAGACGCTCTTGGATTAAGGCTGGAGCAGAGAGAGAGGTGAGCAAATTGAGTTATTGCACATTGTTTTGAGCAGCAGGGGAGTTGATCTCATTGCTCAGTAGGAGTCCAATTAAACAAATCTCGTTCATTACTCCGTGGTCACTGCGGGCATTGCTCAAATGAAATTAGGCCAGGTGTGAAATTAAATTTTAATCTGCCATCAGAGGCAGCTGGAGATCACTATACACAAAAAATTACAGGGTGTGCTAGGCGGAGGGGAAATAGTTAAGTTGGATGAATATATTTGGTGAGGGAGTAAAAGTGCGAAACATAATAATAATTCGTCTACAAAAAAGAGAGTTCACATTCAGAGATTGCATGGAAAATTGATGAGCATGCAGCATTGGCGCAGTCCAATTATCCAGTTCATCGTCATCTTCTCCCATTATCCAAGTTGTGAACATATTTACGGCGACAAATAGGGGAACGGCAGAAATTGAGACAGGGCGCATTTGCATCTGAACCGTGAGATAATGTATTTAATATAGAAATCAGTTCAGGGAAATTCAGTTGGGGAGAACTAACTGAAGAAATTCTGATCCATACATAAGACAGAAAGATAGAGAAAAAGAGAGGTCAAATAAACACAACATTCGTGCTCGTGATTTGTATTTTCATTTCAATTTATGCCGGACCTTGCATGAGAGGAGATTTTTATCGGTTGACAATTGACAAGTGTGTTGATTTTCCAACAACATTTTCCTCCCACGACTAAATTATTAATCAAAAATTCAGTCACAACTCGACCTGACAGTAAAATGATCCTCGTTGTCCTCACATACATACATATTTATTTAAATGCATCTCTTATGGAAATACATAGAAATCCGTTAAAAATGGTTGACATGAGGTATATCTGTTTCTCGTCATCATCATATTCATCGTCGTGAGCCCAAACCACACGTGGTAAGAAAATCACTGAAACAAAGAGGCTTTGGCAATTCAATCATTTTACAAGTGATCGGAGCACATAAATTGCGGCTCCATGTTGGATCCTATCGCAGTGGTTCATCAGCAGAAAACAAGCAAAGCAAACAATTGTGAATCCCCATTGTTGTTCGAATCGTCGTCTTTTGTCTCTATTTAGCAGTTGTTTTTAAGGTAATGGGCCGTATCCATCTCCCCATCTTCGAAACTCCTCACTTCCTCAGGGAAGAGACTTGAAGAGAGGCATCCATTTTGGCCACAATCCATTATTTGACCTGATCAAGCCATGAATCTCACTGCTCGCGTGAGATTCGGCATGTCATAGACGCATCGTCGTCATGAATATTTGTCGAGCTGAAAGAAACACCTTTCTATCCATTAGCTTGGGAACGAAGGGTGTTTTCTCCATTTGGCGTCGTGGTTGTTGTTGTTGTGGATTTATTAATTGCCGCAGAGGGTACTAAACATGGTGGACGTGTGGAGAGAAGATTGGTGATGCTGGCTGTTAAATAAACCTCAGCGGAGGATTTGGTTTTACGAGGACATTAGTAGGCAAAGTTCGGGCGTTGTTTGAGATATTGTGCATGTGGTAATTAAATGAGAAGGAGTTTGAACCTTGGCCCGCATCTCCATTTCCCATGTTTATCTAGGCAGCTCGCCTCCTCCTCCTCCGCATAGTTGTTCTAGTCGTTGTCGTCGTCGTCGTCGTCTGCTCTTCTTGCATCCCATTCTCTCAAGAGAGTGCTTAGACACATGGGTCGGTCGGCGGCAGTGTCTCCACAACAGAGCAAAAGGGATCGAGTGCATCCTTAATATTATGGGGCCATGGAGAGTACAGATATGCAGAACTTACTTACAGATGAGTACGAGGAGCAGAGGGGAAAGGCTGTCAACACACAATGTTCATCACCTTGATGAAACTCCTAACATAAATATTTCATTGACTTTTAAGGAAATCACATCAGACATCAAACCTTAAATCTGGCCACGCTCCTCATCCATCTCTCTCGTCTCGTAGCGTTCAAACGATGCAATGTCAACACTGCACATCCACTCGGGTTCATTCCTCGTCGTCTCAAGCATGTGGTGTGGCCACGGAGAATTTATTTCGATTTTCCCTATATTTAAGACGCCCTCACAACATTTGCATTGATGCTGCGTGGTTCGTACAAGTCGTGTTACGGGGATTATATTGAATGACACCAGGCGAATGAGTGAAGCAGTTTGGTCAATAGATTTATTATCGCCTTCGTCTTCCCATCAGACCAAATCTCTTCGACACACTTCCATGTGCGTAGCCGGGTTGCATGTCAGGGAGCAATAATGCAATGACGGATTTCTTGATTTTCTTTTTCCAGATTTAGAATTCTGCCAGGATCCACAGACTCCTCGAGGGACAAGAACGCCGCTGCTGGAAAAGTTGTTCTTTAATGAGACCCAGCGTCAAGAAGAGAAACGGCGTCAGTGAAACTGGGGGTGGTACAAAAGTGATTGACTAAAGATTAAAGAGTCGCCATCTCCTTCGATCTGCTGATCTCTTCATCGTCTCCTATGCAGATAAAAATTAAAATTTCGTGAATAGAGGTTTTAAATATTTATTCAGTGTGTCGTGAAATAAAGCGAGCAGTGCGTCAAAACATTGAATTGTAAGTAGTTTAAGAGGTTTAAAGCATTGTTATCTTTGAGAAAGAGATAGGAGCAGGCTGTCCACTCCCTTAAAAGGACACTCACAAATACTCCACCTCAAGATTTCAGATTTCTGACTCTTCTCAAAACACAGCCAAAAAAAGACGACGCTGATTCTCACAGACCGGACGGATACTCGTCGCCCACGGTGGAATAAAACTCTTTTTACGTTTTTTTAATCTTAAAGACTTGAATGTGACAAGAAAGTGAAGTGCTTTTGATTCCTCTTGGACTGAAAACATGCCACTAGTCACCAACTGTTGCGGAATATGGGACCTCCGAGCAGGATCCCGGAATATTGCTATTGTGTCGATGGTGAGTAACAAAAGGATGCTCCAATTTTAACACGAAATTGAAAACAAGTCAAACTGATCTGTACTTTTGGTCAACGAATTGCCTGAGTCAATGAGTGAAGTCACGAGATGACGATTTATACGAGCAAAAAAGCAGATCTGCAATAGCTATATGCATGCATACGTAATCGTTCATTACTTAAAGTAGTGTGTGTGCAAAGACGAATTTAGCACGCCTTTTATGGTAGTTTCGAGTCGACTCAGGTATGTAATAAGTAGTAGTGAATTCCGGTACCAGTACTGAGAAGATTTGCAGAGTAAGGTGACCTTCAACTAGAATTGGCGAACGAGTTGAATGATTTCATCGCATTTTTGCAAATGTGGATAGATACATAAAATCATATAAATTTTCCAATGATTATCTGCAATGCATAAATATTGCAACAGGCAGTTGTAGAGTTTCAACTCTGTATAATTTCGACAGTCATCCATTCACTATTCTGAATATCATTGCAAGTTTATGTAAATTCGAGTTGAAAACAAATAATTCGCAGAAAGCTTCAACTATTAATTAAATTCAACTAGAAGGGAAAACCCAACATTTTGTCATGTTTTGCATTTCATCCTGATATTTAATTCCACATCTGCCGGTGTGACGCCCTCCAAATAAATATGTGAACGACACGGGCATAAATAACACGGTAGCAAGTATGCGCATTGTGTAATTTGATTGAGATTTACTGTGCAGATCAGAAAAGTTTGGATTACGGTGAATATAGCCAACATTTGGTCGTAAAATTTCTGGTTTATTAGAACCAAATATCCCCATCATCTCATTCCTAATAGCTCAATGTCAACTGATAATGACCAGTGCTACTTGATTTTATAGATCCGAATGTGGAGCAAACTCATAATAAGTATTTGCAGACCACAACACTTGACGTGGTACATTTCTTAGTCCACAAAAGTGCCTTTTACTTCAGGATGACAGACATTGAACAGACGTGATACGCCGAATAAAGCTTTTAGTAAAGTAGACAAAATGACGCGGGCACAAAAGCAGCTTTATTTTTTGCTAGCTCTATTAATGATTGGTTTAAAGGGCAGAGTAAACACACTCGGGTGAAATTGGTAATTCATCGTCGTCGGGTAATGAAATCCACGTTGGGTTTCAGGCCAAGGTTATGTATCCCACTACGACTACGACGACGGCCAGATTCTCAATAACAAGGAGTGATTCTCCGAGTAGTAAATGCAATGAATACGTGAATCTATACTCTCGGCGTCGTCGTCGTCGTCGTTGTTTCTCCTCCTCGTCGAGATTTCATGGATGGATGAACATGGACATGGAGTCTGTGTCCCACTTTTATACAAAGCCAAGAAAAAATGAGGCTTTCGTTGTCTCTCTCTCTGTGCGTCTCATGTTGACTTTTAGCAAGGTCACCTCCGCTCTCCGAATTTGTGCAATTTTGTGTTTCTCACTGTGTGCCAAACATATTTTCATCATAATTTACCATATGTCACTGTTCGTCACTCTGACTGACGTGACGTCCACAACCAATCCACAACTGTTGAAACATCTACTCTAATAAAGTGTTAGTATGATCCCTGGGTCCCTGGGTCCGTCTTCGCAATGCAAATTGCCCCATACAGTAGACAAAGAAGGAAGCGGAGCAACCACTGCATGCATGCACTGCACTGCATGAATAAATGAATACATGAACATGTACACCCCACATACATACATCACTCATCAATAGTGGTTATCATGATAAGTGATCGTGATAAACACTATTAATTAATTATTTTAGTTTGAGAAACTCTACCCACAGCGAGTGGCATATCAATTCGAATGTATTTTTGACGCTGAATCCAACGCCGTCAATGGTTTTGACCTGCGAGGCCCTCGTGACCTCGCCGTGACCGTGGTGTCCAAATCTGGCTTATTCGTGATGTCGCATATCAATTCGAATGTATTTTTGACGCTGAATCCGAATCCGTCAATAGCTTGGCGTTAATTGTAGAAGTTAACGGGGTTTATGGAACTTAACGGGAGCGTGAAGCGTGGGAATTTAAATAGTTAGCTATGCAGTTACTCCCACGCGACGGGAATTTAAGTAATTAGCTATTCAACTACTCCCACAGGGGGGAATCAAATTTTACTGTGACCAGGTTAATTAAAATGCAGTATGACTTGGGCAAACCCTCAGTCTGATGTATGTATGTAGTATGACAAAGTCTCCACTGGGAATTATTTAAAATATAGTATGACGGATTTTTCGCTTTGGGCACACCCCCCACTGGAACTCTAGAACCCGGCCTTGGCCGGGCTATACGCTAGTAATCTATATACTCTGACCAGTCAAAAAGACAATGCAGTGGATTCTAAATACGAGATACACAAGCATATGGACATTGTTCATCCTGTGAAATTAGAATCAAGGTTAGTTAGAATCATACCCATTCCTACCCAGGACTGCACTATGAAACTGGAATGTACTTATTTTATCTCGTTACTGCGCTAATTCCATGTTGTCTGATTAAACCCAATCAAGCCCCAATTTCTTGAATTATGCACCAAGGTTGCTGTCATTATGGTGCTGGACTAAACTCGACCTTTATATGTACATACATATATTTTTATACTTGGGTGCATTGCATAATTTGCTAGCCCATTCCCAACAGGTCGTAAATATCTTGAACCAATCTCGCCTCAAGTCGTGGCCCAGGCAGGCAGGCAGACAAGACAGCCGTTGTTTCCGAGCTGAGGAGAAGAATGAGAAAACCACAATTAGAATTTATGGCAAGGTCAATCGCACCTTTCTCATAAATTATTAATTCATGTTTCCAATGATGATGAGTGGTCAGTGTGTGTGTAATACAGAAAACGTGGGAGGGGGGATTACCCACACCTCAAAAAGCGTTTCCCTGTTGAGGATGAGCTGTACATGGGAGTTTCGAAAGAGGAAGGAAGATTGATTAGCACGTTGAGTCGATGGTAATACAGCAGATGAATAAATAAACAAACAGAAATTAATGCATTGTCACGATCTTCATCTTTTGTTAATAGAAACCAAATTTTCAAAATTGTACACCGTGACTGGAATCACTCCTAAATTAATCCATTCGTTTCCTGGTCTGTAGAGTCAATAAGTCTGCGTATTACTCAGGATGCGAATTAATGATTTGTGCCAAAAAGTGTTGTGTTGATTTGTGTGAGTTGAACACACGATTGTTTTTTCGTTAATTTATAATAGCATTAATTTTAAATATTTCACTCTCTTCTGTTCTAAGAATGACACATGCGCATGCTAATCCATGCACTTTGTATTTATTTTTTCCTCACAATTGTCAATCGTGTTGCATTTAGACAGACATTAGAGTTGTGTTGTGATACCTTGGATCTCATCCATATTTGGCTAATCGCCGTGAGGAGAGCATTGGAATGACAAGTAGTTAGTTAGTTGGTTAGCAAAGTCTCATTCTGTCCGTCCGCGAGTGACATTCACTTTTACATCTAGTAGATACTCATTCTTCTTGTGACGAATGTTGGTCGATGCACTTACTCGTGTATGAGGATTATCTGATGGCTTGTCAACTCTTCCGGAGGTTGAGGTCACTTTACTTACAGACCAGATGGACGCATCATAGACTAGAATTCTGGCCTCATCAACATCAACACCTTTCAACTCTGAATAATAAAGAGAATCTCAGTTGACATTTATTTTCTCGCGTCACATTCCGTACACAATACGATTATGTGCTTTCTGCAGAGTATGAGATTTGAAATGCTAGCTCATTATTTACTTATCATAGGAAAAGAGATTTATATTGGTCATTCGGACGGGTGGACGTATGTATAAATGAAAATAAGCCGTTCATCATGCTAAGCATCGTCATCCGACTGGGGAACTTTATTGCCCACTTAATTGTAAATTGTAATGAGTTTTTATTGCGTTTTACGGGTTGCGAGCATGTAATTTGATCTGCATAACAGGGTAGTGCGAGGTTAAAGTGGGAGAAGTTTTGCTGACCATGTTCATGATTATTTTTCATACACTTTCGTTGCTTGCTTGTTTTTAAACGGCACGGCGTCCTCCTTGTTTCTACGTATGAATAAAATCCACAGGTTTCTTAAACACAAGTCTTCATTTAAAATGATGGTTTTACTGATGATTCAACGAGTTTTATTACCACATTTGGTCAATAGTGCCTCCCGTTTCTGTTTCCCTTTAACTTCACCTCTCGTTGTTGTTGTTGATGTCTACATTAATGTTAAGAGTATAAAAAAGTATTTACATGCGGCACGTATGCAACGTGTGTAGTATAATGTGGCTATGTGCAAGTAGCACTCTGCAGCTAATTGTTTTATGACTTTGCAACTTCTTGTGATGCGCTAATTGTGAAATTGTGATGATGACTTTTGGACAAACCATACAATTCCAATGATGATGTTGAATAATTTGTTAAAATTTCCAGATCTACGACCTCTTGATGACAGCCCTTCTGCTGCTAACTCTTCTGCTCTACATCCCTCGTGTCAAGTGGGAGGAGGGCGAGGAGGGTGAACCTTCTCGAGTCCTATTCGCCACCCACAGCCAAGGTAAGTCAACTACGGAAAAATCTGTTTTTGCATTAATCCGTGTTGCTCAATCTCAATTCGAAATAAGACAATTTTCGTTTCTTTTGACCTGAACAGCTTGTCAGATCCTGTTGATCATCACTATCTCGGTCCTGGCGCTGCACTCGATCCCCAGTTTCCTCCTCCTCTACTCCACGTGGGAGGTGAGCTCATCGGTGCCCCCCGTGGTGCTTCTGCCACATTCCCATCAAAATTGCTGGCTCAGCTCAGTCACAGCAAATTAAATTACAATGCTGCAAAGTCATTGGCCACATTTTATGAGCAAATCTGAAATCTCATCTACACTGTTGACAGTTCATGCAGTGGGCTTGTTCGCAGTGGGGAGTTTTGGCTAAGTTGACAGAGAATTAATGAAGGCTTCCTAACTCATCCAAATTGCAAATTTATTTTTATTTTCTTTTTGCAGGAGGCAACACGAGGAGGTAAAGACATTGAACTCATTGTATACAAGAGGGTTACATATGTACATCTAAATACATGAGTACAAAGGGCATGTGGGTGCATGCCACTACATGTAAATACATCTAAATCATTAAATGTTTGTTGCAGTTGGATTCTGGCTGTTTATGAGTTGGTTGGGTAAGTGCTTAACATGATTACGATGTTGCACGCACACTTATCTAATACTTGGCATCGTTTTTGCAGGGCTTTTAGTGCATTGGGCCTGGATCCCCGTGCCGTTCCTCTTCGGATGGGCATTGGAGTGCAAAGTGGTTGAGGTCACGTCCATTGGAATCGTCTCCATCTTCATCATCTACTTCATCTCCGTGGTCTCGTCGTACAGGAAGCGGGTGCTTCTGCGAGATCAGGACATGCGTTCAAAGCGGAGACTCATTTAAATCACCTCAGTCTTTTGGCCATTGTGTAAAAATTTGAATAGGATGCCAATTGTATGATCAAGTGCAATCCTGTGCGTTGCACTGCTTATTATGTTTTACTCCTCGCCTTTGTCCTGCTAGAGGATTATTCTTATCGTGTGCACCAGAGACTTTTACTTAAGTATTACCATCGCACGGTACCAATATAAATACACAATTAAGTACGTGGGTGTGTCAACCTATTTCTGTACAACAACCGCTATATATTGGTTATTCTTATCATGATTTATATACTTAACAAAATTCACCATTGCTAGATTTGAAAGATGATGGTGGTGACAATCGGTGCGTTCAATGTATTACTTTAATTAGACACATAATTGAATAATGCATCCTTAATGAAATATTATAACATAATAAATACGGGAGATTGATATTATTATTTTAGGAGGAAAGTGTCTTTGTAATTATGATCAAGTTGAGAATAAATAAGAGATTTAAACCGCACGCTGAGTCCAATAACGCCTTATGGCCCACAAGTTATGGGCAGAAGGTCACCGTGAATGAGACGTCGTTCGGACAGTTGTGAAGCCCAGCTTCGTCGTCATATGCATAGCTGTAGGCGGAAGGACATGTCTTGTGGATAAGGTTGACGTACTGAGTTTGTACCACAATCCCATTGCGACAACTTTCTGGGCTGACTGGAGGGGTCGGGCAGCAAAGGTGTTGACCTGGCTCAATGTTTTCTGACTTTCCGAGTCCATAGGGAGAAGGATAGTTCCATTTTTTGCACGGGGCAAGGCACATGGCGACACGGCCACCTTTCCAAACCCGCAAATCGCCAACGTGATTTTCTCCAGAAGGACATGCATCCAAGCTCATACTGCAGTGGGTCGTGACACAAGATCCACCCTGAAATCGTCACAATTGTTGTCATTATGACATATACAACTACTTAATGTGAAAATTATGTACATATGAAAATACGTATGAGAATTGATTATATAGTTTCCTTGCCTGTCGACTGGGGACGATTTCTGCGGGGAGACTGTAGCCATCCACGAGGCTTACGTCATACCAAACGCTGTCTGCTGCCCCTGTTCTCGGAAAAAAGAACTCCACCTTAGTTTCCGCTGGTGGCTGACATCCTCCAGCGGGACAGGGAGGCATTGATTGTCCAACCTCGCAATTCTGACCACTGCCATCACACCCAGTTTTGGGCCAGAATCTTCCGCCCCACCCGCCGTTTGGAATCTGGTAGGTGTAGCTGCCAGAGTTGGACAGGCGACGAATTCCGTCGGGAAGGGGGGCACCGTTTCCATTGGTTAAGGGCGAAATCCAAATATCCCTCCCGCAGCGGTTGTTGAACGTAATTTGGCGGCAATGTGCCCCCGCCACAATTACGGCCAAAATTGAAAAAATAATTCGTACCACGCTCATGCTGGTCACTTTTTTAAAATTTATTTTCCGCAAATAAATATACGACGTCTCTGTTCGTGTTATTATTATGTGATGAAACTATGAAGCAGCTCATCTTCATTTATATACGAAAAGGATCCATATTAAATTAATACATGAATTGGGTGACGTAGGTTTCGCTGAAACACGTTTGCAGTCATTTTATCTGCTGTTCAAAGTAATGTTTGTGGTATTTTATATAAGTCGTGTACTGCCGATTGATAATACAGTAATTGAGCCATTAATTTAATTTCCAACTTTCTTGGAAAATAGGCGCATTTCAATAAAAACTGGAATAAATAAGTCAAGTCTTTTGTACAAACATTGACAACATACAGATGTGCATACAGAATAAATAGAATGATTTATATCCCATTTACATCCCATGCACCATAATTAAACAATAAATATTGGGTACAAATGTCGCACATACATATTTGTCGTTTCTACTGAATTTATAGCATGTTATTCATCCAGAGTATTAATTCGGGGTAATGACCACACCTAGATAACCACAAAACTAAGGACTAGGAATACAAGTTTCATAACGATACATAATAACGAACAATTGCAAGTTGTGTTTGGGGGTGTTTACCTTATTTTTGAATGACAACGCTTCACGGTGCAAGCTAGAGCACTCTCTTGCCTCCACCGATGCATCGGTGCATCATCGCGATGATGGCGTGGTTTCGCAAGTTCGAGGCTTGTCGAAATTCCGTGTGGGAGGCCTGGCGCTTGTATATAGAACTTGATGTTGAGGCGGATGCGAAGGTGTGCTGGTCTCGAGTAATCTACTCGCAGGTTTCTGATTTTATATGTTTGGACAGTGGTCACGTTTGAACGTCACATTTCGCCAATGTCTTGACGAGACATGTCTTGGGACAGGTTAGGCACGGTTAGGGCAAATTAAATTTCCTGGTCGTATACCTCCAGACGCACGTCCAATACCGCAAAGAGTGGGCCTAAAATAGTTTGCGAAACTAGAACGATTTTTCCTACACTGTTTTTGGCCACACTAGTAAATTTACGCTGGCCAACTGAACTAAATTTCCCACGAACTGCTAACAACCTTTAAATGGACATGCATCACTTATGTAAATATGTTCATTGAGCCACTATTAGCGGAATGCGAGGCCTCAGAACTTGCTAACACACGTTCGTAGTGGGGACCATTATATGCGTTGAACAATGGAATTCATCGCACATGAATATTTAGTTCTCCCAATCCTCTCCTTTCTCTCCTTTCTCATTTTCATACTGATTCTCAACTCGACTCAATAGACTCGTTTTTTGACAGGGTGAAATGTGGTGAAAGTTTATTGTGTTGATTGTAGGACAGTTATTTATTAGCTGCCCGTGAAAGTGAGTGACATCCAAATAGCACCATTACATTATATTATGCATGGTTAACCTTATGCAAATCAGTTGTCAGCCTTAACTGAGAAGGTTCCATTTAATAGTATGCGACGTGAAACCAAATTCACTCACATTTCTCTCATCGATTCATGGCGTAATAAAATTACGACCCGTAATACATCACAAGACGAGAGATGCGTATGGAGAAAGTGACAGAAGGTTATGTCATAGGCATTCTTGGTCATTGAATTACGCGATCAGTTCGCCAGCCCACTCTGTGCCAGACAGGCTGCCAGGCTTCCATAGGAGCAGGCGTTGCAAGGTTTCGCCAAGATGGACCATTATCGTTCAGTGATGATAGATTTCCTGCTAATTTCCTCTCTCTTCTGGCTTCAGGGTGAACCACATCCTCGATCTCGATCGATCATACTTGCCCTCACTTTTATTTTCAAAATAAAATATTGTAAGTGATGTATTTTGTGCCTTGTTGCAGGAGGAGTGACAACTTCGTTCTCTAAATTCGTCGACTGTACTCGTGGGGACGCTGTTCTGCTGAACAATCTATGTGTCCGCTGCCTCCGTCCTTCATTGTTGCCAATTCTCAATTCCGAGGACACTTTCAGGTTACAAAAACTTCAGCCAAAATTGCAATTTCCAAAATATGTATAAAGAAGCTTGTGGTAAATTAAATTAATGTCAGGAATGTTGATAATCCTGATGCTGAATGGATAAGCTGTCCTTCGAGCAACAATGACCTGGACAGGGCCAAGGTCGTCAGAGGTTCAAAATTCTTGAGTGGGCGAAAAGTGCGTGTCGTCACTATCGAGGTGAAGAAGAGATTTTTGTGGTGGCTTAATATTTTCATTCAATGAATTTAACTGACTGAATGGATGCGAATTCTAGAGGCGTCCATTTGTTAAAATCTTGGAGGGGAAATTCTCTGGGGTCTGCTTTGAGCTCTTTTACACTATGCAACACAAGTACAATTTCAGGTAATATTTCAAATTTCTTCTTGTCTGGGTTTGTTAATGGTTAGGTTGTTAAATAATTATTTGTTTGAACACAATTAAAGTCGAGAGATATTTCTGCCCTATGACGGGAATTGGGGTACTAGACTTCCGAACGGCTCATGGGATGGGATGGTGGGGCTGGTTCAAAGCAAAGTATGCATGAACTCTAATTACTCAGATAATCATAGTTTTACCACGTTTTGGACATAACCTTTCTGATTTTCGTTCCCCACAAGAACGCTGACATGGGAGTGGCCGGCTTCTCAGTGACTTTAGAAAGATTTAAAGTTGTTGCTTTCACAGAGTCTTTTCACCAGGAGCCCACAGGTGAGCTATGAGTTAACATGCATACAAACACGATAAGATGCATTCAATTTTTGGATGAATATTCCCATAACTGCAGCCATTCTAATCCCACCACCCACGGCCGGAGAGAAATTTACCGTCTTGGTCCGACCGTTGAGTATTCCTGTAAATACATATATTTTGCTTTAAACGTATGGATAAATATTATCGGATGTCCCAATGGTCCACAGGTTTGGGGAGCTGTTGCAGTCACAATGCTGACCTTTGCTCCCACCGTGTACATCATGCACATTCTCAGTCTACGGATACGTGGAGAAGATTCCTCCACAAAGTCAAGCGTCCTCGACGTCACGGTTCAACTGTTCCATTTCATGGTTTCCTCGCTCGTCCAACAAAGTACAAAAGTGCCCACATTATTTTAACAAATTAATACATGCAGGGTTTTCTATGCCGAAATACTACGTAGTATGTAAATAGCCACGGAATATGTATGAATTATGCTGAGAATATATACGTCTTGCAGGCGTGACGTGTCCTGGGAGTAAGACGAATCGCTTCCTAATTATCTTATGGTGGATGATGACCATTATCGTGTCGAGCATCTACGTCGCTTATCTGGTCTCCTACCTCTCCGCCCCTCGACTGTTCAATGTCGTCAACAGTTTGGACGACCTCGTGAAACAGCGCAAAATCAAGTGGACATTTCGCAAGAGTTCAGCATTGGAGTCTCTGTTCAAAGTAAGTAGTTCACAGCTCTTGGTTTACATAATTACACAATTTGGGGTTCTGTGATGATATGTCAACCATTTTTTCAGTCCTCAAGCAGCATGGGTGTGTTCAAAGCTGTGGGAGACGGAGTGGCCGAGAGTGACCTTGTCTCCACTGATTACACTGGGGCTCAGAAAGCGCTCACGGGAAAATACGCCTTCATCAAGGTGTGGTTTGTATATCAATTGGATGACAACACGTAGTTTTTGATTATAAGTTTTGGTTATTAATTAAGTCCGGCGAGCGTCAGCACAAATGCTGTGTTTCAGCTCTAGACACAGGACGTACAAATTGCATACAAAATTTGACAGTTGTTGCTTCGCGTCTCTTTATTCTGACGCATATGACATATTTAATACGACAGTGCTGTGTTTTCTTCAGGAAAAGTCTTTTCTTGATGTGGCCTTGGAGGAGGACTTTCAAAAGACTCACATTTGTAAGGTCACGTTGGCGAAGCAAATCTTCTTCAAAGTGGAAACTGCCCTCATCGCCCAAAAGAGAAGCGAGCTTCTAGCAGTGTTTGACAACGGGTAGGAGACTTGGGAACAAAGCCAAACGATCGATGCTATTTAATTAAATGTACTATGTCCACAGGATAAGATGGGCCGTGTCCTCTGGCCTCATGGAAAAGTGGAAAAGCATGCATTGGCCAAAAGACCTCTGGTGCGCCGACGCAGCTGCCTACATTCTCATGACACAGCCAAAGACTCGTAAACTGGACTTTGAAGATGTCCAAGGGGCGTCTTTTCTCCTCGGATGTGGGCTAACCTTCGCCATCCTCGTATTCATCATCGAAATCTCCACAAAACAGTGCAATTCATTCTGGAAAAGAATTATAACTCGGAGGAAATTCTATTTCTCAAATTGACTACGAGAGAAACCAACGCGTCGAATGCTTTTACTTAATTTTGTTTGGTAAAAATAAAATGTGTAAAACTTGGCCTTGGAGAGCTAAATTGAGACCAGTCAACAGACCGGGTAGCCAGCAGTGATTATTTGCAAACACATCATTATTTTCTTGTCCATGATGTTCATTTCGACATGCAGCATTCTCAATCGGTTCATTTTATATGTTCATGTGTGTGTCGTTTCTTTCGTGACGATCAATTCTAAATTTACATCGAGAGTGAGAGATGTACGAACATAACTCACAAGTTTCTCTGCTTCAGGGTGATCTTGATTTTTGGCAGACGGATGATGTGTTTTGAAATGATCTCATCTTCATCCCATCAAATTTAATTTTGGGAAAGACGCTCCACCACCACCACGGCCAAACCAAGCCAGCCGGATTTATGGACTTCTTTCCCAATAACACTGCATGATGAGCAGTGATCACTACTCACCAATTTTATTGTTGCCAATTAGGGGTCTCATGACATCATCACCGCTCGTACAAATAATGGTAAGTATTTAATGTGGTGTTGTACTTTGAGTTGCACGGTTGACAGTAGTTTTGGGCGAAATCTAAGGTTATCGCAACTCCACAAATACTATCAAGTGATGGTCATGTTTATCAGTACTGATTCATCAGTGCACCATAGTATGCATAATGTGGTTTATTATTACCTGGGTACACACATATTAAAGATGAGAAGTTGAGGGTGGGAAGGATGAGGTTACTTAATTTCTCTCTAAACCTTGCCTTGGGTAATAAAGATTCCCTTTTACGGTCACTAAATGTCATCGACGCAAGTATGTACATTCACATGGAAAGCATTTCATTTGATTTTATCTATGCATTCCTTCAACCTGACGAATTTAAGAACAATTTAACTTAATATCTCGACACACGGAGCCATAGAAGACGTCATTTATTGGCCATTTCGCTCAAGTAAACAATTACATTTCAGATGTGCATAATTGTGACAAATGAGAAGACGCCCATGCAAAAGTGAGATGGTCTCCACGCACTTTAGAGAGAACAGGAACAACACGGCGCCCACCCACTCAATCCTGCTTGCCTCGCTCGTCTGCTAAACTATTGGTATCAGTTGCACTCCATGCATTGTGTGAGAGCTTGCACATAAATATTTTTGTGAGCGTGTGGGAGGAAGGGGGCACAGAGAGAGAGATGTATCGACGTGATTAGCAAAATCATTTCCGATCCTTAGATGCTCTAACCAGAGTCTGAGAGAGAGATTTATACATATTGACGATAAATATTTATTCGAACTGGCCCACTTTGCACACACGTGCGGGATTCGCGTGTACCCATTCATAGAAAATGAGAGTCAACAAATTAGCAAGCATAGCTTTTAACAAGTCCAACTTTTAAACTGTTTACACCTTAACAACACCATGAGATTCCAGCCAGAGTGATTTTTTAGGTTGGGGTCACACATTTGCTGGGGAATGTGACGGCATAAATTCTTGGGACGGAAGGTTAAGCAACCAGGTGCATAACGATGACTAGTTGAAATCGGATCTTGTCCAGCAGCGATGAGGTGGGTGTTATTAAATCATGCTTGTTCAAATTCATTGTCTTTCGAGGTTTGTATTTATACCTACAAAAGTTTGAATACAGCAATGCAAGCGATGTGATCATCAACTTGTTGAAGGTGAGACTGAGATTCTGGGTATGAATGAATCCCACGTACATATTTATTTGAGCAGTCAGTGCACTAGTCATACTGGAGGAGATCTTGTTAGCGTGAGCAATTTGATATTTTATGCCCTCTAGAGAAGAGAGAGAACATGACACTGGATGCCATTTCTTGACATCAAAGGATTCGCATTATGCAAGGTTTTATTCATCTCAACCGTCCGCAAATAAATGCGTCAAAAGCCAACGAGAGTCAGCAAAGGTTGGATGGAGATTGGATCTGCATTGTACAAATTCAACTATGTCGAATGGAAAACTTGTCCAAAACCTATTGATCGTCGTCCTTCACCGTTGATGATGCCAGACAAAAATTGGTTAGCACGATTGCTCCCGTGTTTACTGAGCACCTCTCTTCTTCTCACCTGCCACAACATCTTTATGAATTCGTAAATACTATGCATGGCGTTATCCTCGTACGACTTCCACGTCTTTGGAGTAGGACGCTTTACTACACAAGCAATGTCCACGTAGATTGGCCGACTATGAAACGCTCTTTCTTCGTATGATTATTATTACAGATATTGTTATTAAGCGAATAGATTGGAGACGAGCGGGTGGGAGTTTCTTGGAGCAAAAAAAGAGAAGTGTGGAGGACTGGGCCAAATCCAAATCCCACTCGTAATGCAAAACATCTCTCTGACTGCACAGATCTGTTGAGACTTCAGTTGCGAACTTGTCTGGCGACGGAGCACAAGTCAAGAAAATAGAAAACTTGTACCACTGCCACAAGGAGAGAGAGAGGACTCGTTAACCGTTGCACAGTTTGCAAAAGATCAAGTTTTGCCCAATAAATATCAACGGAACAACGTTCCTCGTCCCCTTCGTCGTCTTTGACCAGTTCTCCAAGCCATTCTTATAGCCAGGTGTGCATTATAGTGGGTGAGACTGCTGCTGTTGGTCCGTGGTGTCCAAAAAATAGCCCAACCTTGAAGAAGCAGAAGGTGAGTCTGCGTCACCGGTTGTTTACTCATTTATCTGGAGACCGTTGGTCGTTATTCTCCCACCCGTTGTGTATTTCCCATATTTCGAGGGCGAGAAATCCGAGTTTGAAGGAATTTCAAACAGATATTGTGTCCAGAGTGAGATACGCCGATTTTGGCGAGCAGTTGTTGGTGGCGGAAGGAAGGTGGTCATGTGGAAATGAAAGTAAAAGAGCAAATCCACTCCTTGTAGAGTGCACTCAAGGCAAGGCAACCACATAATAATTTGTGCATAATATGAATGGACCCATGCATGCGTATGTACAGGTGCATTCTTCCATCTGTCTCAAGATATCTGCAATTTTTATCAAATTCGTCCCTCTCGCTCGACGACATAATTTGTAGAATTGTATCTTCAATGAAATAGCTCCTGCAGTCCTCGCTACTTGGTGAAATGCAGTTGAAGATGTCTGCACGTGCAGTATTCTAGATCGCCACTGCTATTAACTATGTGCATGGGTTGGTTGGTTGGTTATCCAAATAGGGGTATTGGGGACATTTATTGCTATCCGTCATTTAACAGAGCTCCATCATTTCACTAATGATATGGATAGCAGAAACCTATGTTGTTAGGTTTTTTATGTGCGTGGAATTATATGCACACTCATACGTATCAACGTTAGCACAATTAATTGAAATAAATAAATAGATCACCAAAATTACATTTCTGTCGCTGATGGGGCTAACAACTTACAAGTCTCGTCTACAATTTAAGAGACAGTCAAAGCAGTAAATGACAGTAATCTGCATAAAATATGCTACGCTAGCAGCATTATGCACATCGCATCAAGTGTGTGGGATCAATTAATAAGCAGCACATCCATTTATCATCATCACGTCATTTTAGTGTCATTGGGCAAAAATCTGAATCCTTCCTCATTAGCAGACCAACAATCTGAGACCCTACTTGTAGCGTCCGAAGGAAAGTGGTGGCAGATCAACGCTTCACTTGCTGCCTGTCTACTCAAAAAGTGGATAGAAAAAGCCAGTCAGGAGGAGGAAAACTTATTAACTGATGTGATGTGGCGATTGCATTCGTCAAGAATTAATTTCATCCTCCTCCTACAAATATATCGCTCAATCTTCCCTGTTGTAAATTGCAATTAATGAACAGCTCGTGGTTTCACGAGCAGAATTACAGATAAATGCATAGCAATCATCTCATATTATGGTGTCCAATCAGGCATAGAATTAATTTTTGCTGTGTTTTCCCGAGTGACATTAGCTGGGATGGTGTACCACAATTTGCATTCAATGGAAAAATCGAGACTTGAATCTTGACCAACATTGTTCCATAATTGGCATTGGAAGTTGGACTCTACGAACACCTGTCCATAAGTGAAACCGATCCACACTTGGCACCAGCACCATGACCCAACTTCTTATTGCTTCCTTCCGAATTTGTGAAATGGTAGCAATGGTAGCTACAATATGTATGTAACTCCACGTTGAGCGGTGACCTGATTCCGATTCGCACTTCCGGAGGAGCACTCTGGATGCACTCCAAAGTAAACTTGTTGCTTGCTTGTAGTGAAACTGAGTCAGTTTCGGGTCTAAAAATAATCGGCCTCCTTATTTTTTTCATCGCAACCGAGATTTATATATTTGCTGAATGGATATCCTGAGCTAATCCGTGTGTGTGGTTTCCCAACAGCGTCCGAGAAGATGACGACCGTGAGTCGTGTTAGCCAAGTGAGCCACACCAACGTTGCTGGCACGGGAGAATGGGATCATCGACTAAGTAAGCCCCTGACATCGATAAATTAAATGTGTGTACAATTCCACTAGAAATTTCTCATCGTTCCTCCCTCATCACCGAGTCCAGAAAACCCAGGAAATTATGGGGTTATTTAATTGAATGGAATTACTGGAGGAGAGGATGAGAAAATGAGAATTATGGTGTTGTCGTCGTCGCAAAATTATTATTTAGCTGGCGATTCCTGAAAATAAATGTGATGTGTGACTTGCGCGTATGTAGATCGACTCCTGGAGGACCTTCAGGACACGGTGATCCCGTCCGACTCAAAATTGGGGAATGCGAACGAATATCGCGAATTTCGAATGACTCAGCGAACTCAGGTGAACGATGAGCCGGCCCAACAGGTGGACGAGAAGTGGGTGGAGATTGGAACGACGGGTGGAGGAACGCTCTCCATCCCTGGAAACACGAGCAATGGGTTTGGCAGTGGGCCGGGGACTACCAGATTCGGAGGGGAAAAGTCAGTCGCTTTCTCCGACGACTTTTCCAGGTCTAGCAACAGTCGTTTCGAGAGTTCCAGCTCCAGGAGGGATCCACAAATCGAGTTTTTGGCCCCTGCGAACTCCACAACTGTTCTCAGTAAGACCAAAAAGTCAATAAAACTTATTTCACGTTTCACATTTTTATTATAAATTTGCGTAATTTCATCGTTCTTTAAACTTTCAGGGTCAGGGCCGTCATCTCCGATCGGTTACAGCACGAGTTCCACGTCTCCAAAAGTGGAAAAGAAGGAATTTTATTCCAAGGCGTCCTACACCACGCTCATCAAGGGTGAGTTCACAATTACCGGTTGTAAGCGATATTATCTAATCACTTTTTATTGTGAGCCCACCCAAACAAAACCAGTATCCTCCCTTTTAAAACACTTCCGGTTAATATTCTGTTCATATCTCCATCCAGTTTTCTAGTCACCGGCAACATCAACATTGACAAATTGACAACATGCCAAATCTGCTTTTATGGTTTTATCTTTATGCGTGGGCAGAGGTTTAGCTCCTCGCACTGAGGACGAGCACCTGTAATGTGATCCAGCAAACGTAGAATTGAATTTACGGACACATGGTAGTACTAATTAACCAGCCAAAGTGTTTACTTTTAACTTACTAGTACTGACACAGCGGGGATGACATCACATTGACAATGATTGTGCTATTAAAAATGTTGAAAAACTGAGAGTTGTGTTGCTGAATCCACAGGAGGTCCAGAACTTGTCCCTGTCGATAGTCGAATGCTGGACGACTTTATTTCGTCCGACTACCGACCAACGCCAGCTCTCCAACAAGCAAGCAGTAGTTCCACTTCTGAAACCACGAAGCGTTCCTACATGTCAGAGTCGACAGGACGAAGGGTGCGGGACGAGCCGCCCTTGAGCCCACCAATGTACACCAGCACCCCAATCTCTAGAACGTCTCGCGAGACTCGTGAGTACAATCGGGAGCTCATCACGGACCGAAATCGGAGTGTGACTCCACCTCCTCGACCTTCAGAGGCGCTTAAAACGCCACCAATGATTCGTAAAATTCTCCAAAGCTCTCAACAGCAGCAACAACACGCCTCCTCCTCCTCCAGCTATCAGCAACACCAACATAGCAGCAGCAGCAACAGGACGACCACCACTTCCGCCTCCCGTCCTCCGCCCGTTGGAGGTGTCCCACTGCCAATAATTCAGCACCGTGACCGCATCCCAAACTATGACGAGACCCCCGATCGACCCGCTGCTCGTTACTACACGTCGTCCACAACCACAGAGCACAGAACGGACAGGGAATTGTCCCCCGTGCGGACCTTCCCATCCTCGCATCCTTCTCGCGGAGATGGAGAGCCTCCAAAGCGGTTGGACGAACTCTTGGCCACGTTTGGAGACCATTCATACTCGGTAACAACTCGCCACACCAACGTTAAATGAATATTTTTCTTAATGCTTATCCATTTTCTTTCAGGAGTCTTCCACAACAAGATACACTTCGGACGGGTCGGGGGCTCACAAGTCAATCCCGTACGGACCTGGGACTCATGGTGTGCAACCTCTCCGCTCCGTCCGGATTGACGACAATGTTCAACAGCGTCAGATTGACGAGGACTCGGAGTTGATTCACCGAAAAAGTGGGCGATCGGAGCTGGATGGGACACGCAACGTGGCAGGTAAAACACTTCGACGGCTCTCTTATACGCATACATATTGCAACTGCATTATCACCTGTTTTGTGGGCAGGTCCACCCGTGTTCTTCCCTCCCGGCCAGATATTCCAGAAGACGGAGGAGGAGGCTCTGATGACTACGCAGGAGGGGGGCAAAGGCAAGATGAAGGCCAAGAGGGAGTACAAGGCCAAGGAGAAGATGAAGTCCAAGCACTCTGAGAAGGGCGGTGGGGGTGCGGTCCCTGTTCCAGTCTGCTTACCCGTCTGCTGTGCCGCACCATGCGTCATCATGTAACCACCACCACCACTAATTAATTACTACTCACTCCTCGGCGGCCCCACCACCGCGTTTGCATAAGCACAGAGCTAGGGACCTGCATTTCCATTTTAATAATCGTTGGCCGTGTGTATCACACACACGCGGAGGTGGGAGACGTCGAGAGAATCGCCACATTTTAGTTCACACGCGTCTACTGGATATTATTATTACCTATGAATTACGATGTACTACCATAATTCACTAAATGAAATGATACTTATTATACATTTATTATTTTGACCCGTTGTTCATGTTCAGATTTTGTACCTAATCCTTCTCCCAATGCAATCATTAATTGTTGTCACCTCAATTGTCACGTGTTAATTGTTGTTGGCAATTTTGTATGTTCATTCAGCTACGCCATTATTGTGGTTCATTATCTTAGAGCCTGAAGCGCTTCGGATATTTTATTTCACACAAAATTCATATATATATTTTGAGTGGCGAGCATTTTGTAGTGAATGCTTTGATTACATGAACTGTTGTCGTTTCAATGTGCATAATTTTAAGTAGTTTGTTATATGTAAGGGAAAGATGTCAGAAAACATGGTGCATAGAAATCCCTCAAGCAAGGATTCGTTGAAAAGTTGGTGCAATTTTATTTAGCTACATAAATGTGAGAATGGTGTGCTAATCTATAGTCCATGCATACATAATTATATAACGAGTGAAATGGTGAGATCATACGTGTGAAAATATGGATTGTATTTAATGTGTAACTTTAGTTGGAATTATTTTACTAGACGGATGGAGACCATTATTAACGTTATCTAATTATAAGTTTATGTCTGACTGTGTCTGGTTGTTTGCGTCTGGAGTTTAAAGGAAAAAGAGAAATTATATGCATAACAAATTATTTAATTTACAAAAATCAACAAATAAAACTAAATTTAACAAAGCCATGCAGTGATTTATTGTCTCATGATTTCATTTCCAAATTAAACATACGTATCTTGATAAGCGATAGCTGTACTGTCGTTATACAAACTTTTAACAATCTGTAAAGCTGCATTAGTAAAACTGGGCGAGCAGGAGGAGGGACAATTAAGCAAGAGAACTGATTTGCATTATGGAGATAAATGGGAAGCGCAGGCTTCTCGTGAAGGGATGGAGGAACTAGTATTGAGCTATTACTGGATATTAAATGGCTCATAAAAAGGAAATCAACGTCTCAGAGGCAGACATTCCTCCTCATCTCTGCTCATTTGTTACCGTTCACATCCACAAACGCGGCGTCCCTCCTCCGCACGCGGTATCTGAAATCTAGGAATAATTGAATAGCATCTGGATAACATTGGAGATGCATCTTTTCAATTACGAGTAGATTTTGTCTGTGTGGTGATTAAAAGGTTCGTCCATTAGGAGAGACGTGATGATTCTGCCAGCGAAGCACACGCTAATTTGGCACACTCCCCAACAAGACCAATTCGCCAATTTAACACACGTCTGGTCCTGCCAATCTCTGCGATTCTGAGTGAAAATTCGTCCAGCCATCTCACTTGCGTTACCACGAGATGAACGTACGTACCAATGCAGCAAGTCAATTAATTGTACTTATTATGGACTCATGCATGCATGTGGACGATCTACTTATGCATATCTGCTGGACGAAATAAATGTAAACTCGTATTAAACGGACCAATGATGGGTTAATATAATTACGTTTAGAGGGAAATGTTGACCTGCCGAGTTGATGGATTTGGTCTCGTGCAAAATCCGTGCTCTATTTTAAATATTAATGGAATGGCTTGGTCGTTGTTGTTGCTGTATTTAGCAGACACACATAGTTGCGGAATGTTTATTTTTAGAGAATCACTGTTGGGTGATACTGCTGCCGAGAATTATAATAAAGTTTTAACTGGCAACGTGCAACTTTTTACTCGCTCTATGCAAGTTCTTGCCGAGATGAGCTTCGCAGCCCTAAGACTTTGTACATGCATGTACACAAATGTATGCATGTAAAGTTCCTCTGATCCGCCGAGCTGTTGTGGAGGCAGAAACATGCTTCCGAAAAATGTGTTCGCGTTTGAAACATCTCGAGTGGTTGAGATGGAGTGAACCATGTCGTTAATAGACCCACACGGCTGTAGTGATCGAGTTCATATGCATATCCCGCATGACCACGGAGGAGAAGGAGGAGGATATCTGACAAATTCCATTATCCAATCTGCCTCGCAACTTCTTATCCCCACAATCTTTACATGTTACAGTCACAATTTTGCCCTGGTGGTGGTGGGGAATGAAGATCAGTCAGTGTGGGTCCGTTTGTCGTGGGGTGTGTGCGTGTGTGAATGTTGTTATGTGTGTCAAAAAGACAGGATATTAAAAGGTCCAATTTAGCGGCAACTTTGCTAAATTCACTCAATTAAGAAGATTGTTGTTGGATTGAAGTTGTGCTCCGGTCGTGTCTTTGACTTGATCTCGAGCTGTTCATCCATGAAATGATGAGTTGACTCAGTAAGCCAAACTGTCGCTCCTCTGGTTATTTTCTGCCAATTTCTGAGTGTCAGGTTCACGTGCTCCTGAGTTGTTTTCAAGTTGCTGTCAAGTGTTCAAGTTAATAAGTCAGTGACCATGGGTTTGCTCAAGTTTGTTCTTGTGGGTGTCGCCATGTTGGTGGTCGTGGCGCAGGGGCAGGATCAGAGTGGGGACAATCGTCACTTTCTCCACACGCCGTATGGGACGGTGGTGGGGACAAAGGTACCATTGCACATCCACGACAGAAGACCACCCTCCACTTTCTACTCCTTCAAGGGGATCCAGTATGCAACTGCTGAGCGGTGGCAGGTGGGTAAATTCGTACTTTGCGCAAAATACACTCCCATCAAATATCCAGCAGCAAACTAACGGGTAACATTGGGTGCTTATCTGCATCGTAAATTCAGGAACCCACTCTGAAGGAGTTAGAAGGACCGGAAATTCAGGCAATCACGTCAGGATCTCTGTGTGCACAATGGTCACCTTCCGGTCACACGACGGTAGGGTCTGAGGCGTGCCTCTACCTCAACGTCTACACACCAACCGTCCCATGTAAGACATGAAATTATTTTCACCTTTTATTTTTCCCGTGTAAAAATTGTACAAATACTTCACACGTTGTTGTACATAGTTGTTGGCCGTGCGGGAGGTCAAGGAGTGGGAACAAGTCATTCTGCTAGTCAATTGCCCGTCATGGTATTCTTCCACCCCGGCGGTTACATGTATGGTTCTGGAGACATGGCTGGCCCCCTCAGACTCATGCGATCAAGAAAAGTCGTCCTCGTCACGGTAAACTACAGATTAGGCGTCTTTGGCTATCTCAGCACGGGCGACTCTGAAATTCCTGGAAATTTCGGAGGCCTTGACCAAATAGCGTCGCTCCAGTGGGTTAAAAAGTACATTGGATTGTTTGGAGGAAATGCCGACCGAGTAAGTCGTTTTCGTAATCACTGTGGCGCCAAATATTTATGTGTTAAGGATTATAGCTGATTTTTTTTATGAACATGTAGGTGACCATTTTCGGTAACTCAGCAGGAGCGGCTTCCGTGCATTTGCTAATGTTATCCCCACCAGCATTCGGTAATTGGCCAATCCACACTTTTTGCATGCACGAGAGAACTATTAATAATAAACAGGAAGCCGTGTCACACTCCTGAGCCAACCCTCAATCCCTTCCCTCCCATTTATAACCAAAGGAGAAGCTTTTGGCTGTTTGTTTTTCTATACAAGCATTTCTTCTCCCAAGTTTATACACGATGCCGTATTTTGTGCGTGTAGCAGCAACAGCAGGATTCCCATGATTCAATTATTAATGATTTCTGCGTGCCGGCTGTCACTGCTGGCCAAAAACCAACTAATAAACCATTTAGCAGCTCAGTAAGCAGGATTGTCAACTAGAAAATAATGACTTGCACACTTTTTTCTCTCTTTCTCGCTGCCATCCCTCCAACGACTTCAACTTAGGACTTTTCCACGGTGCTATCATACAATCGGGGAACGGGCTGTGCGACTGGGCCGTGGAGTCCAATCCTGCCGAATATGCGGAAGCCCTTGGGACTAAGTTGGAATGCACCGGAAGCTCCAACGATTTGGCAAAGTGTCTCAAAGACAAATCTGTGCAAGAGTTGATTCAGACGCAGCAAGAGATGCTCAAACTCTGGGCCTTCCCCATTCGAACGGCGCCCGTTGTCGATGGCGTGTGGCGTGGGGACGATGGCTTCCTTCCCGGAAAGCCCGAAGACCTCATGACTGCCGGCGCCTTTGCTCAAGTTCCCATCCTCACTGGTGTCGTACAGAATGAGGTATCCAGTTCTTAGCATTATCCTCATTTTTTTTACGTATTTGGTGGTGCCACAAAACTGGTGTTATTTATTCCTTACTTGTACATGTACATAACTTTCCTGCAGGGGCTCATGGGTTACACAGAGATTCACTTGTCCGTTGGGAATGAGCAGTTTACTAGCGCCGAGTACTTTGAGAATGAGCTCGTCCCCACCATCCTGACTGTCATGATGGATAACAACGAGGAGACGGAGGTCGTGACGAAGGCCGTACGCGGCCAGTATTTTCAGGACATCAACGTTGAGAACGAGACGAAGCTGGCCATTTCTGCCTTGGCTGATCTTATCGGGGATTTGACCGTTTACAGCTGTCATCGAAACTTTTTGGAAAAGCTGGTGGCCTCCAACACGACGGCCTACTCGTACCTTTTCACCCACAAAACGCCAAAGTCTCCCAGCGTGGTATCCAAGTCAATCGACATGTTGCGCAGAACTGCCGGAGTTCACCCGCCACTCTTTGACTATGGAGTTTCACACAGTGACGAGCTGCTCTATCTCTTTGAGCCATTTGAAAATACGCTGCATAAAATGGACGCGGAGGATCTCAGAGTCGCTGAGAAAATGGTCAACGTCTGGACATCGTTTGCGAGTTCGTGGTGTGTACATGAATAAAGGAATATTTAAGAAAGTAGCACTAGCGACTTTATATGTACCAGTATCACCAAGAGGTTAATTATTAGTGCTAATTGTGCGTGGCTATGCATAGGAACCCGTCCAATGGTCTTGGTCAGTCCAACAGAGCAGCCCCATGGCGGCCCATTCGTGAAGGCACCATCGACTTTTACACCATCCCCGAGAATAGGACGCAAGGGTTTCGCGAAGGGGTGAATCTCAATTTCTTTCTCTAATAGCCAAGTGGCATATTTCTTAACGATTTGATTCCTGGCCCAACTTGACCATTTTACATGGATGCGTGTGTACAGGAGTCCATCTTCTGGTTGAGAACGGTGCCCTACATGCAAGAGTTGGGGGCGAACATTTCTGAATTGGAATTGTTCAAAACCCTCTTCTGGATATTTTTGGGTCTTTTCGCTCTCTTCCTCCTCATCACCCTCATCCTGGCCATCGTTTTGTGGAGAAAAAGGTCACTCAAATTTATCAGCGTAACGTGCAAGTAACTTTTACTTGCATAATTTTACCATTTATTTATTTTTTTACAGGTCCAGTCAAGCAGTAAATCTATGATCCCGTAGAAAATAACGAAATAAATAAACGCAAATCTGCTCTGCTCGACTAATCAGATTCATGCGTAAATTCGCATGGGCTTCATGTTTGTGGTGGTGGAATAAAAGACATTCAGTTGTCACAAAAAATCAATGAGCTCAATCCCAATTCCCACAATTAAGTGCATACGTGGGATGTTGTTTGCATAAGCTTGGGTGCCTGATATTCGATCACTTTGTATAATCTTGCAAGTACTCCACAGTCTCCATTGCATAAATGCTAAATACGTACGTAGAAGTTATGCAACGTGATATGAAAAACATTTTACATAATTGTCAGTTATGTAAAAAGCCAAATCATAATTATTCTGTAAAACAGCATGCAAATAAATGGGGCATGATCTCCGATAAAATTCCGAAAGCACCATTCAATCCATTTTTCCAAGGTTTTTGTGAACTTGAGAAAACTTTATCTAATTTGCTCCGTATTTCCCTCTTAAAATGGATAAACTTATTCCTTGTAATAAAAATCATGCTAAACTGGCTTCTTCAATATTGTCGTTAGTTTGTAATTATTCTTTCCTCAAACTCCCAGACACCCGTTTCCTCTGCCACTGGAATGAAGATGTCTTGCTCTGATAACTCCTGAGAAAGTTGTAAAAACCAGGATGGGTAGTCGCCCGAAAGTCATATGCATACCCACTGAAAGACGGGGAATAACTACTCTATGGGCACTCGCAACTAACCTAACCTAACTTAACTCAACGATATGAGTAATATTTTACATGCATAATTGCCAATTATGTAAGAAATAGGTACATAATTACTTCGCATAGGATAGGTACCCATCACCTAATTATTAATCAATCCACACTGCACTGTAGCCAGTGACCATTTAGATTTAGAGATTGGCTCACATAATGTCGGAACCAAATGTCATCACTTATTTGCTAGTGTCCCAAAGTGTGGATGGGCTGTATTTGAATGTGTACATATCATATCATCGTAGGTTCCAAAGAAATGAAACATCAAATTACACTTTTCCACTCCATTTAGAGGTCATTTTTTATATTTCTAATATCAGAGTCCCATTGAATTATTCGGTTGCGTGTGACACTAATGAATAAGGTGTTGATGCTTCTGGTCCTTGGTCCCACGAGCCCACCAAAAAAGTTTCCTCGTGGAATCCCGACGATGTTAAGTGGTTTATACAATCCTCCTCGCATCGTGCGAATTATTAGCTTTGCAACCTCTCTGCTAAAGGAAGTAACAACATCGTCTGCAACTTATGCAATGCAGCATGATGTATTCATTATCATTGCGCCAATCTGCTGCCTACTTCAAAACTAGAAACCAGTCGCAGAAGTGGATCACTAATAAATTAAATAAATTGAATTACAGTGCGCTCAGCGTACCCACCAGTCACCACTGCGTGCAAGTATCATTTAACTAAGCACCCTTGGCACTCAGGGTTTCAGCTACTAGAGAACGCCTTCCTCAGAAAATTCAGAGTATTATTTGCTATGCGATACAAAGGTGATTACAGGTTGATGAGTGTGTTGCATTGTTCGAATTTTCTCACCTATGCGCCACTACGGATGGGATTATTATGGAAGGCTTGACGTTGACAAAGTCCAAACGTGGACTTTCCCATTGACGCTTTGATAACATTTCATATTTTTTCCATTATCTTTCCTGAATTTATGCTAATGGTGGCCTCGTTATATAAATTACGGGGTTACGACGGCTTTTAGATTCAGATTTAAACTGACGCTCGAACAGCACGATTTATTGCTTACTCTCGCTGTAATCGCTCCTGTGCATCTATAAGAATGACCTTGCCCGTGAATATTCTGACCCTTTCGGCCCCTTCGGCGGGTGAGTTGGACTCGTTGATCGAGTCGTACAAGGTCTACCTACGCGAGGAGGGGGGCAGGCTAAATTTGGCCGATGTGGCCTATTCCGCCTCCCGCTCGTCTGCTCACCTTCACCCCCACCGACTGGCCGTTGTGGGAAAATCCTGTCTGGATGTGGCCAATAATTTGGAGAAACTTCGTTTCGAACGGGACGTGGTGGTCAAGGATGGCAACGTTCCAAAAATATGCTTTCTCTTCAGTGGGAACGGGAGCTCCTTCCACCGGATGGGCCAAACCCTGTACGAGACCATGCCCCACTACAAGCGAGAGTTGGAAAAGAGTGCAGATATCATGCGACGGGAATGCCCTGAGCTGTCCTTCCACGACGCTTTATTCGGCGAGGATGAGTCACTGATGGAGAATCCCGTGTACGACGCTCTCACTCACGAGGTCACCAACTACATCGTCAGCAATCTGTGGACTCACTGGGGGATCAAGCCCGACTGCGTCCTGGTAGGTTACCCGTTAGGATAAGAGTAGGCCGTAGTTATTTATGTAAAGATTATCTTGTATTGAAATGCAATGTGTGCAGGGGCACAGCTTAGGAGAGTACGCTGCAGCTCCGGCCTGCGGGATTCACAGTCCGGAGGACACACTGAAAATTTGCTTCAGTATGTTTGAGGCTGGTGGATTATGGCCTCCCGGAAGAATGGCGGTGGTTATGGCTGATGAGAAAACACTCGAGAATTTGATAGCTCAATGTCAAGCTCTGACCAAGGCAACCCCTGGCTCCTGGATTTCCCTGGCAGGGACGAACTCACAGGTTCAACACGTCGTAGCCGGTGCACCCTCCACGATTGCCAACTTCCTCGACCTGTGCAAAAATAATGCGGTAAAGGCGGTTCAACTCCCGTTGCGTGTAGCGTACCATTCCCAGGGCGTGGACCCTATGGTGGAAACGGTCAGAGCCTCGTCTGACACACTCACCTACAATCCACCCAACTGCGCCTACATTTCCTGTCTCACGGGAAAAGTTGTAGGTAATCAACAACTACACTATTTCATAGTTGATAAAATATATTTCATAGTTGTATCTATGCAATTAGATGGTAATAATTGTAGTAATGACAAGTGGGAGTATTTCTCGATTAAGTAGTGAATGTGGTTTTGCAGATAAAATTGAGAAGGGCTACTGGCCCAGACATATCCGCGAACCTTTCCAGTTTTCGGAAGCATGTCGAACTGCGTATGATGATTGTGGGGCTCGTGTATTTCTCGAGATGGGAGGTCAACCCATCATCTCCGCACTCGTGATGCAGAACGCGGACGAGCTTGCCTGGAAAGAACCCATCAACTGCCTGCAATCCATGCGGAAAGGGAAAGACGATCTGGAAGTCATGCTAGACTCACTCGCCAAACTCTACGTCATGGGTTATCCGGTGAACTGGACCAACTTTTACCAGGACTTTGACGTCCACCAAGTGTCCATCCCCGGAGGAGTAGTGGCAAACGGCCATCATGTCGTGCTAGCTCCCCTTCCCGAGAATGAGATGACGGAGGAGGCATTCTGGACATCACTGAACCAAGCTGGATGTCAGGAGTCGAGATGTGACGTCATTCTCCGCTACGTTTTCCAAGTGATGAGACGAGTGCTCAAGTCAGACGAGTTTGACCTTGACCCTTCGCAGGAGTTCCGTGCTTCTGGGATCGACTCCCTCCTCGCCATTCAGATGAAGACACATTTGCAGAAGGTGCTGGGGTCCCAAGTGGTCTTTGGGTTCAACGATCTCATCGAATGCTACACTCCGCAACAACTGGCTCAAAAGTTGCACCAATTGATTTACACCGTTGCGAACAAGAATGAAGAGAAGGAGGAGGTGAAGAGGCTCGTGCGGGCCGATTCCGTCCTCTGGGATCACATCAAACCCTCGCCCACCAGTCAACCTGTCCCCCTCGACCAAATCAAATCCGTCCTGGTGACTGGAGCCACTGGGAATTTGGCCCCACATCTCGTCGCTGAGTTGGCCAAGCGGCCTCAAATTGAGAAAATCTACTGCTTGGTGCGTGAAGGGCGTGACACGTCGGCGCAAGAGAGGTTGGAGAAACACCTCAAGGCTGAGGGGATTTGGGATAAGATTCCCACTACTTGCCAAGTAATTGCAGTGAAGGGCAACATTGTGGACGAGTTCTTGGGAATGGAGAAGGGCGAGTACGAAAAATTGGCAGATCAAGTGAATGCTGTCATCAACTGCGCGGGTACGTCAACATTTCTTGAGAACAAATGTATTATTTTGACTATCAGGTAAATGTTAAGCATCCTTTTTCTACTGCAGTTACGAGCAATCATTTGGCCACTTACAAAGAGGAAGACCTGAAGTATGGAGGGGTCCGGGCCGTGAACGTTATTGGGGTGCAGCGAGTCTTGGAATTTTGTGCATTAAAGAGGACAAAGTGGGTCTTCCATGCCTCCACCTTCCTCGCCCTGTGGGGCAAGAAGGATTACCACTACTACCGGATGCCTGAGGAGTGGCCCATCGAATTTGTCAATGACCTCGATAAATTTCCCAACTTTGGCTACTCAATTTCGAAAATCATCGCGGATCAACTTGTCCACCAAGCGACCCAACGTGGCATCCCCTGCAAGGCCTTCCGCTTCGTCAAGATCGGGGGTGAAACGGAAACTGGGCGACAGAAGGTGATGCAGAACCACTTTTTCCTTAAATTCCTCCACTACATCGTGGGAGGTGTCATGCCAAGCATAGACGTGCCCCTCCAGATAATGCCAGTCGATACGTGTGCCCAAATCTCACTCCGAGTCTTCTTTGACGAGAGAGCGTGCCCCTCTGACATTTACAACGTCATCACTCCCTATGCTGTGAATGAGCTCGATTTGGTCAACATGGTGGAAGGTTAGCAAATTGCGACTAATAGTTCATATAAATCTAAATACATGCTCATTTGTGATAAAATTAATTGCAGAGTTTGGACCCCAACTCAAAATCCTGTCGCAATTGAGTCGTATCGTGGAGAAATTTGGGGAGGATGGGGCGCGGCAAAAATGGTTGGAAATGTCCGCTTCTGGTCCTTTGGCGAGGGTCGTCAAGGAGTTGGACACGACGCTGGGGGAAAACTGGTGGGAAAACCCGTCCTCCGCTTTCAAGAATGAGAACGTGATGGAGTTTATACGCTCACAATTCGGTGGGGAGATGAGGGTGGTTCCCTACGAGGAATATGTCAAATGCCTCGTCGCACACGGAGAGGACTCGCTCATTTACCACTGGATTGACTTTTATACCAGCGAGGATTCAGTCTTCAACCTTGCGGACAAGGTGTGTAACACATGAGATTCTTGTAATTAATGGACTACTAATAATAGTGCGACGCTTAAAAATTTACTAAAATTTGAATTAGGGGGAAATGCCCCTCCAGCCGAGTTGGAACAAGAACCAGACATACTTTATGCGTTGGGGAAAGATTGAGATGCTGTACCCCAACCTGCGCGACATGATTGAACACCCCTGGGAAACCTTGAGACGAGACATTCACTACACTATTGACAACGCCAAGGACATTTTCAGAAACCGATACCACAAACAGTAGGGGAAGCAGTAAATTGTTAACTTTATGCTACTAACATATCATGTAAAAGTAAATAATAAATATGTACATGAAAGTAAATACTTCTTGGAACTCCTCATGACACACGAGGATGCAAATTACATACTTGGCTCAACTTTATAGTCTGTAAATCATCAAAATCTTGAATGACATTTTTTGTAAGCATAACAAAAAAAAGAGAATAATATTTAATACGTATTTGACATGCACACAAACAAAAATGAGTCAATTTGCTAGCCTGGTCTGGGTGACATTTGTGGGCAGTAAATAAATTTTAGTCGTTTTTTTATGTGTCGCATAATAATAATACTTCACTGACAATAATTGAACCCGTCCACCTTCCCCCAACACTGAATACCAACTTTTTATATCATTTGCATATTACGAGTTACATATATTACGAGTTATGATCTTAAATAGATAATCTGTCAGTACCGGTTGACATCACCATAATCTTCGCTCCCCAGTCCGCTCGCTCGCTTTTTATGCATTTCTTTAGCATGAAAGTACGCAAATTAAAAATTAATTCAGCATCAACTTGCTAATTATTGTTGTTCTGGTGCTGGTCCTGCGTGTGCATGTGAATCATGGTTACGATGATGAGATGAGGTAATGATGAGCCACACAGTCTCAAAATGCGCATATGTATTCGTCCCACTGCAGCTTTGACGGCGTTTGACGAGGTACTTTTGTCGTCGTCTCACCTCCAAACACTCGTCCACGAAAGAATAAAACCACTTCCAGAGCAGTCTTGGGCAGTCAGTCGCATAAAATCACTTCAATTCGGAGCGTGGCTTCTTCATCTTCACCACTGAATAGTTCAGCATGATGAGCAAGTTGGCAATTTTGGTGGTTGTGACCACCTTGGCACTCGTTGCCCATTCTGCACCCGTCTCAAAGGCGAAACTCAGATTCAAGGTGTCCGGAAGGTGAGACTAATTCACACACATATATTTTGTGACACAAATTTAGCAAAAGTGACCTTCGTGACACTTATTCTTGTTTATTTTAGAAATTTCCCCGACAAGGACACTGGATTTGGTACTTGAAAATATTTACAATTAATCATAATCATTCAAGCGAAAGTGGATAAGCAATAATATCACATGCACATATGTGATTTTAGGAACAACGGACGGCTACTTTGAGCTGTACGTGAGTACGGATGGAGGCCGATCCAAAACCAAGTTGACGAGGAGTGACACAATTTCCGACCAAGAAAATCCAGACTGGGGGTAACATTGCAAAATCATGCCGATCCAAATTGAAACTCTAATTAAAATTAAAAATATTTCCAGCAATATATTCGAATTTGACTTTGACCGCAGCAAGAATCAGGTAAGAATATTTTTGCAAAATTCTGCATATAAATTAGCATTAATATGCGTCTAAAAAGTTAGTGGCATACATACATATATTTATTCACGTAATTTGTGGCAATAATCTTGAAAGTGCAAACTGCCTCGAAAAGCAGACAAGGGTAGAATATGAATCTGCGCTTTATATCAAAGTCAAAGTTGTATCTGGGCAGATTTGCTGAACTGATTAACATAATAATTAACGTGTCGTTGTTACCTTCCAGTGGCTTCAATTTAAAGTTTATGACGAAGACAACTTGCGCGAGGATGACAGTAAGTCACGAATCCGGTTTTCCTTACAAAACTTACATAATTCTCAACATTAAAAAAGACAATGATGATGATGCTGCGATGGTGGTTTCATGTGTGCATGTTTCATGTGTATATAGCTGTGGGTCGTGTGTGGATCAACGTTGCAGATTACGTTGATAAGGGACAGATCACATATGCCAGACTGGATAAAGAGAAAGGGTGAGATTTGCTAATTCTCCCCATTGCACAACCCTTGTGCTAAAAATAGATGTTTGCTTCTACAGGTATCTCATCATTCAATCTGCTGACAAACCTGCCCCCGTCGATGCCAACACCCCTCTGGGTCAACTTCCCTTCCCAGTTGGGGCTAAGGACTCGGACACGTTGAGATTCAAAGTTTCTGCGAGGTATGTATGCGCATTTATCAATTTATGTGAACTTATCCCTCAACGGTCAATGCATTAATATTGACGACGTTTTTTGTAGCGGTCTCCCAACCAAAGATGACGTCGGATTCATTCCTGGCAATAGCGATCCTTACGGTATGTTTTGCCCCTCGTTTTCGCAGTAGACCAAGTCACTACAGTGATGGATTTCTTGTTACATTCCTGCAGTCATTATCACCGCCACTGACGGCATTTCCGGGAAGGAGAGAGATGTCGGAAGATCAACGACCGTGTCCAGTACGAGCAATCCCAACTGGGGAGACGTGTTCCAATTCCAATGGGACCGCAAGAAAGATCAGGTAAAACTAACCTCTTCATTACGACTGCATAGTTGATGGCACAACAAAAACCTTGAGAGAAAATTGCGCAATGCACATGCAAAAATTATTTGGCAATGCAATTTTCGTATTTTTTTCTCATTTGTACATCCATAATGTCCGTAAATAATAATTCTCCCAATTTTCGTATGCTACAGAGACTACATTTCAAGATATATGATGACGATACGCTTCGGGAAGATGACAAGTTGGGCAGTGCCTGGATTGAGGTCAACGACTTTGTAGCCAAGGGCTCCTACACTCTCGTCCTTCCCAAGAAAGGGTAAACACAGTGTAAATATAATTCCAATGATCGATTGGCGTTTCTGACCGTTTCGCTTCGTTCCTTTCCACTCTAGAACCCTCACCTTGACGAAGGCCTAAAACTCACAAATTAAGTACTTGTACTCCTCGTAAGCATGTAACTGTATCACAAATAAATTTACCATTATCGCCCAGGCAGAGAGGAGAGTGAACAATAATAAAGAACGAAACTTATGAAACAAATTTCCCGAGCACAGTGTGTGTATCTTGAAATGTGTAATTTATTGAATAATTAATAATTAATGAATACTCAGTCATGAATATTGACGAACGGGACAAAAGAGCCTTTTCACTTATTTTACTCACTTATTATCTCTTCGCCCATATAACTTATACATAATAAATGATCATTCTTCTCTTCATCGTTTGTCATTCACATTTAAAATGATCATCTTCATAATTTAATGCAGGCGAATATTTAATTAAATCAGGTTCATTTCACTTAATTATAATAATTCCTTTACATACGTAATTTAACTATATGCAAATATTTCGAAATAAAAACGCTCCCTGTTGTAAATAGCTGTACTAAATTAGTAGTGAATAATTCTTACTTAATTATCTAATTACGATTAATATATGTAGATACCTCGTCTTTTACGCTATATTTCTACTTGTGTACTTATGCTTCATAGTAATATATACAAATTGGTGGCCTTACGTGTACCATACATATCGTCGTCGCCTACTATTTCATCATTAATTATTATTCTCACTTCATACATGCACACAATAAAGACGATAACAACGATATAAATATATCAACCAATCAAAGTACGTACGTATTTATCGTTAAATGACCAATAACATTATGCAATATGTAACAAAAACCTGCCTACACACAGAAGAATATATCTTGCATATTCTTGGCTTATTCTTTGTCATAATAATTAAAATATTGCCGTGTAAAAAATGATAAATCTTTTTTTTCCATCCCTGCACATCCATCTCTTCTCGGGCTAGAAAAATGAACTACAGTTTGAGAGCTCGACAACAAAAGTTATACCGATTCAGGTAATTTTTTGCTTTCCTGTATAAAAAAAGTTTGCTTGAAACAGAACAGCAACAACAACGACATGAATAAATCCTACAATTTGTACACATTGAGTGAGTTGAACGGAAAAGTCGACGACGACTCCATTAACTAAACTGCTGTGTTGACTAAAAAAAGGTGTATATTTTAAATAACGGATGAGTTCAAGGCAAGGCTTTTTTTGTTTGGCAACAACAATTGAATTTTCAAAGTAAGCACTAACTATGTGTGAAAGAGAAAGCGCCGATTTTTCACAAATTTCACCAATTAAAAATAAAATATAAAAATGATATCATTTAAAAAGATAAGCCTATAATGCAATTTATGTATCACTACGCCGATAATGCCATGATTTCCTAACCAAGTACATAAAATTAGTAATTAATTGGTCCAGAAATGAACTGAGAGAAAAATTGCGTGTAGTAAATATTTAGGCAACTTATAATATAATCTGTTGTGGAGGTTGTTTTAGCAGTCGTCACCGCGTCGACGTGGTATCGACGACGGAGAGGCCTCTACAAAAACCACACCAGATTTTACTAAAGATGAACAGTACAATAATTTAAAAACGTTATGAAAATTTCAACTTTTTTGTTTAACAGTGATTATTCCTAAATTAGTGTTAGAATTACGTAGCATTACTCTTATTAGGTAGCATAGTGAGTAAGGGATTAAATAGAGTGAGTGTTTATAAGATTAGTTTGTAATTGTAGTTTGTTAGTTGTGTAGCAAGTTTGGTGTGGTTATCGTGGAGAGAGTTTTCTGCAGTAGAGCAAGATAAGATTAGAAATGGATGTGTTTTGAATCGTATACTTCGTTCTCAATGGAAGGTGATTGATTGCATGGAGTTCCAAAACCACGCACGTTTGTTACGCTTATATAATATCCACAGTGTAATGGTTACGTAAAGCTAGCGGTTGTCGCCTTATGCATACACTAATTTTCAGGAGTAGTAGATCTACCCGCTATTAGAATTATATTATTTGTAATTTTGTCTGTTGTGGGAAAGTGACGAAGATTATCAATATGTTCGATTCCGTTTTTTAGTGTAATAGTATACTTCTGCTCACATTGTGTTTTCATTGGTTGCTTTTGTGATCAAACAAAAAACTTGACAAATGCGAAACAGAAGAGGAGTTTTAATTCTCAAATTTAAAATTTGTAGAAATCGTAAAAATTTTCTGGTGGATTTTTTTGTAATAATTTCTCCAGAAAGGAAACAAGCAGTGGGGTTAATAAGTAAATGAATCATTGCAAAGGTCGTGGTTACGCTTATTGAATGTGGAACGAAAAATTACGGTGACGATTTCTAATTATCTAATAGAGTGGCTTCACTGTACATACGTACTCTGCTTGCGTGTAATCGTGTGGATACTCTACATCTTCATCCTACTTACTTATCTACGGTGTAGCAGCAGGATAGCAGCACTGTGTATCATAGTAGTTTACGCAGTTAATTTTAGTAGACGCTAGTAGATTATTTTTAAAAAACATAAGAACAACAAGTAGCAACATTGTGTGTGTATGTGTTGAGGACTTAAAACTATGTAGATAACCGAACTCTTAACTGCAGTAGCAGATATACATACGTATTAAATATACAAACAATTTCAATAGAGACAGTTTTTGTAATGATAGTAAAATAATTCTTAATATTAAATATTAAACACAATGTCTCTTTTTGCCTATTTGTAGAGTAAATTACACGTAGATTACATATATAACCATACATATAGTCAATACGAGGGTTGAGCTTTTGTTTTCATTTTCCGGCGGATCGACATCGGCGATGAATGAACATCAACAGCAGCAGCAGCAGTTACGTTTAGTGTCGTCGTGTGTAGTAGTAGGGAACTTTTTTCTTGAGGCTAAAATGTCTTGGCTAGTTTCAACATTCGTCCGAGAACTCATCGTCCTGAAATTGACAAAATTCACATTAAAAACTGCCAACAGCGCGTTGATAAGCAATCGGGGGATTTTGGTGGGACAATTTAACAATCGTATGCATAATAGTAAGTATGCATGCTCTTTTTGCACTTTGTTCAATCCACACGAGAACAACATTGGCACACACACATTTAGGACACGGCAGCAGCCCAAATGTACATATACAAATATACATATGCACATGTACAGCAGCGCTCCAACGCGCTGATACTTGAGTGTTATCATTAGCGCAGTATTAAGATGGGGTGAGTGGATGAGTGAGGACAAGAAGTAGAACAGAGTTAACTCAAAAATTAGTTGGTAAAATAAATTCACAGGTTCAAATGATAAAGATATGATTTAAACGAACCGAGAATTAACAGAAATAGGAAAGGACTCTCATAGTTTGCGTCGTTTGATGGCAGAGGAGGAGGATGGCGAGGTCGTCGTCGTTCCGCCCCCACCGTTGAGAACAGCAGTACTGGTTTGTGAGCAAGCAACCTCATCATCCTCGTCATCTTCGTCATCATGGTCGTCGCTGAGAAGGTCGTCGTCGTCATCCAAGTCTTCCTCGGCCTCTTCCGCGGCCGTGTCCTCCATGATCCTGGGAGGGTTGAGCTGGAGTGGGGGGAAATCAGGAATCTGTTCCCGAGGCGGCACTTGCCAGTGGGAGGAGGAGGAGTTGGGTTTCTCAGAGGACGTTGAGGCTCCTGGTGACTTAAGCCCCATCAATGGCCCACCCTATTCATCCCCCAAGGAGCGATTAAAAGGATAACCAAAAGCGGAAATAACAAAGAAAGAGAGGAAGGCAATGCGAAATCCGATGCGTATGCAGCTGCACAGTGAAATGAAAGAGAGGAGGTAGGCTGAGATATTATAGAATCAGAAAAGCACAGTAAATACGAGACATGAAATGGTATGTATCTAGGTATGTAGATACATATATAAAAGATAGAGAAAGAGAGAGGTCATCTGTATAGTCAGACATTGAAGACGCTGCTGTGCTTGGATCGGTGGGGGTTCCATTTATTTTCAAGTCAAATATTCAAAATAATTCCGTCAAAGTCAAAACTGATTCCGGAACGGTGCATCCCACAGTTTTACTGTCCCGGTCAGCGGCAGCATATTCTGCTTACGATTAGTGACTCGCCAGCACCATGAAAAAATTGATTTTGCTCAATTTGTCACATTCTCATTCGCTCCAACGAAAAGCAAGTGGCCCTTCGGAGTGGAATCAGAAGGGAAACTGGCGAGGCTGGTGAGCGGAAGAGGTAGCCAGACATGGAGGGTTATATGTGCATATGTGTAAAAGGTTAGGTCTAAGTATGTAGAAGAAGGTGCGGTATCGGCAGCAGCTATTTCCATGTGATGTGCACTACAGAATGAGCATGACATGACATGGTCTGGGCAAAAGGGTTGATGGTTTTGTTTTCTCGAGGGGAGTTGAAGTTGAATATGAAGACGTTTGCTTGTTGGACTGAAGAAGAAGAAGACGCCGACCGCCCGTGGAACGGACTTTGGGAAATCGCCAACTCAAAAACACTTTTATCCTCGCATTTCTTCCCTGTGCAGATACTTATGTGCCCCACGCGGTTGGATTTCCAGACTGGCGAGTTTTTTAAAAAAAGCTCAAGAGAAAAAACATTAAAGAAAAGCAGAAATCTCTCTTTTTCTCTACACTTTGCATTTCTGGGGTATTTCCGCTCTCTTCTGGCCATTCTTATTGGAAATGTGTTGGTAGTACAATGGGCAGAGAGAGAGTCGTGTGTGGTGGGAAAGACGCAAATGGGTTGTGGGAGTAAATGTGCTTTCACTTTACAATTTTATGTAAGCAAACAGGGCATGAGATTTATGTGCTTTGCTCCGTCAACTGTCAACATCAACATCGATTTAGAGTTCAAATAAAACGTGACTCTCCTCCTGACGTATCCTTCCTTCCTTCACCCTCAACAACCCCACAGCCAAACACAATGTCCTGGCAGAAGGAACAAGAACAAGAAGCGGTAGCAGAGAGCTATGCACATAGATACACACATAGTCTGCGATATATGCACACATAGTCGCACATCTTCATGTCCACAATGTGTCCAAAAGTGACTAACTTCTCGTGCCAACTTTTTTGGAGAGATTCGGCTCGCATTGTATTACTGTTTATGCATATTGTTTGTGGAATATGGTGCGGGACAAAAAAAGGCTGGAAAAATAGGTTGGATTTTCACTCACACTCACCGGATGCATACTGCTATCGTAGCCCATGGAACCGTCTCCGTAGCCTCCCTGTGCAAACACATTATTCATTACAATTTGCAAATTTGTTTCAGCATGTCAACCTAATGTGCCAATGTGAACAGGGGCCAGCCCGTACAAGGCGAGCCCCACAAAAAATGATGCGTTTAAAAGGAATAAAATCCACATTTGAGCCATTCGGGAAACTCAATTTAAATAAATAAATAAAAAGTGGGCGAGAGAGCATCAGATTTTATTTCTCCTATAAATGGGCAAGGCCAAAAGTGAAGATTTGTGACTTATTTGGCCGAGCAACAACGCCATATAAAGTCCTCTTATCTCTCTCTCTCTACGCTTGTTCGTTTGTTTGTCGTCGTCGTTGACACGACGAGAGGGACGTTGGGTGACTGCAGTGCAATTGCGACAACCGGGTCTAAAATTAGAGAAGAGTCACATAACAGGGAAACAAATACCTGAGGTGAGTTGTAGTCTGAGCCGTTGATCGTCATGTTGTAACCCATCGAGTCCTGGTTAGGTCCGGGCGACATGAGAGGTCCAGGCGTCCCTGCCATATTGTACGGAGATCCTTCGCAAAAAAATAGCAAATAAGTCCCTCAGTCAGTGAGACAAGGACAAATGAAACCACTCAATAAGTGGGCGGAGGACCACTCCCTCCTCCCACCAACCAACCGTATTACGCAGTCATCCATCCAGCCAGCCGGCGTCTCTGCCGTTGAATTGATTCACCTTGTGATTATTATTCTTGTGGGAACCCAGGCGGCAGTATGTATGTACATACGTAGAGAAGAGTGCGAGGGGTTTTCGGGGCGATGGAGGCAGGGAAAGTTTTACGAGGGTGTCATTTGTTTGTTGGGGCAATTAGCAAGATAGTAAAGGAGATGATGGTTGTTGGTGGTGTAATTTGGAGATTAGTTTAGTGGCTTTATATGTCTCCTGGAGAAGAAGGGTCAACAGGGCCACCCCGAACAAAATAAGGGCCCATAAAATAAAAATGAGCATTTCTTCCAGCAGTTTGTTTTATTGAACTGTTACGGGTCCAATTATCCCCATTTAGAGTCCATTACCAAACTCCACTCCGCTGCCATTCCCCCAGATACTTTTGGACATTATGCAAATACACGCACCCCGACTTGGGTTGTTCTAAATAGCATGGGATGTGCAGCTTAAGAGAGGTAACTGGGGCACGCAGCAATGGTTTACTTGGCTCAAAAGAAGTGATTGAGAAGAGTGGATTTTTACTCCACTTTTATGCCCCCTTTAATTGCCACTTTGAGACCAGAAGTGCAAGCAACAAAGTGTGAATTCACTCACTCACTCTCCTCCTCAATTGCCACCACTTTTCATCCTTTCATCCAACACTGAGGAACAATGGAACAATGTCCCATCTCCTTGGCCGCAGTACGGCTCGCAAACAATAATGCAGTCCGATTCTGTGGACTGACCTAGGTCGTCGTGCAAGGAGCGAGGGCATCACAAGATTCACATGAGATGAAGATGGATGGGTTCACAGCCAGCATGGCTCCCATTCTCGTACTTCCACAAGTCTAGTGCTTATTGGGCAAGACCTTCTCGTCACGGGGCGATTTGTCACACATCAACATCTACATCTTCCAGCCCCTCATTTGCATCCATATTTTTTAACAGACATTCCACACGGTGTCATTGCATACTGGCCCCCAGTTCATCCCTTTTATTGACCAAGTTGTATGCAGCTATGGCCAAGAGAACGAGTCCTCTGCGTTGGTAAAATAATGCGGTTAGAGAAGAAGGGACAGCTTTTAAAAGGCGTTCAAGTGGTGGGATCATCTCAAGGAGAAGTACAGCACAGTGCGGTGGATGGTATACGATATGGGATCGAGTTAATAACTCAGCAGCAGCAGCAGCCCCAGCAGAGTCCCGTTGCTTCCTTTACTGCGAGATATACTTAACTTGGGAACGTAGTACATACGCTCGGATTCCGTCGAGGGGGCAGACTCTGGGTTTACTCATAGGGGCCAAATTCCGACACTACTCACGACTAGAACTACTCTTTTAGAAGAAGAAGACGAACATGCAACGCAACTACTTACACCAAACTCCTCTCTTCTCACACACTTTCTGCCATACTATCCATCACAGCGACCAGGACGACGACGACGAGGACAATTTTCACGACGACGACGAGGACGGAGGGAAGATGGGAATTTCTGGGCAGGATGGACGACCTAGGACGATGACGATGAGAGTGGATACGATGATGTGGTCCTATCTTTATGAACTCGTTGGCTGGCTGGCAATTCCCGTTCAGCCAGGGTGCAAAATTATTATTGGTGGCGTTGCGATGGGGTCTATCTTAATGAAAATGAGAAAGATTTGAGAGACGTCCGGGCTGTCTCGTTAATGGCCAAAGTTGATTACGAGTGAACAAATGATGAGCTTTGATTTCCCGTTTTTGAGCTGATTTACTTTGATGTTGATTTGCAGTGGTGGTTCATGGTTCCAGGCTCAACATTTATACACACAGCTACATTCCTGTATTTCATATGGTCTGTTGGAGGGCTTTTGAGCCTTAACCCTGACAGGTAGATGAGTGACGTGTACAACCTGTTGTCTAATAACCAGTTGATAAGTCAGCTTATCCCAGGAGCTGCCATTGGCGATATGATACGAAGGAAGATAATATGACGTGTGGGGGAGTTTTTGTTGGTTGGTTGGTGGGGGGATTTTACGGGCAATGCTTATCTTTCCAGCCGCATTTCTACTCATAGTAAGATTCGTTACCTTCATTACCTTTCATTGCCTTCTTACTCGCGTACAAATTGGCCTGGAAAAAGACAATGCGGTCATTAGTGCATGGTGACAAAATTGGTTATGTTCAAGTCTACTTTCACTCGGTAGCATTAAGCCTGGTTTTATGCATGCATGTGCTGCTCACCTCTTCTTGCGCCTTCCCAATGTTCTTTTTGTATCGTATCCTCTTGTTGCCGAACCAGTTTGAAACTTGAGAAACTGAAAATTTTTTTTCTAATGATTAGCGTAAAATGGTCTAACGTTTTTAGGAAATAAAGCAGTGTTGTTACCCGTGATGGAGCACTTCCTCGCTAGATCTTCCTTTGCTGCAAGGCAAATTTTTAGTCAATTATTGTTTAGCTATTGGGCCAAGTAATGCGGGAATGGATAAATACAAATTAGTAACCAACTAAAATAGTACCTTCTTCGGAGGGGTAGGGATTGCTTAGGTGGGAGTAAAAGTATTCGTTTAATATTTCCGACGCCTGTTTGCTAAAATTTCGCCGCTTTCTCCTGCAAAATGAGAATAGAAAAATCACTTGATTAGAAACTTTTGGTGGCTTTTGGCGCAGCAAGACTCGGAGTAATTGGCATCGCAGCAGCCGACGTGGGAGAGAAGAATGGCGGATCGAGGGGGGTCTCCCCAGGCCCACAACCAACCCCATTCTTCACCCGACACTGACACCACCACACCAACAACGCCAGGAGCAGTAATACCTCACTCCCGCAAATTACTCCCACAAAAGGCCAGGAAACTGGTCAATTGCATTCATATTAAATCTCATACACACCCAGCAGCTCGCATTGGAAAAATAAAGCTCAACAACAATGTCGTATCATAATAATGGGAAGAGCTGGATACATGCACTCTCGAAGCTCCCGTTTCGTCGAGAGAGTGAGCGAGAGGATGGGAAAAAGGGAGAAAGCATGATGAAAAATTCATGAAAAGTCTGGGAGAGATTTGCATGCACCCATCCAACTAAACTATCCCACCGACTCATCTTTTTAAAAGCCAATCCAACCAACACACTCTTCCACTTCCCAGCATTAATCATTAAGCAGGCTGGCGGTGGTGGTGGTGGACTTTCTCTCCCCACCAGCTCGTCTGGAGGAGGAGGAGGTGGTGGTGGTGGAAATTTCGACATCGTTTCTGAAATTCGTTACTGGCAGTGGTGCTGCTGGTTGTGGTGGTGGTGGGATATTGTAGAGACGGGGAAGCGATACAAAGTAGAGATCGGATCGGTTGGCGTTTATGAGTCCTGGCCCTGTTTGCCAAATCCCATTTAGAGCCGCAGTAAAGCCCAACTGCCACAACTTTCACTCGACTCACTCCATCCAATTTCTATTCTATCTGCTCCGCAATTCATCCAGAAATGCTCACATGCTCCCAACCAGACTTTGCACACTTAAAAATTGCTAAAATAATGGAACAGCATTCCTCTCTCTCTCTCGCTCTCTCCACATCCAGCCACATTTCCTGCTGGAGCTGGAGATGATGCAGAGGCAGAGAGAGAGAGGCAGAGGAGAATTTCCCTCATGAGACTCGCCTGCTTGGTGAAAGGAGGGAGTGAGCTATGGACCGAGTTTTTGTTTTTGTCGCAGAGTGAGTGGGAGCATTTCTTTTATTTTCTTGTTGTTGAGCCTGGTGGTGGTGCTGGTGGTGTGTGATATCCCTTCGTCGTCCGTGGGTTGCTTGCTTGGCTGGCGATGGTGGGGAGAGAGACTTGGAAGTTGTGGATCGATACCATATCCGGGATATCTCACCCTCACGACAGAAAGAGAGGAATAAAACAGAGAAAGCAAGCGAAAGGAGACGCGGTATTTCAAAAGCGCATTACTTGTCCCCTCACTTAATTCCCGGATTCCGAGAGAGAGAGAGATGGAGAAACTGGAGACAAAAAACCTCGTCTTTTGCTAACGTTGCAAAAGCACTTGGTTCGTGGATGGAGTTGACAACTGGAGATCCAGAGCACAAGACGAAGAGACGAGGGTCACTTTCAATAAAAACGTCATGGAGGAAAACCCGCATAAATCACATCCACAGAAATACCAAAAATAAGAAAATGCCAGAAATTGATCCGACGAAAAGGAAACGGATCTCACTCTGCTCTTCTGATAAAAATTCCGCAGAGAGCTTCATCTCATCATAACCAATGCCATGCCATGCCGCACTGGAAATATGTATACCGTAACACGTAATATTAGTATACACATACATGCCATATGGGGGATACGATATATGAAGAAGGTGGCTGCTGCTACAGTACTCGTGCATCATCCACACTCTTGATAATAATGTCGACTTTCTCCACCCAGCCTTTATCGTCGCCTCCACAGCAGCAGCATCCGCTCCAGGTCAGGCATCTCTCGCTCTCTGCATGGAGGTGGGTGGAGAGAATGCGATGTAATTCCGCTGTTGTGGGTGCTTGTATGAGCTGGCTGGGATTGATGGCGAGATTGAGTGTGGATGGATGTAAGTGGGGACAAGTGAAAGCCTTTTTATCGAATTAGAATTAGTCAGTCAGAGGAGCTGTGGATGAGGAGAGAGCAGTGCGGGCTAATCCAATCAAGTCACTTTTAAGTTTTTAATCCCCTTTGTCTCCTCCAATTTCACTCATATCCTCCCAACCACCCAGCTCATCATCGTCTTCTTCTTCCGCCTCCGCCGACCCAGCCTTCTGTCTCTCCCTCCAAAGATGGACAAATATTTTGAGCAACATTTCTATGGACTTCTCGACAAACTCGCCTCTTCTTCCTCTTGCAGATATGCATGCTATTTCTTTAACTTAAATTTCCCATGAACGAAAATAATGCGGAGCAGTAATTATTGCAGTTGGCTATGCTATGTACGTACATATGAACTGTTGGCCGGTTAACGACACTTGCTTGGTGTTCCGTACTCGGTAGCGGTGCTAACTGGGGGATAATAATTAGTGACATTTACAATTGACTGAGAGTGACGTGGCATCAAGAGTTGACAGTTTAAACGCTTAAACGTTATCTAAGTGACAGTCAAGTTGACAATTTACACCAAAGTTGTTTTTTCCCTTCACAACTGACTAATTGGATTAACTCTAATTATACAACACAAGTAGAAAGAACTTCAACTTTTGTTAATTACTGGCAAGCGAATTGGTCCCTTTGGACTGAAAAGATGTCACTTTGCGTCACGTCACCTGCACATCTTCCATCCCATCCTCGTCAAATTATGAAAAGTTGAAAACTCTTTGAATGCACCATTTATGAACAAGTGACATTAATTGGTGCTAAATATTAGATTAAATTTTACTCCTTGTGAAGCCGACTCACTTCATGCCATTCTCAATCTCCCCGCCTTTCTCTTCGTCGTCGTCGTCGTCAGTGTAGGATGCTTTCACCCTCATGGGTTAAATGTGGCGAACACATTTCGAAATTGAAAAGGCAGCCGAGTCGAAAATGGTGAATGTGGGAATTTAGTGCTGAATTCAACCGAAAAATCCGATCTGAAGTTGCTCCTTTATTCCCGTCACTTCTCATCCGCCCCTTTGTCTCTCTTTCTCTCTGCCTGGCCAACCATCCTCAAACAACAAACCATTATAACCATCCTGCTTCTTCTTCTTAAGGTTCCTCGTCCTCTTGTTCCCATTTCCTGTGTCCTTCTCCCATGTTTTCGCCAAAAATGCAAATTCGCACTCCAACTACACCACCACCAGACTTCGTTCTTGCCAGTCCAAGTTTATGATGGACGGAGGGGTGAAACAACACGGAGAAGCAAGCACGTGTTAATTGCTGGTCAAGTTGTAAAAATTTAATTGGCCCACTACTCCATTAGTTACTTAACCAACAAGTAAACAAGTGGGTCTGCCTGCATATGTACAACAAGAAGGGCAGGATCATCTCCTGCGTATGCGGCACATACATCTCGACCAGCCACATTCTTTTCCTTATATTCTCGCAGCCAGCAGTGTCCATTACTCTTCACTTGACTCTGTAAAATGACTCCATTTATTTCATTTTATTGCCATTTATCTTCCCAAGTTCTGATTGTTGCACCAACCCGCTGACTATCGCCTCTCAACACGAGCAATCCCAACACATTTCTCACTCGCCTCCTCTCTCCGTCCGTAACGAGCCATTGTTCAAATTTGTCATTAAAGTGATTTTAAATCAGTCCGCTGCACACATCCCGCATTAATCACTCACTCTCCACGGCTAAAAAATGGTGCAAACGGGGAAAATATTAAAATTTGCACTGCTCTAATGAGCCCAGTTGGATCATTTACTAAATGTACGCACATCTCTTCTCTCGGTCATTTCCTCTCTCTCTCAAGCCTTCCGAGCCCTCGACTACGTGTTCTACAACACCAGGGCTGTTACTACATATTACTGCTTCCCTTCTTTTGTCCTGCAGCTCAGTTTGTTAAATTTTACAAAAGTCGGAGAAATGGTTTTGGTGAGTCACATAGTTTGGTCAGAGAACAATGCGCATAACCTACGTACGTATGTAGCTAAATGATGGGAAGTGCATTATTAGCCGAGGAGAGCTATACGCCAGCCAGCGTGCAAGAGCTGGCTGGATGGAAGGGCAGCATTATGGATTGGCTACTTGGTCGTTGTAATAATAAAATACTTGAAATGGAAATGAGTGGAATGCTAGGCCCACAGGGGGTCCCTAATCTACAAATCATCCACATAAATCTCACACGACTACTCGGCGAGAGAGGTACAAACAACAATATAATCCATGCACCTCTTTCTCTCTATCTCCCATCTAAACATGAGCACATACTCGTGTATGTAGTCCTCTCTGCAGCCACCACAAGAAGGCTGTGTGTGCACATGACGAGAGTATTGAATTGTATAACATTTGTTGCAACCTGTCCTCCATGGCAGTGTTAAGGCTGGTGACGAGAGGGGGGCTGTACGACCAGTTTAGCGGTATGGGCTGAGCATGAATATAAGCAGCGAGAAGAGAGATTAGCATAAGCGTTTGGGCAGGTGGACAGGGCGCGATGGGGTTTCACGATGGAATCAAAAGTATCAATTTCCACTCGGAGTGAAATAATAAAGGGAGCAATCAACTTGACTGCACTGCCGCTATTTCCACCCCATCTCATGTGATGTCTCTATCCAACATGCTCCAACTAAATTAAGTCTCCATTGTTCACAAACAACGGCAGCAGGATCCAAATAAGCTTCTAGTTCCATATGCAAGCCGGCTCATCATCGTCAACCAGTTTTTGATCATGCGAATCAAATCAAGCAAAATCGTTCTGCATTTCTTCCATTCATCGAAATATTCTTTACTATATACTCTGCTCTCCTATAATAAAATAAGCTCTGCTAGACACCATTGCCCTGTCTGGCTCCATCACTTGCACACAAAAAATCATTAAATCATTGCATCCACAGCTTGTTCCAAATAGTATGACGTGTGCGAATGCCAATATGTACGTGCATACATACATAAGTACATACTCCGAGTCTATAGTTACCCATTAATTAAGTGTGGAGTGGCTGTTTTTACCTTGCGTCAAGGAACCTGGATCTGAGTATCATGACAGCCTCACAGGTAGATTGTTTCAACTGCATCTGTAACAGAAATTTTCAAAAATTCCAAAGTTGCATTAGAATTCAATAAGTAATTTCCAACTCCGCTGAAGATGAGTGTGTGTGCAAAATTAATTATTTACCTGGATCGAGGAGAACTTGCGATGGATGATTTGCACCATGCGCTCAATTTCCTTAATGGTTAAATATAACATGTAAATATTTTCGTTGCATGTTTACTTTGCGAATCCAAGTAATTTTACCTTTGGCGTTATGGGGCGCGTTCTACTCTGCTCCCGCAGAAGATTCATTACATGGGTCGTGAACTCGGAACAGGCCTGTTTTTAAGAAAAAAATCAATTATTAGGATCATCCCTTGATATTTCAACGTTTTGTACAGAAAACGAGTCTGCATGTGCACCATTCCTAAATGTTCCATCCATGTCATTGTTTTATTTTCAATTTCCAACCAAAAAACACATTTTCTTTGGCTCCATTTTTTTCGGCGAGACATTTAAAAATTTAACGCGTTGAAAATTTAAAGAATGCTGGAGACAGAGTATGTGCGAGAGAGAGAGAGAGAAGAGAGGAGAAAGTCTGAATGGATGGAGTGTTTATTTAAGGAGGCGAAATGGGAAAGACGTGCTCCCATCCTGAGAGAGTCGGAGGAGCATTATGCACGACGTTCGTGGGGAGAGCGAGTTGGGGAAGCGGAGAAAAGGCCATATTTCTCTATTTAACTCTATTCAAACTCAAAGTCGAAGGGACGTGACTCGGTCACAAATCCCTCAAACTCATCCGACTCCCAGATAACTGCCCATACATTTCAATATAGCAACGTCTTCACCATCCGACTCATCATCACCATTCTCCTCCCTCCCTCGCACATTTGTTTCCCAAAACACTCCAGAAACACACACACGCTCGTCCCACTTATGCAACGCAGCCTTCACAAATTCCATACCAAGTGAGCAAATGAGCCAACTACGTAAGTACAAAACCACCTTTTTAATAAACCATTTTTTACTTTGTCGATTGTCAATAATGGGTCGGCGAGGTGGGAGGTATGAACATACGAACCAACGGACTTTGTGTGAAATGAATCGATTCTCCTTTTTTGTGAGCTGCTGCACGCAACCAGCAAATTATTGGATATGACACCAAACAATGTCACTCAAATCGCATTACACACACTACATGCACAGCGTACACGCCACAAAATAAGTCCTTCTGATAACCTACGTCAACCATCCCCACATGTAATATTTACGCATTCTTGAGAGAAAGAATGTTTTCCTGTTTTCTCTTTCTCTCCATTATTCTCCCAGCACTTTATTCGCTCTCCAAACTGGGAGTAAATTTTAGAGGAGTGAAAGTGGGTCCATTATTCGGTGAAAGTTGGTGTAAATGCTCAAATGAACAGAGATGAAGTGTGCGAGGAAAGCGTGAGGACGAGGAACATGGTGTATGCTAAGAGGAGGAGGAGATGCTGGCTGCTGGTGCTGGTGATGCAGGGAGGCAGCAGCAGTAAATCGTAATCGCTACGATTCAACTGTGAAGAAAAGTCCTACGTGACCAGACTTCCGCAATTGTTGATTCTGATTCTCCAACAATAACTAAATCACATTCGCACTTTCTCCGCTTTCTCCACACCAACCACAACCAAAAATCACACTCTGTCCAACATCATCACCACCCACCACACCGAGAGGATGTCAATTCACATTCCCTCACCACCACCACACGACCCATGTCACTATGCAGACACATTTCGAAACTACATAACTCATCTGTGGCAAACACCATTTGGCACAAAATGACATCGACCAAATTCCACTTTGCCCCCATTTCCCGTGCACCTCAACCATCACCCACAAAACAACAACAACACACACGCCAGAAATATGATATCTCTCGTTTGTTTCAGAGAGAGAAAGAAAAGAGAAAATGAAATGGAGCCGCTTGACACATCCAATTTTTTATTTCAGCTTCTGAACATTTTTGCATAAATATTTGATGGGCGAGTGTGGATGCTGGTTGAAGAGCATTCACTTAACTTGAGTGCATTTTTGATTTAAAATGTAGAAAGTGAGACAGGTAGAGTTTTTTGTAGCTTGTGGGTTGCTTGGTGTGGATAAAAAGTGATTTAATTTGAGATGATTTCTCCGAATCCACCTCGCGCTTCGTATAGAATTCAGACAATTCAAAGATCCCTAAATTCAGTGTTCAAACATTCAAACATGTCAGTGTCATTCAACATCAACCCCATCACCAGACTGCCACACAACATGCACGCACACACGTTATTGCCCTGCTCTCCCTCTCTCTTTCTCCCTGCCAGAGGAAAGCAAGGATCCTGGAGCATTAATATTTATGATCTATATGTACAAGCAATCCACTTGGCTCGTCCTCCTCCTCACGTGATCGCTGATCTAGACGAGGGAGGAAGATGGAGAGACGACGGGGAAGAAGTGGGGAGGGAAAGGTCAGACGCGGTCATGGGGTTTACATAATTTCGACATAATGTGACCAAGGGAGTCGAGAGGGGAAGGGGGTGTGTTTGGCGAAGCGCACCGTGGCGAATTCCTAGCCATTTGTAGTGAAAAGTGGGGCTGGCGGAGGAGGAGGGAGTGAGCAGCAGCGGGTGGAAGACGTGTCGCGACGGGAGAGAGATCATTTTCTGTCCTTTGAAAGACATCAAATAAAAATCAGTAAGGCTTTAATCCCCGATCCAAAACTCTCCAGGATCTCCAAGCAGGGGTGCTCTCTCTCTCAGTCAACCATCAAATCACACTCTCAAATTTTAGACAGAAAGTCCAACTTTTTACATATTCAGTCTCCTTTCGCCCCAGCCCACTGCTGCTCACATTTTTTAGCACCAGCTTTTCCTATGCCTAACATAATCCCACCGTAGAAATGGTGTTTTCAATTGTTGGGAAATTGGCAGCATTGTGATGATTACGGGATTGTCTGCCTAATAGGAGGAGGAGAAGCAAAGGATGGTAGGTTCCCATGAAGGAGGTGCGGTGAACCAATATCAGAAATTGCATTGTGTCCCCTCTACTATCTCTTCTCTGGTCGTGCTTGTGATGTAGTTGTTGCGAGCTCTTGTCCACGGGAGCCTGTGGTGGTCCATTATTTATTAAAAAGCTGCCCATTTTTCACAAAATCCTCTCCAACCTACGTCCACCACCAGCCAAGCAACTGTCAACCATTCTCACAGTCGTCGTCTTCCCACAAAAACGCCACCACATTCTCTCATCGACATGGGCGATAGACATGCATCCAGCTCCCCACCCACCCTCGCCTTGCAATATATTTATTTAGATATCTGCACACACACACTCGGTCGGTCGGTCGGTGACCACTGCAGGGCTGGGTTCGTAGAGACACTTTCTCCCTTCGTGAAATGGAAGCACAAATATCCGGAGAAAGGAGGGAGAGAAATTGGAGAGCGAGTAATCAGAGAGAAACAAAGGTAATTAGTGTCCCTCTCTCTCTCTCTCGCTCCCCGAGAGTTCGTGCTGATTTCCCTCCGATGCGTTTAACCATTTGAGCCCAGTGCATTGGTTGATGATGATGATGATGATGATGGCATATGCAAATTACAAGGATTTTATGCTCGACCAAAAAACTCCAATTACAAAGTCACTAACTATGCTACACGGCTACACTTCCTTCCTTCCGTCACGAAACGACACGGCAGCATTAATCACCAACAACCATATGCTTTCCCTCTCTTTGTGTGCACTTTAACCCGTTTAAAATTCGCGAGGAGCGGGCGTGGCTACTTGAATATTGAGTGGATGGATGGGAGGCGTGGTCGAATTAAGTGAAGGAATCAGGAATGGGCGGAAGTGGGTGTGGCCCTATAAATCTTGCCCGTGTGCGATCCACACGTGCAGGCGTGGCCGAGGGAGGAGTTGGCGTAACCTCGCAAAATTCAAGAAAACCAACAAACAAGATCCTCTCAGAATTCTGCATGGACATACAATTCCATTACGTGACAAGTCCTCAAGGAGAAGAAGAAGGAGCAGATCAAGAGGGGTTTCGAAAAGTTGGAAATTTTGATCGATTTTTCCTCTCAGACGAGCAAAAAACTTTTTTCGGGGACACACAGCAAGCAATATATGTAAGTTTAAGGCTGAATGCATGCATGTGTGTGCAAGGGTATTACGTTTGCATAATAAGAGCAGGTTGAGTGTAGATTGGAATTAAATGGATCGTGGTGCTGTATCGAGGAGCAAGTTTGCCTAGCTATAGCTGAAGTTATGTATGTAGTTGGATGGGTCTAGTGAGATGAAAGTCCCTCGATGTTCATTTGCTGGTGCATGGTTCGTTGCTCGCTCATTTTTAACCAAATTAGGTTTTAATTTATCTTAAAAAACACTGCTCGACTTCCACATCAAATTAACTTGGCTCCCTTTTATGAACCAGCTCCAAGACGAGGAGGGGAATAAATCTCCCCGAGAGAGTTGTGTGGAACCTTCTTCTTCTCATTTCCACACGACAAAACGGCTGCTTCACTTCCGACTCGCATTACCACAGAGGCAAAAACTCATACTTTCTGTATAACCTCCGTTTTTTTGGGGGTGTGGTTCACCTACCTGTTCGTATTTTTCCAGCTCTTGAGAATAGATCTGCCTAATTTGTGCCAGCTTTGCACGGTAGTCCGAATGTTCGATGGCATTTTCTTGCGTTGCAGCGGCGGCTGAAGCGTTTTGTGCGGCTGCAGCCCCGCCCCCTTTATCTGGTCCCGCAACTCCCTCCGCTATCAACATGTTGTCTAGCCTGCAAGGGAGCAGAAAATAAAGGTATGATAACTCCAGGAAATTAAGCAAATAACGTTCGAAAAATAATATGATTAAGAACAAGACTGACCGCATGAGTTGAGGATCTGGAGGTTGGTCGTCATCGACGTTTCTTAGACTCAGTACTGCAATGAAATCAAAACATGGTCATCATACATCACGCTCACCAATAAATAATTCACAATTAGTAGAAATATTTTGTACAGAAAGTGATCAGACTTTCACCCAAACTTATTGCATTCAATAAACTGGGCTTCAAATGATGGCACAAAGGGTTTCTTCACCACACCTAGAAATCGGACATTCCTTTCCCTGCGTGAATAAACTGCACAAGAATTTCCACACGACCGTGTAAAAATCTGTGCAGAAGAAGAAGAAAAAAGAAGACGAGCGAAAAGGCATGTGGAGAGACTCGCACAAAAAATGCAGAGTTTGCCCCAGGGAAATCAATAATTAGGACTTTGCTGGTGAATATTCTCATTAACCAGCCGCAGTTGCTTATTGTTGCGTTGAATTTGGTTAATGAATTGATTAGTCGGTTGTTGGTTGGTAGCTCGGGGTGCAGTGTACATATTCCACGAGAGAGAAGCATCCACAATGAAACGAGGCTTTGAAAATGATGTTTGACAGTGGGCATGCGATTTGGCCATTGTTGCCCAGCATTGTGTTCATCCGTCGTAAATAGTCGCTTAGTTAGCCAAAGCTAGCCCATAATTTACGAATTAAAAGGTTTAAAACTTTAAAATTGAAATGGAGCCGCGGGAGGTTTGAGATTTTTTACTTTTAGCAACGTTGAGATGAGCATGATTTGCAACCATGATAAATAATAAACAATGGGATGAACGCGCCCAACAATGGGCTTCATTACCATCACCACTACTGTGCACAATTATCAGAACGACGGCCACGAGACTTGGAGAAAAGCATTGTTTAACTCGACTACAATAACAACCCGTTAAAAGGATTTAACAATTTTCAGGCTTATTGTGTCCCTTTGCTGCCACATACATAAGCGCAGACTTATTATTGCCATGTACTCGCTGAGTGAGCTACGCCGTCCTCTTTAATACGACCATTCTTGTTGCATCCTAAATTACGACGACGACGGTATGCACACAAAGAATTTTCACCGCACTCAGCTCAGCTCTTTTCCAATTTAAATTTTCTTGCCAGCACATTTCTACGCAAGGAAACCGAAAGGAGGCATATTTATTTATTTATATTACAACGGCGACACAGGGGTGACCCATGGAGGAAGAGCCCCTTTGTAGCGAGAGAGAGAGAGAGGCACTTCAACATATTCGACTCATCGGAGACGACGTCGGGGAATTCGAGTGCCATCCATCATCCCTCGAGAGCCCTTCAAGTGACACCAACACACGAAGAAATAACTCAAAAATTCAAAACTATTTCACAAGGGACCAAACTCGCATTTCTTCCCAATCCCACCAATTCCGCTCTTGGGCTGGCAAACAAAAACAAAATGAGAGTGACAGAAATCACAGAGCTAAAAAACGAATGGTTATTGCTCCTGTAATTGCGAGTGTGAATGATGTTTGAATATTTTGAATAGTTCAGCAAGAACAAGACGCCTCTTCCTCCTCACATCCCCACTTCATCCAACATTACGCTACGTGGTGAGCTATGCCTCTTCCTCCTTGTGCTCTCCTCCCGAGAGAGTGAATGCCTCTCTCTCCGAGAAAGCAGAGAGATTATTTTTGCATGCCCTAATCCAACAACACCAAGGAACCACAAGGAGCGGAATAAACTGCCAAATGTATCTTTTTTGACAGGCATCTCTCCTGTCAGTCATCTTCATCATCTTGACTATATAGATAACTGCCCTTCGGCCACAGTTACCTCTTCTTAGAAATTACTGCTCAGCAAAGGCTCACCATCTTGGACAAGTTAACCCTGTAGTATCAACCTGCCCCAAATAATTCAATCCATCCGTCTCCTCAACAACCTTGCTTTTAGCTATGCAGTGATGCATAGATCGAAGTATGTACACGGCTGAGAGCGAATGTGTGTGTGCTTAGCTACGTGAATCGGAGGGTCTTTGGCAGAGAGAACCCGGATTCGGGAGATAATGCTATGAGGTGAATTGTGGGGCTGCAATATTTGTGGGGGAGATAGATGTGGCACTCACTCACTACTTATCCATTCATACGGATTCATGGATTCATGACAGTGGAATCCAATGAAAATGAAATGCATTTCTATCCATTTCACTTCCCACCCACCCACCCATTCCGCATTCAAATCAATTAAATTCATTCCACCACCACCACCACCATCCGTACATACACACACACCGTCTCTTCATCTCGTCTGGTAGTCTCCTATGGACAGATTATTCACGATTTTGTGTACTGAGTGAGTACGTGAACGAGTGAGCGAGGGGGGATTTTGGAGGATAATTTTAATATGATGAGAGAGCCATTTGCACACATTGTGCTGGGTGGGTGGAGGCAAGTGGATGAGAATTTGCAATTAAGCCGGTCAGTGGTGGTGTGTGGTTGGAGTGGATGGCAGTGGGGAGACGGAGGGTGGATCGCTATTTAGCTGATTAAAAAGAAGAATCAATACGACGGCTCTTCTGCGCCGGGTTTCTGGTAGCGCTGCCTGAGAGAATTCCATTATTATTTACGAAGCCAATTCTCTCTCTCTCTTTCTCTCGCTCTCCCTCCTTATTATTACCTTTCTCTCTCCTCTCTCTCTCTCCCACCACCACCAGTCGCCCTCTCACTCACTCACTTCACTCAAAATTACACATTTCCAGAATTTCAAACGTTCCTCCTCGTTCGCTTCCATTCCAAAGTCCACCACATCCGCCAGGAGAATGCAATTTGCGAGGACGACTTTAATTTCACCCAACCCCACCACTCGCCTGCTTTCCCTCCCACTTTCTCATCCCATTCTCCCTTCGAGAACCTATATATCGATGTATTGACGTATTGGCCCCTCTCTCATTCGGATCTGATGACCGCAGCAGCAGCAGAAGATGACCAAGAGCGGAACTTTCCCCACCCTCATTACCCCTGTCGTCGTCCCTTAATGCTGACAGGGGGAGAAAAAACGCTGGAGATGAGTTTAAAATGTTTGTTTGTTTGTATGCTGCCGGGAGTGGAGGAGAGGAGACGATGATGGAGACATTTAGCGAATGGGATAATTCGTGTTCTCATAACTATAACCGTAATGTCCTAATGGCTAATGCACTCTAGCCCCACTTCGTCCACGGGCACAAATTGCCCGATATTTACCCAATATTCAGTAATGCAACGGCATTCCCACAGCCCCTCTTTCTCTCTCTCTCTCTCTCTCTCTCTGTTTTACTTTCTCTAAATATGTATAATCTGTGCAGGAACAAGAGTTTTGCCAAATGTGAATAAATCTGCATATTTTCGCGGTATGCACGAGCGAATGTAGGACAAGGAATACGGTGTTGAATGTTTACTCGAGATGGTATTGTTGATTGGCGATGTGAGTGAAGGATAAAGAAGGAGGAGGAGGAGGTGATGGTGGTGTTGAGAAATAGCGACTGCCAGTCACTGTCAAGTCGGATCCTTCGAAACCATATTCCCTGACCTTCGCAACCTCACCAACGCCGCTCAAATAACTTTCACTCACTGACACGAGTGACTGAGAAGCCCGTGATGATGATGCGAGTCAAAAACAGGAGGCACAACTACCGGCTTCATCATTGTTTCAACAATATTCCTTCACACCGACGTCAGTGCACATGCAAAATCCACACACCTCGTCTTAATTCTTCACCCGACCCTTGACACCTCCAGTGACGAAGGGTGTGTCATTTCCAAGGGAAGAGAACATATACGTTAGAGGAGCCGTGGTGGTGGTGAAAGTAAGTGGAAAAGGAGTGGATTTAGTGGACTTTTCTTTTGGTGGACTTGTCGTCTGGTGGAGTGGGGATTTTTTTCAGTTGGAGGTGGTGGTATTGGTCGCAGCGATGTAATGGGTGGGCTAGTGGGCAATTTGGGGCGGATTAGGGGCGCCTTAAATGACGGTGGTGGTGACCCTACAATGACCCATTCCAGTCGGACTTATTTGTCCTAAAAAAATCAAATTGGCTTCGAACTGCTCTTTTACGAGCTTTACGAGCTTTATGGGCGGTAATGTGCTGGCTGCTCTTTTATTTAAGGCTTGTTTATGCTCCTCCGACATCCGATCATGGTCACTCCAACGACCCATCAGTTGATACTCACAGTCGTCAAATGATCAGACTCTGAAATATTTTACTCCAAATACAACACCCCGTCCGCTACCACCACCAGCCCCACAATGCCCACGCCAAATTGCTCTCCCCAACTGCGATAAACCAAATCCATTACCTCGCCCTTTATGACAACACTAAACACAATATTGCATTTCCTCCACTTCCGCCACACCACACCACCAACGCCACTGCCAAGAACAAAAATCTGAATCTGCACATCTTTCCCCACTCAAGTTGCAGCCCACGGTCCATGCCACTTTCTCCTCAAGAAAAATTACAAGTCTTCACTGGAGCTTGTATTATTCAGCCCTATTATTATCTCAATGTGACGACAAAAGAAAAGTCAGAGAGAGAGATAAAAATGGGAGCATGGCTGGGCCATAAAATGGAATCAAACAGGAGGAATGGAGTGGAGGCGTGGAGAAATCAGTGGAAAACACCAAGAAATCATTTACAACAAGGCGCCGGAGAGAGAATAATAAAAAGACAATAAAATGAGTTGATGAGTGGTAAAAGTGGAGATTTTGGAGGAATAATTCACTTTGGGGTTGGAGAAAGTGATGTCAGAGGAATTATCAGAGTTGGACTCTCTCTTTCAGAGCCAGCCGACTGCTGATCCTGCTGCTGCGGGTGCCTTGGTTGAGCGAGAAGGAGGAGTAATAATGCTCAGTTTTAGTATTAATAAATGTTTACGAGCTATGTAGGATTGGGATAGGTCGAGGTAACTGTTATTTTTATTGGCCCTCTAATGGCTCCATTTTTACGCATCTTTTAACGCCCCTTCAACAACCCATCCAGAGCACGACGACGACAACGACGATGACAAATATTTTGCCAACAAACACATTTCCCTACGACCCAATCTAATCACTTATGTCCTTCCACACA